CTCTTAGGCACAGAGGGGGTGTTGAAAATAAGGGACTAATCCCCTAATTAGGTGCCTTACGAGGCCCTCTCACAGAACCCTTACAGGGATCTATTCAGGACCTATTACAGGGGTCCACAGTGCTTATAAATATAGTGCTTCTATTGCCTTCTATAATATTCGAAGGCTAGCACTACCACACTCGCTATTATAAATCAAACCTTCTATAACCTTCTACTAGGTTCGGTTTGACCTACTCTTTTACAGGGCATTACAGCGCTCTCACGCCTATAAATATAGGCCCTCGTTCACTACTAGATAGTTCTAAATTAAGTCATTCATTCACTAAGTTCTTCACCTATATCTTGCCTACCCTAAAGAGAAGATTGCTAAATCGGTCGCTTTCTTCCTTTACTAAAGGGATTCCCGGATTATCGCGATTCACTTACCCTGCGCCTAGAAGAGTATTACTCTTTAATATTAACTAAAGCTTTAATTCGGGTTAAATCTAAGCTAAATTAAGTACCTTACGAGCCGATTAACCTTAAAGCCTTCCTATAAGACCTAGCGCGAGAGACGCCTAGCGAGATAAACCTATCTAGCCCGCCGCGATAACTATCCGAGGCCTTAATAAATATTAAGGTAGCCGAAAAAGCTTACGATAATATAATAGATTAAGCGGTTAATAAGGTAGTTAGTAAGGTAATTAAATAAGCTATTAATTAGCTACGGAAGAGGCTAAGGGCTCCTATAGCGGGTAGTATTAATAAAGAGGTTCGGCCTCGCTATTCTTAGCGGGAAACGAGGCTAACCTCCCGGGTACGGCGATCGTAATTATAAATATAGCCTTATATTATAATTAATTAAATACAACTACCTATCTTAATCGAGAACTTCTACGTACTTTTAATAACCACTATATACCCTCCGAATAATATAAATAATATTATCGTGAAGTCTACGATCGTAGGATCACGCTAAATTAAATAAGATACGATATAATATAATTACGCGGTAAGGGTAGCTATTTCTATGAGGCTACGAGGACGGTGGTGCGTGCGTGCAGTTAGGGCAGTCGGGGCAGGAGGGGTTGATACGGTGTGGCAGTTCTTGATCTAATATCCCACCGTACACAATAGCCGCCTAGATGAGCTTCTCCTCGAATCACCCGAGCGCAGATTTCCATCGTCCATCAAGCTGCAGACACCTGATTCATCGACTCACCGTACATCCACCCGTGCGCCTGGCGCATACGACCTGCGGTTTTGAGATCCAGCTCGAACCATGTACGCCCAATGACATGTCCGTCTCGGCCCACGACAAGCTAGACTAGCCAGCACTATAGATAGACCTGCATGTTCTCAGCATCCAGGCTGATCAGATATCACCATAATCACTCCCTTAGCACACCATCGAACAAAGGCAACGCCTCTGATCTGTCGGAATGGACCCTTATCCGCACCCGTACTCCCAAGCTGCCAAGCTCGACCCGAGGATCAAGGACCCTCGCCCTCCCATTGAACCATCCCTGGCACCACTCATTGACTCATGCCAGCTGCCCGAGGACCTGAGTCTCGATCTCTTGCGCGGGACGGGCCAGGATGAGATCTTCGTCTATACCGCGGACAAGGTGCTCCAAAGTGCCCCCACCCTGAAGCACACGGAATACTCGACACCAGAGCGCCATGGCATCTCTGTTCTTCTCTCCGTCTTCTCCCCCAAGGAGCCAACGTCTCAGGCACTGCCCGCCTTGTACCACATCCATGGTGGAGGCATGGTCGCTGGTGATCGGTTCACCGCCCTGCCCGAGTTGGTGAGCCTGCTCAAGGGCATCGAGTGCGTCGTGGTGTCCGTAGAATACCGGCTCGCGCCAGAGACACGCGCGCCTCGTGCCGCCGAGGACTGCTACGCTGGACTGGCGTGGACGTGGGAGCACGCAGGGGAGTTGGGCGTGGACCCATCCCGCATCGTGGTCTGGGGTGTCTCAGGCGGTGCTGCCCTGGCGACCGCTGTCTGTCTCATGGCCCGGGACGCACAGCGTCGTGGTGGTGATGGTGGTGATTCTGACGCCCCCATGCCCTTTGTCAAGGCGCAGATGCTCGTGACGCCCATGCTCGACGATCGCTGCGACACCGTGTCGGAAGCAGTTTGAGTACGGCAGCCCCATGTCTGGCGTCACGCTCCGCATGGTCTGGGACCACGTCCTCGGCCAAGACCGGGGCACGGACAAGGTGTCCTCCTACCAGGCCCCCTCGCGCGAGCAAGATTTGTCGGATATGCCCCCGACCTATGTCGACGTGGGCGAGTGCGAGGCTTTCCGCGACCCTGCCGTCCTCTTTGCCATGAACATGTGGCGATGTGGATCGACATGCGAACTGCACGTGTGGCCTGGAGCTTTCCATATGTTCGACGGCATGGAGAACCCAGAGGTACCGCTGATCCAGAGCGCCATACTCGCCAAGAAGAGCTGGCTTGCGCGGATGATGGGTGGTGGGTGATGGGGCAGTATCTCAACATGGAAGCTGGGTAACTTGATCCTATACGTACACTTTGAACACGAGTCATGGACCTTCCGCTATAGTAGCATTAAGATATGAGAAACCAATCTAGATCCACAGAACAGCGTCGGAGCTATGTACGGGTAAGTGCCTGTGTCCGAAGAAAAGGGCCCTGGTCCGGTCCGGTCCCATCGAGAAGACAAGGACCCTGAACACACATGCATGTGGCGAGCTGAGCCGGAGACGAGAGACACACTGGGCAAAGACGGGCAATCTTTGCGCTGCATGAGCATGTTTTGAAGTTTCCCATGTCCACATGCAGTCAACATGCTGGCGGTTGGCCACCCTTAATCACTTGTTCCCTTAATCACTTGTTCGTTTGCTGCGGGTCGGATACCATCGCAAATGTGCTCACGCACCCCTGTCCGTGCAGAGAGACTGCATCAAACTAACGGCGTTGGGCTCTTTTATACTTCTTTGTCAGAAGCTCTCTCGTCAGCTACAGAGCCTTCCCTACTCCAGGAACTGCCGTCTCTGCCAAGTCAATCCTTTCCTCACAGCTGCACTCTTCCTCTCTCCTCCTCCTCGCGCAGGAACCCATCTCACCACCCTGGGCAGTAGCAGCAGCAGCAACAGCCGATCTCCTTTCGCCATGAGCCAGCCCACAGCACATCCTCAGACCGACTCTGGCAGTCCGGCGCTCAAAGACCAACATGGCGACCCCGTCGTGGTCGACGCGAGTCGCGATTCCAACTCGGCCCAGGATTCGGGTGCGTTTGATGGCATCGACAAGGAAGCGCAAGCCGGTGTGCAAAACGTCGAAGCAATCGCGACGGTCTGGTCGACCAAGTCCATCATTATCGCATACACCCTGATTTGGCTGGTATACTTTGTCATGCTACTCCAGCAAGGCGCTGGCAATGCTCTCAAACCCTACGTCACATCAGCCTTTCAGTTTCACTCCCTGACGCCCACGGTGGACATTCTCAGTTTTGTCATCAGCGGCTGTGCCAACTTGACAGTCGCCAAGATCCTCGACGTCTGGGGCCGCCCGCAAGGTTATGCCGTGTCCCTCTTCATCGCCACCATTGGCCTGATCATGATGGCCGCCACGACCAACGTCGAGATGTACGCTGCGGCGCAGGTCTTCTGGAGTGTCGGGACGAACGCCCTCATGTACAGCATCAACATCTTTGTGGCCGACACCACAGCCCTGCACAATCGTGCTCTCATGACGGCTCTCACCGCCTCCCCGAACATCATCACGACATGGCTGGGTGGGCCCATCTCAGAGGCTTTCCTCCTCAAGGGGCCCGGATGGCGGTGGTACTTTGGTGCATTTGCCATCATTGTCCCTGTCCTCTGCGCCCCTTTTGTCGTGCTGCTTCTGGTGAATTCCTTCAAGGCCAAGAGGCAAGGCGTGATCAAGAAAGAGGAGACCGTCAAGAGGTCGCCGTGGCAAACCTTTATCCATTACGCTCGCGAGTTTGATGCCGTTGGTCTGCTTCTGCTCACCGCTGGCCTTGCCATGTTCCTTCTGCCATTCAACATCTGGGCATTCCAGCCCAAGGGCTGGCAATCTCCCCTCATCATCTGCCTCCTTGTTTTTGGGCTGGTCCTGATGATTCTGTTTGGAGTCTGGGAGCGCTTCTTTGCGCCTGTCCAGTTTATCCCATACTCACTGCTCTCAGACCGCAACATGGTCGGTGCCTGTGGTCTGGGCACGGTCTTGTTCATCAGCTACTCGTGCTGGGCAAGCTATTTCAGCTCGTTCCTCCAGGTAGTCAACGGACTGAGCATTGCCCATGCGAGCTATGTCGTCCAGATCTCCAGCGTGGGGAGCAGCCTCTTCACCATCGTCACGGGTCTGATCATTCGCTACACTGGACGCTATAAGGCCATCACACTCTACGGCGCGATTCCCGTCTACACTCTGTTCATGGGTCTCATGATCCATTTCCGGACTGCGGACATGAATGTGGGATACATCATCATGTGCCAGGTATTTTTGGCATTTGCTTCTGGTGTTTTGGTCACCACGCCCCCGATCGCCGCCATGTCTTCCTCCTCACACCAGCATATTGCCGTTGTCATCGCCATTGTCGGCATGTTCTCGTCCATTGGTGGTGCTGTTGGTCTTGTCATTGCCGGTGCTATCTGGCAGGCCATCTTCCCGAACCGACTGCTCCTCTACCTCCCGGTTGAGGAACAGGCGAACTTCCTGAATATTTACGGCATGCTCGATGTCCAACTGAGCTATCCCATGGGCAGCCCGGCCCGGATCGCCATTCAGCGCGCGTACTCGGATGCTCAGGCGATGATGTTGACAGCCGGCACCGCCATATGGGTGCTTGGCGCTGTTGCGGTGGCTTTCTGGAGGAACACGGATATCAGGACTATTCAGCAGGTTAAGGGCAAAGTCATTTAATCAAGGTCTATATATAGAGTCGTCTATACTCACTGCGGTCATCCGTCGCTCGGGCCATGGCTAGAAGATAGCCCTCTCCGCATAGTTCCTTTTTTTCTGGACAAGACGCTTATACAAGGCATCGCGTCTTTTAAATAGTAAGATTTAATTCGAAGTAGTCATATTGTCCCCTAATTTGTACGTTCATAAAAAGGTAGCCTTGGGTTCTCATAATATGTAAGAATCCTTTATAGAAGCGTAGGATCGCAGCAGCATGGTCAAATAGTAGTGCTGATCTACAGCGGCAGCAGGATTCGCGAGCTCTTTGCGAAACTACGGACATTCCAAGCACAATGTCTCATTCCCCTGCGTCGGATGCTTGATCAGATTCAAGGGGGCAAATAGTATCACACCGTCATTTGAGCCAGTTTCCGTTCCAGCTTCTTCCAAGTGGAACCTTGGCGTCAGCTGGCACGGTGCTAGGTGCATGGCACTAGTGATTGAGCATGTTATTGCTGAAACTCCCTGTCTTCAGCTCTTCTTCGGGAACCTTGGTCAATTCACGCTCACTGTTGTTGAGTTGCAAGGTGATGGCATCGACAAGGCGGCAAAAGCTGGGCAGTGTTTGCCCGCCACTGGCACACAGGGCGGACGACCAGGCCTTTGATTTATCAGAGATTGTGCCCTTGAATGGCGCCGAACATGAGGATGTCTCAGATGGCTCGGTATCTGGAGAAGTGTCTAATACTCATGGGCCTCTTTCTCGCGCCGAACCAGGCGTTGACAGCACCGACGACGTCGCGCCATTATGGACAACCAGCACGTTGACCGTCGCCTACGCAGCTATTTGGCTGGTCTATCTCGTGGAGAGCATGTTGATGGGTACAATGGCCAGCCTGGCTCCCTTCATTACGTCTGACTTCTCCTCACACTCATTGACACCGACGGTCGGCATCTTGAGCAGCATCATCGGGGGTGTCGCCAATCTGACCCTGGCCAAAGTCCTCGATATCTTTGGTCGACCGATGGGCTTTGTCTATTGCATCATTCTTGCTATTCTAGGACTTCTTCTCATGACAGTCTGCAATGGCATTGAGGTCTATGCCGTCGCGCAGGTCTTCCAAAGCATCGGCAACAACGGAATTCTCTACAGCCTGGCTGTCTTTGTTGCGGATACTTCGTCCTTGCAAAACCGAGGTCTCATCCAGGCCGTTGTGAGCTCCCCCAATCTCGTCGCATGCTTGGCAGCCGGACCTCTTGCATCGTGGTTCTTGGGCGGTCCCGGATGGCGCTCGGCTTTTGGCATGTTCGCAGTTCTGGTTCTCATCGTCACGTCGCCGCTATTTGGTCTTATTTTGGTTAAGACAAGACAAGCTGAGAGGTCAGGGCTTGCGTCCAAGCCGGAACGGGACTCGGATAAGACTCGACTCGGTGTTCTTACTTACTACTGCCAACGGTTCGACATGATTGGCCTCGGCCTCCTCTCCTCTGGCGTGGCACTGATCCTGTTGCCTTTCAACCTGTATGCGCAAGCGGACTGGAATCACTCAGTGCTCGCCATCATGCTGGTTATAGGAGTTGTTTTGATTATTGGGCTTGTCTTCTGGGAGCGAAACTATGCGACCCTGACTTTCATGCCGTACACGGTTCTTCTGGATCGTACGGTCATTGGGGCTTGCATCTTGTCCGCGACCTTGTTCTTCAGCTTTTGGTGCTGGAATAGCTTCTTCAGCTCATACCTGCAGGTTGTGAACGGACTCAGTGTGGCTCAGTCCAGCTACGTTGTTCAAACATACACCGTCTGCTCAGTTCTGTGTGGCATCGCTGTGGGTGCTCTGATCCGCCAGACAGGCCGCTTCAAGCCCGTATGTCTGTATGTTGGCATGCCGCTCAGTATCATTGGAACTGGCTGCATGTCACTTCTGAGCAGTCTACAAGCTGGTTCTGCACCCATTGTGGTCTGTCAGATTGCACTCTCCGTCGCGGCTGGCGTCATTATGGTCTGTGATGAGATCGCCATGTTAGCCGCAGCGCCGCAACAGCACACTGCTGTCTGCTTGGCTGTTCTGGGGCTTTTTGGTAACATTGGAGCTGCGGTCGGGCTGACAGTGGCCTCCGCAATTTGGCAAAGTGTCTTTCCTGCAACACTAAGGGAGTCTCTGCCGTCTGAGGCGCTTCCTGATCTGGAGAAGATATACGCCAATCTTTCAACCCAGCTCTCTTATCCGATGGGCTCAGAGGTCCGGATTGGGATTCAAAATGCCTACGCCGTTTCGCAGATGAGGATGCTTTTGGTCGGCTCTGTAGCTTGGATAGTCGGCTCTGTTGGTGTCCTGATGTGGCGGAACATCAACGTGATCGAGGTGAAGCAAAAGAAAGCTGGGTATCGTTAGGGTATGTTTAGACCTGGTTCTGCAGCGCGGGCTTTGACGATAAATTTGAACTTGAAGAGATTTGCTTAAATCGCATATTCTTCACACACTGGGCGCCGTGACATGAAAACAGACTGATGGGCTGGCAAGCTATCAAATGAGAGTGCACGACAGACGCATTGCGTCAACGTCGGCAACGCTCAACGGTGAATATCAAAGGCCGCTATAAGAGAATGATTCAGATAACATCAGAAAGCGACAATTTTCATTCACTCGCCGCTACCATTTTCCTCCTGTACAAAGAGGCATACTGCTTATCGAAAGTGGGTACAGGGTAATCACCGTGACCCAGCGTATGCTGCCCCCCCGGCAAGACCTTGAATATCTTATGCGCTGTTTCCTCTGTATAGTCATCGAGGACAGCAGATATACGAGCAAGAAACCTTTGTGGATGCGCCAAAGCATATGTCGTAGCCAGTTCCTTCCACTCATTGAACGAGACGAGCTTGCTCTGGCCGTCCTTCGCCATCAACGTAAAGAATTCAGTACAGCTGACAGCCTGCGGATTCCGGAAATCATAGTCCTGGCCTTGCTTGGCCAAGTCTTCTGTCATAAGGTTGACAATGGTCTTGGACAAGTAGTCGACGGGAAGGACGGCAGACAAGTCTGCGTCCACGCGAGGCCACACTCCCACGGCTAGACAGCCGGAGATGAAGTTATGGAAAAAATCACCACGATCACGCCGAAAGTGACCAGTGGAAGCCGAAGCGGCCACATATGGCAGGCGATATACCGTTGCTTTGGCTCCACGCCATCGGGCAGCTGAGACTAGTCTCTCAGCAATATACTTTGAAGTCCCATAGCCGTACTCCTGGTCTTTCTCGGTCAAGTCGAAACCCATGTGTTTTGGCAGTGTCGATATGGTAGAGATCAGATGTACCGACTTGGGACAGCCGAGTGACGCCAGACGCAGGACTTCGTGGGCACTGATGATGTTTGGGCCTATGTAATCCTCCAAAGGCCGCATCCAGTCGACAAGACCGGCAGAATGGCAGATTGCATCGACTTTGCTGGACAGATCCAGAAATTCGTTCTCATCCAAGCCCAGCAATGGCTTTGAAATGTCGCCTGTCACTGGTTCGAGAAGCGACGTGAAAGCTGGATTCCACAGGTCGTAGCTTTCAAGTGCCTTGATCAGTCGAGACCGAGCCATGTCGACATCATTGGCTCTGGCGAGCGCATGGACACGGATGCCCTTTTGCAAGAGGTCGTGGAGGATGAAAGCCCCTACGAAGCCAGTACCACCGGTGAGAAACACGGCGCTAGGACGTTCCTCCAAGCGCTTCTCCGTGTTTTCGAACGTGATGGAGTTGTCCAGGCAGCCGTTGCAGATGGATTCCATGTCCAGTGACGCCGTGTCCTCTTTCACTGATGTTCCAGGCGTCTCGACGCCAAACGACTCCACCGACCCCGAAGCAGATATGCTTTGCAACTCCGAAAGTAGAAATCTGCTCAGGTCTAGCAAGTTTTTGTGATGAAACAGAATATTGACGGAAAGTCTCAAGCCCGTCATTGTCGCTAGATGGTTGCGTGTTTGTACTGCCGTCAGTGAGTCGATGCCGATTTCCTGCAGTGGGCGATTTACATCCACATTCTCGCTTCGGGTGAAGCCAAGAGCTCGTGCCGCCACGTCTCGAACAAGGCCCAGGATTATGTCAGGATGATGAGCGGGATCAGAACCACTGAGAACGTCCTGAAGGTTAGGCTTTGAAGTACCATGGTCGTTCCCTCGACCGAGGAGGTGACCGAGATACGGTGGCACTCTGCCTTGTGACTGAACATACTTTTGCAATCGATGTACATCCAGCGCAGCGCCAACCGTTAAAGACCTCCCGGACGTAATGGAATCTTCAATCAGAGAAAGACCCTCATTTGGCGTCAAGACATCGAGACCAAACTGGTCCAGATTGGCAAGAGTGTTCTCGCCGAGCCTCGACGCCATCCCTTCGCCGGCCCAGGTTCCAAAAGCGATAGATGTCGCTGGCAAGCCCTGAGCGCGGCGTGCGTGGCTCAGAGCATCCAGAAAGACATTGGAGGCAGCGTAGTTGGCGAGGCCCGGCATGCCCATGACCCCTGAGATGGATGAGAAAAGGAAGAAGACATCAAGGTCGAGATGCTTGGTCGCTTCATGTAGCATCCAACCGCCCACAGCCTTGGGGAGGAGGGTAGTCATGAACCTGTCTGGGGTCATATTTGAGAGAACCCCCGAATCCGAGACACCAGCCGCATGGAACACGCCTCGCAATGGACGGTCGTCATTGAACGTGGCTATAATATCTTTCAGGGTGGGAGGATTAGAGACATCACCGGCTGCAACCGTAACTAGAGCTCCAAGTGCGGTGAGCTGCGCCACGAAGTCTGCTGATCCAGGGTTTTGAAGTCCCTTGCGCGAAACGAGGACGAGATCACGGACGTTGTGGCGCGTCACAAGCCATCTACTCACACGCCTTCCGAGATCACCGAGGCCTCCCGTGATAATGACAGCTCCGTCTTGGCGGATCATCTCAGGTTTTGGTAGAGACTTTGGAATTGGCGTGACTCTTTTCATGCGTGGCACGAGTACTAAGCCCTCGCGCACGACACACTCTGGCTCGTGAACGTGGGACAATATTGCCGCAAGGACATCGCCACCAGGGGGCTCGGTGAGATCAATCAACCGTAGGCTCAACTCTGGATGCTCGTTGCTGACCGTTCGTATCAGCCCCGCGAGTGGTGCGGCAACTACATTCATGCCCTCGTCGTAGCTCCTGACACCAGTTCCGACAGAGTGGTTAGTAATCCACACAATGGGAGAGAGCGAGAAGGTTGAAGAAGCGGCTTCTTGTAGTATCTGTAGGCCCTCTGCAACGAGGTCTCTCAAATTCGAACAATCCGCATCAATCGAGGTCGTATCGAATATCATAACCAGACCAGAGAGACCCTCCGCATCTCGTGTGCTCTGAACAGGAACAAGGTGTATTCCGGTGGCGCGTAGAGACTTGACAACATGGCTTGCCCAGCTAGTTACTGTGCTGGTGGGTAACAAGCCCCATCCTCCAGAAGGTCGCGCCTTTGCCACGACCAACGGTTGCCATACCATCTCGTATTGCAGATGATCTATGGATTGATGATCGCCTGTCAACGTGTCCTCCTTATCCATTGCGACTTCAGGCCTGGCCAAGAACGTCCGATCGAATGCGTATGTCGGGAGCTCAACACGTCGACAGTGGTACGGGCTGAAGTAGTTGCGCCAATTGACTTTGACGCCACGCTCATGTAAAGCAGATGCGCTTCGCGAGAGGATATTCGTGGGATCTTTACCACGGTCAAGAGACGGCAACCAGGCCACAGGTGCATTGCCGTCTGGAAGACAAGCAGCTCCGAGCGCACTCAAAATTGGACGAGGCCCAATTTCAAGGAAATTGCTGATTCCTTCGTCTATGAGGGCCGTGATGCCTTTGGAGAAGCGAACCGGCTCGCGGACCTGACGAACCCAGTAGTCTACTTGCAGTAGTTGGTCCGGTTCGACGTGTCCACCCGCAACACTACTCACAAAGTTGACTTTGGGAGCTCGCAAGTGGATACTTTCAATGATAGCTTGATAGTCGTCGAGTATAGCATCCATGTGTCTCGAGTGGAACGCATGTCCTTGTGTCAAAGTCTTGATCTTGTAGCCTTGCGTTGCGAAATGGCTCGCTATAATATTGGCCGCTTCAACGTTGCCTGAGATGACAGTTTGCGTTGGTGAGTTATAAAGAGCAATTCCCACTTTATCTCCGAGACTCAGAGACGAGATAGCATTTTCAACCTCTGGTGCAGAAGCACTCAAGGACATCATGCTCAAAGCATCGCTTTCAAGGCTCTGCATTAAGCTTCCACGCGCGGCCACAAGCCGACACGAGTCTGGCAGATCCATGATGCCGGCGATGTGAGCGGCTGTAATCTCACCAAGACTATGCCCAAGGACGACGTCAGGCACCACGCCCCAATCCTGCCAAAGTCGGCGAAGGGCTACCTGCAAAGTGAAAAGAGCCGTCTGTGCGTAGTCTGTCCGATCAAGAAGGGAGGCTGTAGCTGTCCCTGGCTCAGACCACATCACGTCCAGCAATGGTGGATCAAGCGCGTTGAAGTAGGTAGCAACTTCTGTGATGGCATCTCGAAAGACGGGGTACGTCTCATACATGTCCTTCCCCATGCCTGGCCATTGGCTGCCTTGCCCAGTGAACAGCATTGCTAATTTGGGTGGCTTTGATAGTTTTGTAGAGGGACAGACTTGGCTCTCCAACGCGAGCAGCTTTTCTGACAGCTCTTCTCTGCTCTCAGCCACTACAAACGTGTTCAACTTGAATTGAACTCGACTTGTGGCAAGAGAATATGCAATATCAAAGAGAGAGTCGTTGTTGTTGAGTCCACTGGTAATGGATTGGCGAAGTTTCCCGGCTTGCGTCCTCAGAGACACTTCTGTGTCTGCGGAAAGAAGGAAAGGCATAGTACGGGCTGTTGGTCTACTATCTGTAGGGGCTGAGCGAAACTTGAGCGGCTCTTCTAGTATAGCATGGGCATTGGTTCCACCAATACCGAAAGCGCTCACTCCCGCACGTCGAGGCCTTTGAGTCGAGATCCACGGCCGTTTCGCAGTAAGGGGAAACATATTCGCACCACGCCAGTCCACTGCTGGGGCTGGCTCAGTGATGTGTAAACTCTGTGGTAAACTGCCGTTTTGCATGGACAACACCACCTTCAGGAGGCCAACCATGCCAGCAGCAGCTTGTGTATGACCGATGTTGGACTTGGCAGATCCTACAAACAACGTGTCTCCAGTCTTGCGATCGGGACCAAACACCTCGGCAATGGCAGTCGCCTCGATTGGATCACCGAGTTTAGTACCAGTGCCATGTGCCTCGACAAAGTCAATATCGAATGGCTGCAGACCAGCGTCTTTCAAAGCCGCACGTATCAACCGTTTCTGCGCCGATCCGCTGGGTGTGGCCAAGGTCGCGCTCCGGCCATCATGGTTGACGGCCGTGCCACGAATAACAGCATGGATCTTATCGCCGTCACGTTGTGCATCAGAAAGCCGTTTCAAGACAACTGCCGCGGAGCCTTCCGACCAGCCAGTACCTTGCGTGTCCGCGGAAAACGACCGGCAGCGGCCATCGGGGGACATGCCGCCAAGAACACTGAATTCCGCGTGGAGTCCAGGGTTGAGCATCAGACTCACCCCCCCAGAGATGGCCATGTCGCAATCTCCCTGCTGAAGAGCCCGGCAGGCGAGATGGGTTGTGACGAGAGACGAGGAGCACGCAGTGTCAACGGTCATTGTGGGGCCCTCGAGTCCGAAATGATACGAAATGCGACCTGACATTGTACCGGCAGCGGATCCTGTTGCGTGATAGCCGTCGAGCTGTGATGTAGTTCGAACAGTACCTGGATTCAGGGGAACGTGCGCAAGGACATTGCTTGTGCCAATGTAGGCGCCTGTTCGACTGCCCAGAAGCTGCTCTGGAGTGTATCCAGCCCTTTCAAAAGCTTCCCAGGCCATTTCAAGCATCAAGTACTGTGCAGGATCTAGCCTGCGTGCCTCACGCGGGGAGATTCCAAAGAAGCTGGCATCGTATGCGTGGATGGACGATATAAAACCCCCGCGACGACAATATGTCGCTTCCAGATCGTCTTTCCAGCGCCCTTGTGGTACCTGTGTTATGGCATCTATACCATGGTCTAGTAGTGTCCAAAACTCGTCTGGAGTGTTGACGCCCCCTGGCAGGCGACATGCCATGGAGACAATCGCAATCTTCTCGTTGTTGGGGCGATACTGCGTGCCCTCACCAAGGCTCGGGCCATTCTTCTCAATGGTAGTGTCGGTCAAGTAGTTTGTCAGGCTCTTGATGGTATAGTGCTCGAATAGCTTGGGTATAGGAACAAGTCGACAGAGGAGAGCTTCCAGCTTGCCTTGAGCGCGCACCAAACGCAAAGAATCCCCTCCAATCTCGAAAAAGTTATCATGAACGCCAAATTGATCATGTCCGAGGACTTGTGACCAGATTGTTCGTATTCGATGCTCCAATGGCTCAACTTCCAGTGGCACGACCCTCGTCGATGTGGTAGTAACAGGATCTGGCAGGGCTCTGCGGTCGATCTTCCCATTGATTGTCACCGGGAAGGACTGCAACTCGACGAAAAACGTAGGGATCATGTAGCTAGGCAGATATTTTTTTAGCCACGGCCGTAAAACGCGGTCCAGCCCATTTCCCGCGGAGTGCTTTCGCATGTAATATGCCACCAGTCTTTCGTCTCGGACAGTCACAACCGTCGCGGACACCTGATCGTGTCGATTTATGGCTGCCTCCACATCTCCAAGCTCGATTCGGTGGCCCCGAATTTTCACTTGCCCGTCTATTCGTCCCAAGACGCACAGTGTGTCTGGTGATATCATCCGCGCTTGGTCACCGGTCCGATACATCTGCCCTGTATGAAAAGGGTTCTTCAGGAAGCGGGACGCACTTAGATCGGCTCTTTTCCGGTACCCTTTGGCTACACCGATGCCGGCGATAAAGAGCTCACCGAGACTGCCTGTGGGCACAGGACTCATATTTTCGTCGAGGATGTGAAGCCGACAGTTGGTGATTGGATTTCCCACAGCAATGTGATGACCTCTCGTGACTCTCCAGATGCAAGCGTAGACAGTAGCCTCGGTCGGCCCATACATATTCCACATGCGGTCGCAGCAGGCTGACAGCCGATCAGCCAATGTCCGCGAGAGAGACTCGCCACCGCAAAGTATCTTTTCAAGACGGGGTTCGCCAGTCCATCCGGAATCAAGAAGCATTTGCCAGATAGCGGGCGTGCCCTGCACTATGTTGACATTGTGTTTCACTATTAACTCGATGATTGCCCTTGGATCTGTTTGATGGTGTCTTTGGGCGAGGACTACGGTGCCACCGCATATGAGGGGAAGAAATAGCTCGAGAACGGCCATGTCGAAGGAGACCGTGGTGAGTGCCAACATGCGATCCCTTGCGCTGCACCCAGGCTCGCGCTTCATAGAAAGTAGCAAGCTGGCCACGCTCTCGTGCGTTACCTCGACGCCTTTTGGTCTGCCTGCGGAACCGGACGTGTACATTATGTAGACGAGGTCGTACGGGCGGACATCCAAGTCAAGGTTGTGCCCCCCTTGACTTAAAGTGGCGAGATGTGTAGCAGTTATGCAGACAGCGTCTTGAATGTCTGGTAACTGGTGGCTCTCATCCTCGGTGATGACCAGCTTTGGACACGCGTCCTCAATCATCATCTTGACGCGCTCTGTCGGTAGAGCGGGGTCAATGGGTACATAGGTGGCGCCCGTCTTCATGACAGCCAACAGCATGGCCACGAGATTGATGGACCGATCGAGAGAAACCGCGACGACATCTTCTCTCTGCAAACCATGTTGAAGAAGACTTCGGGCAAACTGGTTAGCCCTTTGATTCAAAACGAAGAATGTCGCTTCGTCGTCTCCGCAGATGAGGGCAGTCTTGCGTCCATGACATTCGACTACCCGTTCAAAGAGTGCATGGGTACATTGTCCCAGAGTTGTTGGATCGGATGTGTCGTTGAAGCTTTGCACTCTGGTCGCGGAGTCTTCCTCAAAAGAGCCGTAGGGTTCATTGACCTGTGTCATTCTTCTGAAGAGGTTATGCCAAGAGCTTGGCAGACCACAGGAGGGTATTGGTAGATACAGAGATTCAAGTTGGACTGATTTTATACAGCCAAATCGACGCCTACGAACCCGGGAGGCGGGATGTACTCAAAGCTGGAGCCGTCTCAAGCGATTCTGATCGTCGAAAGAGCTTCCCGAACAGCAATGATTGCTCCCTCTCTACTTTTGCGGCGTGTTCTGTCCGTATGTGCATGTATAAGCCGGGTCATCAACTGACATCCTGCACGGACGGCATGCCTGCGAGAATCAACGGAGGTGACACTCGCTTCTCACACACCTACCCAGTTTAGGACAGGGTCCGCAACCAAGTTTTTGTGAAATGTCTAGACGCCCCCGCCGCGGGGTCTCTTGGGTGCGTTTTGGTAGTTCGAGATTTCCCTTGAGGCTGATGGGGGGCGAGTGTCACATGCTTGATCTGTCTGAGTAGACGCATGTGTCTGACCCCTGGCAGTGAAGCTACATGTAATTGGGCCGAATGAAGCATAAAATAGACGGCCCTTTTCCTCCCCTTCCTCAACGGGTGAATACTTTCATACGAGATACCGAGACAACAGCCTGGCTGGCGTGTACGTTCACCCTCGAGGCCAACTTCAACCCCACCAGTGTTCCGCTGCTTCGAACATCACCATGGTTGTTGTAGCTGTCGCGGGCGGTACAGGAGATCTGGGCCGTGTCCTCGCCCAGGCTGTAATTGATACTGGCAGACATGAGGTGTACATTCTATCGCGCAAGGTACGCACCAAGTCGGCTCCATCTCCCAATGACCAGTCGACATGCTGACTTGCTCACACAAACAGCCCCCTGTCGACCAGGATGATCAAATCATCCAGACAAACTACACGGAGGAGTCAGTGGTCCACATTCTGTCGGAGAAGAGCGTCGAAGTGGTCATCTGCGCGCTGATCATGGACAGCGACTCTGCTTGCGAGGCCCAGTTGCGTTTGATACGCGCCGCTGATCAGTGCCCATCTGTCAAACGCTTCATCCCCTCCGAATTCAACGTGGAATACGACGTCGGTGATGAATTCCTGCCGTATCCAGAGAAGAGATTCCATCAGATCGCGCGGCGGGCGCTTGAGCGGACCAAGTCGGTCGAGTATGCCTACTTCTACCCTGGCATGTTCATGGACTACTTTGGGATGCCGCGCGTCTCAACTTGTCTCCGCCCCCTGTATTTCTTCATTGACCCTGTACACGGTCGAGCAATCCTTCCGGGGGACGGTGAGGGGAAGATGAGCATGACTCTTACGACGGATGCGGCAAGATACCTCGCCCTGGCCCTGGACCTGCCCAAGTGGCCACGCGTGCTGAAGGCTGTGGCGAGTACAGTCTCACTCAATGAGCTCGTCACGCTCGTCGGCAAGAGTCAAGATCGTCCTCTGCAGGTCACGTTCCAGCCTGTGGAAGACCTTCTCCGCCACGACAGCATACCTCTACTCTCAAACATGCATCTCGCAAAGGACTATCCTGACCGATTCCCGGGGGGCGTGGAGCAAGTGCGCACCTTAGTCGCCGATCTGGAGGCAGGGGTGGCATTGGGCGCTTATGACTTGAGCGAGGTTCAGGGTGAGCACCTCGACCTGGTCGAGTCGTTCAAGGGTCTGGATCCACCTCCGCAACAGATTGCGGACTTTCTTGAGAGAACGTGGGGATTTTAGGGCCTTGTGGTTCACTACAATCCCTGCTTTCGATAGTACATGCAGGTAATCTGCAGTCAATATATGCAGGGACAAGGTTAGCGCTGACAAGTTGAGGACATGGATGCAGAGGTTGAAGGATTCAAAGGGGCCCCTGTTTGGCAGCCGGGCTATTGGGTATTTGGCCTATTGATCCCCATGTCCATATCTCCAACAGTGATCGGCGCGAGGATTGCCTGTTTACCCAACAATTTATGATTGCCTCCTTTGCGTTCCATTCATGTTGGTACCAGTCTCTGATGTACATCTGCACACGCAGCTGGCTCGACGTTTTCTACAGGTGTGACTCTCACGGCCATCAGTTGTGTTGGACTTGTGGACTACATATGACCATGGCAAATTCCAAGTCCTCATGGATCGTAGTACACCAATTGCTTACCTCCAGAAACTGCATGCTGTCTGAATTCAAGTCATCGCCTCGTATCAGTGCGCAACCATGTCCCGTCCAACTATACAGCACGTGGAAGCCACCCATGGAAGAGACGTCGTTCTCCAAGCGCTGAATGAAGATGGCGCCGTGATCATCAAGAACCTGGTGAGCGCTGAGCAGGTTGCGCTCCTCAACGAAGACATCCAGCCTGCCATGGACGCCCTTGATTCAGGCTCTAAGCACAACAGTGATTGGTTGCGCGACTTTCATGGCTCTCACACAAAGCGCCTGCTGAATCTTGTAACACTGAGCGAAACGTTTCGCGAGGAGTTCCTGGAGAACGAGCTTCTGCACCAGTTGTGCGAATCCATCTTCCTCGAGGATGCTGGAGGATACTGGATGAACACGGCGCAAGTCATCGACCTCGGTCCTGGAAGCAAGGCCCAACCTCTACACCGCGATCAATGGCAATTTCCCATCTTCACATTTTGCGGCCCGGACGCTCCTCAGGCCAGCATCAACTTTATTGTCGCATTGTCCAAGTTCACAGACAAGAATGGGGCGACGAGGGTGATTCCAGGGAGTCACAAGTGGCCTAATCTCATGGAAAACGGTCTGCCGGAGGATTCCATCCCCGCCGAGATGGAACCTGGTGACGCCTGTTTCATTACAGGCAAGGTGGTGCATGGAGGCGGGGCGAATACGACGGCTGACTCCATCCGCCGCGGTATTGCCATTGTCTTCCAGTGCTCTTATCTGACACCCGAGGAGGCCCATCCTTTCCTGGTGACCAAGGAGGTCGCGAGGACGTTGACCCCGCGTGGACAACGCATGATAGGATTCAGATCCCAGTTGCTGAAAGATAGTCCTGGGGTCTGGAAGCGGGACTATGGGGAGGATGAGGAGGCGCATTGCTAGGGGTGTATGCCGACATGGGCTATCGCCATTTGCCACTGCGAACTGCATCAATATCGGTTGCCAAGATTAGTAGTGAGGAAGCTCGTGGGCGGGTTTGCGGTTAAATTCAAGGGTTCTAGACTAGCACGTCCTGGGGTACGGTACCCAGGTATTTATAATCCCCAGCTATCAGTCTATCACCCTTGACTGTTGAATTTGGAAAGACTCGCCGTCCGCGCGCGTAACAAGCAGGCTTTGATCGCCTAAACGAGATTACAGGAGCTCTCATTCCTGCTGCTCTGCGCAAGTACACTCCGCAGAGGATGCAGCACAGTTTCCCCCAATAGATCAATGATTGTTTCAGTAGGAAAAGGCTGTATTCATCTTTACACCCCCTCTCTCTGCGCATTTGACCGCGGCTTGGGCCGCTGGGCATTGCTTGAACCCTTAGTACATGATTTGGAAGGTCGTGTCTCCTCCCCTCCTTGCATCGGCTGACATTGCTTGAGGACTTGAACACATCTCTTGCACGCACCTAGACCTCAAGGGCGGTTTTGTTGTCAGCTCGCAAAAGCCCAGGTGATATTTGCTGTATTAACTTTACTTCCTCTGAAACTGCGTAGCGCAATGACAGAGCCCCCTCCAGGATGTCCTCCTTCGTGGATTAAAGAAGGCGAAAACACATATCGTCAATCATACGGCTTCCAGGAGGCCCTCTACAATGCCATCTCAGCGCCCCCAGGTTCCCCAGCCCTTTTTCTCATCGCCAGCTGGGTCACCTTCAAGCACACTCCGGGGAAGAACGCGGGCCCTGACTTGATCTCTCAACTCCGCCGCGCCTGGCTGCAGATGCGCTGCAAATACCCTGGTCTGGCCGCCGAGAATCTGTCAGATGGAAAGTTCTATCAGTCCCCATTGACTCCTGATGAGCAGCAGCATTGGCTGGACACTACATTTCTCGTGTTGCCTGGGAGAACAACGACAGAGCACTGGACAGACATGGTCAAACCAAGGCAGATGACTCTCAACTACATGCCTGAAGAGAAGCAGCTGTTTCTGCAGGGAGAGCACCATACTCTGGACGGAAGAGGCATTATGAACTTTTGGGATCGGTTCTTCAAATTCCTCGCGTCGCCCGTACAGGTGGATCTGCCTACAATCGACGGCTCTGAGATAGCGCGTCTTCCATTCCGGTCAGACGACCTGTTGGACGTGGCGGAATCCCGCCCAGGAAGGGGTGAACAGCGTGCCCAGGAGATCCTCGCGCCGCTCGCGGACATCGAAAGACCAATCTGCGTACCCGTGGCGCAGCCTCTTCTGCCTCATTGCCTACGCAACTCAGCGGAGCGTCTCAAGGTCAGCGCCACCCTATCGAAAGCCATCATCGACGCATGCAAGACCCAAAACCTGAGTGTCACGGCGAGCTGGCACGCAGCTGTCATCCACGCCACGCAGATTGTGCAGCGACAGCGCAACGCTGGAACCGACAGGTTGAATGGGACAAAGTTTGCCACCTTTGGCAACTTTGACCTCCGTCGGTATTTTCCGTCCACGAGCGACTCTGAGGCTTACTCGGTCGGGAACCATCATTGTGTTCTCCCTTGCGTAGTGGAGCCTGATGGCAAGACATTCTCGCAGATCGTCAAAGAGGTGTCTCGATTCTATCAGCAAGATGTGCCCCGGGAGGATCCCGAGGTCTGGAGTGCCATGGGACCCATGGTGCGCACCTTGCTCCCAGAGTTCGTTCAGAGGCAACTGCAGGAGACAACCCCAGCGGTATCGAGCCTCGGGGCTGCCGACAGCTTCATCAGCTTGTCCTACGGCCACTCGGCCAAGCATGGCTCGTGGACAATCCGAGACGTTTGGTTCGGTGATACTGTTACTGGACCGTGGCTGGAGTGTTTCCTGTGGTCTTGGCAGGGCCGTATTTGTCTCAACACGTGCTATAATTCGGCGTATTATGGCTACACCGAGGTAGACGACTTCAATCAGCTGGTGCTGGAGGAAATGATGAGAGGATTGGGGGTGCGACTTCAGGGTTATATCGGGAAGCTTTAGGTCCAACAGTATGAATATGTTGATTAAGGGACGCCTATAATACTCATTAAGAAACACTCTATCCTTCCAAAAATAACATGGGTTTCATCTAGGGGCAACCGCCCCAGTTGTGCACGACCGCCGTCAACTTTCTCACCTGAAAGGGTTCGTTGACGGCTTCCTCTCCTGTGTTCCCGTCTGCGCTGGCGGCGGCCCTGGCGGTGGAGCTATAGACGACGAAGCCTCCTCGTACGCCGGCGGCAGATCTCCCACATGGGTGTTAGCCCCTTGCTCGCCCGCATACCTTTCAAACGCTCTCCCCCTCTCTTCCTGGAGTTCCTTTCTCGCCTGCTCCAATTCCGTCTCTCTGCTCTTCAACTGCCCCTGGATGCTTCTTCGCCTCCCCTCTGCCGCCTGCAACTGCTCTTGCAGCGCCACCGCGAACCGTTGCACCTCAGCCCTTCCGCGCTTGATTTCGTCGTGAAAGGCCATATCAGTGAAGATGTTGTCAAAGAATACATCTGTCATGATGTTTCCGTGGTTAATGTTGATCGGCGGCATGGGTCCAACGAGGGGCGACGCCTGGCGTGCGTGCTGAATCTGCATCCGCGCGCGCTGGATCATACCCTCCGCCTGGGCGAGCTGGTGCCGTTCCATCATGTCGTGCATCGCCCCGCCGCCAAACATGTCAACCCGGGAGTGCTGCAGTGCCGCCTCTATGTGCCTGAGCGCGCCCATGATCAATGGCACCGCCTCGTTGAGCATACGCACGACGTGCGTCTCGGCCTCAAACTTGGTCCGCGCCTCATGATACGCCTGTATCTTCTGGTCGCTCTGCCTCTCCTTCTTGTCCTCCTCAGGAAACTGCGGAGTCGGCCCGCTGAAGATGGCGTGGTACAGCCGGTCGAGCTCCTGCTGCGCGGCGTCGTGTCGCCTTGCCACCTGCTCTAGCTCGCGCTTCACCTTATTCGCCGCATCGAGCTGCTCGGTCAAGTTTGCCTTTAGCTGGTTGGCTTGGTGCTCTTCCTGCAGGACCTCAAAGTACTCGCGCTCCTCCTTCTCCGCCGCTGCGTCGAACTTGTCCTTCTTGCCCGTAGCCTTGTAGACGAAGCGGCGGATGTTGCTGTCGCGGTACTTTTCGTGGTCTTTGAGTTCCTTGGCACGCTTCTGCTCGAGCTGTTTGAGCTTCTTGTCAATGTTGGCGACATCCTTCTCGAGGTCCTGGACGTAGCGAATTTGCTCTTGGAGGCTGGGTTTGGCGTGGTCCGTTTCTTTGAGGACCTGAAGGAGTTGCGTGTTGCGTGACGCAGCTTCGCGAATTTGCGCTTCAAAATCGGACATTGTGACTTATGTGATGCGCGTTGGAAGAAATCTTGAAGAGTGGTGTTCGTAGGAATGTGGGCGTGTTGTTGGATGTTGGTAAAGCTGTCGGGTGTATGACGTATGTGTGTGGGATTGTTTGGGTAGGTACTAAACTAGTACGCGGGGAGCCAGGCAGCGAAAGGACGGATCCGGGCCCTTTAGATTACTTATTTAGTGAGAAGAGATGAGCTCGAGCACTCATCTATGCATTTCGTCATGATTATCATGTAGTCTCAGGATTGTTGGAACTAATTACCTGTAGACTAAAGTGCCACGTGAGGCAACTTGGTGTGATTAGAGTTTAACCCCACGCTAGAAGCCTATCAATCGTGGCTGTGACTCGAACTGCGCCGCAGTCTGTGGAGCTACCCTAGACCTCGGCCATGATAAGACTCAGGGGGTGGCACTACAATGCTCAGGTGAGCAATACAAGGAAATGAAGTCTCGCGACGCGGATCAATGGACGATCTGAAGTGCTGCTTAATACTGTGAACATTAGAATTACATAGTACCTTCCTTACGTGTAGTCCGATTAGCGTCTGCCTTCAATTGATTGATTTCCTCAAATAGTTCGCGAACATGGAAAACATTCTGGGGGACACCACTGTGTGCATTTGCGTGCGGGATTGAAGAGTTGAAGGATGTGCCCTCTAAGCTATGCGAGAGTAAGAGCTAGACTAGTAATACTATCTAACCTCCCTCGCTCTGCTCCTCCTTCTTCGCAGCAAGGATTAGGTTCAAAATCTGCTTTCGCTCTTCTGCACTGACGTCCGAGTATTGTTCCTGAACCAAGGTCCGGACGGTGGATATGTCAATGTCCTTGGCCCGGACCGACGAAACTACCACTGCCACGGCGACGACGTCCTTCGTGATGTCCATCAGCTGCTTGGAAGAATACTTCCAGGCAAACATCCTTATATCGACTCGCTGAATACCGCCAAGATCTCCCGTCGTGATAGCACTTTTGACAGTAGTGTTAGCAAATCTATGAAGCCATCACAGCAAGAAACCCTGACAGCGCTCGTTAGGACTCACTAGGTGTCTCTGAGTGCTTTGTTTCCTTCGTAGGATCCGACAAGTGCCTTGATGCCACTGCTAACGACAGTTTCCAATCCAGCAGCCAAAGCGCCCTTGGCAAACTGGCCAAAAGAAGTCCCGATCTCCTTGCCAATGTCGTATGGCTTGGAAGAGATGGAACAGCGCACAATGGAGTCTTGGTGTATGATCATGTCAATAGGAAGGCGTTTGTCGTTGGCGGCCGAGTTTCTGCGCCAGGTGGACGCTAACATTAGTACTTCTCAAGCGTGGCGGACAGGAGAGAGGAAATGAAGGATGACACACGTGATAAACTGCTGAAAGTAGTCGATTTGCTGCTGTCCCATCTCCTGCATTTGCGTCAGGGCATCGCTGGCGAGCTTCTGCTTCTCCTCGTCGTGATCGACGCTGTCGATTAGGCCCGAGATCATTTGACCCATTGTGAAAGCTTGAAAAGGAGGTATGAGCCTAGACTGCTATTGGTATATCGTGTTCTCGAGATGAGAGTCATGACGGCTGCTGAAAAAGTACTTCTATGGTGTCTTTTATAAAAGTCTTCCGGTGGGCACAGGGAGGTTTCTTTCTCGCGTAGAGTCGGTTAGGCTTCCGTCAACTCCGCCTAGAAGCAACGTCACTTCAACCTACGGTCGGCCGCTCACGGCAACCGTACATGTATGTTGTACCCGTGTCTCAGTTGTCATCGAGTGCGTATATCAGGCTTCATTAACTATCACCCAATCCTTTGCAATCTCTTGGGGCATTGTATTGAGAATCTGACGGCAGACATGCAACCTGACCTTGAACTCCAAGCTTAAGAGTGATCACATCCAATGAATCGAATTTCTTGCCCCCGGTCCCCAACATGATGACGACGGCGACGACTATGATGCAGTATCACTTTGTGCAGTTGATGTCATTCATCACAAATCATGTCTCAAATACATGGAACTTGTATCATTCACATAGCCTGCAATGGTGGTTATTTCTTTACTCGATTGGTATCATTGGCATGGTCTGTCCTTGCTGCCTACAACGATGCCCGTCATTGCATGCATGCAGATGATAAGCTAGCGCTGTCTACCGTTAGCTGAGTCCCCAGTCCCGACGCGGCCCGTGCCTTAAGACAAGTGGCTTCACCTCCCTCGCCACTCGGATCGGCAACGCCTTCATTGAGGTCAGTGATGCCGACCCCGAGAATGACTACCTGAACGACCTTGGCCGATGGGTCCGCGGTGAACCGTCGGCCGCTGCACAATATCTGTCCCGACTCATTCGGTCGGGTCTTGTTGCCTACACCAATGATCCCCCCCTGTACATCCTAGCGGGCAAGTCCACGCGACAGTTCTCGGTGGATGTCGACGCATACTGGGCCTTTCTGGGCGCCTTGGAGATGACGACGGTCGTCCCTTGGTACAACGATGTCGACCTCGATCGAGTCAGGGACTACTTCTTCTCTCATCTGCTCAAGAGGCACCAATGGTGTCTTATCCTGACCCCCTATGTGGCCGACAACGCAGGACCCATGGATCTCAGATGGTCCCAGAAGTTCTCCGACAGATTCTACTTGCCCCTGGGGGTCTTGTTCGACGTGCACTGGAAGCAAGGTCTTCCTCATTTGCCATGGGCATCAGCTGAGATGGAGGGCGGATTGGACACCATCCACTTGACAGCGGAAACGGGATTGCCTTTCAGTTTTGTTCGGGTGACGAAGAGCGAGGCTGGCTTCTGGAGGCGCTTTGAGCAAGAGGAGTTCGATCCCAAGGGGGGCGCCGTCATCGTCACGCCAGTCACCAAGATGGCCGAGGCCCCCAATCTGTTCTTGCCCATAGCTGATCTGGGGAAAAGGCTCGATATTCCCGGCATGCGGTGTATTGAAATTGAGCCTGCGGACCCGAGGACGCCCCAGGCCAGGGAGCATCCTGGACGCGTGGGCAAGTTCAAAGGCGTCACTGATCTCTGGGCCACACCGAGCGCGCTGGAGGAGGTGCATTTCACAAAGTATTCGCTGTACGCTAGATTGGGTTGAATGTTCCGCAGCCGAGAGAATCTTTTTCATAGGAACAAAGTTGAATTCGAAGAAGTGATTCTGTGAGAACTTAACAGAGGCAAAAAGATCTTCAAAAACATACAACAGCCGGGATTCGCTGGTCGTCTCCGACCCAACTACTGATCGGCCCCTTAGTGGCTTGACGCTTGGAGAGCAGACGGGATCCCGTATTTTCCACTAGGTATGGTCGTATGTGGTGATTGTAGTCGCGACTAGACATCATAAACGTCCTGTTCACCCTATAATAGGAGGAAAAGTACATACAACAACCGGTATTCGCTGGTGGTCACCACCCTAACTACTAATCACTCAACACCCAGCTCTCCACAGGGGCCCCCGACGGACGGTGGGGTCACTCGGGTGAGGGGGCGGTGTTGCGGCTCCAACCCGGACAGGCCGGACGCCGTCTCGGTCTCCGCTAAAACGGCCGTCCGGACTCCGGATCTCCAAGGAGGGGCCGACCGCCCCCGGGAGTACCTTCACCCCTCCCCCTCCAAGAGCCCGCCTTGCCGCCGTTGCCTCGTTTCCCAAAAACGAAAGCTACATAATTAATTCTGACTCCAAACTCTAGAGGCCGAGATATTGAGACGTTGACCGTGAGCCCCCGCTTATCTGCCTAGGTAGCTTTTTGCTGCCACCAACCCGTGCCTGGATCTATGCTTCAGGAGAAGACGAATAAGCTACGAGATGGGGTTTGGGGGGGTGTAGCTAGATTACGGCGCCTGAATCGTATCTGAACCTCCGCTCATACTTTCTGGATTGGCGGCGCGCTCACGTTTTAACGCGGAGAACCTATCGGTGGGCATTCGACGAGGATAAGACCTTACAAAGCGGCGGTGCCTCGTTTCCTTGCGCTATTAGACGCGTAAATCGACGAAAATACGTCCCGTCCTCGGGAAACACGAGACAGAGAAGGTGGTTACCGTCAATTATGCGATCATACTCGAAGATGCCTGGTCCACTTTGGTTCAAGTTGCCGATGTTAAGGTCACCAAGCCCTGTAACAGCCAATGTCCGCATAGGGCGAGCAGCTCACCAAGTCAACATAAGCCACGACACGGTGCGAAATCACTTTATTAACGCACCGAAAAGTACGCAGGGCTCACTTATCTTAAAGTCGCCTTCACGAGATGCCACGTCGTCCCACATGCCGCGAACTGATTAGGGGCGACTGGCAGCATAATCAGCAGCTCTTCGTTATGTCCTGACATCTACCCGAGGTAGCTACAGTAGCCTTGCTAGCCCATCATTTCATATTGCGGCCTCCTCGAGCCCTCTAACTCGCTCGGCGGTACCGCACTCCCGCTTCTCAATCCCTCTTCGCCGTAGTGCTCCTGAATTTGATATTCAGGCTGTTTGTAGCCCGCTGGCTCGGTATACAGCTCCTGCCTCTCCCCTGGGCCGGACGGTCCACGATCACCGCCGGCCCTTTTCCTTCTCACCATCCAGAAGCCCCCTGCCAGCGCAGCCAGACCGATTACACCAAGCGATACGCCAACACCGATACCGGCCTTGGCGCCGGTGCTGAGACCAGAACTGGAGTTGTCAGTGTCGGAGGAGGCAGCAGGGGCAGCGGTAGTTGTTTCCGTGGAGGTTGGCTCGGACGATGTCGTGGAATCGGGTGTTGAGGATGTCGTGACGGAGGTGGTGGGCTCCTCAAGGCCGTATGTTGTTTTCGCTGGCTTCTCTGCAAGCCCGAACAAGGAGCTGTTGAATTCGTAGTCTGCCATGTTGAACCAGCAATTGGACGAATAGAACTCAAAGTCGATGCGGATTGGGTACTTTTTGTTTGCGCAGGAAACATCCTTATACTCAGCCACTGCAGCGACACATCATCAGTCCACGTTGGCCCGAGGAACGGGGCAAGAATGCCACAGAGAAAGAAAGGGTAACTAACACTATGTTATAATGCCCTTGTTATCTCTGCAAAATACCCTCAGCGTGATCGAGTCCTTGGGGCACTCGAAGCGGACAGTGACCTCGTCGTTCTCGTAGAACTCGGGGCGACCGTCCTTGCTGCTGGGGTAGGTGAAAACGGGCTCAACATCGTCCTGCGCCAAGGCTGGTTGGAGGAGCTGTGACAATAGGGCGACTGCTGCGACGACACGCGCGATGAAGGCCATCTTGGTTACGGCGCAAATACTCGTACTGAAGGATCACGGCTCGTCACGTTGTAGGCGCAAGCGCACAAGAGGGGGTGTTTGTTCGACCAGGCCAGAACAGGGCGACGCTGAGAAGATGGGAAGAGAACTGCGGAACGAAACTTCTGAGGGCGGTCTATTGTTCCGCTCTCTCAACACTATCTAAGTCAGCACCAGGATCTCGCGTTCCCTTTTTGGTAACACCTCGCGCGAAAGCCGTGCTTAAATTAGACGCACGAGATGTTGATTGGGCAAAGCACATGTATGTGCATTATCGACAAGGATGACTGTGCCCCCGTGGCGTCGTAGGATTCTATCCGGACTTGACAGCGGCCGCTAGCAAAAGCTCATAGAGGGAGGATGCGGAAGTCAGAAAATATGGTTTCCTTCACTTGTCAATCACTCATCAGAAGCACGAGCCGCCTGCACTCGTAGTCTCGCGGCTGTTGAAGCTAGATGTCTGTTGGCGGTGCTGATGATTCCAACGGTGGTCGTAGGACAAAGGGCACATCGACCCTGGAATGCATAGCGTCGGAAAGCCTGCCGTGAACCCTGTAATGCGGACGGACCGCATGATTCTAGATGCTAGGCGCGTGATGGATTCACTCAATGGTGAATGCACCGACGCGGTCTAGAGTCTCAGTCACGCGGAGTGCAGCCCACCGACAAATGATTTGTCGAATATTATTGGCCGCGACATCCGGGTCGTCCAAGACGTTCACACGTGGCTAGACCGCGGGCGGCTAATTCTTCCATTCTTCCCAGATCAACTGTATATGTAAGCGACCCCAGAACTAAAGTCTCACGATAGAGACTGGACCAAAGTCTCCATTTTTACCGGAATAATAATTTCAATTTATAGCGTGAGTCTGCCGGTCGTTCCATAGATACTTGTAGAGCGTAGCCCCTACCCCCATTAACCCACATCTAGCACGACGTCTTGCAGCACCAGTCATCGGCTGAGAAGGCGCAGCTGCACGGCGATGTGGGATTGCCGCAGTGGGACTCGGTGTACTGGCACTCGACGAGACCATCTTCGTTGCCTCTAGACTGTAGCTTAGCTGTTAATTAGCAAAAAGCGATTTCAAAATAAGGTGGTGGCCGAGGCAGAATATTCGGGGAAAGGTCAGGGGGCGGGCAAGAAGACGTACGGGAGCGGCCGCTGCGAAGCCGGCGGCGATTAAGTGTTGCACCCCTAGCCCGCTAGCTCAGACTCTTTACCCCAGAAACTGGGCGTGCATGTACGCTCCGTAGGGTCTTTGGCTGTCCACACAGGCTTCGCGCTCGGGACCGAGAGCGCTGGGCAGGCGGCACTCGGCAGTGGTGAAAACAGATATAAAAAGAAGGTGAATCACGTCTGTGAGTATAGCCGCCTCCCGAGGATCTATGGTTGCAGTTCGGAAAAGTGCATGATCGATTATGTTACCATCCTGATGATCCGTTATGTCGACCCCAAAGCTAAGTACTATTCTGACTCTAGAATACTCACACGGAACGGGCCGGCCCCGGTCCCAATTTTCAAAGGAGCATAGGGAATGGGCCCCGTTCCACTCTGCACCTGTTAACTTCTCCAACATTTCCGTTGGAACGCTACTCAGTGTCCTAAACTTCTATTCTATAACCCTAACATCCCATACCACGATTCCTTCTAGCTAGGGTTACCCAGCCGCTGGCGATATACATAACGGGCGAAGGCCTGCATGTCTTGCCTGCCAAGGAGACACCACTCAGTGCATCTACCGTGACGATCAGACGCGAACCACGGGAAAAGGCCCAGCTATTGCTAAAGCCCTTCATCCTCTCTCCTCTCTTCCCGCGGACCAGAGTAAAAGGATCCTCCGAGCTCTACGGAGTCAGGACTCAGGAGGGACCAAGAAAATTATTCCTCAGTGCTACGGGGCGGCATCGACTTTCGCCCACAACTATCCGGCCTGGCTATCCTGTATGTGGTGGCTATGGTCGCGACTAGAGATTACGAACGTCTTATTCACTCTATAAGGGGAGCAAAAATACATACAACAGCCGGTATTCGCTAGTCGTCACCGACCTAACTACTAGTCAGCCCCTTAGTGGCTTGACTATAGGAGAGCGGACGGGATCCCGTATTTTCCACTAGGTATGATCGTATGTGAAAGATAAAGTCATCTCTGGAGATTATAAGGATATAGTGACGAACACGACTCTATGAGCTTGGGCGTGGACGGCAGGGCATTAGATATTCCGCCAGTCTATAGAAACAACCACCGTCCCACCTTAAGAACAAAATTTGGCACGCGGCAGATCTGGATCTGGAAGCGTCTCCTCTGCCTTCTCTTGAGGATTTATTGTCAATCACCTGGGGAATGTGCGGCTGGCCCTTGTACCAGACCCTTGTTGACTAGGCATCCTGGCCAGAAGCGGTGCAGTCCCCAGAGTGCTTCAGCTGGAGGATGCGACATGTTCTAGGGTCCATCACCATTCGAAGTTCCCTGAGGCAAGGTTACTTGGTCTTTCACTTGTAGATACGTGTGTTTTAGATAGAGGAGGCGTATGTAGTTACATATTGGGTCGCAATAATAATGCAAGCATCCCCTTGCCTATGTTAGATCGATCTTGTGTGTAAAAGCACACCCAAAAAGCTTCTAGTATAATATCGGACAGCTTCAACTTGCTCGTGCCCGGGTACTTGCCGTTAACTTCCAGAAGTCGAGACTCCCTAAGGGCGAGCATCAGAAGCTAGGACGGTCAAGTCGGGGATCTTCTTCTGTCCCTTCTTTAAGACGGCCGGCACATCCTTACCCCCAAACACAAAGTCGCAGAATGGAACCATGACGCCCTTGACAACCACGTCCATACTCTTGCCCGAGATATTTCCCACCAGCTCCGCCGCCATGCTCTTGGCAGGCTCCGGCAGGTTCAGACTGTCAATGAGCACGGGGAAATCGGTAAAGGATCCATGCAGCGTCTTGGCGACCTCCATCTCGAAGCGCGGTCCTCGCAGTTTGGAGAAGAATTGGGGCCAGGTAGCGTCGTCGGACCGATGCCCAGGCCGTCCCAGCAGCGCAAAGGGACGGCGCAGGCCCTTGTTCAGGACGGGGTTGAAGAAGCGCCCGTCGAGGTCGACGCCGCCTTTGATACGCGGGTCCGAGAGCATGGCTGCTGCGGCTGTCGCACCGCCGAGGGAGTGGCCGTACATGACGATTTCGCGGAATTCGATGGATGCCTTGTGCTTTCTCAGCTCAAGAGAGACGTTGGCCAATGTTTGAAGCTGGTCAATGACAAAGGACATGTCGGCAGCGCGGACCTGTCCAGAGTAGGAGACGGGTTAGGCCTGTGGTCTGCTTGGAAAGAAAAGTGTCAGGAACGGACAGAGTCTCACTCACCTTACTCATGGCCTCATCGTCAGCTGTTACGTTGACGCTTGTTACGATTCGTCCGTCGGGAAATTCGACGACAGGCGCATCGTATGGATGGTCGACGGTGACAACGGCATATCCCTCGCTGGCCAACGACCGGGCCATGACCCCATAGAGGAGACGCGACTGGCCAGAGCCCGGCGAGAACAGAACAAGCGGGAGTTTGGTGTTGGAAGCTTGACCCCTTGTCTTCTGGCTGCTACCGCACAGCTTTTCGGGCCTTACGTACATTGACTCAACCTCAAACGAGGCGAACGTGTCGTTGGGCAACCCGATCGACTCGGCGAGGGTGTCATACACCTGAGCCACTGCAGGAGTCATGTAGGGAATGGTGCGCTTCTCGGAGGTGACTTTTTTGGTGTCGATGGGCAGGAATATAGAGATCAAGACCTGACGCTGGTGTCGTTTGTTCCCGGGGGCGACAGGGTCGATGCGACTCTCGTCCGTCAAGCTTTCGACAAACATGGACACTCCATAGGGGCCATTGGAAGTTGGGAGTAGCACGGCGCCAGCGGCAGCGGAGAGCACCGAAAGGACAGCAAAGATACGGATTGTCTAATTGTCTGGGTTGGGTGTTGTGTTGGTGGAATGTGTTCAAGTGTTGGTAAAAGCCGAAGAGGTGTTGTGAGTGAGCGAGCGTGCCAATTGTACTCTTCTCTCCTTGGGTTTCACAGCGGCTCCCAAGCCCATATATACTCTTAAAGAAAGCTCATCATCGCGTCAATTCCCTCTGCTAACATGAACGAAGCGCCCTTTGACGATCCCCGGTCATACGTACGACGAGGGCTGAGTGAGAGTGACAAGCGTCGCCCAAACCCAATCCGGTAATAATCAAGCGAGAGTATCCACCGCTTGACTCGGATACCTCGAGTCCTGGACTGGAGTTATTGGAGTCTTGGGCTGGAGTCACTGGACCCTGACAATTGGGGTCTAGACTCTAGAGGAGATGATGATGACCAGTCAAGTAATTGACGCAGACTTTTGTCTCTTGACGCTGGACTGTCGAGCGGCTTTTGATTGCTACAGGCTCCTCGCTCAATGAGTACCGCATACCGCCTAGTCTGACGAGATCTAAACAGCCCAGCACCGACATTCCATCAGCTACCTCCTGTGCACACTTTTACGTCCCAGACAAGCATAGATTGAGGCCCTTTGGGATTGCGTCAATGTCGCCAGGGCCGTTTGACGCCCGAGTCAAGCGATCCCGCTGTTCGGCGTGCGCGTCCAGTCACCTCAAGGTATGTACTTATTTGCACGCTCGTCTGTGTGTATGCGCGCGCGCGCGCGCGTGCGCGTGAGCTGACCATGTCCCTTTGTAGTGCGATGGCCAGAGTCCCTGTGGCCACTGTCAACGGCGGGGTACATCATGTGCGTACCAGCGACAAAGAGCCACCATACAAGTCGACCAAGCTAAGGTCCAGACTGTCAGCAGCTTCTCGACCAAGCGACGCAGTCCATGGACGCCAAAGCGCGAGAGATTGACATCGCCGCTGCCCATGCTACCTTTGTCCAGCAACACTTCCAGACACCTCTACTATTTTCAAGTCTTTGTAGAGAGGAACACGTTTGTCGCTGGCTCCGCTTCGTACGGCACCGACGTGGCGATACTGCTAGGCACAGAGTCAGGCCACTTCCTGGTGAATGCAGTGATGGCTCTGGGCGCTCTCGAGGCGTCTCGACTGCACGGTCCGACGCGCAAGATGGACTCGGTCGCGGCTCTGCAGGCCTACTCTTCCTCGCTTGCATCCCTACGGCAGACCATGGCGCATAGTCCGTCACCATCGCGGATTCACGTGCTGTGGGCAACCTTGTTCCTCGGACTCTTTGAGGTACGCGGTCTGGCAGAGGCCATTTAATACTTTGGAATATATGGAAATAGAGATGGCTGACAAGTCCTGCAGCTCATGCAGAACGAGACAGGCGACGGCTGGCTCCTGCACATGACCCACGGGACAGCCAACGCGCTGCAGGCGGCTGGTCCTCTGGCTTGCCAGTCCGGCCTAGGACGGTCCTTCTTCCTACAAGCGCGCGTGTTCGAAACATCACGAGCACTGCTGCTCAACAAGCCCACATTTCTGTCCAATCCCGAGTGGTAAAACTTGACCGAGAGCTTCGAAATCGATGCGACGCGGCTCAATGGGTCCTCCTTGAACCACTTGCTGAACATTATTGTGCAGTGCTCCCAGCTCCGGGTCCGGTAAGTGGTGTGCTATTCTGGACGTTTCCAGCCACCTTTCACTTCTTGAATTGAACATGTGTGCTGACAGATCCCCCAGAACCGGCCAGTTCATCGAGGCAAATAACCCGTTGACAGAGCTAGGTGACTTGCAAGAGGACGCTCTCGGGTTGGCAGCTGAGGGATTCCGTCTTCGCCTTGCGCTCGAATCGTGGAGAGCAGGCCGCACGGAAATCCAGTCCTGCGAAAATGTGCAAACCCATGATGCTGCCTCTCACAAGGCCGTGCTATCCAAAATCTTCTTTGCTGCCATCAGCATCTATCTATCGGGTGTTTTTGACTATGAAATCCTGCATTGGCGGCATTGGGGGATCCTCGTCTCGACCATCACGGAGGATCAAGTGCAAGAACACGTGCGCACCATCTTGGCCCTTACGGCACTGGCACTGGAGCGCTCCAACCTGTCGCCGCTTCTGTTCCTATTCCCACTACGGATAGCAGGGGCTAGGTCGTGCCAACCGTGGCAGCGGGAGCGTGTGCTGCAACTTTTGGCACGGGTCGGCGCGAGTTTTGCTGTGGCCGGTGCATTTCAGATGGAACTGGGGAAAGTATGGAGGCGGAGAGACGAGATTTGTACCTTGGGTACGACTTATTCGTTTCCTCTCTAGACTAGCTTCGCTATCGCTACCAACGCGGCCTGCGGGCATTTGTTCCTACAGACTTGTAGTCCTAAATTCCCGTGGCTTGCCCGCGGGAGGCGTGGGGAAGATGCTCCGGAAAGTAATGTTCTCGCTCCTGGGAACGCTCTAGTCCAGTCCGGCTAACTAGTTGTTATACCAGCCGAACAAGTCGAGACAAGCTGTGCCCAAAGGCGTCGAAAATGCGCCCTCGGAAGAATCGACCTCCAGAAATAGAAGGTATTGCACGGAAGGGGAGAACTGAACGGGATCCCGTATTTTCCACTGGGTGTGGTCGTTTGTGGTGGTTTGAGTCGTGACTGGGGGACATCAGCGTCTTACGTACATACTATCTATGCTTCGACGCTTTCAACCAGGGCCAGGCAAACGACACCACGAGGATCGACTGCGAGAGCCAGCGCGGCAGGTGCATCGAGGAGCTCCCCAAGTAGTAGTATTCAAGATAGTAAGGACGTCTCTGTGGCTCCATTCCTCATATCCCGAAGAAAGCTATTGTTGACATCGGCGATAGTCATGTGGCAGAAGCTTGTGCATGCTGTCTGATGCTAAAGCGCGCGTGTACCTCTCAAAGTACTTCCAATCAAGCATCCATACCCACGCATCTGGCACCTGATCAAAACAACCGTACCCGTCGTCGCCAATCTCACCTCTTGGTCCGACAGCGGACGTCTCGTCCGGTAAGGCCTCTAGTGTAGGCAGGGCCTTCTCGTCGACGACGAGGCAGTGGTCGTTGCGGACGTAGAGGTTCGGTGTGTCCAATGCATTGTCTTTGACCCACTGTGCAAAGGCGTGGACCACTGGGGTAAAGTCTTAAGTTCCTCACCGTCCGCGCCATTCGCCGCCATGGTATCCTTTCCTGGGTATTCCTTGACCAGGACGAGCTTGAATCGCCGCGCCTAGTCATGCGATGCAATTATAGCGCCCTCTGTAGGCCGGGCCGCAAGATGCGCGTAGTCTGCCTCTGGCGCAAGGTCCACATACCGTTGCTGAAGGGCCCGGTGACGCATCAAGCGACGCAGATTCTCGACGCAGCGGCGCACCCGCTGGCTGCTCTAGGAGTGAGAGCATGCATTTAAGACAGCGAAGCTCCATGTATCAGGGTGCTTGAGGCTTTCGCGCTTCCAAGTCCTTACATGTATGTTGAGGAGCTTTTCAACACGCGAAACTCATTGTCGTCAATGCTGGGTGAGCCGCCAACGTGACTGTTGTAGTCTGCAGGCTGCCAATCAATTTCAGGCGATATGGGTGGCAGGGATCCTGCCGTATCGGGTTGCGCCATGGTTCATGTTTGCTGAAAGCGCGTGTTTGGTGAGGAAGAAGTAAGGAGCAGAGGTCAGGACTCGGTTGGTAGGACGCCGAAGTTCGAACGGCACTCGCACATATCACGTGCGTACCGCCAGGCCAGGGACTCGGTGATTCCGGTCCCCGGATGCTTTTATGAGGTTGTCAAAGAGTAACCCAAACTTGGCGATTGGGCTAGAAAGATTATCAAAGGATCTTTTATTTGCCATCTTTCCTCGCATGTGAGGTGTTCGTTGATGAAGGCCTGGATTTGATTGGGAGGTACATCACGGCCTCGAACTCAGGAGCTCCAGCCCCTTTCCCGAATCATCCCCCATGTTCACAAACTCGATTCAACTGAAGCAAATCTGTTCTGGAAAAATCAATTCCTGGGTGCCCAGGGGGACTCATTCCCGCCCCCCACGTTCAATACAGCAATCGAAGCCCCTCACACGGACCTTCTCTCACACCATCCGCACTACCTTAAACACGCCCGCACGATCTGTTGTCTTCGCTCGGGAGACCAAACTAGACATGACAAATCTACTCGACCGGGATCCAGGGGAAAGGTTCGCGTCGGTGGACTAGCTTTATAGGTATCCGATTCTATCATGCATCTCCGTAGTAGGCACCTTGAGTACGACACAATCAGTAGAGACCGGTCTTTTCATCGATATAGTAAAATCAAAACAAAGGAAATTAAACTTTTCAAAGTTGGGATAAGATAGCAGGTCTTGGGAAACGAGCCAACACATCCACTCAAGTCTGGCCCTCCTTACCATGCTGCTTCTCCACGTTCTTATCCTCTCTTCCCTTATCCTTGCGCCCCCTGACCATGATGATGCGATTTCCATTGTGAATTTCTCCGCCGCCAAAATTTTCACCGCCCGATGTTTGGGAAACCATGGTGTTGTTGAAGAAAAGGTCCTCGCGGAACTGCGGCACGTCGGCCCTGGTGTCGCCGCAGAGCTCGTAAAAATGGCCGTTGTGTAAGTCTGTGACATCTATGCCATGGTTGTTTACATAGATGCTTTGAGGCAGACTGATATGGTTGGCCCCCGCGCCTCCTGGATATTCGGCGTTGGAAAAGAAATTTCCATTGCGCATCTTCCCACCGCGAGCAGTGTTCTTATAGAAGAAGTTCGAATTCGGGTTTTCTTCAACGGATCGATTCGCCATCTTCAAAGCCAGCAAGAATTCTTCCGGGCAGATGTCGATTGGTGACGAGGAGCTGGGCATGGAAGGGGCCCCTAGTCTGACGCGTTGTTGAGGTGGAGAGCCTTTTTCGGGGTCAGCCTCAGACCGCCGAAAGGTGACGAGCTCCTTGGATGGCATCTCTCGCGTGGTAGGCGCTTGGTTGGGCTGGGTATGCTCTCCACATGTAGGCTTGTCTGGACTCTGCGACATTGCGATGTCTTTGATATCAGCTTGGATGTGATGGATGGCTTGTGCTTGGAGGTTGTGGATGATGAGGGATAGATGAGTCTTGTGTCTTTCTAGAGATGTAGAGATTTCAGAAAGCTCTCTATCTTTCAACATGAAAGACCAGGATCTGTAAAAGCGACCTCTTCTGAATAGCGGTTGAAGATCGTGTTCGTTAACAAGAGTGAGCAGAGAGAAAATGTAGACCTCTACTTCAGGGGTCTGGAGAAGAGGGTTCTGTGAAATGGCTTGGGAGAGATCTCGAGTGTCCTGGAGCTGTTTCTGGTAGTTTCGGAGGGAGGAAGAGCCCCCTTTTATCTTCCTCGCGAGCTCAACCAGACTGAGGCATGTTGCGGCCAGCTGAGCAGCGGCAGCAATCACGCCAACAACCTCTGCCATTTTCAGGCAGAGAATGATACATGAAGAATCAAACGTGCACCTCCAAGTCAAGCACGCTGTCCAGCCCAAGGGCGACCACAACCATCAAACAAAGGCGGTGAGTCTGGGATTGGAAAGGTGTCTGCTGAGTTTTTCTGGAAATAGCATCACCCTCTTGGCCGATTGTATGAGTTGGCGGTCGGGTTACGCGCAATGCGGCTCTTCCGTTGCTTGTTGTCTGCGCAGATCTGACGGTTGGGTCGCCACCATGAGCGCAACGTGAGGCTAAGACGGGAGATAGGATATAGACGGGGGGTATTTGAAGGGCCGTGAGTGCGCTTTCAATGGTTCGCATTCTGGTGAATGGGCGATGGTCCCAGACAAGGCTGCCTTTCCGTGTAGTAAATAGCAAATGGTTGTCACACGCGGCTCTCGAGGTGACTGAGATGGTGTAGGGCTATTGGATCTGGCCTCTTTGGCGACGAGGATGATTCCTTGACAGATTGCAGCCGAGCACAAGGCCAGTCATCGTCGTCGGCTTTCTGAGTATGCCAAATTCACCGCCATTGGGCTGCAACAATGAGGGTGTTCCAGTCAAGACGTCCAGCCAGTACTCCAAAGGGCAACGTGGTAGTCGTCGAGACTATGGTGTATGCCTTGGATAAATCAAGCCTGACTGTGAGCGTTTCTTGGATTCGATAGAAAAAGTCTCGGAAGGTGGATTGTCCCGAAAAAAATCATTGCCGCTTAAACAAGTTCAGGAGAAGAATGATGACTCGGCGATAGATAGTCGCGGTGATACGCACCTTGGACACATGTGGTTTCACGAGATATGAAAGGCGGCAGCACTAAGGTCGTAGCGTAGACGGTGATCTCCTCGTCCAGTCCTGATCGACCATCTCAGCTCAAAAGTATGCGGCAGACAACGATGCAAGTCGCACTGCGCTCATGCCTGACGGACTGATGGTTGCACACGCCCACCTTGTGCAGTGCATCCAACGCCATTTGTGCAAGTTACAACACGGGTTCCTCACCCATAACCAAGACAATTGGTTCCCACTCCGACACTATGGCTTGCATCCAGAGCAATGATGTGCTAAAACATCATAATGCACCAATGTGTCTGTCTGTTATGGTCGGCCTGAAGGCAGGCCACGCGCGACCGCGTGCGGGTTGCCACGCCCTAATTGACGGCTACAGGGGATGGTGATGTAGCACACAACAAATGCACATGCAGCCAATCGTCCACGGCAAAATCGTGCCCTCTCGTCATCGGCAACATTGCACTGTGAGACTTTTGCAGACAATCTCGAGGCAACCAAAATGCTCGCCAATTCTGAGCAGAAGCGTGGCACCGGCTTGAGGACGGCCATAAACAGGATCTGGGTCCATGTTACGACACCGACTACTCTCAACGTTGGCGCCGGCTTTCAAGCCGTGGGCAATATCTGCCACGGCGGCTCCCAGGTCAACGGCAACGCGATTCACAACGAGACTCACCAGTATTCCGGAGCAACCATCAATATCTATATCAATCACTGTTCTGGTGCGCAAGGCTGCCGGTAAACCTTCTCGGATGGAGATTTCTTTGAGCTTCTTCTCCTGACGCTTGCGGGTGTATCGTTAGATCGAGCTGGGGGAGCTGCCGCAGTTAAGAAGGCGGCTACGGCCCGAGCCTGACCCAATCGTCCGTACGTCGCTTGGTCTGCTGTCCTGGGCGCACACACGCAATGTCTGACACTTGTGAATCCAGTTTGCCCTTGTCTAGCGAATGATAGCGCAATGCGACCTTGATCTCGCCTCCACTAGACCGACACCCCGAACCCTGAAAATGCCTCAGACAAAGCGACAAGCGTGCGTGTGCTTCGAAGAACAACTGGGCTAAACATGGCGTGCGCTTGGAATGGAGGGCCGCGGGGTTATCACATGAAAACCTCGGCGAATCGAAAAAGGGGAATGGGCGGACAGTGAGCGGGGTGCTGCAGGAATATCGAGAGACATATGGAGTGAACCATGTATGTCTGAGGCAGCTCAAGACACGGCTTGATACACGACTGGCAGCAGAAGCTGGGCTTTCTCGTGGGGCTGAGTGCCCTGGCCTCCCTCCAAAAGTTTTCTTTCTTTTCTCTCTCAATGACCCTGTTCTCGGGGCGTTATTTATTGTCATTCGATCATCTCTCTTTCACCAGGTACTCTTTGGATAGAACACAGACGCTTATTACTGGCCTTCCCAGTGAGGAATTGGACACGTGCTGTGAGGTCCATGTTCGAGAGGCCAGTGTTCCTTAAAGGCATTTCACACAGATGACTGTCACACTCTCTTTCCGGATGATCTTGCTCTGTTCGCCTTCGAGAGAACATGGTCGTCCAAAAGTGCCCTGCATGCACGTTTCCATCTGCTGGCTTGGCGTTCCAGTCTGATGATTGGTTCAAGTTGGCATGGCGGTGGAAGCCTGACCCGGGGACAAGCAAGTAACTTGGAGCCCAACTCAACGTCTACGACTGATTACCCTTGCTTGTGTACTACGTATATGCTGAATGGTCTCGTGCTCTTCTGGTCCCGTACTCTGGGAGATTCGATGACCTAGTCAGTCCGAGATTCCAGAAGCGCAAAGGTTGCATCCTGCAGGTGCTTCAGGAATTACTAACTCTGCTGAGACTTGTTGACGATGCAGATACCCAATTACCGCATGCTGCTATGCTTACATATACCCGTCTTTCGCTAGTGCTATCTTTGAACGGGGTTGTTTGAGAATTATCCACTAGGCTTCCCCGGCTCAATCCCGCACGGTCAAGGCATACTTCTCACCCCTATTAAGGTACATGTATACACCACCCGACCGAGTCAGTAAAATCTCGTGATCTAAATGACTAAATTGGATTACTTTCATTAGACTACGTCTATGTGCATTCCAAGACCGCGATCCAATGAACCCACCGGCTACGCCAAGATTCCAGGTTCAGCTATCCCTCCATCAATCACATGGATGAGTATGTATAGCACAGAGGGCCCGCCCGGATATCCATGTAGTCCTTGACGACGGGTTTGGTGTCCGCGAGCTCCATGACGGGCATCGTGTTGTTGAGCGAGGCCGGAATTGTGTGGCTGCGATCTTGGAAACCGGTGTAGTCGGCCAGGCGAGTCGCGTTGCGGCCTTGCCACTGCAGTAGAGGTCAGAATCTGCATCACATGCTGGAAAGAGAGAATTGGAGAAAGAAAAACAGAAGGCACGCACCTTGGCCCATGCACGGTCGACGTTGGCGTGGTGCAGGAAGAAGAGAGGCTCGTTGGGCGACGTGGCGGGGCCCATGTCGCCAAAGATGACGCTGTGGACTAGAGACGTGTCAGTACATTCGGGTCGGGAGGGGATGGCGCAGTGATATAAGAGAGACAAACCCTGTGCGTGCGGCAGACCCTCGAGCATATCCGCCATATCGGCAAACGTGTCGAATGAGTAGATAGTGTTCATCACGCGCGAGTTATACGCCGATGCCTGCATGTCACCGATGATTTGGTTACCGTTCTCATCCTTCCCCAGGCCGCCATTCAGCTCACGCGTGAAGCAGTGGAGGCGGTCGCCGTCCTCGTTCACGTCGGGCCACCCCATACCCAGCGTTAGATTGGTATTGGCAAAGGGACCGTCGACGACGCAGCGCTCGAAGCCTGGCTCGTCGCTGTCGGTCCGCTGGCCATCGCCGCCAAAGCCGGTGACGGGGTCAAAGACGGGCGCGTTGGGCACGTCCTCGGCATCGGCGTCAATGGACCAGTCCCAGTACGGCTGGGCGCCCGTGAAGCCGCACTCGTTGCGCAGGAGGTCCTCGTGGAGCTGCACGAACCAGCGGTGCCACGGGAGGAAGTTGGCGACAAAGTGAATGTCCAGATTCAGGGAGAAGTGGGTGTAGACCAGGTCGTCCATACGCGTCGTCACGGCGTCGATGGCGGCGTACTTGGCCTTGGGCAGCTCGCGCACGCACGTAGCCGCGCGGAGGTACTCGGCCTTGTCCGCGTCGGTGAGCTCGCGCCACTCCTTGCGGACTGATGGGCTGGTGCAGGCGTTGTTGACGACGGGGAGGACGGGTGATATGGCGCTCGCGGCGACGACTGTGGTGAGCGACAAGGCCCCGAGGAGCGAGGTTGGAAGCATGTTGTGTGGACCGGTTGCGGAATCGAGCAGGCCTCAATTGAATTGCTCCGTGGTTTTCAGTAGATCAGGGTGGAAAACGGATGGCTGCTGGCCCTCTCGTGATGAATGGCGCTGCCATTGTACCTATATACACGATGAATGTCCCGCGCGAGGTCCAGTGCCGGGCGTGGATACGAGATTGAAATTTGAAATGCTTCGAGGGCCAAGCGTCGTCGTATATATATAAACAGGTCATGAGAAATCACGACATCCGAGTCGCCCAGGCCCATGGCGAAATGGGTCCTTGTGGAGGCGCAGGCGCTCGGCAGATGACTACCGCCGCCGTCGAACTGACTCGAACACGACGGCAGCGGGGGTCGCGCTTCATCCGGGCAAGCTTAAGGCTCAACGTTATGCAGGTGCAGAAGAGACCCGCTCTTAGGGGGTTTCGCCTTTGATTGATCGATCATGCGAGCCGCCACGAGACATGAGCTGCAAGTTGAGGCCATCCCCCGGAGGAGGGCCGGAGGAATAGCGTTGATACATGATGGCAGTTTACCTCAGCATAAGTAAACTGTAAACACTCATCGAGCCCCTTTTAGAGACCCATGCGCTGTCCAGTCGGAAATTGTCTGTTGATCCCCCCAGGTCAAAAGTGGCTTAACTTAAAATAGCATCTTGTACCTACTGTAAGGCCAAGCCAAAAGGCCCCACATATGAGAATAAGGGTGGAATAAATGGTCGGTTTAGAGGAATGCGATATAATTAGGTAGGTGGACATCTTTCTCAACTTTTGACTTCTGGGAGTGTCATGCTGCATGGCGATGTGGGCTTATGTACATGTACTTTAGCCCGCCGAGGTAGGAGGCGCATGTGGCAATCCCCTGGGGGGAGATTTGTGTTCAGCCATATCCCTGCTTGAGTCGTCCCCATCCGTGGTCAAGTACAATGCCTTGTCCATTCGACCGAAAGGAGCTCCGATTCCCCAGGCTACATACCCCTACAAACAGCGCTGTGAATGACTTCAGTTGCCGACTGGTGCACGACAAGCCCAGCGAGGACAGCATTTAGTTAGCTGCGATCCTTATTCAGTAACATGCGACATAGTTCCGAAGACATGGACCCGACAACCGGAACGTCTCTGCAATCCGCCTCAACCTGCAGGACACACGTGAGCATGCGGAACGGAACTCGCTCATGCCACGTGCGTACCGCCAGGCCAGGAATCCGAACCCTCCAATCAGGCTGTCAAAGAGGGATCCAGTGAGGATCTTTCCTCGCCAAGGCTCGTCCTGTCAAGGCTGGATGAGATCACGAATCCTCGTTGGAGCACGGGCGGCCCTTCTCAGCCGTACCCAATCTTATATACCGCCCTGACATGCCGGCCGCTTTACACCTGGGGTTGCAAACATAAAGGCAACCAAGCCTCGTTTTCGCGCCTGTTGTCGCTTTTGCCCGTGGCCATCCATCCTCCCAATATCATGCAGCCACACTGGTTTGGGACTCTGGGCTCCCTATCCCGTGTTGACCACATGCCACAGGCCGCCTATTTCATTGGTGAATCCCAGAGCTAAGCTTCACGCAACCATCAAATGGACGGGGCGGCACAAGAAGGCGATGCTGTGCAAACCAAGGCGAAAGTGCGAGATGGTCGGTCAGCTTATAAGTTGGTCACAAACATGCCCATACCCCACGATGCTGCCTCTGCTCGAGAATGGGGTTCATCTCATACTACTTCCTTTGGAGGCAGCAAATCTACGCCAACACGGAGCCGCATCAAATGGCATCGGCCGACGCGCCCCAGGCCCAGGCGCCCGAGAGCTTGCGATCGAGCCTCGGCCTGTCCAACATCGACCTACTGGCCATGGTCCTCAGCGACTCGGGTCTCGCCAACGCCGAGCCGCAGTGGTGGAACGCGTCGCCCTGGGGATGCTTCCTCATCGGGCTTCAACCACGAGGTGGTTGGCAGGTGTGAACATGTTTCCTTGCATCCCCATACATGGCCAGGCCATTCAAGACCGGGCCGATGCACTGGCAGATAGACGGTGGGATTCTTTCAACAAGGTGTCGCTGACCCCCTCTCGCGTCCCCAGATCATGCAGCGATCGATGCAATGGGGCGACGACGCCTGGGCGCGCTGCTTTGGCGTCGACTGCCAGGCGCCCACCCTCTACGCCTACTTTGCCTGCAGCATCCGCAACCGCCTCGAGGTCCTTGCCTCGGACAACTTTCGCTCGCCGACCGAGGGCGTCGTCGCCCCGGGCGCCCCGTGGCGCACGACGCCCAACTTCACCGTCAAGCGTCCCACGAAGCTCATTGACGGCAGTCGTGGTGGGCAGGCCTTTGTGGCGGCCATCCTCGCGCCCGAGGGGGGTAAGCACTACAGCATCGTGGACCAGGCGCGCATGCAGCTCCTGAGCGTGCTGCTCGTAGGCGCGAGCCTGACGCGCGAGGACAGGCGGGAAGAGTATGTAGACGTGGTGTTGCCGCGGGACTTTGACCTATCGCCCGCCTTGGGCGTCGTGTTCACACGCTTGCTGGCGGGCTTGGTGTTCTTTAGCGTTGTATGCGTCGCCTTGTTGGTGAGTACGTGGTGGTCGCTGCTGCGGAGCAATCTGTACGGCGATAGGGCGTCGCTCGCCTGGGTCACAAAGGTCCTCTCGTTGGGGTGCTGGGCGGTGGGGTCCATGGGCTTGCTCATGCTTGGAGGGAACCCGCGGGTGGTGCTGGCCGGGAAGAAGATGGATGGGTTCGTGTCGGACCGCATCGAGGATCTAGCAAGACGCACGAAAGAAACAGGGATAATGGAGCCGTGTTTGACTACGATTGAGGAGAGAAACGCTGCAGAGCCAGAGAGCGGGGTCAAGCTCGTCACCCAGCAGAAGCACTCGCCGGAGACAAAGTCCACCGTCGTCATGGAGATCGAGGCAAAAGTCCACACGGCCCCGACGGAGCGGCCACCGCACTCCAAGATGCCCATTGTCGTCCAGTTCGGCTCCCTCCACGGCTCCATCTTCACGCCAGATAGGGGCACCTGCGAGCTCCCGCGCGAGCTGGTCGAGCGCATCTGCGCCCTCGACATCAAGACGGTGCGCTCGGTGGGCTGGGCCGCCGGCGTCGCGTGGTTCGGTGTCATGCTCCTCGCCGGCGTCACCCTGCAGATTGGGAGCATCCTTGCGCCGCTGTTTGCCGCCGACCTCGCGAGCCTGACCTTTCTGCTGCTGACGTCCCTGGCCAGGGGGGTCGGGGTCTCGGGACCGGAGAGCTGGATGATTCCCAGGTGGAAGCGAAGACCGAACGCGGTCCATGGTGCGGTGCTTGTCGGGCAATGTAACTCGAGGGAGCGAGCCGACGTGTGATAGTTGGGGGACTTTGCAAGGGCGCAATGTTATGATACGGGAACGGGATACCACAAGCGTTTTGATTTTGAACTTGTTCGACGTGTTTGTGTTTCCACGACAAGGCCTAGCAACCTTACATCAAGAGACGTGATGGCAGGTCCAGCACCACGGGCTGATACCTCTCCTCCGTCTGTCTCTTCTTCAGCGTCATCCACGCCGCATTCACAAAGATGGTCTTCTCCCCTCTGTCGAACCTTGCGTCTCCCGTCGTAAAGTCCAGCAGGCACGGCGCTCCGTCCTTGACCAGCGAGTCCGTCCTCGCCGCCTCGTCGACGCCAGGCTTCCAGGTCACGACCTCGACGCCGTGGCTGCTATGGAAATGACCAAATACGGCCAACACGGGGCGGGCCCTCGCCACAGCCCGCGCCTGCACCTCGCAGCCCCGCAAGGGCGGGATGGGGATCCAGTCGAGGTGGCCCAGGGGACCCCCATGCGTGATCCAGAGAGCGCAGGAAGAAGAAGGGTCCGTGGGTGCCGACGCCCATGCCGCTGTCGCCTGTTGGGAAGGATACGGTGGGTAGGTGAAGGCGTAAGACGAGGCGAGGAAGTCTGGTTGCGTGGGGTTGCCGTAGGCACTGATCGTGTCGTTGAGACGGGCGGATACCCTGTCGACGTAGTGGACGCCCGATGCGGCGGCGGCTTCGGACGTGAACAGAGCGAGGGCCTCGGGCAAGAACTTGCTGTGATCCGGATCCAGGCCAACGTCGTGGTTCCCTGCCAGAACAACACCCGTGTCAGAGGGATTAAATAAGAGCAAGCTCGCGACGCGCACCTGCTATGACAAGCTTGATCTTATGCGGCAGTGCAGCGATCCACTCGTACGCAACACGCAGCTCTTCCATTGTGCCGTCGTCCGTCATATCACCCGCGTGGACGAGGAGGTCGCCGTCGGGCAGACTCTGGGTGCAGTCGTCATTATGCGTGTCGGAGATGCAGACGATACGCACCTTGTCGTTCAGAGATGCTGCCTGGACAGACATATTGACGGGATCAGGGTACGAGGCATTGTGGAATTATGGAAATACGGGTACGAAAGAATGCTGAGTCCAAGCTGAGACGAGGAGGAGAATGGGGCCACGTGATGTGGCGCGGAGACGTCTCGAATGGTAACTTTTTGGTTGAAGCCATTGGTCCCATTCGGTGTTCGAGCGTCACACTTGACCTTTTTTCACGTCGCCCCACCTCATAGTGCGACCTCTATTATTTATTCCGCTTGTTTTAGCCTCTATTCGGGCGTTTCTTATGGTAGTATTCTTGATTTCTTATAGTGTTCTTGTAGTGTGACGAGACGCGTAGGGTAGCCGCACGCGTGCCTTGTGTTTTGATTGGCTAAGCTGCTGTTAGTGGGCTGTTTTTAGGCCCGCCGCTAGTGTGCTAGTGTGGCACGGGCCGGGCTTGGCTGCGTGGGGATGCTGTTGATGAGGGGCCAGGCGCTGTTGATTAGGGCGTTCGTTGTTCATGAGGCCTTCACTAATTGTTCATGATGATATTAGCAATATTAGATTAGACATTCTCATCAGTCACACTGCGTGGCATCGCATCTTTCAGTTTTTTTTTCTCAAGCATATCTATCTGATTGCGAACGCTGGTCACACTTGAGTCCTTGACCCCCTGTTCACCTCGCCCATCATGCGACCTCCAAGACTGCACCAAACGACCAACAGCATGACTGTCGGCGCTTATACGGGACCTCCGCTCTATTCCAAACTGGTCATGTTACTCTCTTGACTTTAATTAAAGGGCAGGTTCGCGCCGGAGAACATGCACAGCCACATTCGACAACATTATCACCCAGGCGTGGAACAAAACTGCTCATTCTCAACCCGCGCTATTGCTGATCCCACCCGGACCAACCGTTGATCGCCTGCCACAATGGCTACCAATCTTTCCGACGTGCCAATTCCTTCCATTGAGGCACATTTCGAGCCGCGAATCGTCCCCAACGCCGGTCACACACCGGCGTTGTCAACAGACGGACCTCCAACCCCACCGACACCTTCAACGTCTTCCGCCACAGGATCGGAGGACCAGAACCCCTCCAGTGGAAGTCGTGAGAGGCCGGACTCTATCCCTAAGCGCTCCGTGGAAGGAGAAGACACTGTTATCGAGGCAATTTCCAATATGCGCCTCTCCCCAGCGGGCGGCGTCTCAGACATGACCGGCCTTGCTGAAGCCCTTGACGCGGCTGGGCCGCGATCCCAACGAGCCAACTCATTGACGCCTTCCCTTGCAGGCGAAGCTGTGGATCCCGAGTCGGCGCGGACTCGGCGGCGTTCGCGTCGAGCCAGCTCGCAACCTGTCCGAGTGCGCCATGAAGTCAGCGATGAGGAGCTTCCCGGTGAAGTACATTCAGCCGAATTTCGACATGCGTTTCAGAGCTCGAAGCACCTCATGGCTGATTTGGAAAACATTCTGAGAAGCTCAGCTCTCCAAGCCGAAGAAAGCTCCACCATCCACGCATTGTATGCGGAGGCTGTCAAACTAGCTGAATTCCAATACCCATCGACCCGGATCGTGGGGTTCGTTGGCGATTCTGGCGTAGGTGAGTTCTAATCCTGCCCTGTGCGCACGGCGTCATCTCATTTGAAAAAAAAAACAAACAGGGAAAAGCAGCCTCCTCAACTCGCTTCTAGACACCCGGGCACTTGCAAGAACAGTATGACATGAATGCGTCTGGAGCATAGTCCAAAGCTGACCACTCGATCAAATCAGAGCAACAGCGGTGAAGCATGCACCTGCGTTGCCACCGAGTATCATTATCACCCCGAGGGGACCTTTCGTATCAAGACGAATCTTTTCACGGTCGAGGAGCTCAGAGACCAGCTGAGATCCATGCTACGGTGCTACCGCTGCTTTCACCTCCATGGCCATGCTATGAAAGGTGAAGAAAAACGCGACCTCGAGTTGGGTGCTAAACTCGCCATCGATACGTTTAGGGCCATGTTTCATGGCCGACTACGCAATGAAGACTTTCTCGTCACGTTTACCGAAGACACCGGCCTTGAAGTCTTGTCAAGTTGGGCGGAAGAATTCAGACCTTCCGAGAGGCTTATGCAGCACTCTGAGCTATCCCTTCAGGACTGCTCAAACATGCTCGCGCGGTTGTCTTCGCAGGTTGGGGCAACTGCCCAGCCGGCGGCCTGGCCATATATCAAAAACATCAAGTATGCTGTTTCTGCGCCGTTGGCTCTAGCTCACTTACACTGACGAACACTGCTAGTGTCTTCTCCAACGCCACTATCTTAAGCACAGGGCTCATTCTAGTCGATCTGCCAGGTGAGTTCCCCGGGAATCCTTGTTGACCCACGACATGGTGAGGCAAGAGACTCACGCTTGGTGCAACAGGGCTCCGGGACTTGAATGCCGCTCGCCGCACCATCACCGAACGCTACCTAGTCCAATGTGACGAGATATTTGCTGTTTGCAACATTGGTCGGGCGTCCACCGACGAGGGGGTCAGCAATGTATTTGAGCTGGCTCGACAAGCGCGACTCTCTAATGTCGGCGTTGTATGCACACGCTCCGAGGTATTGTACTACGGAAATTCCAGAAAAAACAACGAAAACGCTGATATCCTTCAGGAAATTCAAGCCGAGGAGTCCATAGTAGGTTTGACAGGCGACCGGGCGGACAGAATCCGACAAATGATGGCCGCCATTGCCACCGATAAGAGAGACGCACGCCGTGTGCAGGACGAGTTGGATGGCTTTGGGAATGAAGATCTCTCCGATCTCTCCGATCTTTCCGAAGACGAACGGGAGGATTTGATTGAGCTGACGAGGAGAATGGATCGCATCAGGTCAGTGGCATACCAGCGCGACCTTGTATGGCTCTTTCTGGGCGACTAACATCGGGATGGCTCCTCGCATAGACGACGAACGCGAACCCATGAATGGGAGTGAGTGTTCTCCCCCCTCCACAGACTAGGCTCGACGGGTCCAAAATATTTTGAGCATGCTGCTAATTTGCATCATCCATTAGCCTGCAAGCCTACCTCGTTTCAACCCGCAACGAGTCCGTGTCGCAACAGCTGCGAGGCATGTACAGCGGAAGCACACCGGACCAGCAAACCAGTGTCTTCTGTGTCAGCAACAAAGAATATTGGGATAATAGAGACAAGGAGCGAAACACCTTCCAACCACATCTTCAACTCAGTGGGATTCTTGACGCTCGCAGACACTGCATGTCGGTCGTTGCGAGTAGCCAGCGCCGTGCGACTATGCACTACACGAACGATCAGATCCCAGCATTCCTAGCCCAGATTGATCATTGGGTTCAGTCGGGTGCGCGATCTGCCAGCCAAGAACGTCAAGAGATGATCCTCCGTACATTGGACGATGTTGAAGCACAGATGAGCAATGTAAGCCGCTCCAGTTAGGGCAATGATGAACAAGACAGGAAACACTCAGTAACGCAGTATGCAGGCCATGAGCTCGAGGACCAGCTCCATCAACCGTTTCTCGACTGATTCAATGCGACTCTTCACTAGTCATGTCTATCAAGGTCAGTGCTCGATGATGTCACCGACCAATCTCCAGTAGGTTGGCTGATGGCTAACGGGTGGGATTAGGGAGAGACATAACCTCTTGGAGCCGCTGTGCTGCTCATGCCAGTCAGGTGTGGGACGGGGTGAGTGTTCCACTGCCAGCTTATGCGATCGCCGTTGTACAAGCTTGAATTGTTACTAATGTACACGACAGTGGAGTCACCGTAAGTCGACATCTGTGCCTTTTTATTCGGGATCAAGGAACACGGCTGAACATCACAAGCAACATACTCAGCATTTTGCCGCAACTACGGAAACTATTGCACGTCTAAAGTTGGCTCACATAACTGGAATGAAGAAGCCATTCATGCCATGGTTTGTGATCTCGAAACTCCGTGGCGAGAGTTTCGCTCCGCACTCAGCCAGGTGGAGAGGGATGTTCTTGACGCTGTAGATGCACTGACCAGCAATCTCATTGAGCGTTTCGGTAAGGACCAGTCTGATTCATGAAATCCAATCATACTCAGGATCTTCACCGTCAAGATCCAATCGCTGAGTGAAACACAGAGACTGATTTTTCGAACAACTTGGACACCCCGACGACGCTGATACAGACTCTATCAACACAACAGCGGCTACTCACAGATGCCATCGACCAGGCTCATGAGAAACTTGAAGAGGACATGACGTGAGTGCGCCTGCAGCAATGACATCCATCCTCTCAGCAGAAAAGATACTCAACAGTACACTGTCTAGTCGTTTTCACGCCGTGGCTCTTTCAGGAATGAGAAGCTCTTTGATCGGGCAGTGGATGGAACAACCGTACCAAAGAAGCATCCTCGACCGTGGTGAGTCTCTCGACCTGTCAACCACACTGCTTTCTGCACAGACACAAATAAGCGTCCGCATACTAAAATTCGTGCCCGCCAGGCACAGGGAGCGATGGCCGGCGGAAGGATATCATACGGGGCGCCCTGAGCGACCGACTTCTATTCGAGACATTGATGCGCGAGTTCAAAGCTGGATGTAAAGCTCTTGTGGAAGCGGCTCAAGAGAAAATATCCAATGCGAAGGCTGCCTATCTTGATATAGCACGGCGAAATTTTGGGCTTGTGCGCGACGGAAATGCGATGCGAGAGAGTGAGCTGGATCCACAACTTCGGAGCCGTCTACAAGAGGCTGTGAGACATGGCCGGAACACACTTGCCCAGGCTCAAGCTGTGTTCTCCCGTACGGAACTCCAATCGCTATCCTAGACTGGATGCCACATTGGAGCTAAAGGGGGCCAGACGAAATGTGGGACTAGACTTGTCGCTCTTGTCGAGGCAAAAGGCAATCATCAAAATCATTAGTATGCTTGAAGTATATTTATCTGTTAAGACTCTTATCAATTCAGTGCGCTGAGCAAGAACAGGGCATTCTATTATCTGTCAATGGCATGGGGCAGCTCTTGGATCCAAAACGTCTTAGCTTACCGAGACACGGCCGGTCCTACCGACAGGCAAGCACAGCTGACAACAGGTAGCCGATCATGGATCAGAGCAGAAACTGGTGGTTCAAGAAGACCATAGTAAAACCAAATGACGTCTGATGAGAAGCATAAGGCCGCGAAGTCGCAGGCCGTTGATGGGAAGAGCTGCTTTCCATCATTCATTTTAAATTTGTGCGATGCTACTGGCGCAATAAACCACGCAGTTTCGATGACCCCCATGAATGTCAAACAACTGAAGTCCCCTATAAACAGAACCCTCTCGAAAGTACCACCTTGAGCGATGATATACTGCTGTTTGAGAGACTTTCCCACCAAATGTTCTCCCAGACTTTCCCCTTCTCTGGCAACGTCTCCTGTTTGTCTTGCTCAATGTCTTCAACTACCTTTGGCAGGCCCTTCTTTTGATGTGCCACAAGCTGCTCAACATGAACTTCCATGTGTTCGTCAAACCAATCGCGGGTCTCCTTCTTCCTATTATTCTGTCGTTCTTCGTTGCCAACGCGGTTCTCCCAGGCATTTTCAACATAACCTTGCATGCGATACGGGATCAAACAGCTGAATCGTTGCCAAGTCTTCACGATTGCGAGAGCCTTCTCAGGCCTTGTTTGGAACCATTCTATATGCTCCTTCTGACATTGCCCACCTACACACTGGGTAGCTCGCCGTTTGTCGCTCCGGAGGGTTAAGTGTACCAGAGACTCTATGTTGCGTACGGCGCATGGCATGTAGGCGGCGAAATGGACAACCATCTTGAGCGAGCATTCTTTTTCCTGACTTTTTAGACGCCTTCCAAGATGTCGATCATCTTTCGGCTGGCCGATCTTCGCTGGCTCTGAGTAATTGTTCTCGTAGCGAATAGGAATCATGGCTGACCCTATGTTGACATGGTCAGGCGTGAGTTCGTCGCTGTAGCAGTAAATATAGCCTGGTCGTCGACACTTGACTGGCTTTGCCAGTTGGTAGATGAGATCGCACGCGAACTTTTTGGTCTTCAATGGCGTGAAACGAAAACCGCCACGTCGAGTGGAAGTCGTTGAAGTGCTGGTCTCTGGTGTTTGGATACCCTGAAGGCTTTGCACGAAATATTCACCAAGCTCCAGATTCAAAGGCGCTGATTTGGCAATCCTGATTTCACTCTCGGTCTTGACTGGTGCCTTCGCCGTGGCTACTGGCTGAGTACTTGGAGGCAAATCCTTCGGTGCAGACAACAGCTGGGCTCGGCATACTCTCTCGGGCCCCGAGAGGCGAAATTCCCCATCTGCCCCTGGATAGGGAGGGAGTTGCGGCACCTGTGGGAGTTGCGATGTGTTTGTGTCACCGCAGGGCCCCGAGTCCTTCTTGTTAGAGTCGATCTCGTTATGCCGTACAGTATCGATGAGTGGAGTATCCTGGCTAGTCGTGTTATCTTTGTGTGTTGTCGGAGCCTCGTCTTCAATCGCCACCTCAGCAGGATCAGGCTTGATCAGCCGCGCGTGAGAAGTCGGTTTCTTCGCCCGGGCAAAGTTTGGCGCTGGCACAGGGACAAGCTCGCGGCTGGATCGGGTGCTCTTCTTGAGGAGGGGACTTTCTTCCTCGACTGGCCGACGAGCTTTCGAGAAATAATGAGATGGCTCCGTCCCGATATCACTTTCGCCCGTCATCGGCGTAGAACCTGAAGACGTCGGGCTGAAGACAGGGCTAGGCTCTGAAGCGTCCGACTCTGGTGACAAAAGCTCACGAAGCGTTCCGTATCGCGGATGAGACCTGCACTCTCGCCAAGGCTGACGCCTCACAGGCGTGACAGGGGGGGAATCCTGTTGCGCTGGGGAGGGATCTTGAGGAGCCGTTGTCTGGAATGATTCGGTTTTCTTCATTGGATTATCAAAGCACTCTGAGCAGTGAGGCGCGATCGAAGCCGTCAAGGTGGACTTTGGCTCACCTGTGAGTTGCGGTCAGAAATCTCGCAAATCCCCTGATAAGTATATCTGTTCCTTACTTTTTGGAGTTGGTTCTTGTACATGTATAGTAAAACGCACTTCGGGATGTTGAGAAGTCATGCCGTCTTGCTCGATCATGCCGTGGCATGCCTTTTGAGCCTCATCGACAAATTCAACTTCGTCTTTGGGAGTAGCGAGGACATCTCCTCGATTGACAGACGAGCTATATCCAATCTCGTTGCTCAGGTTGAGAGATCTGTTTACGGGAGAAAGTAGCTCTGTCTCAGACACGGCGCCTTTCCCATTTGCATTCTCGTGGACATGCTGCTCTTCCGAACCCACATCTTGGCTGGCAACAACAGCGACAGGTTCTTCGATGAGACCGATTCCAAGCTTGTCCTCAGCAGCAGCCCGTAGATCGAGAGAGATTTCCTGCTGCTCATTAGGCGCATTGCTTGGACCGACATGCTTGACGGCACAGTCCTGTACAGTAATTAATCTTTGAAGAGACTCGCAACTCTCAAATCCTTGACCGTCGGTGGGCTTTGTCGCCTGAATGATCTTCATGATTTCGATACAATTCTTCTCCAGAGTAATGCTGGACGGGGTCTCGTCGCGTGACTGAGGTTTCTCTTTTACCACGCTCCTTGCGTGGGCTTGCTATCTCTTAAAACCGCGCAGAGAGGGAGGGGGGAACTTCTGGAGAGGCAACTTGCACACGAAAGGACTTCCAAGGCTGACAGATAGACCGAGGCTGATTTCGTACCACACGTTATGCAAGGTTCTGCATGTAAGGTCGTTTCTCTGCTCAGCATTTGCATGCACGCGCAATGTGATATGCACGTTTGTGTTCATCACCAACACATTGTAACATGGAGACTTGGCGATCCAAAGATGCCCTCGTGACTTGCGCTATCCACATGACGGTTGGTTCAAGTTATGATGGTCTACGTCGACCTAGTCCAGTATCAACATGAACTGCTCCCGTTAAGTGTCAAAATGCTGAATCTATGAGAATCGAGGCTTCCTGAGCGGACGGGATTTCGTACCTTCTTATAGCTATGGCCGTATGTGAAAGGAGATCTAGTTCAAGAAAACTTAAAGTACGGAGTCAAGTCGTCGTCCGGGAGTACAGGGGCATTCAATCTTCACCCAGAAAATCATCGACTCCGCTCGCATCCCCCGCACTCGTATGTGTATGCTCCTTGCAGCATAGCCCCCTGTGTCGGCGTTACAGTGCCTTATGCAGTTGGTTCGCTGCTGCTATTTTGCGCAGCCACCTTGCTTGAGACGGGTGGCCCCGATCCTCACGAAGCCAAAGTACATGATAAGTACTGGGATCCACCGCGTTTGCTCACTATTCATGTCTTTGGCAAACGTGTGACATGCCTTAGTGAGAAGAAGCAGAAGAATGGGCGTGCAGCTGCTAACACGGGGTCGGAGAACATGCTTATCTTGGATAGAAAGAATAAGTAGAGATTGAGAATCAAAACTATGGATGGGTATCGAACGCTCGCCATATCGCATGAATCACGTCAGACATTACCTTATGTCATGTACATTCGTTAGACGTCCCAGCTCCTCCCGTAACACACGCACGCGCCGCAGATCAATAATTAATAAGAATGGTGTTCAAACACGCCGTCGACGTCCCGCATCTTAGGCGGCGACAGCTTCCACGGGCGCGCCGCCATCCGTGTCCTGGGGCGCCTCGGTTGTTTCCTTGGCCTTCCCGTTGGTCGCCTTGGCGGCCTCGAGCTCAATGGCCTTGATCTTGGCCTCGAGAGCCTCCACCTTCTCGGCGAGGGCCTTCTTCTCTTTTTCGGCCTCTGAGGCCTTGTTGGCCTGTGCTTGGATGTCGGCGACCTTTGACTCGAGTTCCTTGTTGTCCTGGGGGTGGAATTAGCACGCGAGGGTCTTGGAATGCGATGGGAACTTACGCTCTGAGCCTTTGATGCCTTGGACTCGGCTTCTTCGGTCTTCTTGGCGGCGGCAGCAGCCTTGGACTCGGCGTCTTCGACCTTCTTGATGGCAGCGGCAGCCTTGGACTCAGCATCCTCAGCCTTCTTGGTAGCAGCAGCGGTCTTCGACTCGGCGTCCTTGGCCTTCTCAGCAGCCTTGGACTCAGCCTCTTCGGCCTTCTTGCTAGCAGCGGAAGCCTTTGCTTCAGCCTCCTCGACCTTTTTGGTGGCAGCGGTAGCCACAGACTCGGCCTGGCTAACCTTCTTCGACGCATCAGCGGCCTTGGCCTCAGCCTCGTCGACCTTTTTGCTTGCGTCGGCAGCCTTGGTCTCAGCCGCCTCAATCTTCTTCGAGGCTTCCGCAGCCTTGGCCTCGGCATCCTCAGCCTTCTTGGTGGCAGCGGCAGCCTTGGCTTCAGCCTCGTCGACCTTCTTGGTGGCAGCGGCCGCCATTGCCTCAGCCTCGACAAGCTTCTTCGAGGCGTCAGCGGCCTTGGACTCAGCCTCCTCAACCTTCTTGCTAGCCTCGGCGGCCTTGGCCTCTGCAGCCTCGACCTTCTTGGAAGCCTCAGCAGCCTTAGCTTCAGCCTCCTCAATCTTCTTGCTGGCAGCGGCAGCCTTGGCCTCAGCGTCTTCACTCTTCTTGGACGCATCAGCAGCCTTGGCCTCCGACACCTCCTGTGCCTTTTTCAACGCCGCCAGCTCGTCGGTAGCGACCTGGAGCTTGTTTTCCGCTTCCTTGAGCTGCTTGGTAGCATCGGCAGCTTTGGCCTCAGACTCCTCGACCTTCTTGGCAGCCTCAGTCGACTTGGCCTTCTCCTCATCCTGCGCCTTCTTCAGAGTCTCGACCTCCGCGGTGGCAGCCGCGAGCTTCTTCTCCGCGTCTTGGACCTTGGAGCCGGACTCGGCCAATGTAGTCTTGGCCTCCTCCTGAGCCTTCTTGAGCGACTCATTCTCCTCGGCAAGGGACTTCTTGCCAGCCTCGAGCGAGTCGGTCTTGGCGGTGGCCTCCTTCAGCTGCGCGGCGTGCTCCGCCTCCATCTTCTTCTGGGCCTCCTCGAGCTGGGCGACCTGCTTCTTGGCGTCGGCGATGCTGGCTTCGAGCTTGCTGTTGAGCTCTTGCGCGTTCTTCAACTGCTCCTGGGCAGCGCTCGCCTCCTTTGATGCAGAGGCACTCGAGGCTTCAAGGCTGCCGTGCTTTGCCTTCCACTCGTCAATCTCCTTTTTGGCGGCAGTCTGCGCCGCCTGCAGCTCGGCAATGGTCTTGTTGAGGTCGGCAAGCTTGGCGTCCGAGTCTGCCTTGAGCTTGTCGTTTGTCTCGGACAGGGTGCGACTCTTGTCCTCAGCGTCGGTGGTGGCCTTCTTCTGGGCCTCGAGCGCCTTGCCGGCAGCAGCCATATCGCTGTCGAGCTTGGAGAAGGCCTCCTGCAGCTCGGCACGCTTCTTGTCGGCCTCGGCAGCCTGGGCCTTGAGGGTCTCAATCTCCTTCTTCCATGATGCCTCGAGAGCAGCGCGCTCCTCTGTTGCCTGAGCCAGCTGGGTCTTGAGGTCGGCGATCTGGGAGTTGAGGCCGGCGCTGTCGGTCTCGGCCTTGGACAGCTGCTGCTTCAGCTGTGCGACCTCGTCTGCCAAGCCCTTGCTCTCCTCGGCCGCCTTTTGCAGGCGAGCGTTCAGAGACGCGACCTCGGCCTGGGAGGCGGTGCCCTGGGAGCCGCTGGCCTCGAGCTGGCGGTTGAGCTCGTCAATTTTCTTGCGCAGGTCATTGGCCTCTTCGGATGTTGTGTTGAATTCCTTCTCCTTCTTGGCGAGGTCGCCCTCGAGCACGCTGATGGTCTCTGTCTTGTCGGCGATTTGCTTCTCGAGAGCCTGCTTGTCGGCCTCGGTGAAGGCGGATGGCTGAGAGACGAAAGCACCCATGCTGGCGTGGAGCGAAGTTCGGCGTGGATAGATTAGAGGGGAGGAGGTGTGACAAGGTCAGAGATTTCAAGGTGGGTGAAGACAGGGCAGGACGTCGCAGCGTACGGACGGAAGGTGCAGCTGGGGAGAACAAATATGAACCGAGGTGTCGTCAGGGCCCGAGAAATTTTGAGCAGGAGGACTGGAGACTGGATGGATGGATGACCCGATTCACCGCCAAGGCCCCCATTTGCCAGGGTCTACACGCACGCACTCCACAATGGGCAGTATGTATGCGTTGTTGGCACAGCAGCGAGAGATGCGGTGAGTTGAGGTTCGTCGGGAGAGATGTGGCTGCCCCACCGGGGCGCCAAGCATGAGATGTCAATCTCAGCAGCATGAACTTATGAGGGCCATGAACGGTGAGCACTGTCCATTCACGGGGTCAACGAGCTCCGAATTCAGTCAAACATATCGCAATCTGTGTGCCACGGGCAGCGCATGACCTCATTCCCCCGGGGTGAGCTGATTTTGGTCCTTTGGGCAGCCGTTGTGCTCCGCCGCCCCTCTGTACCGACTCGTGCGTGCCCAACCAGAACCTTGAGTGCGACGCTGCGGGTGGGAATTCGTCGCAGGCTACCCTACGTGCAGCAGCGGACTGACTTGCAATGCAGATAACTCTTCATCTTCAAGGTATTGGTGATAGATCTTATGTACTGAGTTGATGTTTTATAGAAATAGTGCATGTCATTATTGCCCACGGCGGGTGACCCACGTTGAGTTGCAAGTTTCCGGGTGTCAACCGGTGCCAACAACCATTTGCCCAAAGAACATACTGGAAATTCAAACGAAATGGACGTCTTCACCAAGCCTACCTGGGTCACCGACATCACCATCCACCACAACTTCCACCACGATACTCCACCTTGAACACCCAGCAATATTTATCGCCAGTGACAACATCCTCCGTAATGTCAATCCACAGCCGGCCGTCGTCTCCCATCCCCCATGTCACGTCAACCTCACCTCGCATACTCAGCGCCACGACTCGATCTCCCCTCATCACGGGAACCCGAGACTCAATCTCGAGACGTCCCACCGCGGGCTTGTTCAGACTCAAGACATAAAACGCTTCGTTGCGCTGCGTGAAGCGCAAGTCTTTGCCCCCCGTCGTCTCCTGGGGCGTGACGTACCAGTAGGTCGAATTGTGTATGGCTTCACTGTGCGCATGAATCCAGGCACCCGCCTCCCTCAGATTCGTCGCCATGGTGTCGTGGATTGTGCCATCGGCCTTGGGTCCAATATTCAGCAAAAGATTGCCATTCTTACTCGTCATATCGACCAAATTATGGACCACGGTCGTCGCATTCATAATCTCCTCATCCTTGGTCGCCCGGTTGAAGCCATAGCTGTACGGATCCATGCCCTGGTTGCTCTCCCACTTGCGTCGCTGCGGGACGCTGAACGTCGCGTACTCGGGCGTGTCAAAGTCTGACACCCACGGGCTGCCGCAGCGGTCGTTGATGGTCACCTGCCGCCCCTGGCTTCGTGCCCAGTTGAACCAGGCAGCGGCAAACACGTCCGTGCCGTTGGAGGCGCCGGCGTCGCACCACATTATGTCCGTATCGTAGTGGTACGCGAGCCTCTCCATCTGCGGGACCATCAGGTCCTCGATAAAGTCACCGATCGGCAGGCGACCAGTGTAGGGCTCCTCGAGTCCTGTGTACGGGTTCCTGGCAATGATGCCCGGATGCGATGTCGAGGTGACTCGGTCGTACTGGGTGAAGCCGTACTTGCCCCAGTCCGGGTTGAACCACTCTGGGAGAGAAAAGTATGTTCCTCGCTTCAAATGTGGTTGATGCATCTTTGCCGCCTCGAATAGCTCGCTAAGCACATCACGCATTGGCCCGTAATGGAGAGATGTCCGGTTCGTGGTAGCGCCCGCGTCGAAGAGGCTGAAGCCGTCGTGGTGCTTCGTCGTGAGCACAAAGTACTGCGCGCCCGCATCCGAGATGAGGTCAACCCACTGTTTTGGGTCATACGCACTAGCGGTGAAGTTGGCGAAAAAGTCGTCGTAGTTCAGGTCGGGCCCAAAGGTCTCGAGGCGATATGCGTTGAAGCCGGACCTGTCAGCCGCAGCGTGCTCGTTGATCCGGGTGCTGTACCACCAGAACCACTCGGCGTAACTCTCAAAAGGCGTCGAATTGCCCCATGACGGCACGGAATATGGACCCCAGTGGATGAAGATGCCGAATTTGGCACCGTCGTACCAGCTGGGCGCCTCATGACTGACCAGGCTTTTTGAGTCCGCCGTCCATTCCTCCAGACCTATAGTGACGTCGCTCATGGTTTGAGAGACTGGGAGACCTCTGGGCGTGCTCATATGGACGGTCGCGTCACCAGTCGATCTTCCGTCAACAGCAACATGAATTCGCTTCTGGTCGCCAGGGCAGAACCTCTTCACAATGGCAGGCTCCGCTGTGTTGACCCCGTCCGCCTCGATGGAAACCTCAATATCAGACGTACACGCTGTGCCAGCATGATTGGCCACAATTTCCACGATCTGTTTGCCGTTCGCGTCGAGGTTCTGGGTAGGTCTGACAGTCTGAACCTCAATGCCGGGTTGATCAGCCTCCCACAGAGACAGGGAGAAGACGTGCAGACGACCTGATGTGGAATTCGTCGTGTTAGGCAGTCTGATGCCGCTCAGTGTCTTCCCACTCTCCACGTGGGCATATCGCTCATAGATGTGCGAGGCGTTGTGGTTGGTGTCGTTGTGCGTGAAGAAATAGGGGTAGCTGACCTCCCCCCTCCGGATAGCCAAGAACCACCAAAAGGCGTGAGCACGGACCTCGGCAGTGGATGTTGTATTGTCAGTGTAGATGAAGGTCAAGTTGCCCGAGACAGTCGTGGACCGGACATCGGATGTCAAAAGGACCGAGGCAGCAAAGTATTTGCCTGACGGAGGGACATGGATGAGCTGCCCAGCACAAATGATATTATCTGACGCTTCTGGATCCGGGTTGTACCCAGGATAGAGGTAGCTGATGCCGCTGGTGGACGAGGTGAAAACACCGTCTTTGCCAACAGGGTCTGCTGGAAGAGCCTGTCCAAGAGCGTCAAGACTGGCTTCGCCGGGACGAGAGCCAAACGCCTTGTTGTTGAAGAAGTCGTCGAGGGGGACGTGAACACTTCCACTGCTACTGGACGAAGCCAAGCCCAGGCGCAAGCCCGGTAGCAGGGCCAGGACGCGACATGTTCCCAGTCTCATGGTGCATCAGTTACTGCATCAAAGTACACCCAAGGTACCGAGATTCCTTCGACTCGCCATGGCGGCTGTTATTGGGGTTTTATGTTCAACATCGGAACGGACTTGGGCGATGAGGGGAACCAACCTGTCAGTCTGCTTCCCCACAATGTCGGACTTGACCCCGATGTTTCGTTTCTTAAGAAGATACGTAGTCGGGGTGGAGTTTACCGCACCGCGGATCTCGCTATCGCCAACAAGTAAGCGAATCGAAACAACTGCCGGCTCCACTCTCCATATCCTGGGGAAGCCGATCTCTCGCCTCGTGCAACGTTTCATGCTCTAACAGTGAAAGAAACCCGACGGCTATGATAAGCTAACAACCGACGCTTATTTGCCAACGATCTGCAAGATAGCTATGTGAGAGGTTGAGATAATTGCTGCTTTTGGCGGATCGTTCGACATTTGATCTGGTTCAGCCTATGTTGTTGTTGTTGTATTTACAACTCTACAGGTTGGCCAAACACTCTCTGATCACCGTTTCCAGCCGTGAAAGCTCAAAGTTTGCAGCTTCACATGGATGATTCTGGGCAGATAGATGGATCTTCCAGAAACTGGGCCTTTTGATCAGTTTGTCTCCGAGGCTGAGGGTCGATCAAGAAGCCATCCGATCCCCACGTCCCTTATATCATCTGCGTTCCACAGTCATATTTCGTTCTTTCAATGTCAACTTCACGTGTCGGCAATTGAGACCACTTTGTTCCAAATCTATTCAGCAAAGACCGCAAAGCACTGATGGATGTGTGTTCAATTGAGTATGGAGGTGAATTGAAAGCTGCCTCCTCCTCCCCCTGAGGACTCCCGTCCGAATGCCACTCATTAGCAAACCGGGTGCCGCGCGTACGGACACTCAAGCACACCGTACGTATTCTGGACCTCGTTGTCTGCCTCATTGTCAGCCAGTCATGTAACCCCGAAAACAAGACTCGGCACTCACGGGTGTTGACCTCGCGCCACCCGCCCTCGCAGTAGCAGCGCACCCACGCCACGTCAGCGGGCCAGATATCGCCCGGCTTCATGACGATGCTGCATTCGCGGCATAGGTCGGGCAAGTGTCCATCGCCAATGGTCTGTGAGCTTGGTCAGCGATGGCCTTTAGTAAAGACAGCGTGGATGGGTAGGCGTACGATGAGCTCCTCGTCATAGTATGTGTAGCAGTCTTTGAGATCGAGGCTGGTGTCGTTGGAGCCCCCGTTTCCGTCGTCGCAGTGGGCAGTGATGACGCCAGTGCCGGTGATCTTGATGTCTTTGCAGGTTGCCTCGAATCCTGCGCGGACGCAAGCGGCCAACGAAAGCAGGGACAGCGGGACCGAGACTGAGAGCTTCATGGTGAATATGGCAAGAGTAGTGGACGGTCGTTTCCCGAAGTAATTATGCGAGTCGAGATAGGATGAAAGACATGCGACAGGAGGATTTATATACTTGATCGAAGCATGCCGGATTCGATCTCGGACATTTCCTCGGTGCTCCTCCGCACAGCCAGATCAGGGTCACCCCTGGGGGGAAGCACACTGTTCGCAACTCGACTCCCCAAATAGCCGCGCGGTCGGCTGCTCTTCGCAGACTATATATGGACCTGCCCAACTATTTCATGCAAGTCGCCTTGTAAGTCTCGGCGTAAGCAAAGGATGAGTCCAGGGTCGCGATCCTACGGCCAGAGACTGAGATTGGGAAGGAGGAGCGTTCATGCGGGGTAGGTGGAAGAACACTATGTATTCTCGCATATGTAAGCGATGACAAAGTGTCAGCAGTCGGCGAAAGATAGGTATCATTGAATGCCTGATCCTCCCTAGGTTGGTTCTGGAGTCAAGGGTGCTCTCAGCTCGAGTGCAGCCCGCAGACATAGTCATGCCACGTGTGGCACGTCCTTCTGTTCTGTGCAACCAAGCCGTTTGTTTCCAAAATGAAGCCTATTAGGTTATTTCTGCCCTGATTCGTTCATTCATCACATCGATTAAGCCGTCTGGGTGCATACACACCCCTGCCCAGCAACACTGGTGACCGGCGGCGCATCACAGGTCGCCTCGCTCGTGAAGCCCGGCAGCGGCTCCGTGGTGGGCGTCCCCTCGACGACCTCGGCCTTGACCAGCACAGGGATAATCTGTCCCGTGCTAAGTGAGAACTCGCGGTGGCCCAGAACCCTCAGCAGGCTCCTGATCTCGCCCGAGTGGCTCGTCACGCTGATCCACGTCGCATCATCCTCCACAAAGACATCGTCTAGCACGGATTGGCTGCGCCAGTCCTGGTGCGGCTGGATCTCGCCCTCGCTCACGTCGCCGCGCCATAGCTCGTCCTCCTCCGTGAAGCCGTCCTCGAAGCGAAGCGCCGGGATGGCGGCGTGGATATGCGACTTGCTGGACCTCCGATCGCAGGTGTGGATGCTGATGCCCTCGCGGAAGAACTCCTTGACAACAGGATCAAAGGGCCTCGTCTCGGGCAGGTCAATGTCCGCAAAGGTCAAGTTCGCCGTCGTGGTGCAGCGCATCAACGGGGAGGTGTAGTACGACTCAAAGTACGGCAGCCCGTGGTCGGCAAAGTGCGACTTGAAGAAGGCGTTGGCCTTGAGGGCCTCGTGCGAGCCGGCTGGGGTGAGAAGGGGATCTGCCCAGACTGTGGTGCCGTTGCCGTCCAGGACGGACCAGTAGCACTGCGCGTGTTAGGCTGATGCTTGGACCGCGCGAGCAACAAGGGAAGAAGGGCATGGAGTCTGTACTCACGTTCCATGCCGGGGTGCCATAGAAGGACTCGGCAGCATTGTGCCAGCCCTCGCCGTGGCGACCCATGACCAGGACCTTGTACCGGACGTCGCCTTTGTTGCGGCAATTGCGGTTCAGGTATGACACCCATCGGGCGAAGCGCTCCCACTGCGGCGCATCGCCAGAGGCATCGTTGTCGGTAGGGTACGTCCTATTGAGCAGCCCAAGGTTGCTTGAAGCCTTGAGTTCAATGCGCGTCAGGAATCCTCTGCTTTCTCAGATCATATAGAACCCGGGGAAACTAACATAGTCAAATGTCCCAGGAACCGTATCGGCCTCGTCTTGGAGGAAGTAGCCCTGGACAGTGGTGTACTTGATGCTCTTCCCCTGCGCTTCAGGCCATGACGCGCTGGCGGTGGCGGCGAGGCCGGCGAGCGGGAGCAATTGGGACAATTTCATGTTTGTGTCGGGAGGTGAGGGGGCGAAGATTGCTACTCATGAGAGGGGACAATGGCCTCCTCTTATGTACGTCCAACGTACATACATGTGCTTGACAAGGAGCCGGCATCGCGAAGTTCAAGTCTGCGAGTCTGCGACTGGGGCGGATGGTCGGGACTCGGGGAGCCAATCAAGCGAGAACGTGTCTGGTCCCTGCGATGACCAGACGCTGGGAATCCGTCGCGGTTGATATCTGGATCCTTCAGAGTCGACTCGGGAAGATTATGATCTCCGGAGGACACAATGTCGACCACATGGCAATGCCAGGAGGCGGTTGAGCAACTATGTGGATGATTTATACGGAGTATGATGAAGCAGCCACTTCGTCTTGGAGACCTTCCGCGGCCCGCCCAATGTTGACCAATTTCTGCCAGCCAATCGCTGCGTGCGTAAGATTCCGTCACGTGAGACCGCAAAGCAACAACATTTCAGTGAGAGCGCACTGCTGTGTAGTGTGGTTCCTTGCTGGTACCACCTCAAGGCGGTCAAGGGCAGCCTTTCTTCTCCATCGAGCCGTGCGACCACATCATCTTCATGTCCCTACTCAAATTGACCTAAATCAGGCTACTGGGAATTTCAATCCAACCACCGAGCGAGGGATTATTAAATTATTATAACATACATTTGCTGGTTATGTCTTGAATGGCTGCGATGCCCACACATGGAACCAAAGAAGAAGGATGGATCGCTACGACTTTTGAGCGAAAATACTACCATCGTGAGCAAGTGTTCATCAAGAGAAGCCTCCGTCCAAATGAGTACCGCACCGGATTTCGCGGTCTGCACGTCCCTCGCCTCGGCAAAGAACGTCTAATAAACGAAGCTACTTCTCTACGCTTCATTCGACAGCATACTAATATACCAGTGCCGACTGTATACTGCCATTTCGAGGATGACGGAGCATATGACTTGATCACGGAGTATATTGAAGGTGTGAGTATGTCCGAGCTTCTGGAAGAACAGAAAGCTCTCGTTCGCGAAGAGCTCGAGAACCACTTGGCGACACTTAAGACTCTGAAGGCCTGCCGCCTTGGAGGACCATCGGGGATTGTAATTCCTCCCTACCGAGTTTTGCAACATACGGAGATGGACCACTGGCGTCTTCGGGAATCAAGGTACGAGGCATACGTATTCTGTCACAACGATCTATCTCAGCAAAATGTCATCGTCGACCCGCACACATTCGAAATAAGAGGAATAATCGATTGGGAATATGCTGGTTTCTTCCCGCCTGGCTTTGAATACCCTTTCTACCGCAGACTTGGCCCTTCATCAGCTATCGACGGTGAAGTTGATGACTCATACGATTTGCTACAGTTTCTTCATTCCGAAGCAGAGTGAGCTTTCAAGCCGTGAACATTGAAAACATGCGACCAAGCATAGGTCCGTCCCTGTGAGGCATTCAAGGACCGCGTATTGCGCGACGTGCGCTGCTCCATTCTCGAGTCTGACACCCTAGAGATCGTGGACCACATGGACTTTGTCTTCTTCGAGGACCCGGCCCTGGAAGACGCCTCTATCGGAGACCTGAAGCGCCCCTTCCGAGCCTGGTTCAGGGAGGAAAACATGGTGCCTTATTTCATAGACGAGGGAAAGAAATGAGAAAGTGTACGAGCCGCGCGGCACGCGGCACGAGTCCTTCATCGTCGTGGACGACGCTGCGCTGCATGCCTCCCACTTCAGCCTTGTGCGCAGCTTTCCCGAGGACAGCGAGGAGGAGGGTCGTGAGCACGACAAGATCAGGGGCCGTGATATCGGAACCGAGCTATATGAGGCGCTGGGCGACACCAGCGCCCCTTGGATGTGAGCTTATTACAAGGGTCTGCCCACACACTTGAGAACAAAGGGCTATTATTGATCTGGCGGCCGAACTCGCGGGGAAATGAAGCTGTAGCATGGCCCTTCACGCATGTCTTTCCAGCACGAACTGATATGGCTCAGCGTTGATCCCGGCATCGAAGTCCTCCGACCAACCCTCGGGAGCACTATAATTCACCGCCACCTTTTTTGCGGCACCGTCTGCTACGGTGTTGAGCCCCCGTGGAATGTGCCACAGCTCAATGTTCAACCCCAGTTCGTGAGCCCGCTCCGCCTCGCCGAGTAACGCCTCCCACAGATCCCTGTTCTTGACTTCGGGGTTTCCGGGCTGGGAAGTCCTCCATCCATTCCTCAACCATGTTCTGCACCAAGTCGTCGCCCCTTCGACGGCGTAGGAAGAATCTGTGGCGATGACAAGAGTCCTGAAGGACTCATCTGCCCATTCGTGAAACCGCAGGGCGGCGATAATGGCGCGGAGCTCGGCACGGTTGCTGGTCTGCTCGCGAATCGAGTCGTCGAATGGACCTCTCATCTCAAGCCGTCCGGCGTCCACGACGAGCTGCCCATTGCGAAATATACCATGATGGACGGCCCAGGCAGCCTTGGGGTTGCTTTGGCCGTTGTTGAAACACGCGCCGTCGGTGAACACAATACCAGTCCATGGATCGACGTCATGGGTCATCCTGTTCACATGGGTCAGCCAGGACCTCGCACGAAATGTCACTACTGACCTCATAAACTCAGTCCTCCACCGCCTCCTTCCAGAGAAGAGGTCCAAAGGGGTATCAGTAGGCGAAGGTGGATTGAACTTTGAAAAGAACACCTTTCCTGTCCCCTTGCGGGGCACCATCCTGTCAACATACGGTTCTATTATGGGTATGGGAGAAGGGGGATTAGCAGCAGGCGGTGGACTGCGCTGGTCGCGCTGTTCCGACGCAATGTCGTCCTCATTCATCAAGTCCTATGACGTGCGGCACTTTCCACACGTGACGAGGCCGTGGGGTTCGCAGACGATACGACCATCTGGAAGCTCGCAGGGACCACCCTCTTCATCGCTGCTGCTTGGGCCGAGGGGGATGAGACCCTGGGCGAGGTAGTAACCGAGAGGCATTCTGAGAGACTGCTGTGGCTGACTTGGCAGCGTCTATGAAGGGGAGAACTGAGTAAAATAGGAGGGGAAGAGGATTTATGGTTTAAGCTAGCCCCGGGTACTCGTATCAGAGGCCGTCTGTGTTGAACAACCGCAAGTTGATGGCGACTCTCGAGGATTTGGGTTGGGGAGAGGCCCTAGGCGTACGCATAAGATAAGGGATAGCAGCGTCAAGCTTCAGTCCTTGCTAGGGATAATTTTGCGTTCTTTGCGAAGGAAAGAAGATAATGGCGTTTATCTGACCGACTGAGGAAGCTTCAGCGTTCTTCTTGTCGAGAAGAGGACTGGAAGAATCGGAACGCGAGGAACGTGGTTGCAGTGCCAGTGCGCGGAAAAGTGGGGTCCCACTCTACATGGCAAATTAGGTGGCGCGGTTCGCGTTCTCGGACTTTTTGAACGGCATTTTATTGCTCGTTCGCAAAAAAAACAGTCAGAAGATCAGGCATCTTATTAAGGCCTCCAATCAATCAATCTATAGGTGGCCGATCGTTTGAGTGTTTGATTAAACCAATTTAGTAACGTGGAATGGGACAAAGACCCACTCTTATAGCCTCAGCTCAGGGTCTCTACCAATAAGAATAAGTACACACATTCCTCCCCCCTAGATACGTATCTCCTTCAGCGACTCCGGCCCAGGGTCATCACCTTCCTCATAACACCACATAGCTGCTAACCGTGCATCACCATAAGCCTCATTCTATTCACATCGACCTAGAAGGGCTCATTTTTAGTAACGCATGAAGTCCATTAAATCTAATCTATATCTATCAGTATCAGTCCAAACAGTCGACAATTATACAGAATTCCTCTCAATCAGTCAGATAGACCCCCTGGATCTGGCCCGATTAATTGAACCGCAGCCCTGAACCCCGTGCCAGTCTCAAGCTCTTTTCTCTAAATCATCTGCATCTGTCCCAAAGGTTGTCGATGTCCGTGAACACAGAGACCTGAAGCCAATGTACGCTGCTACCAAAATAACAGGTACACTAATTCCGCCCAAGATGCATGCCAATTTTATATGCCTGCCTAATAGCATAAGAAACCAGCCGTCGAATGAATGCCACGACGAGCTGCCGAGGTGGTTGAAGATTGGCGTTACAGCCTGACCATTCAAGCTATGCAGTTTGGGATTGCTCAGAGGGCCGGACAGAATTTTGCTCTCTGCTCTATTGGGCAGCCGAGCATGGAGAGCACTGAATCCAGCTGTGAGTTGACAAACTTCGATGGTCCACAGAGGCAGTAGTAGTAGGCTTTGAACTTACGATGCAAAGTGGCCACCCGTGCTAAACATGACGGTGACATAGGGGAGGTAGAACCAATTTCTGTCATATGTCTTCAGATTTTGAAGAATATTTCCAACAAATTCGTTGGCTCTACTCGCCATCAGAAAGCTGACAGAGAATCCGGTAGGATGAGCCGCTGGCGCGACAAACTTGAACTGCCTCAATGGTCCGAGAGACCTCCTACACTGGAGATCCATGTCTAAAATGATCCCTAGACTGTTCGTCAGCATTTCATCTTGATCTGCATCAAGGTCAATGGTCCAGATAGAGCACTCACCACCGTACTCGTGCAGTATCATATACCTCAGCGCATCCACCCGTTGAATAGGGAGCCGATAAGCATCCCACATTGCCTTCAAGTCGGGAAACTTCTCGGCAACGAATGTCGCAGCGTTCTCGTCTGTCCAGAGGTGATAGTCGAAGCCCGGATGCCAGTCAAGACAACTCTGTCTGGCAGTGTTCCATGTCGATTCCGGCGCACGAGATCCCAGCATTATGTGGTGAAGAATGGCAGGCACGTTGTCGATGACGCCCTTGCCGGCTGTCGTTTGGAAACTGCTATAATTGGCGAATGTGACGTCGAAGCCATCGGACTCTTGAGATATAATGAACTCAGATGAGCCATTTGGCCAGTAAAGGGGCAGTGAGATAAGGGTCCACGCCGTGTGGACAGCACCGCTGAAGTACCAAAGAAATCCTCCAGTGCATAAGAGAGCACAGAAGTACCGAAACTTGTAAAGCACCAAGAGCAACGATCTTGAATACATGGTTGCATTGAGGTGTCAATGGTCGTACGTATCAATGGAACTCACGGAAATGTGATGTTTGGGAGATATTATCAGGCATACCACATCTGTTATTGAGGATACCTGGTGGGGCCAGGTGTGGCAGACGCTGTGGCGTGGGCTCCCTCCCCGTGCGGCCTTTCCTAAAGCGGTATATATAGGCTCGTGAAGTTACAGCTACGGTACGGTAGATTTACGGCTAAACGTGGGTTACTGCAGTACACGCCACACTCGGGTCCTCGGCTGGGGCCGAGGTATGCTCGAGTCAATAACAAATATCTCCTCGACTGTCGTAAGACTACACGTCCGTGCGCGCAGGGATGCTGACCAATTAACTTACTTAAAAATGAGGCTACTTATAGTATTACTAAAGTTTGCCCTAAAGCTATGTATCGGTTCTGATAGGCACTACGCCACTTGCGGCGCTGTACCCAGCGGACATGGCGTACCTTCCTAACAGACAGGGGCATGTGGGTAATTTGTTGATCTGTAGTCCTAGCAATTTGCGGAGATTGGGTGCCTTATCGATGGAATGACTATCTGCTCATCTCCACCAATAGGAGCAGCCCACTTGCCAGGAACCGTGACCTTCCAGCCGTCCTTCTTCCATTCCTTTGCACACCACGAACTTGAATGCTTCCGACCGCTCAAGAGCAGTCCACGACGCCAAAACCCACACGGCGTTTTGCTCGGAGCAAAGGTTGTCCTCCCTGGTCGTTTCCAGATCTTCCTGCGACAAGAAGGAACCCATTAGTCCAACAAGCTGCCATACCGAGCCCCTACGACGATGGCGCAACCAAACCTCGGGAAGCCTCAGCCCTCTTCGCACACTTGGGTAGAACCGATTGTAAGTATCGCTGCCTATCCAATCTTCGATTCTTTCGCTTTTTATACGAGATCGGCTGCTAACACTAATTCCGACATGGAAAAGGTTGTCATAGGTATCATGATAGCCTCGTGTTACATAAATCGTCAACGGCGAAAACCTGCGGACCGAGGCCAGGGCCTATTCAATCGCCCAAACCTAGACTTGGAAGACGAACCGAACGGGTCAAATATATACGATGAACAGGAACTCCTGTTCTTTTCCGTCGCGGAATCCTCGTGGCCAACGAGTCATGGTCGAAAATCCCGTCTTTGCTGTGGTTTCAAGCTCGACACGGTCAATACCTCTCAGTTCGCAACTCATTGGCATAGCCGAGTTCTCGAAAAATTTCCCTTCCTGGTTGAGATGTTCTACTGGGCCCTGAATTTCAGTTGCTACGCCGCCGCCAAGGCCGTTGGCGAGACTTTTTTTGCCAATGGAGATGTTTGGCAAATGGCAGAAAAGCATGGCATTGCTGTCCTTTGGTTTGAGCAGGATGGTCCTTTCAAATTTCTGTTCCCCTTCCGAGAGGTGGATGTTCAGCACTTTTTCATGTCTGAGCATCAAGGCATGTTGACATTGCTCAACCGTACCTACTCTCTAGTACACATCCCAGCGACGGTCGGGTATGTTGCTGCACTTCCTTCCTATCCTCCCTACCTCCTCAGCGATCGACAAATTGTGCTGACTTGGTGCGTCTAGTTTCCTCGGCTGGTACTACTATTCCGCGCCAACTCATTCTCACTTTGCAGCTGTCCGTCGCATGATGACGCTGACAAACATCCTCAGCTTCGTTATCTTCACGTTCTGGCCATGCATGCCACCTCGACTTCTGCCAAAAGAGTACGGGTTTTTTGATACAGTCCGTCGCGAAGATGCCCAGTCGGTGTGGGCGAGCGGCAAGTTCTTCAACCAACTCGCAGCCTTCCCATCGCTGCATTTTGGATACGCCTTCTGTGTCGGTGCCACACTCATATTCCACTCCGGCGTTTTCCGCCGGCAGCCTGGTCCCCGTGGGAAACAATGGAGCAGGGTCCGGCAAGGAGTTTTCGTTTTCTTGGGCGTGCTCTATCCGGCTTTCGTCCTGACCATTATCGTGGCGACGGCAAATCACTACTGGCTAGATGCGTTGGCCGCTGCAGTTGTTGTCGCTTTGGCTTGGAAATGCAATCGCGTTTTGCTAGGGTTCTTACCATTAGAGGACCTCTTCCTCTGGTGCATAAGACTTAAGAAGCCTTTTCCTACAACTGGGTCCCGACTATAATGCCGCTATTTACTGTTATATAGAAATAAGTCGGCCTAGTTAGTCCTTTGAAAGTGTTTAAGACTTACCTTACTTCTATTAATTTAAAGGAAAATATCTACCTATTTATATATAATAATCGTGAAGGGCTGGACTAGAGTTTGCTAACCTAGTAGCACGTGAATTATCTATCCAAAGCTAAGTAGGAAAAGGAGAAAAAGATATTTAGTTATAGTCCGGAATCGCCAGTGTACTAGCAACAGCTCTCGGAGCGATATATACCAGAGCACTGCCAGTAGACTTGCACTTCCGAGATGTAAAGGCGCCTTCTGGCAATGACCCCCGAGATGGCATAAATAGAGATAAAATTCATTAGTATCTTCCACATTCTGATACTAAGCCCTATAGGCCATGAAAAGGGGTCATTCCCCCTTGCGCCCCGCAGTCGCCACACCTCCCAGGCACCAAGACAATTATACATCTAACTGTAAGCACCACACGTCGGCTCCCTTGGATCTGGTAACTTCCTGGGTTCGTACAGAATTGCAGCCATCTTAACAATGCGTGACCGTGAAGGAAATCCCAAGCATATCTTCAACCCGTGAGATAAAGAGCTTGCAATTGGCGCACATGGGCCGACTGGCCTGTACTGCTGCTGGCACTTGCGGCATCTCACGTCGGAGGGCTGCGAGATCCTGTATATTGAGGTCCAGCGTCCATTGCCCGAGCTTTTGATCGGGAGCACTTTCGAAGAGATGCCGTGGAAGGATCACATGCTGGTTAATGTAGTACGCGACGAGTTTCTTCTCAGCATGGGAGGCATTATATGACCCGGGCCACCCGGACTCGTCCCGATCATCGCCAGGCAGGTCGAATCGAATCAGCTTGCATAGCTCGAGGACACGATCCCGCCAGAAGCTATTGTTGAGGATGTAATCGCTAGAGAAGTCGGTGCGCCAACCGCTGGCGGCACTCACGGCTGGGAATGGCCCGCCACGTTCAAGCCGGGCCACGATCACAGAGGTTGTTGTCTCAAAGTGACCAGTCCTGAGGTCACTCGACGACACTGGCATCGAAATTTGTTCCCCATTCGTAACAGTCTCAAAGGCACCGAGCATCAGAGCGACGCGCCTGCGATTGTCCTCATCTTCACTACTATCTTCATAATGGTCGTTGCGCAATAATCGCATTCTAGCCGTCCTCCTCGAGGGTCGAGAGTAGAAGTAAGCGTTGCGCCCCTTGCGATCTTTCACCCGCGGATCGGCTCCATGATTGAGCAAGTACTTCACGACCTCAAGCCGACCCCAGAGCGCGGCCTCCATCAATGGCGTCCAGCCGCGGTTGTTAATGTTGTCAAGATTGCCACCCTTCTGGTGGAGGTACCGAACCATCTCAAGGTGACCTTCGATGGCGGCCAGAGCGATGCAATTTTCTCCTTCCTTATTCCTCCGGCTGACAAAGGGATCATCCTGGTATTTCCAAAGGAGGGATGCAATGTCGTACACGTGATTGGGTACGCAATAGGAGACGAAGAGTTCCTGTCGATAGGACGGATCCTGTAGAAACTGCGTTGACTCCTTTTCAACGAGGTCCTTTTGCAGCTGCGGGTCGCCAACACTAAGGCCCCCGAACCGGCTCTGAAGCGGTTCAGTTTGATCTCGGTGGCTGTTATGTTGTTCTCTTAGCAGGCCCCAGGAATCTGTGCTAGTGTCATCGGCCATGTCACAGGCGTCATCGTAATCGTCGCTCTCCTCTTCCGACTCTTCCCCTTCTCCGGTAGCTTGGACGCCGACCGTAACGAAGTAGCCCTTCTCCTTAGCAATTCTGTAGGAGTATTTAGCTTGAGCCTGCGCTTCAAATGGATAGCACAACTGGTAGTCTCCTGACGGGGGACCACAATGCGCAACCTGAGTTTTGACTGGGTCGGTGCCATGAGGCGACCCATGATGATGGCGGGACTGGCAGTATGGACAAATAACGTAAAGGCACTTGCTGTTCCACTTCACTACGAGCGCAAGAGGAATTCTTCGACCTTAGTTGTGGAGGAGACCGTCAGAAGATGATGGCGCTTGAGCCATTCTGTGAGCTTGGTGTTCTTCGGCGGGTTGATGCTGGCTCTAAGGTTTGTATATAGGGAAATGAATAAGGACATGGGTGAAGAGAACACGACTGTGACGAGAACAGGTTATACCAACACTGTACTTGTTATATACTTTGTCAGCGGAGGGTCGCACAAAGTAATCTATAAAGTAGCGCAGCGCATGCAGTAGGACGATGCAGTGCAAGGCCAGCTGCTCACAGCCAACATCCCCACCAGAGGCGGGCAGTCAGTACCTTAGGAACGCTAGCTTGGCTCAGGTGGCCAAAGACTCGCCGACATTCAAATACGAAGCCGGGCCCTGTAAGCAGAAATCCACTCCCTCCACATGTAGGGACCGCGAGCTGGATCATCACGCGGCACGGAAAGGGTGTCTCGAAATGATGGAGAGTGCAGTGACCCGCATGACGGACATGAGACAAGAAGCACTCCTGTCTGGTATTACATAGCGAATGTGGTGTATCACGTCGTACGGGGCGACTTGGATGGCGGCAGTACTGCCACCATCGGGTATCTTCTAACATGGCCAGGTGGTATCAACGATCTTCACAGGACACATGCAGATAGATCACCGATGGGTTCGGACACCGGAGATGCTTTGTTCGCAGAAGAATACTTCAGATTCGGAGAGCATGCTCCTTTTGGGGACATCTCCTCTTTCTCCTGGGCATGTGCATCAAGTGCAACAGCGACGTCAGTCGAGGGATGAGCTGGGCGGATCACGTTAGGAATTGGCATTTTCGGGCCAATTACACACGCTGCTTTGTCACTTTGTACGGTGTAAGGCTGAATCCCAAGGTATATGTAGTCGTCAAGTTTGTCCAAGTTCCAGCAGCCCCAGGGACAACCATCCTCGGCGCCGTGTTGAACAAGTGAGCTGGCAACACGCCGGCTTTAGTGGATGCTGGTCCGTGGTAGCATAGTAGATGCACAGACTCGAAACACGGCTCCTGAAGCGCGTCGCGTTTAGAGAACCAGCGAATATATAGCACAGCATCAGCATGCCGAGAGCATTGCCATAACGGCGAAAGCATAGCTAAGTAGCAATTCAGATGCTTGCTCGCAGGCCTACGATGACTTGAGCAATAGTCTCAGATATTAGCCAACATGAAATACAACCAGGGGTGGTAAAACATCTCATTATCCACTGGATCAATGACCTCAGGCTGATAAATGGTATGCGATTCCTCTGCAACGGCAAAATTGAAATCCTCGTCCACGACGCCCACCCGCCGTGCCTTGCAATACTCCCAATACGAAGGATACCATCCTGATTGGGCCCAATCAATAATCCCCACAACCTTTGGGTTAGGGCCATACGATACGAGTATGTTAGGGGGACAAAGATCGTTGTGGGTAAAAGTAATCGGAATATCGCCGCCAATGTCGATTCCACATATATCATGGAACTCTTGTACCGCATCTGCGCCTAGGAACGGCCCGTCACGCCCTCGGTCCACGTGGCCAACAACGAAAATATCGTTCAGCGGGCGCTTCCCTACACCCCCTGTTTATATTAGACAAAATGGGATATAAGAACGCCATTGTCTTACCAATATATCTGTCTGGCTCCTGGGTCAAAGCCCTCCAGGCATTTACCATGGATCTTAGCTCCTTGCAGACAGCCTGCCGTTCGCTTTCATTCATGGTGCTGCACCTTGCTTGTAGAGTATCACCCTCGATCAGAGACATATACAAGAAATACTGGCCGCCACCTTCAGCCCAGCCGAAGACTTCAGGGACTGGGACACGGCCTTGTAGTCGGTCAAACATGAATACCTGGGCCTCGACCTCGGCGATAGTAATGTCGGCTCCATACTTGACGGCTAGTCCCATGGATGGGATGAGAACGGGGGACGGACGGTTGAAGGATGCGGCACGGTAGTCGCCAGAGGCCTCATTCAAGGTTCTGATCTCTGCAGGCGAGGGAAGCGCGGGCGCTCTGCGCTCTTGGAAGAAACTGGACTGGGGGAAGACCTTGGCGGTTGCTGTCGGTGTGGAGCACGCGCTTAGCTCCGGAGTCTCATTTGTCGCCATCGAAGCTGAAAAGTGGCCAGTGTTTCCGGGGGCTGGATGTGATGCTAAGTTGAGATTCCTTGACGAAGTATGAGGGGGATTGCGGGCGGTAAGCATAGCACCCACCGTACATGTAGCGTACGGCACTTTCTCAGAAAAGTCGGCCCGTGCTTGAAAGTCTACATGTGGCTTATTTGCGGAGAAACCAATCAAGTCGATCGGAAGCTAGACCCGGATTCCGGCTGATGCTTGTCTCGTCCGCTACATGTAATCGCGGTACACAGTACGCCCAGAACTCCCGAATCCTGATTACGTAGTAGATCTCGGCGCATCAAGGCGAACTATCGTCCACCTTCCCCATTATGCCAACAATGCCCAGGAAGAATCGTTATGCTAATGTTTCCAAGCCATATAGATTGCGCGATGATCTAGTTGTACTGCATCCAAGTCCCTCTCCGAAAACTGAACCGAGTGGTTGCTGGCCGATGCCTCGCCATTGAAATTGTTTAGCACCTATCGCGGCGCACGATGGACGAATACGCCTTTTCCTCACTCTGTTGGATATAGCGAAATGGCCGGTTTATTTCAGCAGTATTAATCATGCGAGGCTTCCTTTCGGCGTCATGGCAATGCCAGGCCAATCTGTTCGTCGCTGCTCGTCAACCACACATGTGCATGCTTAATGCATTTTCTTTCGTCGGAGTGGTTATGGAAACATTGGTTAGTTTTGGCTGTAGCTGTCTCGGTATGATATGCTCCCAGAGGACCCAGACCGAAGCCGAATCCTTCCATGCACGAAGTCAAACGGTGTACGGTGGCGGTACCGTACTCACTCGACAAAGTCGCCAGCGCTGGTCTGTCCTAGCGAGCAATATCCCTGTCAGGAGTGGTGCCAATATCGAGTAGCAATTACAGCCTATGAGCGTTATAATGCCTAAGGTAAGGACTATACTTGTATAGAGTTATTAAGAGATTCGTACTTTTGTATAAGCATATATCCACAGCGCTAAGCCATAGGCGGCTAGATTCCACCCACCAGCGCTAGCGACTTTGTCGAGTGAGTACGGTATACGTACCCTATACACGTACACTGTGGTTTCCGCAAGGCATTTCACTTGGCAAACACACAATGAGGACTGCATTAGGAGATCCGGAGTATCATACTGCAACCTCTGCTCATAGATGTCGTCCCTGTTCTGTCTATAAAGAGCTCGATTGCTCGTGAACCTTGAGCAAATATCAACGTAATAAGCCAGCCCACTTCACTCTCGATCTACAAGCACCACTACCTCTTCACTTTGATGTTTCACGTCAACTCTTCAATGTGAAGCCTAGCATCGCCGCCTCCCTCTTCCCTCTTGTTGCCCTGGCGCTCGTCCTGCCACGAAAGCGGACCTGGGGCGAATACAACGCAACCACGGACGCGCTGATCGAAGATGGCCTTTGCCGCAGCTATCGGACGCTGAACCCCCCCGCCCCAGGTGGCTGGTCTCGAAAGGTGTGACTTCTTCTGCGCGCCAGCCAGGGAGCTTGCAGAAGAGGACGAAACCTTGAAATGGTCGTGCGTTGGCGATACGGCGCCCAACCCCGTCACCGTCACGGACCCTGCTGGAGAGCCATACACCCATGGAGAATGTAAATGCAACCACCCGACCATCAAATCATTGGTGAGACTTTTGTCGAGCTACTCCCTTATGTTGGCCGCGTCACTTGCGCCGTGTGGAAGTTGGCCATCTCCGAAGCCGCCATCATTCTTGCCGCACTCCTTTCACGGCCAGCACAGCCAGCATGACCTTGTTCAAGGTGGCCAAGATCATCGCCAGCACCAGCTCAGGCGCCTCGGATTGGGAGGAGTGGATTGGGAGGAGCGGATTGGGAGGGTGTCCGCCGACAACCCTTGCGACTTCAGCCCCTAGCAGACCTTCGAGGACTTAAAGGGCATCAACGACGAGGACATTAAAGCTATCCTGTAGGCGTCGCGCTCGAGAGTACGGGGGGAAATGAAGTAAAAAAACGATTGCAGAACATGGTGAGGTTGAAGTGTGCGATGGTCCAGATGCATATTCCGTCCGATAGGCGTGCAGGGAGGAACAGAACGAGATGTAGAGGACGCTTGGTCATGCAGATGACCGATGGGGAGTGTAGTATCGGAGGGCATTGCGGAGTGTGAGGTTGACTTCCACCTGCTGGGCCTCGTCGGGAGCCATGTTGTGGGCACTGCGAGACTTGGCGGAGCCTGCCACGGGTCAACCTTTTCAACCGACATTGTTGGTACGAGGGGGCTCCATGAATCGCGTTTGCCATCGGATGCTGTGCACGCCTAGGTTCCAGTCTGACGTTGCTTGGTGTCGATGGCAAACTGCGGCTCGGGCGACCGGCTGCTCTCTCTCTCATCGCTCTCGGACGATGCGCCTCTGGGCTCGCCCTGGTAGGCTTCGTGAGAGCGAGTGATCAAATGTCTTCCAGGCTGCTGCTCATCTTGTTGAACAGCCTTGACCCGGGGCCGAGACGCGGCAGCCGGTCATGGACGATCTTGGACTCAATCTTAGCCATGCCCGACGCCTGGTCCGGCGGAAATGCAAGGTTGCGCAGGATCATGAGGCTGGTGCGGTCAGTACATCTTTGGACGATGGCAGGCTCACACAGAATCGAGGAGACGGGCCGGGGCCCGGGGGAAGAGATGGCGGAAGAAGTCGCTGACGAGCTGCAGCTGGTCTTCAAAAGCGGCCAAGGCAGCCACCGGCGGCCGGCCCGCCTCGGTACGGGTCGGACTTTGCCGGGAGTCCAGGACTGCTGAAACGGCCTTGTCCGGACTCCGGACTTCTACAGACTCTCCGGAGCCAAGCCGGTTGGCGATGCCCGGACATGGCGCGAGACAAGTTCATGCTGTTCTGGAGTTGATTTCTCGTGCACCCCTGCCCGAGTACGATTACAATTTACAAATGTCCCGACGATTGAATGCAAGGCGATCCATTCAGTAATCTGGGCCAATCCAGCTTCTGGAGTGATTGGTCATCCTAAAGGACGTCCAACATTGCTTGTTAAGCACCCGCCGAGTCGGTTGAACGATGGCCCGGTGCAAGAAGTCATGATGTAGATGAAATGACAGTGCATAGACCAGCTAAGAAGTACTTAAGTTAAGTATTCGGTAAAGCGAGAGCTATTGTTAACACGATTATTCGCAATTATCAAGCCATGGCCGCTCTCAATATTTCGTACTTTACGGTGAGTTTTCGCGTATCCATCATTCCGCGCTAGTCTTTATATTTCCTCGCAAAAGCGGTGCTAAGATCTAAACTAATGCTCAATCTCACCTCTTTCTAGATTCCGGTGGCTTTATGTATGGCATTGGGTGTTCGCACATACCCTATAATGTCCAAGCCAGGCCTAAAGTTACTGGATCGCAACAAGCCAAGGGACTTTGTTGAAGTGCTAAAGAAAGCCGATCTCGACGAAAATGTGAGACAAAAAGGCCAGGTCAATTGTAATATTGAATGTGGTTGCTGATGGTTTGGGTATTAGGTTCGGGGTCGCTTGTTGCGCGCTGAAGGCTGCGCAGCGAACTGGCTCGAGGCGCTCCCTGTCTTCGCAGCGGCGGTGACTGCAGGCAATTCGGCCGGCGTGTCTCCTCTGATCATGAATTGTCTTTCCATCGGATGGTTGATCAGCCGTTTGCTATACACATATGTATATGTGATTTGGCAAGCCAACGAGGTATTGGGTCCGAACGAAGCCCCAACTCGCTTCAAAGTTTGGGCTGTCGGTGCGACACTGGCGATGTCTATGTTTATCCTCGCTGGACGCCAGGCTTAAGGTAGTTCTACACTCGCATGCAAAAGGTATTTATTGAAATACACCGGGATTATGGGGGGAAGAGTCGTCTCGGGTTAGCATTTGCCTCAGTCTTCTCTGCTGTAGTACGGAGTGGTGCACAAGCTGCACATAGGCCAGCGCTCGTCATTGCCGGAGATTCGGGTTTCCTTCTACAAGCATTCATATTTAATAGTGCGTTACTGATAGTCGATTTGATCGTCGACCTCGGCTATTTCCTATAGGCAATACAGACCCCCTTGGCAAGGATTACGTACTTAAGCCTAGGCCGAGTTCTCTGAGAATACTGGATAGAAAAGCAATTTAGTAGCAATTCATAGCAAGCTCGTAATCAATACTGCGACATATGAGCATCTGGCCTCTCCGCCCTTCGAGGCCTCTCTGTGCATGGTAGAGCCCTGAACCCGTATTAACAGTCTTCCAGTCCGGAGGACCTCCTGCTCAGAGCAATCTCGCTCGTCGCCCGTCTCTGACATCACTAAATAGGCCCAAAGTCATCGAAGACGACTTGCTTGTCTACGGCAAATTGATTAGCGTGCGAGTTGCACAACAAAGATATCAAAAGTCGACTTACTGACAGGGAACGGGCCCCACTGGCTGCCGTCTTCTGAGAGGAACCTCTTGAAGGCACCATTAACGAGCGTAGCCTTCATCTCCCCAGCCGAGCCAGCAGCCCGCCGGAAGTTCACCAACTTGGCACAGACGCGAAGCATACTGGCACCAGCCTCGGTGACAATCTCCCGACCAAGGCAAGCGTGCGGACCCCAGCCATGGTGGATGTAGCTGCTGTCAGGGCGGTCTAGCTTGATCTCCTCGGGGTCTGGAAACTTGGCAGGGTCGCGACCCGCCGTGATGAAGTCGGCGAACACGGTATCACCTTTGCCCACCGATTCGGTGCGAGGACCGTCCGTAATCTGGACATTGTCCGCGACAGCATTCCTCACGAGGCCGAAGGCGGGCGTGCAAAGACGGAAGCTGTGAAAAAGTCGGCTGATTAGTAGATGTAGGAGCCAGCGGCCGCAGGGATTATGATAACGTACCCTTCCAGAGCATATCTTCTGAGCTTATTGAAATCCTCGGGATCATCGGACAGTGCAAGCTCCTGAATTGCAGGCCAATGCACGAAGTACTTGTCTGACAAGTACAGATCAATCATCTGTCCCCACTGTGTATCATGTTAGCATGTTCTTACGAACGTCTAGATTCGTGGCTTAATAAAGAGAAGACTCACGCCTTGGCCTTGAGTAGCCGACGAAGCAGCCGCAGTCGGGATGATCGTCCAGACGGTATCATCAACTGATCCTCCAGCAGATTCAAGCAGTCGCTCTATTAGATGGGGACCGTAGCTCTCCAGAAAGTTCTCGGTGCCCTTCGCCGGGCACAAGACAGAGCGTTTCTTGTTCTTGACGTCTGTGACAATCTTCTGCATGACCTGACCGAGCTTCTGTGTCTGTCTGAAAGCCACGACTCGTCTCTTGTAAGACTGAGCCGTGTCGAGGTCGAGAAAGACATAAGAGAACAGATTACCCAGTGTCTCTGCAAGAGAGGCTTCAGTGTAACTATCGTCCTTGCCTCCGTGGCCGCGCAGGGGAATACCGAAAAAGTTGCTGCAGAAGGCCGAGTGCACGAGATTGCCCACACTTCGGCGCATTAGATTTGGGGTTCATATTACCAAGTCACAGTTATGGAAACTTACTCTCGCACGATATCAAGTTGATACGATTTGCCAACCTTGCGGCTGTTCTGCTTGATGAATCTGGCGGTGGTCGCCTCGTAGAACCGACGGACCTGAGCGATGCCATCCTCCGGGCTGTACAGGCACTTGTTCACATACGTCCTCTGCTCAGCATTCTTAGCGCTGTCACCGCTCAGCATATAGTCGTGCTGAGTGAGCTGGAAGCTATGCGGGCCCCCTGGGAAGTTTTAGTGTTCGAGCTCGAGGACCAGAGACATGATGAACTTACAAGGTACATGGAGCTCCGCCTGATCAGCCAGTGTGTTAGTGACACCCACCCAAGACAGAACTGGCGTAGGAGGCCCGACGAAGAGAGGCTTATCGTAGCTGACGTCCGGTGCGTTCACCTGGCTGCTGAATGTCTCCTTGATGCCTTCAGGGGTTGTGAAGGGGTACAGCGCATAGACGCTGTTCGCACGGTACCACGCGGGGAACGCTCTCATAAGCAACTTGTACATGACTCCACCACCCGCGACATCATAGTCCGAATCAACTTCGGCATACCTACGGCAGAGTTATTAAAGCATTACCAATCGGTGGGGCTGGGGATTCTCACCCAAAAGCGGTCAGATTGCTCGGGCTGTAGTCGACAGTGTAGAACCGATCTCCTCGTACAAGAGCGACTGCATCAGACAGGATGGCGAACGAAGTGGTGAAGCCTGGACATAGCCCAGAGCCTGGAGCCATCCCTTCTTTCGTGGCCTCTGATAAGATACCAGGGTAGAGCTCGACGTTGTCGGGATGCTCGTAGAGACTTTCCACTATGAATCGCAGATTAGCATGAAGCCTTCGCAGGGCTTCCAACTTAACTTACAGGCTTCGGCCACCTTTGGATCAGGATTTATGTCCGCTAAGTTCTGTTAGTGCTTTTGTCAATCTTAGAAGCAAACGCAGGGTTCATAGATACCAAAGGATGTATACGGCTTCAACTTGCAGAACTTTCTGAACTCGTTGAGAGATGCGAGGTCCCACTGACGTCCCTGCTGGATTCCCAGGATTTCCACCGCCCTGAGAACGCGTGGGATATTGTGGGCACCAAAGGCTCCTTGGATAGTAATCAAATGTCAGTGATATTCCGCGTTGGTTCTTTGATCAGGTTCATAAGCTTACCAGCAATGTTGTCCGTTCCCTCCTGCAAAGCTTGAACCAGGTCCTCGTCCTTGAAGCTTCCATCCTCCTGCCGCTTGAAGCCACTAAAATCCCACTCTCCAGGATCATCGGACTGATTGATTCCCCTTTTCCTGAGGCCAATCAGTAGCTCATCGACGGATAGCGTGTCTATTGTTGTCGCTAGATTAGTGGAGAACTTTGCAGATACGAGAGCGGAAGAGAAGACTCACCCCAGTCCACGTCAGGACCGAATAGCCGTTTGAAGGCGTCCTCGGTCCAACGCTCATCCTCGGCGCTGATGGCACTGTGCCAGCGGTAGATCATGTTGAACTCAACGCTGACTTGATTGCCGATACCTTTTGGGACACCTTCTTGATCGAAGATGTCATTGAAATCCTCGCGAGGATCCAGTTTCCAGTCTGAATGAACTGGGTTGCGGTTCAGGTTGAGAATGGTGCGTAAGTAGTCCCCAATGATCACGTTGACATATAGGCCACAAGTAATGCTATACTGCGTCAGTCCTATACTGCCGACCCCACCACGACTGAAAGATACTCTGATGTTACTTACAGCCTAGCAGTCTGGAAGAGATCGTTGTCGCGCTTGGTTTGAGCGGCACTATATTCGGGAGAATCCTGAGCCATTGCAGAGGGAATGCTGAAACGCCCACGTTCGTTTATCTCAGCCAGTTGCCCCGCAATATAGTTGTGAAAGCGATTGAAGCTGATAAGGAGGGCACCAACGCCAGGAGGTTGGCCCAGGATCCTGGGCTCGGAGAAAGCATCTTTCTTCAAAAGCCCGTCTTTAAAGGTGCGTATCATCTTCTGCTGTTCCTCATTATGGCCGTACAAGGGCCCAAGATCCAGATACGAAGAGGTTTGGGTCCTCGTGACATCCTGTGAATTTGTATGGAACAAGTCTGCGATGATATCAGTGGGACTTAGCGCTACATGGGCGAGAAAGGCTGTCTACCGTGGATGATGATAGTTGCGAAGTGGAGGAGAGAACTAGAAACCTTGGCTGGGTGCTCCTTCACCACGTCTCCTCGAGCCAGCAGGCCTGTATACGATTAGTATCGGAAGAAAAATGAGACATCTGAATGCTTACTGTCGAATATAACCCCAGGATCAGGGAGTTCGACCGCCTGCCGATACATGGGCTTTACAGTTCGCGCATAGTGACTCCCCGATGCCCCAAGCTGGGGATACATGAAGTTCTAACAGATCAGCAAAGTTCAAGCTATCACCATATCTATGCCGACAGGACAGACTCACGTTATTAGAACCATCGGCAGAGCGGTACCGAAATTCATCACCTAAGTAGGAGATTGGAGGATGTTGGAGATTTCGCCACAGTGTTCCGATGAACTTTGCGTTGAGATCACTTCTCAGCTTAGAGTCGTTTGGCAGCGAGGCGGCCAGCTGTATGACACGCTCAACCTAAACACTTATAAGCACAGAGGCTCCATTGCACTTGGGACGCTTTTATCACGGAGCTGAAGCGTCGTCTCGATCCGGGGGACTTACAAGATACTTGCGATCGTTGACCTCGCCTCCGGAGAGGAGTGCCTCGCCAGCCCCAACGGCTAGCCCCAGGTCGGATTTAATGTGAGTTCCTTGACTCACAATGTCGCGGCGTACGACATTAAGAAATTGAGCAAGCTTTGAGAGTGTTCCATCTCCATGGTGATGAGATCCATTCGGATCCCCATTCGAGGTTGGGGTAGTCATGCTGAGAGTTATGATGATATTGCAGACATATGCTAAAACTAGAACCTAAACCTGGCTGCGAGCAACAATTGAAGGTGAAAGCTCTTATATATAATCTCGACAGTCCAAATGACATTACGACAGCTTTTGCTAAGAGAGTCTGATGGGTTTTACTGATTTTTGGCTGCCGATTTCCCGACCTCCTCGCAGTCTCTCATGATCCAGGAGTGTAGTACAGACAAATAACCCGTACCAGATCCCAGGTGTTGGTGTGACATACCGCCGATAATTGTCGTCGGACAGATAACTTTAGCGCTTACGGTCCAAGCCATACTCCGAAGTCTAGGCGAATCCATCTCCATGGACGATCATTCCTACGTCACTTGCAAGAACATTACATAGTGCCTTGTTCGCATGTGATAGATGCATCCAAGAATATCCCGACGGATACGCGGAGCAGGCCCTAGCATGTGAAGAGGGGAGAATTCCTTCAGTTGCATTATCTACATGAAGTGGTACTATTGAATGCTTCACGATCAAAGCTACAACAGACGTACCACCACTTCGTTGTCGCATACACCATTCCATTTTCTGCCACCGCAATCATTACGGAATCATTGATCAGATGTTCCCAAACTACAAAAGTCTCGCGGGCGCCATCAAAGCTTCGTACATTGAAAAACTGACATGCAGCACAGATGGCTAAACAAAGAGGTCTCGAAACTTTGAGCCGCTTGAAGTGCCTGCGACTGTGGTCAGCAATGAACCAGTGCTCTATGATCATGTTCGACATAATGATGGGATCAAGGGCTGCCACAGCATGCTGTGGTTGACAGCTATCAAGAGTATAAACGTAGACGAATGCCTCATCGTCGCGATGCCCGATAAAGAAGCTTAGAGCATTGGCATCTTATTGTCTGTACCTCGATCGTGCCTTGAGACTTAGAGTCAGCTATACTTGAATCCCTGCGGACTCGCTTTTCAGACGGACACTCAGTAATGCCAGGGCCAAAGCCAAACGGGCAGAGAGTTGCAAGCTACAAGCGCATCATTCTATGCGCTGACGGCACATGGCTTGCATCAGACCTGGGTACTAAAGAGGTGCCGAGTAACGTCGCTACTGTAGCCCGCACGCTATCGCCAACAGGGTCGAACTCAGAAGGTGAACTCGTTCCCCAGATTGTGTTCTACCACTCCGGTCTCGGCAGTGGTGCTCTACCCCTTCAGAAGGCTATCTCTGGTGAGTGTATCCCAATCCCCTCGAGACAAGGTCGGGGCACACGGCTGACAAAGTTCAAAGGTGGCCTTGGCTGGGGCTTGGACTTAGACATCTGTCAGATCTACGAGTTCATAGCCGAAAACTACGAGCCAGGAGACGAGCTATTCTTCTTCGGCTTCTCGCGAGGCGCCTTCACGGTGCGGTCCGTGGCCGGGCTCGTATGCGATGTTGGCGTGCTGTCCAAGGTCGACATGGCCCACTTCCCAGCCCTGTGGCACGCCTACCAGAACAATCAGAGTGGCCAGCCGTTTGCGAGTTCTCCTTGGTACCAGGATAATGCTCAAAAGTTCCATCTTTCGAGTAATGTACGCATCAAAGTCATCGCGGTGTGGGAAACTGTCGGCGCTCTGGTCAGTATACTTCCGGCCTTGATGCGATCGATCTTTTCAAGGACTAACGCAGAGCAGGGCATTCCAGAATGGCCTCTGGTGAAAGCCTTGGAGAAGATAGGGGTTCCTGTCAACAGTGATTTGAAGTTTTACAACACGAACCTATCACCAGGTGAGCCAATTGTGCCCTGTCTTCAGGGCTCATTTGTGTGACTGACCGTCACTCAGGGGTCGACTATGCATTCCAAGCTCTTGCTCTTGACGAACAGCGCCTCACGTTCCCCCCAACAATGTGGCACAAGACAGAGAAGGCTCCTGCGATAGACTTGGAGCAATGCTGGTTTCCTGGTGTCCATGCTAATCTCGGCGGGCAGGGAGAGATACCTGCAAGCCAGAGCGACCACGGTGAAATTGGCAACATCAGCTTTGCATGGATGGTACGTGGATTTCGACGCTTTTCGCGTCTTCCCTGGGCAGCTCTTCCGATTTCATTGCAGAGAGATTCTAACAATACGACAATTTAGGTTGATAATGTTGCCGGCATGCTGACTTTCAACGGTGACGCCATCGACAAGTTGGTGAAACAGCACCAGCACGCTTTCACGATCAACGCCATCCCTAACGGCTGGGGTTGTGGCCCCATCATCAGCGACTTTGCTGGCGTCCAAGGTGCCTTCTTCCGCCTCCTCGGCCAGCAAGATCGCACGCCCGGGAACTACCCGCGGGATCCAGGCGACGGCCAAGGCGGCGCGACCAACGAATCGTTCCACCCTATCGTTCGGTTGCGTAAGAGAAAGGTCCCCGCCTGGACGCCCAAATCCATCCAGGACTGGTCGCTCAAGGAGCCTCACGGCGGGCAAGGCTGGTCGTGGTCTAGGATTGGCTTACCGCCGATGAGAGAGTGGTCCCTGCGAAAGGAGAAGATGCATCTGGCGGTCAAAGTGGACGGCTTGACGAGGTTCGAGGTTGGGGAGAGTCTCTCGAGGAGACTGTGTCCGCCGGATATACTGATGGCTCTAGACAGGGAGCAGTGAGAAGACTGCCACCTTTAGAGACTGCTGGCTATGGTGGCGTTTTTGCAAAGCTTGAAGATAGGAGGATAATGCCTAATAGTCTAATTCGATTCAATTCGTGTCCTCTTACCATGGTCTACTACGGTAGATACTCCCCCGGGTGGGAAGCAAAAAAGGCTGCGCCCGCGTTGAATCACAGTCAACATGAGGATGAGAATTATTCGCCAAACGCCAGTCAATGGTCATCTTGGTAACAATTACAGACAGCAGTCAAAAGCAAAAAGAACATACAACAGCCGGTATTCGCTGGTCGTCACCGACCCAACTACTAATCAGCCCCTCAGCGGCTTGACTATGGGAGAGCGGACGGGATCCCGTATTTTCCACTGGGTATGGTCGTATGTGACAGAATGAGTAGTAGCTACTATTCATGAGGAGGTCAACCAACAAAAGGCTCACAATTGAACATGTGTCCCGTCATCATTTGATGTCTTCTTGCGGTAAGTACTCTCCCGGGCACGAAGCCGAACAGGCTGTCCCAATGGGGCCGATGGAGCATCATGTGCCCAGGTAGTGTCGCCTCGTTACGAAAGAAACATGATCCTGCGCGTTGAATCGAAGTCACGATAAAGAGTCAAGCAAAATGGACGTGTTGCGTCAACATCATCAGCTGCGATCAATAGTAACATTCCACATCAAATAATTGTCAAGTCCTCTAGACTACCCGCGCATCTCGACGGCATTCTCTGCCGCTACTGTCTTGCCAAAAGCCGCAGCGGGTGCCTCGCTGTCCTGTTCGCTTCGCTGACTGCTCGCGTCTGTCTTGGTGTCCGCTTTGGACTTCATAAGCGGCCAATGACCATGGACTTCCTGATACCTCATGGTGATGAAGCCGACAATGACGAAAAGCCAATACAGATTGTACGAAATGACCGAACCATAGGTGGCGGAGTTGGTCCAGCCCAGGATAGCGTTGAAGACGCCCCAACCTGAGCCGCCATTGGTCTTTGGATTGCAGCACTACCACATGTCAGGACAAGGACAGCAACATTCGACCAGGAACATGGACTTACGTTGACGTGCCAGACACTCTTGGTAATATCGTAGGATCCTGGACCACTGCCCAACTCTTCTGCATCACCGGCGCCAATGGCCTTGGACCAAGCGTGTGCCTCAAATGACCAGACAGCGCGCGACATGAGCCCGGCAGCGACGAGGTACAGCAGACACGTCGAGGCAATCAAGAACAGCTGGAGTTTCGCCGTGGAACCGCCCCTATCAATCATCAGCCACGTGCGTTTCGACAGATACAGATAATGCAGACTTACTTGTACAAGAGGTAGCCCACAAGAGCGCCAGCCAGCAATCCAACGACCACAGGAAGAGGAACAGCGGTCGCCGGCGCCGAGAACGAGACACCCGCCACGAAGATGATCGCTTCGACGCCTTCACGCAGCACCGTGATGAACGGCAAGATGAACATGGCGTATTTCTCGAGGTAATGCTTGATCCGGCCACTGAAACTGACATGGGAGACCACCGGGCCTTCGATGGCCGCCGCAATCTTGACGCGCCATTTTTCCTGCATTTTGCCGATGCGCAAGAGGGCGGCCCCGACGACGGTGATGATGATGCTGGCGACCAGGGCAAAGGCGCCTTCATACAGCAGTTCGCCGCTGTCCCATGTGTTCTTGCCGGCTGTGTAGAAGGTGCTGATGACGCCGGCGCCAACAGCGAGACAAATAAAGAACCCGAGACCTGTGCCTAGCCATACCTGCGGAGAAGGGGAGGGCATCAGTATCTCTGGTACGCGACGATGGGCACATGGACTACCGCGTCATGAGTGGACATACCTGCCGTTTGAGCTTTTTGTACACCTTCTTGTTCGCTGCTGGCCCATCGAGTGTCTGCTTCAGAAACGCCAGCAAGACGGAAACGATAATCACGGTTTCGAGGGACTCTCGGAACACGACCAGGAACACTGGTAGGGAGAATACTTGAGCCGTCATGGCGAGATAGTGCTGGGGATGGTCCGTGTACTAGTCGATGGAGGGACAACGGCTGCAATGTGGACGTCCTATGGCCAGGACGTGGTGCACCTCGGGGGTCTGGGAGATTATCAGAGGATCGATCAGATAACCGGCATCGGGTCATCGGGTGCAGAATTTGATCAGATAAATGCAATGGTGGGTCGGGGCTGGAAACGACACGCCACATTGACTGGACGTCGTTGGTCCCAGGTAGGGCAGGGCTGGCCAACCTCGGGTACGCCAAGTGCAGCAGAGACGGGGGCTCCTCGGTTCCCGGCAACGTGCGCTTCCTTCAGGCTTCTGGTGCTCGCAATTGACAGCGCGAGAGGGGGAGGTTGGAGAAAGTTGAGGATACGGACTGCCCTTCTTCTTCTTCTGTTTCACCCGGATTGACAATACATCCTTGGTCTGCGTCCCTCTGCTAGGACATGGCAAGCTTTCACCCAGGACACATCAATGACGACTGGACAGGAAGCTCTGCGTGATTAACATGTGCCAAGCAAGGTTGATCTGTGCGGAGCAAAATTCCACCCCGGCAGAGCTGAGCTCTGTCCTCCAATCAACGTCATGGAAAGTCCTCCAATGGGTCCCCCACATCAGATCATTTTCTTGATTCGATTGATAAGATCTCCACAGCAGGTTTCATGCCATGCCATGCCCTCCCGATCTGCCACATGTACCCACGGGCTTGGGTCGTGAACACTCCTCGTCCCTTCGCTTTTATCGCGTGTGACACATCTCGCCTCTGCGTCTCCAAGTAGGCAATTCTTCACGCACTGCGCGCCTACAGTGTATAACGTGCTCGACCCATGCCGTTCAGCATGCGTCCTCAATTCTTCTCCCTCTTGTTGTCGCTGGTGACCTTCTCCTGGGCTGCCACGGTCACGTTCGACCTGGACATTGGCTGGGTCACGGCCAATCCAGATGGACAGGCGGACAGGCCTGTCATTGGTATCAATGGCCAATGGCCCATTTCTGTCCTCGAGGTCACTCTGGGTGACAGGGTCATCGTCAATGTCCTCAACTCGCTCGGCAACCAGTCCACATCCTTACACTTTCACGGTTTGTTCATGAATGGCAGCACGCACATGGACGGGCCTGTCCAAGTGTCGCAATGCGCTATCCCACCAGGCTCCCGCTTCACCTATGACTTCGAGGTGAGCATACCTGTCATCGTCGCTCTCGCTCTGTACACTCATACTGTCTAGGTCAATCAACCAGGCACGTACTGGTATCATTCTCATAATAAGGGACAGTACCCGGACGGCCTTAGGGGGCCATTTATTGTTCATGATCCCGATGACCCCTACAAGGACCAGTATGATGAAGAGGTCGTCCTCTCCGTCTCGGATTGGTACCATGACCAGATGCCTGAGTTGATCTCCTTCTTCATGAGCAGACGGAATCCCAGCGGGGCCGAGCCGGTCCCCCAGGCCGCCCTGTTCAACGACACCCAGGACCTATCCCTAGCTCTGCAACCGGGAAAGACATACTTCATCCGCATGGTCAACATTGGCGCCTTTGCCGGGCAGTATGTGTGGTTTGAGGGCCACAACATGACCATTGTGGAGGTGGATGGCGTCTACACCCACCCTTCTACAGCCGAGATGATATATCTGTCTGCCGCGCAGAGATGCAGCTTCCTCCTCACCGCCAAGAATGAGACGGACACAAACTACCCATTTGTGGCAAGCATGGACACGGTGCGTAGTCCCACTCAACTCCTTTCCTGGAAATGTACCACTGCGACTAACACAAATCGTCGTTGCGTGTGCAGAGTCTTTTTGATGCGTACCCAGAGGACCTGAACTACAATGTTTCTGGGTGGCTCGTCTATGACGACAAGAAGCCCCTTCCGAAGCCTGCCTTGGTCGAGTCCTTCGATGCCGTGTTCGACGACATGACCCTGGTTCCGTATGACGACCAGCCTATTCTAGGCGAGCCAGATCAGACCGTGACCCTCAACACCATCATGGGCAACCTTGATGACGGTGCCAACTAGTGAGTTTCCATCCTTCGGGGAGACACGCAGCATCAACCTAACATGCCGCACAGCGCCTTCTTCAACAACATCACCTACACCCACGCCAAAGTCCCAACCCTCTACACCGCCCTGACAGCCGGCGACCAAGCCACAGACCCCGCCGTCTACGGCACCTACACCCACTCTTTTGTTCTTGAAAAGGATCAAATCGTCGACATCATTGTTAACAACATCGACCCCGGCCGCCACCCTTTCCATCTACACGGGCACGACTTCCAAGCCCTGCACCGCTCCCAAGCGGAAGCCGGCCCCTTTGAGGACTCCAACGTCACAGCAGCCTCCTTCCCCGCCATTCCCATGCGACGAGACACCTTGGTCTTGTACCCGGATGGAAACATGGTTCTCCGCTTCAAGGCCAACAACGCTGGTGTCTGGCTGTTCCACTGCCACATTGAGTGGCATGTTGTGTCCGGGCTGGCCGCGACGTTTGTGGAGGCTCCGTTGGAGTTGCAAAAGACCATTAAGCTTCCACAGGAACATTTGGACATTTGCGCGAGCCAGGGCATTCCGACCGCGGGGAATGCAGCGGGCAATGAGGTGAATTTGCTCAATCTGGATGGTCAGCCCTCGCCGCCGGATCCGTTGCCAGCAGGGTAAGTGACGTACCCCCGTTTGTTGTCTTTGATTTGATGTTGCCGTTGCTAATCTCTTGTGTTCCGCGTAGTTTCACGACCCGAGGCATTGTGGCTCTCGTGTTCAGCTGCCTGAGTGGTATCCTGGGCGTTGCGGTTCTTGTCTGGTATGGCTTGGCCGGAGGGGAAAATGACCCCGGTCTCCAGTCGTTGGCTGCCAAGGTTGATGCTACGCCAGAGATACGGGCGATGGGGGGTGACGGGGAAAGAACAGGAGAGCATGGCGTCTCCTCTGGCGCAGACGCAGGAATACGGCTGTGAGGCCTGTAGGGAGTACCAGTGATGAGTTCTTTCGAGCATGATGCTTAAATTTAATGAGTCCAGATTTCTGGCCTTGAACCTCTCTATACATGTTTGCCTTTGAATATCCCTATCTCTGTATCAGAGATTACCCTCTCCGCGGCTCTACCGTTGTTCGCTCAACCTCAAGTCATCTGTGGACGCCATCAAGAGACCCCTAGGACAAGGGGGCCTTTTCACCACCGACTGGCCGCAGGCAATCCGCTCATCCTGGAAGAACAGATATGAATCGCAGTATGCGTAGTTATTCGAGTCACACACCCTCTCTCTCTCTATTTATTCTGTTTCTTATTCTTCAGGAGTATGCCGGTGGACCTTGAGGGTTCCTGCAAGACCTGGAATTCATTATCAATCACACATTCGAGTTGCTGGATGCATACTCTCTCGAATAGTGAGAGTTCCGGACTACGAGTAAAAGAGTAGTACGCGGCATCTACATCACCTGCCTCCAAAACTTTGCCTGCAATCGTGTTCGCAATGCCGCACTTACACGCCAGAGAAAAGCACCAAGGCTCCTCACATCACCAAGCATGCACTTCGGTTAATATTGGAATCGAGTATCCTTAGAGCGATTTTCCACCACAGCATCTGCGCCACCAGCATAACATCCGAGCTTCCTGCGTTTTCATCACCCCGTGCGCCAAGGACATCCTGTGAGCTTGCACCATGCACTTTGACAGCGTCCTGAGCTATGAGAATCGTCCACGTCAGAGCGCCGAGACTTCCCAATTTCACGGTGGTTATGTGCTAGGGTACTGGTAATTCTCGCTCAGGTTGTCACTTCACCGGAACGAGCTTTCTTGTACAGATCCCTTGGACCGGACACCTAGAGCTATTGCTCGCCCCTTATTTGGAGTCACTGTATCCTCATATGAGGTAGCGTCCTGCTATTCTACCGACCTCCTCTTCGAGCTCTCAGGCTTGGAAGTGATTTGGCAATGCCAGGATGGCCCAGATATAGGTCACTCACCACATATATGTGAGTCTGTGGGGCCACTGCCGGCCACACCGCATCAGTCAATCTTCAGAACGGCGGTCCAGGCTGGACTAACACGGGACAAGGTCTCAGCTAGTCCTTTTCCCCACACTGAAGGTCCGGTACGTCGGCATCAACAGAGCATATATTGCAGGGGCTGATTCAATGCGGAGGTCAGAAATCAAACATCATTGGCTCCGTCCGTCCGAGATGCCAGGGAGACCATCAATGCTCACTGCACGAGCCGGGGTTCATTCAGCCTGATAACGGAGAATAGAGTAATAGGCTAATAGCATCGCAAGGCACGTTCCGATCGCCAATCTCGGTCTAGGCTGAAACTACCCCAGATACAGCCATCACGACGCCGAGGTATACGTATCGTCATCGCTGTATAAGAGCTCCTGTGTGCTCCGTACCATGCGATCCAATCCCATCCATTGACCACCGGTGCCAACAACACCAGATCCTCACTTTCGCTGCTCTCGACTTTTTCAAGATGCGCATGACCCTTGAACTCGGCGGCCTGCTGCTGGCCGCGCAGGCCTTTGTTGCCAGCGCGCAGAACTGTCCCGCTATCCACGTTTTTGGTGCTCGCGAAACGACTGTGGCCCCAGGCTACGGTTCCGCTGGCGCTCTCGTGCAGCAAATTCAGAGCGCATACCCCGGAACGACGTCGGAGGCGATCACGTACCCGGCTTGTGGCGGTGGAGCATCCTGCGGAGGGATTGCGTACGGTGACTCTGCTCGCCAGGGAACCGCTGCTGTGGCTTCGGCTGTGAACAGCTTCAACCAGCGATGCCCAAACACGCAGCTTGTGCTTGTTGGATACTCGCAGGTAGGTATTGACGCGGACGACCAAGAGAACATCGCTGACCATGCATTCAGGGCGGCCAAATCATGGACAACGCCTTCTGCGGAGGTGGTGACACTTCCTCTGGTATCTCCGATCCCAGCATCCCCATCTCGAGCGCAGCACAGGCCCAGATCAAGGCCGCCATCTTCATGGGTGACCCGCGCTACCGTTACGGTCAGGCCTACGGTGTCGGCACCTGCCGTGCTTCTGGCGTATGTCTCTTGTTGTTTATGGTGATCGGACGACCTAACCAGCGTATAGTTTGCCGCCCGTCCAGCCGGTTTCACCTGCCCCAACGGAAGCAAGGTTCAACTCTACTGCGACTCGCAAGATCCCTACTGCTGCAACGGCAACGACGCGAACCACCACCAGCAGTACGTCTCCATCTACGGCTCCCAGGCCATGACCTTTATCCGCGCCCGGCTCAACGCTTCTGGCGGCGGCGGCACCGAACCCCCTGCTCCGACGACTACCTCTGGCAGCGGTGGTGGCGGTGGTGGTACCTGCTCTGCTCTCTGGGGCCAGTGTGGTGGCAATGGATGGAGTGGCCCGACTTGCTGCTCGAGCGGAAGCTGCAACAAGGTGAACGACTGGTACTCTCAGTGTGTGAACTAGGGTCGTCTTGATTGAGAAACCAATCATCGATGGCGGTAGCTCTTGGATGACAATGAGACAAGACAATCGTACGTATGTAGAGAGTCCACAATGTGAATGGTTCGGCGTGTTGTCCCAAGCAGTGCAGCATCATGGCGGCTCTCAGTCATGATACTACACGGCGTATAGGTGAACGCAAGGCTGAGGAGTCAGGATGGTGTGATCAGTCCTTGTCGGTGCTCGATATGCTGTCTTGATGTTCGAAGACGGAAAACGAGGACGGTCGCTCGCGTGCCTAGGCGTGTAGAGGTTGGTTCATGATGAACTTGGGTGACGTGTCCTCCAGTCATTAGAAGTCGAATTGATTTTTTTTGGGGTCTCGAGTATTGTGCTCGTCGTATATGAGTGAGGTGTCGTGAAAATCGGGAGAATATTATGTGACTGACTGGGGAAGATGATGAAAGGAACATGAAATGAAGTGAGAAGAAAATAAGAAACGCGAAGGAGACGCCTCTGTCTGTGAGGCCCACCTCAGCCGCCTGCCTAATCACAAGACGATTGGCACAATCAGCTTGACACAACACAAATATTAAAGGTCAGGGACGTGGAGATTTATTTTCGCTGGACTAACCCGCTATATCCAATATAATTGACTTATGTTGTCATTGATATTGCAAAAAACTCCAAATACCTTGGATGCAGAAATAGAACCGAGCTGCCCCTCGCCCTGTCTTGACACAATGACTTACCCTATCACGAAGACATTCGCAAACTTCTCGACACCAGGCCATACGAAATGGTGTTCGTTACTCCTGCATCTACTAAGCGATATAGGTTCGCAATATCAAAATGTCAACAGAGCGGAATTGCATGAAGGTTGTTTGTTTTTGACATCAGATTGTTTCCTATCATCTATTTGCAAATCCGGGGTTAGTATCAACCCCTTTTGTCAAATCCTAGTCTCCTTTCTCAAGGGCTACGCGTTAAGGACATGGCAGACCACTTTGAATTTGGCCCATTTCTCGACAGTACGCGGCAACGACCAGGTCTCACCTCCACCAGGTCCCCTTACTCGAGGTCCCGAACAAGGCGGATACCAAACATGTTGGTAGCCACCTCGCTAGACGTATACGCACTGCGGTAGTTGATGCGCAAGTTCTTGGGGTTGTAGTTCCACGCGCCGCCACGTACCGTCGGGAACGGGGCGGGTCCCTTGTGCATAGAGCCGTCGCTGGTCGCGGACGACAGAAAGGGTTCCCAGTCATCCGCCATATACTCACGCGCGTTGCCCGTCATGTCGTACAGGCCATAGCCATTGGGCTTGAACGAGGCCACGGGGGCCGTGTGCGGGAACCCATCCCACAGCTTGTTGCTGGGCCAGCGGAAGTGGTTGACCTCAGCGGAGCTGTTGTCATACGTGTTGGCGTACTCGGACGCCAGGTCGAGGGTGTCACCCCAGAAGAAGGTGGTGTTGGTGCCGCCGCGGGCGGCAAAGTCCCATTCATCCTCGTTGGGGAGGCGGTACACGGCGCCGGTGATGGCGGACAACCAGCGTGCATAGGCTTGGGCTTCGTACCGTGTCATCGCCACGACGGGGTAATCGGGTGCCTGCGGGAACCCAGGCGAGTCCCATGTGAGGTTCGGGTTGAAGACGAACCCGCTGGCGTCCCACCAGCGGGCGCCGCCGCGGGTCTTGTAGCCGGTGTGCTTGATGAAGCTGGCAAACTGCGCGACGGTGACCTCGGTCCTGCTAAAGGCCAGGGGTGTGCTGATTTTAATTTTTCGCTGAGGGTACTCAAAGGCGCGTCTGTTCTCGTCGACGTTCCACTTGTCGTGCTCCTCGGGGGTAGCACCGGCGATGCAAGATCCGGTGGGGATGACAACCATGTCGGGCAGGTTGTACCCGTCGGAGAAGATGAAGCCAGGCTCGGTGTCGTAGGTGATCTTCTTGCGACCCATCAATGGTTGACCGGCAGTGACATCGCCATACGGCTCCTCGAGGTTCTTGCTCATGACCTCAATGGCAACCTTCCATTCGGCGACGTTGTTTGTCAGGTACTCGTCCGTCTCCAGGGCCCCGGCCACGTAGTTGGGGTCGGACGATTCGGTGACATAGAGCTGACACTCAGTCAGGAGACGATCGAGAGTCCAGACAACATTCTCCCAGCGGGAAGGGGGAATCTCGGAGTCCGAAGCCTCGGCGACGGCGCGGAATGCTTCCATCGCCTTGTCCTGGACAGGAGAGTAGGTGTCATAGATATTGCCTTGGAAGGACAGGGTGTCCGCGAGAGAATGGAGACTCTCACGTACGCCATCGACGGCGGACGAAGCCGCGACGGCTCCCGCAGATGCCAGCAAGGCGCGAAGGGCGAATGACTTGAACATGGTGACGTTTGGTTTGGGAGTCAAGTAATTCGATTGATGCACAGGAGAGCTTTCTTTTCTGACGAGAATGTCCATTTATAGGGAGGGGCCCCGAAAGGTTCACACCCACGTCTGTGAAAAAATCCCAATTTTAGCAAGGTTGCTACGTGTGCGTGAGGATGAATATAGCAAGGTGCTGATGTCGTGGAAACTAGTTGTATGAGGCGAAGAAAGATAACGCGGAGAATGCCACTAGAAGAAGCAAACCAAGCCACAAGTTCAACTCCCACCAAGGACACTTTGACCGACAGGCCGCACTAACAAACACAATGTTGACTTTGAGATAGACCTCGGGACTGGTCAACCTCTAAGACATGAGATGCCCTAGTTGCCTTGCTTGGTTGGGGCTTGCCCCTGACAACACGTGTTTTATTGCTGGCTGAGCTGTTCAATTGAGGACACGTGAGCAACGACGGCCTCAACGTTTTAGCCAGAGCTTCCAAGACCGTACGCTACTTGAAGAGATATTGAGAATGCCGGTCGACGATTTGAGAGTCTTGAAACCAGAACTACCTTCTCCCAACGAAATCGTTGAAAAGATGTGGCTCAACCCACTCCCCAGTCGTAGAGTAAGCCAACATGATCACGGCGGCTTTAAACGTAATAATGCACCGCCAGGGAGCAATTTAACGAGTCCTCCATCAGCCTTTAGACGGCCTATCCATAGCTGCACTCGTCAGTGCAATGCCCCCCATGCTTACAGGACAGACACCATCCTTCCGCCTGCGTGTGGGCAAACCAGCATCTCTTCCCGCGCTGGCAGTAGGGCGCATTGCATCTCTTCGTCTTCCACAGCGCAAAGTTCTGCTCCGGATTGTCGCGAAACAAGTCCCGTTCCTCTCTGGTATGCTGGAAACCGCACTCGCCTCTCTTCCGGCAGCGGATCCGGTCGGGACATTGCTGTGTCTGGCGGATGGCGCGACGATGGTCCCTCGCTGGGTCGGATCGACTCACTGTATGCCAGCCATCGCTTTTGTCCGGAGCATCATTGGCGACCGGCACGTTGGTGCTTTGCGCGTGCCTTTGCGGAGGTCCTGTGCTGCGAGGGGGCTCGGGTTGCCTTTGAACGGGTTTGCTGTCCACTTGCTTCGTATCGTTGGCGGCGGGCTGACTGGGACCGTCCGTCAGCGGCTTGTACATGTTCTTCCTTTCCACCACCTCGGGCGCCTTTCGGTTGAATCGCTGAGCGTATTCAGGCCACGATATGACCGTCAGCATGCCGTCAAACAGCTCCCGCGACTTGAAGATCATGTCCTCAATTTGAACGACGTTGGGAAATTCCACGAGTATCTCCGCTGTGGATTTGGCTGGACTTATGTAGAACAAGCGGCGCAACTGAAGGAGCTCCTTGGCGATAGAGTCCTCGTCGAGCTCCTCGGCAGCTGGCTCGTCCAGTCCACATAGCACCATGGTTCGCGCGGGGTCAACGGGCTGCGCCTTGTTGCCCTTGCGGGTCGATCTAAAATTGGTGAAGAAGATGTTATTGAACTCCTTATCCAGGTGGTGGATCGTCAGCAGACCCTGGCGGTCGTTCTGCTCATTGTAGTACTCCTTGGCGATGCCGTTCTTCCATCCCCAGAGCTCCACCCGGATATCAGAGTCCAACACCTTCCTGACGGGCGGCAGTATGTCGCGGTCGCCCGTGATGACGATGAACACCGTCCTCTCCTTCCTCTGCTGGACCTTGGGGTCGTAGCGAGCGCCTACGTGGAGTTTGGTGGCTTCATAGACAAGGTCCGTGGCCAGCGAGTTGTCCACTTCCTTTTCCTTGTTTTGCGAGTTCCGGTTGTAAATCTTGGTCTTGAACTTGAATCTGTTCTTAAACGCATTCCACACGGAATCGTTGGGCGGTGGCCGCGACCCGTACAAGAACGAGAGGCCTTGTGTGCGCGATTTGCAAAGCGTGCTGACCAGCCTCCCAATATCGATCCGAAGACGTAGGTCAATGTCGCTGTCCTCCAGTTTGGGCATGTATTCATTGCCAGAGGCGGCGAACTTTTGTGCCTCAATCCAAATGTTGGAGTCGTCCACGAAGAACATGCACGTTTCGTCAGACTCGTCGTGCATCGTGGCCATGTGTGCTGTGTGTGTCCTGGTATCGTGGGTTGAAGCTAAGTCTAGCTGTGAGAGAGGCGTTGTGCGAAATGAGGTGAATGTGTACGCGCCACGTCAGAGCATTCACGCCCAAGGGCCAAGGCATCTCGAGCCTGATTGTCGCTGCAAGCCTCCATGCATGTCGACTGGAGTCTTGCGAAACCCCGCGCCGTGCGTGACGTGACGCTGGGGTGGCGAGTGACGATGATTGACCAAGTACCAGCCCCCCAGTATTGAATTCATGTCCGTTTCCGCGACCAACCCACATTCCCGGGACAATGCCTCGTTTCCGATGTTTGCACCCGCTCACACAAATCCGGGCGGAGCACCATACGACCAGTCAACCGAAACCAGGGACCCCAACCACCCGAGGAGGAAATCGTTTACCAAATATGATCATAATATTTGATTGGGTCTTGGGCCAATACTACCTAGACCTGCATCTGGCTGGCCTTCATCACCAGCCCAGCAACCTTAACTAGTGAGGGCCTTGTCAACACCGCGTCCACTCCTCGCGGTTCAGCCACATAGTCTTTGTCTCCCGTTCGAACTGCGACAATAACCTCTTCTGATTCCGGACAGGTACGTCCTCCCGCCTCTGAGGGAGCACACAGCCATCCCACATGTATTGATTGGAAAGGACACCGGTCGACATCTTCTCAGCGACTACCTCCCACTGCACCCTTCCACGCATCGTAGGGCAGTTCATGTCGTCGCACCATGTGATGCCTCTTCCCAGCTCGTCATCTCGGAGACCGTAGCTTCGTGGATCGATGTAAACCGGCCAGAGTCCGTCAAGGATTGTCGGGTCGACCTCTGCCAACACGGGTATCATAAGACGGCTCTCGTACTTGACTGTGGGGTATCCGTCTCCCTCGATCAGACCGTCCATGTTTTCGAGGTAGAGGCACCGATCATGATCTAGATATAGTGCGTCATCAAACAGGCTCTCGCGCGTGACAGAGCGGATGTGATGGGAAGTAAGGTGCGGAGGGCCCAAAGCCTCGGGGCAGAGGTCGTGAAGATCATCCAATATCTTTTTGCAGATCTCGAACCCGTCTAGCTCTTGCGTGTCGACTTTGATGACAGACTCCCATGTGACATGGACGCATAGTTCGGTACTCCCCTCAAAAACTCTGACTGTGAGGTTGCCAAATGGGCAGCGGTCCGATTCGGGGGCATCGTCTTGATGAGCAGGATGCGTGCTTTTGACGTATACACCACCGGCTTGCCGCTTTATGTGGCTGAACGATTCCGGGATATCTTCGTTAAGTCACTTTTGCCACTCTCGCAGGTCGTCGAGAGTAATGTTCCAGTGGGAACAGAGTGTCCGGTAACCTTGGCGTGCAATACAAGTCCGTATTGTGGTATCGCGTTGGGATGGACTGAATTGGACAGTGGGATGCTCTTCGTTACAAGCATGGCAGTGGAGCGGGACTGTGAGGTCGAACAGGCGCAGGATGTACGCTTCGTCAAGTGCGGTTTCGCTGCACCCGCGGCAGCGAGAAGATGGCTGTGGCGTTTGCATCCAGTGGTCCAACTTGGCCACAGCACTCCGATATTGTTCGTCTGTTGACGTCTGCTCAGGGTGGGTTATTGACGTCTGCTCAAGATGGGTGAGAAATTGTACCAAGACGAGGACTGGAGTTGATAATACTTGGTTGCTTACGTCAGTTCCAGAAGTACGGTCGCGACCAAATGCTGAGATAGCGTTGCCGGGTTCCTCTACAACATCCTCCATGTCAGGGAGTGCATCAGGTTGTGCTCCCACACCTGTAGATGAGGTCTGGACCGTCTGGCCCGTGGTCGTGGTCTCCGGCTCATGCTGGTCTCCAAGCTGTTGATATCCGAACCAACGATTTCTGAGTTGGGAAAGACCGGTCGACTGCAGAAGGGACCGTGCGCTGGACGCCGCTTTTGAATCAACATCATTGTCAGTAGGTGGGGTGTTTTCTTTTCTGTTTTGTGCTGGAGGAGTGATGGTCATTCCACGCAGGAACCTGTTGGTTCCGTCCTTGTTTCCTTTCATCTCGCGGTTCGTGTTGCCTCAAGGGATTGGATCTTGGAATAGACGGCAGAAAGTAAATGAAGAGAATGCGCAAGGATAGTCGTCGAAATAGAAGTAGGGGAACAGAGTGCTGCATCTAGTCAAGGTTTGGAAAGAAATCAGGTGAGACGAGGTGGACATCTGGATTCTGGACTCTGGAGTCACTGGAGTCACGGTCACTGCCAACTGGTGACTGGACACAGTAACACGTGGTCAGGACACGCACTGTGTGCCCAAGTATTCACTCAAGCCTTTTTTTTTAAGTGGCGGCAAGGCGTAGCTTGCTTTAATCATTAACCAGTGCATACCGGGAGTACCTGCCTACCTAGGTAAGTACTTCGTAAGTAACCAACGTATGCGTTACGAGTGCAACCTTACCAGCTAAACTTACAGGTAAGGTACAATAGACCGTCATGCAGCATGCTACTGTACTAGTAGTCAAAAACTCAAAGCTCACAATTTCATACGCACTGTGGATCCACCAATTTACTAGCCTGAGAGACATCAACTAAGTAGTTCATACAGGTACTGCATGTCAGCACACTTAGAAGGGGCTGCTGGCATAATTGATTATAGCAGTGTCTTTAAATGTTTTCCCTTTTTCGTAGTCAAGCGTCCGTTCCTAGGAAGATGATCCGGGATTATCCTCACTCTACTGGAAGTTTATATTAGTTCATAGTTCTGGTCAATTATTGGTTCACGGTTCTGAACTTCTGATCAATCGTTGTGCCTAGCCCTGTTCCTACATTCGGTGGCTTCCAGTTCGTCGACACTTGCCCCCATCCATGAACCTCCTCACTCAGTCTCAACATCTCGCAAGCCTCAGCCCCATTACTTCTTGGGTGACTCCTGCTTCTCACCCGCACCATCACTCTCTGTCGCCGGTGCGTCGCCGGGAGTTTCGCTCTCTGCCGCCGGTGTGTCGCCAGCTGTTCCGCCTTCAGTCGCCGGGGCGTCGCGAGGTGTTTCACTCTCAGATTCGGGTTCAGCTGCGGGGGGGTTGGATTCTTATCGGTTAACCCGCTGCTCGAGACGGTCCAACCGACCGCTGAGAGCTTGGCTGTAAAGTAACGTTAGCTGCTGCAATAAAACGCTCGCAAGAGGCGGGGAGGCTTTACTAAGTATCGACCAAATTCGGGACCAAGTCCTTGAGAAACACGTTCTCGTCTTGCAGGGACTTATGTTTGTCTCGCAGAGACCGAGACTCACCCTTGACCGAGGCGAGCTCCTTCCTCAAGGTGGCCGACTCAGTGCTCGAGCTTCGTTGATACTTCTTCGCCAGGTCTTCCAAATCCTTGATCCGGGACAAACTGAGATTTCATAGAATCAGCAAACATCATACCCTCAACATTAGGCAAGGGACTCACGACTTCTCAGACTGTCTCCACTCAGCATATGCTTCGGCCAACGCGTTCTTGAGTGCAGTGTACTCCGCTGCCACCCAAGTTCTCCAGACGTTGCCAGTAGAGTCTTTGTAGATGTCGGAGGGGAACACAAAATCAAACAACGAAAGCAGAAGCCGCTTGTTTTGCTTCTCCGGAGAGTCTCTCACCGTCTTGGCTCCTTCCGCTTGTTTCTTTCTCCATTGCTGACAGCGATCGACTGTAGTATTGGCGATTTGGAGAAGAAACGTCAACATGGACGTTATTGCCGTAGACCATGCTTGCCACCCCATGATGGCGATGTACAGGAATTGAAGTTTGTAAAGGATCAGGTTTGCTGGGGAGAAATGGTGTTTTTTTCTTGGGACGTGATAATGTAGAAGACTAAAAGAGCCTCTGGTCTGGAATTTCTCTGCAGAGTAGGTAATAAAAACAGCTTGGGCATTCACCGTCTGATAACAAACACAGCTTTGCCTCAACTTCAGCTCACATTGCAATCAGTCTGCCTGAGTGACTGCGAAGGGCTCTACCCACGCCCCTGGACTCTTGTGCAACCTGCTCAGAGGACATCAGTGAACAATATTCACCTTGGTTCTCCTTGAGTTTCTGGTTGGAATTATATGTCTATAGTCGGTTTGGGGATGTCAGTATCACTGAAAGGTTGGAATAAATGTACTCAGTGATTGGAGCTGTCTCGGGCACGCGACCTTCACCAACGAATGGGTCCCTACCTATTTTGACGCATGCCAAACTTGCTTTGTCCACCGGATTGATTCAAACCACCACGTCGCATTCACGGGTCTCTCGGTCAAGGGAACAGGTTGCCCGTTCTGAGCGCATTGCCTGCCTTGAAGGCCCCTCCAAAGAACTGCTAATACTCGTGAAGCTTCAATTCCATGTTCCCTACTTGCGGGCGTGGATAGTACTTTCAGCAACAGTCTCTAGGCTGGCAGTGTTTGAGTGGTATTTGGGGCGAATATGAAGTCTCCTTTGGATCCAAAACTGTCAAAAATGGATTAGGGGTAACCTAATTTATCTAGAAGCCCGCCCAAGCCTTTTCACATTGGCATGAGAATTGCCCATTCAGCGGACGTTTCCGTGGCTTTTTTCAAAGCCAGAAGCCCTCACATGAACCGGTCGTCGGTCTGATCGACTCCGCCAAACCTTGGGTCCAGAACCGCAGCTCGCTCAATCCTAGCGCGGCGGTCGTTAAGGGAGAAGAGTCCAAAAAGAAGATTCATCGGTCACGGGGAGCTTTTGAGTCAGCCATTCATGAACCAAATTCAGCCGCGCTTTTGCGCATTTGATAACATAAACTGACAGCGGTGATCAATACCGTCGCCCCAGGGCTCTTCCGCCATAGGCGATGAGAGGCCTCTGTCCTCGCAATGCCCAGTCACACTGACCATAGTACTGCCATCTACGTGCAATTCTTCCGTCAAACAGGCGCTTCAACTCCTTCTGATCCTGAACAGACACCTGTTCTCGAGGTCGGGGGCTCCCAATGTCGCCCCAGAGATTACGGCGGGTGGTATCATTCAGACTCAGATCCAGGCGTCCAGCGAGCACCTCCCAAGGGATTCTTCCCCGCATTGTCGCGCAGTCCACATCATTGCACCATGTGATGCCTCTTCCCAGATGATCCTGTCCAAGGCCTAGCTGACTGGGTTGAGAAAGGCTGACCACAGGTAGCTGTCTGTCAAATCACCCCCGGCTGACCTGGGGAGCGTAAGTGTGTCGGCATAGGCAAGCCGGGGTGCACCACAAATCTCGAAGAAACCCTGGCCGACCTTGGAATCCAGATCCCCGATTGGACCGTTCAGGTTGTTGAAGTAGATTCTAGACTTTGCCGTTAATTTGAGACCGGCAGTGTTGGCGTGTAGGTCCTCGGGTGCAAGGGACCTGATGTGGTAGGGCGAAAGAGGTGCAGGGCCAAAAGCCTCGGGGCAATGTCGGTGAAGCTGTCCGATAGTCCTCTTGCAAGCCTCAAATCCAGTCTCTCCCTGGGAACTCGAACCAGGTGTAAATTCCCACCTGGCTTCGACAAACAATAATTCGACGCCGTGCTCCCAGAGATAGAGCCTGACATTGGCGAACGGACATCGGCGCGATGCCTCAGCGTCATCCTGGTGAGAGGGATCAGGGCACTTGACAAACAGCGTCCCCCAACACAACTCTATATTTGTGGCTGTCTCTGGAATGTCTTCGTGGAGGTATCTCTGCCAGTCTCGAATATCGTCGAGGTCGACCTCCCAGTGGGGACATAATACACGAGAGCCTTGACGCGCGATGCATGTGCGCGAGGCAGTGGCAGCTCGCTCCCTTGCGGTGAAGTGTACCGCACGATGCTTCGCATTGCAAGCGTGACACTCGAGAGGGGTTGTGAGGTCAAAAAGTCGGAGGGTATATCCTTCATCGCGTCTCGCGTCGCCGCACTCCCGGCAGTAAAAGGCTGGAACTGCCGTGTCTCCCTCGGAGCCGGCCTCAGGGGCAGCAGCTGGATCTTCGTTGGCCGTCTGCGCAAGGTTCATTAGTTGAGACGTTTTGGGACCTGGAAAATTTGCGGAACGTACCTCATACCCTGAATTCGAGTCCGCATCAGATCCCAGAGTGTGGTCATCCAACGCCTCTGTAACAGTCTCTACACTGGGCGGGGTGTCAGGCTGAGTCAAGGCCGGTATCCCGCCCAGGTCATCCCCAAGCTGTGTATACCCGAGCCTGCGGTTTCTGAGTCGGGAAAAGATTACTGTGTTGTGGAATTGGAGCGATCGAGCGCTCGAGGTAGCCGAGATCGACGTTCCGTTGAGATCATCCTCTGTAGTTGTGTTGCCCATGGTGTGGTAGACTGCAACTTGATGCGTCAAACGCGAAGAAATGGAAAGGGGGATGGCCAGAATGTGTCGAGCTGATTATAGAATAAAATCTCTGGTAAAGGGAGTAGTTTTAAGACAAAGAACGAGAATGGTAAGCAGGTAAGGTTATAGTGAGAAAAGTGAAAGTAAACGCTAGGAGAAGTCAAATAAGGTGTCGGTGGTCATATTGCACTTGTGTCTCCTGTCAGCTGCCGACGCGTATCAGGGCTACCTTACCTTACTATTGGCAAACAATCACGTTGCCAAGCAGTATCTTCTTTGTTGTGGTGAAACAGCAAACTGGTTGACCGCAATAACCGATTAAAGCTGTTCGTCAATACTCTTGGCGCATGTGTGTCTAGTTCAGGTAAAAGTATACGTTAGCTTAGACAACATTTCTTTCATCTGTTGAGCCGTCGAAGCCGTAGCAGTCTTCGACTCAATTATGAGATTGAATATTTTGCACGTCACCCTCCGTTCGCACACAGTTCTCCATGCAATATCCACGATTCGTATTCATTCAATACGCACCGCGGCGCCCTCCAAGATTCCGCTTTGCTAGTGCCAGCACATGCCTCGAGCATGCCCAGCGACATCCAAACACTTCATGTAAACTGGCAGTCAGTCTGATCTGTCTTGACGACCTCCTCAAGACTTGAACCCAGAATCCCGGCGCGCTCAATCCAAGCCTTATCACCATTAGTACTTGCTGACTTTCTCATTCCAGCGTATCGGAGCACTTACATCCAGAACGGCTTCCTCCAGGTGCTGCTCCCTGCTCAGGACGAACAGGGTCGTAAAGTTGTTTGACTGGACAATGGCAATGTCATCGGCAAGGTCTGCTCAGTATCAGCGCGTGGAACACTACCCCATTCCCAGTAACAAAACCCACCCTGCACGATGTAGTTGGGACCAGCACAGTCGGGGGCAGGCTGCCCGGGGAATTGCACCCTGAGCGCGCCCTGTGCACCATACGCGGGATCCGCAGGCGAAGCGGCACCCAGAATGTTCACAGCGCGGCCCTGGGCTTCGCATGTGTTGTTAACCTGCACCGTGCCATCGGTCTTTGTGGGGTCAGCAATTGACTCTCGCGTGCAGAGAAGAGGAGGGAACATACATTCAAGGCATATTGCGCGTATATGCACTTGCAGCCGGCGGTGAAGGGCGCCAGCGTGCCAGCCACTTGATACCAGCGTCCGAGGTACGGCTCGAGCTGGAAGCCGGGGTCGGCGGTCGGATAATAGCATTGGCCATCCCACAGCGAGGGGACAACATTGGATGTCTGCGTTTGGTTTGTCGTTGCGACCGCAGACACGGCGGTGGCCTGGAGGAGGGCGGTGGCACTTGGGCGCATGGTGGGTGAGGTGGTGGTGGTATGGTGGTGTGGAATGGGGGTCAAGAAATAAGCTTATCCAGGATGTGGCGCCTTGCTTTTAGTGTTCCAGCTGCAACGTCTTATAGTCGTGCCATGGGAAACATCGCACATCTTGGCGTTCCGAACACCGAGACCGAGCATGGGGAGAGGTTGGCACACATGTACGTATGACGCGTGGTTGATGGTGTTCCTGGGGAAGAAACGGGAGCTGGTGACTGGGCTGGCGTCGGCACTTGAGAGTCAATGACGCACGTCTTGCGGGTGCCGGTACGGAGTACAGGGTTGCCAATTGCCAAGACGGCACCTGCCAGCCACACCTAGTGAGCTACCCTACACAGGTATGACAGGAAGCAAGTCGCGAGGTTCAGGACTTGATGAGGCGATTTATCAAGGTGAATGGCTATTGTGAAGAAGTCAGAGCAAGGCGACTATTGGGTAGACTGAGAATCTAGTTCTTTCTGTCAATAATTCGTGGGTGCACTCTTGCTCATGAGACGATGTTTTCCATCCAGCACTCCCATGCAAACATGCACCTCAACGCAATCATTATTTACAAAACAGATCAAGCAAAAAGGTATCAACCAATCAATTACGCTACAAATACAGCCTCTACGAAAAACGCACGACAAACCCGCTTTCGAACCACCACCAACCATCAAACATTGTTGTCGGCGCAGCTGAAGGCCTGGCCAATCTCCCCGCTCGCGTACGCGTCAATAATGGACTGTACCGTGCCGTACGTGCCGCCGACCGTCAGAAACACGGCCAGCAGGATCATGAGCCAGTTGAGCCAGTACACGAGGACCTGCCACCACGCCCCCTTGCGGTAGTGCTGGTGGTCGTAGATCCACAGGTACCCGGGCAGACCCAGGGCGAGCGGCGCAAAGGTCAGGCTGCCGGCCAGGGCCAGGAGGTAGTTGAAGATGGGGATGCCAGACGCGAGGAGGAACGCGACGACGGACATGCCGAACGTGCAGCCGAGCCAGACGGACCAGTGCACGACGCTGTTCTTCTGCAGGTGCGGCGAGTCGCGCAGCATGCGCACAAACAGGTACTTGGCCGCGACGTGGATGTACAGACAGGCGCTGACCAGCAGTCCGATGAGACCGACGCCGTAGGCCACCTTTTTGAGGGTGTCGCCCGCGCTGCCCAGGCTCGGCGAGGCCACCCACTTGCCGCAGTAGGCGTACACGACGAGGGAGAAGGTGAGGTAGGACGCGGTCACGATGCTCATGCAGAGGTAGACGGCCTTGTTGTAGTCGCGCGGGCGTCGCATCTCGGAGATGACGGGCAAAAAGGCGGACGTGCCGGCGCCCGAGCAGAAGATGGTCGCGACGGAGGTGATGGCGCTCACAAAGGTCGGATTGCCGATGACGCGGTAACCAAAGTCGTATTCGCCCGTCTGGGGGGCGGCAGCCGGGCGATCACGTTGCGTGACGCCAACACTGGGAAGAAGTTAGCGAGGACGAGAAGAGAGGACAAGACAAGACATACACGACGATGAAGACGGCAATGTACACGGAGAGGAACCCCGCCCAGGTGAGCCAGGCAATCTTCTCAAACTTGCGCGCGCTGGCGAGAATAAACACGGCAATGGTGCACACGGCCATGAACCAGTTTGTGCAGATGGCGTGGTTGGAGAAGACGTTGAGGGCGACGGAGGAGCCAAAGATGCCCGCGGCCCCGACGATGGCGTAGGTGACGAGGAACAGGACGCCGACGACTTCCTTCAGCCAGACGCCGCCCACGACGTTGGCCATGTCGGCGATGGAGTGGCAGCCGGCGTGGGCGTTGCGAAAGTTACCCTGTATGATGGCGCAGTACGTGTTGAGCGCCTGCCAGCCGAGGACGTTGATGGCGCCCGGCAGGGCCCCGAGGACGTACATGGCCGAGGGGATGGTGAGCACGCCCACGGCGAAGATGACTGTCTTGTGAGTTGGGTACGCGGAGAGAAAGACAAGAGGAACATACCTTTGAGGAAGATGACCGACGCTTGAATCCAACCGACGGTGCGAAAGTCGACCTGGCCGTCGCCCCGTTTGAAGACCTCAAAGTTGTCTTCCGCGTGGCCCACCTTGCCGTCGTCGACGCTGCCGCTGGCGCTGCGCATGAGCGCGGGCGCGGGCGTGATGCCCTCGTTCTTCTCTGTGTCTGCCATGGCGGGATGTAGGAGAATCTAGTCAGACGCTGCTCTTGGTGGATGTGTGCGCGGGCTAGTCTAGTCTGTCATGAACCAAGCTCGTGGTGATGGTAGTAGACGAGGCAGGCGATCGTCGTTTGTCTTATACAGTGAGCCACCGTGAGCGCGTGAGCCATACCCCAACGACAGACAGATAGGTGAGCAGCTCTCCCCGCCTTATCTCTGTCTCGTGCGTGCGTACGTAGCTGGGCAGTGGGTATGGGGTTTGTTGATGGTGGCTCGTCCAGGCCTGCTGGATCTCAGGGGAGGTTATCAGCGTGAAGAAATGGGGCCGAGTCAAAATCCCCGGGTTTCTGGACGCAGAAGTGGAATGAAAAAGTGGAAATGTGGCAAGGCGGGACGCGTGTGATTTGATGCTGGTCTGGGGCGTTGGAGGTCAGGTTGGAGACTAGCCTCCCAAGGGGTCTATCAGATACGCCTGGCTTATCATGGGGTAGCAGCGGGCGCGTAGGTGGTTGGAGTTCTCTTGGGGTAGAGATAACCCCTCGAGGGTCTTGAGTAGCTCGAGGAGCTCGAGGTGGCTTGAGGAAGTTGAGGTTGGAGGTGTTGACTGGAGCTGGAGGTTGGACCTGGAAGAGGAGGCGTCTGATATGGGACGTAATGCCTCAAGGAGCGAGGCGCTTTGTGGAAAGCATCTGTGGAATAGCTTACATGTGTTGTCTACAACGCCAAGGCACAGCATCACTTCGGATGGATATGATAGTCAAGTACAAAATCTTCATCTACTTCAACATGGCCCCTGGCGCAGCAGGCATCACCGCCCCCTCGGGCGCCTTGACCCTCGCCTTAAAGTCATCACAAATTTCCGCCATGGTCACAAACTCCACGCCCTCATGCCCCTTCATATACTCAATGAGCCGCTCATGCATCAAAATTGCATGCGGTCGCCCCGACACATCCGGGTGGATGGTGATGGGGAAGATGAACTCGTCGTACTCCCGGTAGAAGTAGTCAAAGTGATCACGCCAGATATCCTCGACGTCACGGGCGTTGACAAAGCCGTGGCTATTGGGCGCCTTTTTGATAAACATCATGGGCGGCAGGTCGTCCAGGTACCAGTTGGCGGGGATCTCGACGAGGCCCGTCTCCTGGCCGCGCACGAGGGGCTTCATCCAGGCGTCTGGGTGCTGCTTGTAGTCAATGGGCGTCCAGGTGTCCCCCGTGCGGAGATAGTACGGCTCGCAGTCCGTGTGGCTCATGCTGTGGTCGTACTCGATGCCGTAGTCGAGCAGCAGCTGCGCGCCTTCGACTGACGTCTCCCACCAGGGCGCGACGCTGCCCCGGGGCGGTTTGCCGGCGAATTCGGTGAGCATCTTGTACGTCTTGTCGAGGATGACGCGCTGCTGCTCAATGGTCATGTCCGTCGGGTTCTCGTGCGAGTAGCCGTGCAGGCCAATCTCGTGGCCTGCGTCCCGCACCGCCGCCATGTCCTCGGGGAACGTCTCGAGCGAGTGGCCGGGGATGAACCATGTGCCCTTGATGTTGTACTTGTTGAGCAGCTTGAGGACACGCTGCGTACCCACGGTGCCGGCAAAGTAGCCTGTCTCGTCAGACTGTGTCTATCAAAAGAAGGGATATACACACCTCTGCTGATGTCGTTGGTCGAGTCCTCGCCACCGTATGAGCCTAGCCAACCCGCCACAGCGTCCACGTCGACGCCATAGCTCACGAGAACGCGCTTCTTGCCCATGTTGCCTGTCTTGTCTCTGTATGTGGGATCAGTTGTCGATGACAGCAGTGACAGCTCGAAGTGAGGTCAGAGCTGAGACGTGGAAATGGCACGATGTCATGACCCTCCCGAGTCCCGACCTCGGAAGGGTCCCCGAACATGGCGGGGAAGCTTATCATGCTGTTGGAGACGAGAGTTACTCCAAGCCTCCAACTATCAATGACTCCAAGATGTATTCGGGCTGCATCATGATGATGGAGTCAAACGGCGGGGAAGGACGCCTTCGAGTGCCACTGATTAGATGCCATGCTGATTGCAAGATGCTATCAAATTACCCCAGAAAAGATCCATCAAAACCGAGATACGGGATTTACTCTGGACAGGGTCATAGTTATACCAAAGATCAAGGCAGAACTAACACAGGACTGGCAGCAGACATGACTCCCTCAGTCCCCTCGACTATGCGCGCAGCATACATTGCAGAGGTATGTCAAGCCAGCTAAGAGCTTTATGAAAACATGTACACCAATCTCACACTCCCAGTATAACAAGCCCTACGCCCTGAATGAGAGCCGAGCCACGCCCACGCCTGGCCCAGAGGACCTCCTCATCCGAGTCCACGCCGCAGGCTTCTGCCACTCGGACGCCCAAGCCCTCCAAGGCCAGTTCCGCACACCATCACCCCTAGGCCTCATCCCCTCGCACGAGATTGCCGGCGTCATCGCCGCCACCGGCGCCTCATACCAAGGCCAGTTCAAAATCGGCGACAGGGTGGGCATCCTCAACTTCAAGCACGCCTGTGGCACATGTCCCGGCTGCCGTCTGCGCAAGCGCACCACCTCCAACAAGCCCTCGGATCCACGGTTCTGCGATAACAGAGAGACCGCTGGCTTTCTCCACGATGGCGGCTTTGCAGACTATGCCGTTGGAGACCCCGAGACGACCGTCCGCTTGCCAGATGGTATGTCCTTTGCGCAAGCCGCGCCGCTCATGTGCGCCGGCGCCACGGTCTGGGGTTCCCTCGAGCGCGCCACAGAGGGTCTCGCCAAGGGGGACACGATAGCCATTGTCGGCGTCGGTGGGCTGGGCCATTTAGGCGTGCAGTTCGCCAAGGCGCTGGGCTTCCAGGTCATTGCCGTGGACAGCAGACAGGCTGGTCGCGATCTAGCCATGGAGATGGACAACCGGTCCCTCCAACCGGATCTGGTGGTCGACTCGTCCGACCCCACAACGGCGTCGGAGCAGATCTATCGCTTCACGAACAACGAGGGTGTCGCGGCGGCTGTGGTCTGCACCGACTCCATCGCCGCCAACCGATGGGCTCTCCAACTGCTTCGGATTGGAGGCACGCTCGGTCTGCTGGGGCTGCCGCCTACGCCGTGGCAGTTTGACGCTGATGTGATCGTCTTCAAGGAGCTGTCGATTCGGGGTAGCTACGTCGCTGGGCGGGACGCCACGGAGCGCATGCTGGAGGTTGTGGAGGAGGCTGGGGTGCGCAGCCAGGTTACAGAGATTGGATACGAGAGGATTCCGGAGATTATGGAGTTGTACGAGGATAGGGAGTTCAAGGGGCGTCTGGTTGTCAACATGGCGGATTGATGGGAGTTGGAGGTGTTGGAGGTAGTAGGTAGATGGACTCATGGAGTAGAAGATGATGATGAATGCTCCAGCCTCCAAGCCTCCAACGCCGCTCCAAGGCGCGATCCATCGGAGAAGGCCGTCTCTCGAGTCAACCTCTGAATTGGATAGTAATCTATCCGTAGTATTCTGGTAACTGACGTCTGTCCTTGGAGTCCATGACTCCATTGTCCGCATACAAAGCCTTAATCTCAACGTCAAGTCTATTCTCACCCACACAAACGCAGTATCATCCGCCATGTCCGTCTTCTTCAAGGAGATATCGCCGTACGTCCAGCGGCTCACTCTATGCCATGACTTGTATTAACGCAACCCAGAAACAACCCGGTCAAAAATGGAGACGTAGAGTCTCTCTTATCACCTCTCCATCTCACAGTTCCACCATCAGAGTCCCAGGACTACACAACCCTCCTGGCTGCTGTCCACGACTGCGCAGAGCGTATAGAAAGTCTGCCAGACTACCAGCCTGTCCCAGACACAGCCCGGTTCCCCCGCGAGAACATCCATCTCCCCACACCTTCAGAGCAAAAGTATGGCGCGGCATGGGCACACAAGTTCACCATCCCCGGTGACGAGACCTCCACCTCAGCTCTCAAAGGCAAGACCGTATGCATAAAAGACTGTATCGCCGTGGCAGGCGTTCCGCAATTCTACGGTAGCAACGCCTTTCCAGCATGGACGCCAAGTACCGACGCCACTGTCGTGACGAGGGTCCTTGAGAATGGCGCCAGCGTCGTGGGCACGGCGACGTGCGAGAACTTTTGCAACTCAACGTCGAGTTTCACATCCGCCCAGGGCACGGTGCACAATCCCCATCGGGAAGGCTACTCTGCCGGTGGAAGTACCTCGGGCGGCGCGGCGCTGGTGACGGGTGGCCTCGTTGATCTCGCCATTGGCACGGATCAGGGCGGGAGTATCCGCGTCCCAGCATCACTGTGTGGATGTGTGGGCTTCAAGCCGACGCATGGCCTCGTGCCGTACACGGGCATCACCAGTGGTGATCAGGTGGATGACCACGCTGGTCCGCTGGGGCGAACCGTATCGGATGTCGCGGCGTGTCTCGACGCAATAGCTGGATACGACGGTATCGACGACCGATCAATCGCGGCTAGACCACCCGGGTCTTACTCCTTCGCCAAGAGTCTTGCCAGGGGCAGCCGTCGTCTGGACGGTATCAAGATTGGTGTCTTGAAAGAAGGCTACCAGAGCGAGCTCGTCCAGCCGGGCGTGCGGACCGCCTTCTTCTCCGCCATCCAGCGTCTCCAAGCACTCGGTGCCACGATCGAGGAGATCTCCATCCCTCTGCACAAGGAGGGCCCCTCAATATGGACCATCCAGCAACGCATCTCCGGCGCAGCTGGCATCCTAGGCCACGCCCATGGACGCAGGGGTCTCTACCTCACCGACTTTGAACACACGCGTCTGCCCTGGACAGCCGCCAACTTTGCCAAGCTCTTCCCGTCGACCAAGAACACCGTCATCAACGGCCTCTACCTTTCACAGCAGTTCCCCGGCCTCTACGCCAAGACGATGAACATTGGGCGGCAGATTAGCGACGCGTACCAGCGGCAGTTTGCCCAGTACGACGCTATCGTCATGCCGACGACGCCCTTTGTCGCGCCCCGGCACGGGACCCGGGACAATGTCCTCAAGAGCTTCGAGCCGAGCATGGGCATGACGACCAACACGGCCGTCTTCAACGTCACGGGCCACCCGGCGCTGTCCATGCCCGTCGGCTGGGCGAGGAATGTTGAGGGGGAGGTCGAGCTGCCCGTGGGCCTGCAGATTGTCGGTGGGCTGTGGCAGGAGGACAAGGTGCTCGGTGTGGCGGCGGCGTTGGAGGCGAGCTTTGACTGGAGGGCTACCCAGGAGAAGGTGGTAGAGGCGCGTCTTGGGATCCAGGAGAAGATCAATGGGCATGTGCCGTCTGTGCGGGAGGTGACGGAGCGCGTTGAGATATCCACATAGATAGATGTGATTGAGCAATACTTGAATATCGCTCTCAGCTACTGATCTTGTGATTGTCTCTTTGACGAGCTGCCTTCAATGCATGCTCCTTCAGTCACAACAAGGACCTAGTTAATGGTATACCCTCCATCCACCACCAACGCATGCCCCTGCACAAACGCCGCCTCCTTGCTGCTCAGAAAGACGACCGTGTCCGCGACCTCCTCGGGCGTGCCCATCCTCCCCATGGGCGCAATCTCAATCGCGCTCCTCAGCCTGTCCTCCACCTCCCTGCTCCCCGTGGTCATGGGCGTCGCAATGACCCCCGGACACACGCAGTTCACCCTAATCTGATCTTTCGAATAATCAGTGGCGTCCGCGCGCGTCATGTTGATAATAGCAGACTTGGAGCCGCAGTACGCCGCCGCTGCTGGACGCGCGACGACGCCCAGCTGCGACGCGACGTGCACAATGGCGCCACGCTGCTTCCTGTGCGCGTCCAGCGGTGTTTGGGTGATCATGTGGCCCAGCACGGCGCGCGAGACGAGCCATGTGCCGCGGTAGTTGACCCTGTTGATCTGGTCAAACTCGTCCACCGTGGCCTCGTGCGAGCGCAGACCCTTGCCGAGGATGCCCGCGCATTGGACGGAGTAGTCCACGCGACCAAACGTGCCAATGGCATCTTTGACGAAGCGGGCGACAAAGGACTCGTCCGAGACGTCGCCTGACGTGGAGAAGATCTCGGCGGATGGGTTCAGGGCGCGCACCGCGTCGTGGGTGGAGGAGAGCGACCGGGCGTTGAGGTCGGTGATGGCGAAGCGTGTGCAGCCGTTGATGGCGAATGCCTTGGCGACGGCGGCGCCGATGCCTAGAGCTTGTGTGAGTCTTGGATCTCTGTTCTGATGCTCGGGACGTACCTGTCCCACCAGCGCCTGTGATGAGGGCGACACCGGGTAGGCGGGAGGAGATGGTCATTTTCATCCGCTCACGATAGTGTCTCAATCAAGATCCGTAGTACGTGCAGTCGGAGTCAAATGTCCCCAACATGAACGTCGTCAGCACTGGATATGCTGTATTCATGTTCCCTAGACGACGTCTAGACGGCCTCGCCATCACAGCTGACCCCATCGTCGACCTCAGGCTCGCGTGCCGCCTCCAACTTGAATGCGACGCTACCCCATCCAAGACACGCATGCCAGCAGCGGCCAGCTTACGGCCGACGCATCCGTCTCCAACGCATCATTTTCTCACTGGACCCTTTATCAATTATTATCATTATTGCATGCATCTAACGCTAACAAACCTAAAAAAATAATCGCGCGAGTCAGGCGCCTGCGACTCCAACTTAAGCCACAGAGGCCCCCGTCCGCCTCCATGCCGGCATTTCCCATTTTTTCCCTCCCCCTTCCCACAAACATCTCCAACACCTCTCGTGCTCACGACGACTCCATGGCGTGAATGGGGCACGCCACTGTCAAATCACTGAATCATACTGCGTACCGCGCCCTGCCCTTGATGGGGACGCGTCGACACGATGCTCGCCTCTCCAAATAAGCGTCGTCGGATGAATGGAGATGTCCATGGGGCCCTTGCTGGCGCTGGGCCTGGAGCAGCAGGCAACGTCCGCATGTGCCCCCATTGCGGACGCACGTTTAAGCGGACGGAGCATCTGGAGCGCCATGTGCGAACGCGTGAGTGATACCCCAGAGAGTTCGTCTCTGCCTTGTGGGACTCTGTTACGCTCAACGTCATCTCGTCGGTATCATGTGTGCTGATGGGAGCCAGACACCAAGGAGAAGCCCTTTCTGTGTCACTGTGGGGCTGCCTTTGCGAGACGTGACCTCCTGACGAGGCACTTTCGCGTCGCGGACCATGGTGAGCAGCCCACGCCCTCGGACAAGTCGTCCGGCGGAGGGACGCAGGAGCCCAATGTCGTCCACATCAACGTGAGACCTGGAGTAGATCGGCATGACGCGGGCGAGGCTGATATCGCGGCTGCCGTGTCCCTGTCTGGGTTGAGTGGTGATCCGTGGCATGCGCAGCAGGGGCCACCTCCGCCTCCGACTCAACACGAGATCAACCCTGATCTACCACATCAAGGCCTCCAGGAGCAAGGCATACCTCCTCCGCCGTTACATAACCAACACAGCGCCCCCCTCCCCCATGAGGTGCCGCACCCACAGCCGATAGCACACCAGCCCATGCCAGGACCCCTCGACGACCAGAGACGCAATGGGTTCATGGACACGGGCCAGTTTGTGCCGGGCGTCCTGTCACCTCAGCTCTTTGACGGGAGCGTCGACTTTGACCCGCACTTTCGCGAGTTTGCCAACTTTCTGGACGGCGTCGGCCTGCCCACCGAATGGAGTCCCTACTTCAACAACCCGGAGAGCACCATTGACCCAGGTCTGAAGGAAGACGGCGGCGAGGCGGTCTCGCCCAAGTCGGGGCCTCGGACTCGCGCTGGGACGCCCTTTAGCTCATGGCTCCCGTCTGCGCCGACGGGCAACAGGATAGCCAACTACGTCTCCATCACTGACAGTGCGTGCCACCACCCTGCCCTCTCTCCTCGTCACCATCCAGCTAACACCGACACGCAGACCCACGAGCCATTGACCCAGAGACACGCCCCTTTAAGATCACCGAGGACCAGCGCAGCAAGCTGCTTGCCTCCCTCGAACCACTCGCGCCTCTCCTCCCACCTGGCTTCCGCCTCCCCTCGCGGCACGCCCTAACGCGCTACATCACCTCCTTCTTCGAGGGGTTCCACTCCCACATGCCCTTCATCCACCCGCCGACATGGCACATTCTCGAGCACCCGCTCGAAATCATCTTGGGCGTCGCCGCCATTGGCGCGCAGTACTGCTTCGAGCATCGCGTCTCTGCGCGTCTCTTCTACTCGGGCAAGGCCATCCTTATGGAGCGTCTGGGTCGGGGTGCCGATGGTCTCGGACCCCGGACGCGCTCCTTCATGACGCTCAACTCCCCGGGCACCATGGGTCTCAACGGCATCGACGGCGGCATCAACGCTGTCGAGACGGTCCGTGCGCTCATCACACTCATGGGCTTTGCGACATGGGAGCCCACCTCGACCATGGTGCAGGAGTCGTTCAGTCTGCAGGGTCTGCTCACGCACGTCCTGCGCGACATTGGCCTCGACGAGACGGAAGCCTCATCGCCCGAGGCGAGTGTCCCCGAGGGCGAGGGGCTCGAGCACGAGTGGCGCGTCTGGGTCGACGCTGAATCCCATCGGCGCACCAAGCTCATTGCCTTTTCGTTCCTGCACACCCACAGCATCGCGTACAACGTGTACCCCGTCCTGCGCAGCAACGAGGTGAATTTAAGGCTTCCCTGCGCAACCAAGGAGTGGAAGGCGCCCACGCCCCAGCTCTGGCACGCCGCGAGGCGCGAGGTTGGTCGCCAGCAGCTCTACTTCCAGGAGGCGCTGAGCGTTCTGCTGAGGAACAAGGAGTGCGCGGCCGCCCTGGATCCCATCCCCACGCCGCTGGGGAATTATGTCCTGCTTCACGGGCTGCTGCAGCGGATCCATATCGTGCGGGATCTGAGTCTGCCGGTGATGAGTAGTTCTGCTGCGCTGCCGGCGGAGGAGGTAGAGAAGCTGGAGCGTGGGCTTCGTTCGTGGACGTCTGGGTGGCAGCAGGCCCCTGAGTCCACTTTAGATCCTAACAACGAGAATGGGCCGATCCCATTCACGTCGTCCTCGCTGCTCGCGCTCGCATACGTGCGGATCTACCTCCACCTGGGTCCCTACCGACATCTCGAGACACGGGATCCGCACCGTATCGCATCGGCCATCTTCCAGAGTCCAGACATTGAGCGCAGCGACGGCGTGATTGCCGCGCTGCTGTACACGGCGCACATGATTAGCATACCGGTGCGTCTGGGCGTCGATCGCGTCGCGCGGAGTCAGGCGTTCTTCTGGAGTGTGCGGCATAGTCTGGCGAGTCTGGACTGTGGTGTGTTGCTGAGCAAGTGGCTGTCTCGGCTGGGCGACACTGTGGCATCGTCGCCTCTGCGTGGTAGGTTTTCCTTTCGATTGAAGAATCACATATACTGACCCCCCCAGACAGCGAGGATCGCATCCTGCATTGGGTCCGCTGCATCGTCGAGGAGGCCTACCAGGGCGTCGACTTTCACGAGGAGCACGACATTCCCCAGTTTCTGGATTTCCGCGATCCGTCCAACCTCAGCCTGGCGGTGATCAAGATCTGGGCGCACTTTTTCAAGAGTAACACGCAGTGGCCGTTTATCAACATTATCGGCCAGAGTCTGGAGCGGTACCGCGATATGCTGGTGCAGAAGCGGCTGCGGGAGATGGCGAGGGTGCAGTGACTGGAAGTGTTGATTGCATCGTTGATATTGGTCTTTGATGAGACAACACACATGGATGATACCAGGTCTCTCTTTTCCGGATCCATTTCATGAGCGATGCATGACCTCGACTGTCAAACTGCCCTTGATTGACGTGACTAGTCGCGTGCTGGGTGCGTACAGCCAACACCCAAACTATCTGTCACCAGGTGTTCAAGTTCGCAGGCTTCATGTTCTTCATGCGTGCATGCGTGCATGCGGGTTGGCAATACCAATATTGAAGGAATGCTTGCCTCAAGATCGAAGAACGGGACACTTGTGCCTCTTTCATCGATGTCATGTTGCCACTCGATAGAAGCGAGCATGACCACCGTTTGTCCCTCGACGCTTGACACGCCACAAACAACTCGAACAAGCGCTTCTCGCCAATTATTCTTAACAAAGGTCCATATCTGTGTATGACTGTTTAATGTTTCCTAAACCCTAATTTCAACCCATACTCTAGGGCTCGACACCTGATTCGCCAAGTATTCCTGGTTTTCATCCGGCCCTCACCCACCGCTGACTTCAAGATCAACCAAGAACGCGACCAGGTCCTATCAAAAGTCCCAGAAGCCGCTCGAACTTTCAAAAATCTTTTCAAAGCACAGTGACTGGCTCTTGAATTCACCCTAACGTTGACGAGTGACTTGCCCAAGCACCTCGAGCGAGTGATCGCGGCGTTTCAAGTATCCTCGAACTACAAAAGCTTCCAATCCAAACACGATCCTTTTCCCTTTCTCTCTCTTTGTCACCCTCGAAGTATAAACAGAGCTCAAGCTCCTATTTCTCTAACTGATCGAATTCAGTGACTTTGCTCTTCAGTCCGCTCCCAGCTTCTGCTCCCAATCCTCCACATCGACAGCCACCGCTTCTCGCCTCGACAATGACGCCCACAGACAAGAACAAATCTGACACCCCCGATGAGCAGCAGGACGCTTTCGCAGGCTCGCTGACTTCGGACCTCCTCGAGTCCCTGCGTGAGTCAACCACGGCTGAACCATGTCAACCCAGCACCAGCCGCAACAGCATCGTTCCAACTCGCCATAGAAGCCTCTCGCACGCTCAGACTCCTCAACGTGTTCCAACGGTTACAGCTTCAATTAGTACCCTTTCGCGCTCTCTCAAACGGGCTTCCACCCCTTGACAATCGACCAATCCATCTGGTCGCCCCAGGCCAACGAACTACCAGCGTCCTCGTCACTTCTCAGTCCATTCACTGCGAGGACACGCACCAACACTGGGAGTTCCGAGCTTCCTGCATTGAGTACGACCATTCTATCTCTCCCCCTCTCTATCTTGACTAACATCCCACACCAGCTGAATCGGGCTCATCCCCTCCATCCCGTCCGTCACCACAGGATGCCTCGCATCGTGATCCCGCTCTGGGAAACATCCAGCCAACCCCTGGCGGACATTACAATCAGACGCACACATATGAAGGGCAACCGATGGCTCAGATGCATAGGGCAGTCCCCAATCGACAGTCCACCTTCGCTCAACATTGGCCTGCGCCCCTGACGGCCCCAACATCACCCACCAGCACTGTCCGCCCTCTCTTTTCCACCACCGCAAGCTCGATTCTGGCGACGGGGGAAGGGATATCGGCGCTGGAACACATCGTACAAGAACACATGCGGCTCACAAATCCTCCCCCTATTCCTATGTCTCCACCGCCCCCCTCAAACCATCAGCATGGCCCTCCTCCAACCATGCCCACACGCACATTCGATCCCGTAGCACCTCGTCGTCCAGGCCAGCGTCATTCCTATATCCCCATGCACGCCGTCACGAATCGCAACACCCGCCCGTCACACCAGCCACCAACCCCCCACCGCCCAATCCTCCCCGGGACAGCCACGGGTGGTCCATCCGGTCCGCTGTCCACCTTCTCGCCCGCCTACCAGGGCCAGCACTCGCACCAAAACGCCTCGGCCAACATCCCCGACGCCCTCAACTGTGCTGTCTGGGTGCGCAACCTGCCCCCGGACGTGACGTACCACGAGCTCCTCTCGACGATCCGCCATATAGGCCGCGTCTGGTGCAGCTACATCAACGAGCCCGACTATATCCGGCACGCCACCGCCGCCGCCAAAATCGTCTTCTTCCAACCGGATGCTGCGCAGCGGTACCTTGTCCACGTCAACTCCATGCGTCCCGCCATCCGTGGCTTCGCGGTGCGCGTGGCGTACAACCGCGTCAAGATCCCTGCGCAGCTGGACCACGGCATAAACGCCAGCCGGTGCATTATCGTCACCGGCACAAAGGCGTTCGCCCGGTGGACGAACCTCGAGGCATGGTTTCAACGACTCTTTGTGTTCCAAGTCGACGAGGCCTAGGATGTCAACGTCGCCGGCGCGGAGGGGGATATCGCGGTCGTGGAGGTACGCTTTGGGAGCTTTCGCCACCAGGCGTCGGCGGCACGCCTGGCGCTGAAATATGAGCGGCCGGCGGGGTTCTTCAAGGTCGAGTACAGCGCTGATCCGTGCGAGGTGGGCGTCGAGGTTACCCAGCCCTATGTCACGGCGATTGCCCATAGACGCGTGGCTGGCATCATGGACGAGCACACGCCTGGTGCGCGTAGTTGATCAGGCCTTGGACTTGGCTCCGCCCTTATGGGTGTGTGTGGCTGTGGCTGTGGCATTGACTCTGATGTGTGAGGACGAGGTGTGGTATTGATCGTGGCTCGATATTCAATGACGGAATATTACAGGGCGATGCTCAGAAGCATCTGACAAACCCGGTTTACAATGGCCCAGCCGTTCAAAAGAGCAGCTATACAGATTGAAAGATGGGCTGGCTATGGTTTGCGCGATGATGGAGTCCTCTGAAATACCTGCCATAGACTCGTCTGGGTCAAGAAACATGTTTTGAATATCTTCAGATATATCAATATCAATATATCATACAATTCATCCTATCAAATTCACAACTGCGAAGCAGTTTCACCCTCCAACTCATTCCTTCAACTCTGCCATTCCGTCCTCCTTGTGCACAACCATGCCATCGTCCCCCAGCGCTGTCTTGCTGGGCGCCTCGCCAGGAATTCCCATGCTTTTGTCCCAGTGTAACAAAATCTTGGGCCCGGTGAACAGCTTGTCAATCTGCTCGAGACTGAGCCACTGGGTCTCGGGGTAGCAGAAGTAGATGAGCGGGATGAAGCCCAAGTTGAAGACGCAGAAATAAACATATGTCTTCCAGCCAATACTGTCGATGGAGACGGGCGTGATCATGACCACCAGAAAAGTGAAAACCCAGTTGGACGCCGTCGAGAGTGCAGCGGCGCGGGTTCGGATCGCCAGGGGGGCGTACTCGGCAGGCACTGCTCGTGTTAGTCTATAGATCAGGTTGGAACGTCCTCAAGAAACATACATAACCATGGAATGGCCAGTAGACCCACGGCAAAGAAGAAGTTGAAGAGGAACAGCATGACAGCCGCGACAATACCTGTCGCACGTCCCCCGTCCGAGACTGTCCCAGCCAACACAGCCATACAGCAACATTGTCCGGCGGCAGCGAACAGCATGAGCTTTCTTCGTCCCAGCCTGTCAATGATCCAGATGGGGATGAGAGACGAGAGGAAGTAGGCGATGCCGTTGAAGCCCGCCAGGAGGAGGGACATGTCGTGAGACATGCCCATGGACTTTTGGAAGATGACGGGGGCGTACTAAATATGATCTTGTCAGCAACGCTCACAACAAGAAGTTATGAAAACTCACATAAGTTATCAAATTTATGCCAGAAATTTGTTGCATAAACTGGCCACCCAACCCTAAAAGCGTCCTGATGAGGAACTTTTGCTCGCCATTCTTGAGGATCATGGCGAAGCTCCCCGCCTGGGCTGCTTCACGCTCCTCCTTGACGGCATGCTGAATCTCGGCCACGGTGCGGCTCAGCTCCTCGTCATCAATGCTCCTAGTCTTGCAGTCCTTCTGGACGGCCCAGAGGATCTTTCTGGCCTCGTCGTGGCGGTCGTGCGCGATAAGCCAGCGCGGCGACTCAGGCAGGACAAGCATGCCAACAAACGTGACGACGGCAAAGAAAATCTGCAGCGCAAGCGGGAAACGAAACTGCGCGTCATTCGAGACAAAGGACATGCCATAATCAACCCAGTACGACAGCATGACGCCAAAGATGTTGATAGCCAGCTCAATGGCCAGACCACGTCCACGGTTCTTGGCCTTCATGAGCTCCGAGTGCCAGACGGGAATGGTGCTCGTGTTCATGCCATTGCCGATGCCGGCCACGACACGGCCGACGATCATCTGGGGGATACCAAAGGCGGCGGCCTGCAGGGCGGCGCCGATGCTGAGGATGACGCAGCCGAGCATGACGCACTTGCGGCGGCCGAGGCGCTCGCCAAAGAGGAAGCAGAAGATGGCGCCGAGGAAGCAGCCAATTTCGTAGATGGCGACCACGAGGCCCTGGAGCGTGGGCGAGCCGGTGCCCGTGTCGGTGGTGTCGATCTCGGGGAACGTCTTGACAAAGGCGTAGCCCGTGAGCAAGCCGGACATGACGCCCTGGTCTGGGTGGCAGGGTCAGTACATGTACGGTCTTTGGCGAAAGTGGTCAGGGGCAATTACCATAGCCGAATAAGAGGAAGCCGCTTCCTGAGGTGGCCGTAATGGCCCAGTTGAGGGCACGCCCAGTGAGGATGGTCATCGTGGTGGTTGCATGGATGTCATGCAGACCAGGACCGTGGGAATGGGGGACACGGGTCTATTTGTACTCTTCCTGGTGCTGGGCAATGAGATCCCATCACGATGGATGCCTGCGGGATGTTGGACTATGTTGGTCCAAGTTTCTGCCCTGCGACTCTGTCTTTGCGTGCTAGTACAAGCCTGCGAGGCCTCCCCACATGGGGTCTCCAGACTCAGAGTCCAGCTGGGGCGGCATTTGGCCCCCTTGGGGTCTGCCATGGTCGAGAAGAGAAGGAGGAAGCGAGAGGGTGTCGCGAGTCAGTTGGCGCCGCTTAAGCGTCGTCGCGAAGCTGTATGCGCCTCACCATCTGGAGATCGTCTCCGCATGAGGTAGGTGTGAGCGAGGGGGGCGGCATCGCGTGGTGGAGGTGGGGAGAATGGCTAAGATCGACGGATGGTGTGCGCTTGGGACTTCTTTGTTGAGTAGAAGAGGTGTTGGAGGCGCTGAGACGCAAGTCGACGCGCCATGAAGTTCCATCGCGTGGTGCTGCCGTCTAGTCTGCCGTGTCCAGGGTAGCCTGCATGATTTTGCCTTCCCTCGGCTATTCCTGCCCAAAACGAACCAACATCATCTCCATCCAGTTCCTCCCCCACAACATCCACATCTTCATCCCTCGCTCACTCGCCATGCCTGCCTCGCCATGGCCAAGAATCGACGCACGCGCACGGGCTGCCTAGGGTGCCGACGCAAGAAGCGCAAATGCGACGAGGTCCACCCCCGATGCGGAACATGCATGCGTCGCGACGAGCCCTGCCACTGGGGCCTCAAGGTCACCTTTCGGGAGGAGAACGCGCTGGGACTCGACGAGATGCACCCCAGCATGCGCAAGGGCCGACTGCGTCGCGCACGTGGCGGCTATGAGATCCTGGACGTGACCGGCGAGGTCATCCGTGACCATGAGCGCGACGTCGAGCTGATGAGGGAGGACGACCTACTCAGGGACGGCGACGACGACGAGTCCCCCATCACACCGCAGCACACCGACATCGCAGTTGCCAGTCTCATCCATCTCAGCCGCGGCGGGCGCTCTGAGCCCGTACCAGGTCCACTGCCACCCTTGGGCGATGATGACCTGCTACAGTTCCCTCCGCCCTATCTACAGGTCTTCACACCAGAGGGCTCACTCGAGGATGGCGTTTTCATGCCCGGATCAGCGTACGCTGAGCTACATACCACGCTCCGCCATCACCTGATCCAGGAGGTCCGGTCCAACGTACCGACACGTGCCGCGACACCTGAAGACCAGCCTCTGCCCGACTCATCGGAAGAATCAGCGCGCGCCTCACTCGCGCCCGTCGACACGCCTCTCCTCACGAGCGAGGAAGAGATTGTGCTGTGGCGGAACTGGATCGACGAGGTGGCGCCGTGGCTGGACAAGTTCGACAACCTTCGTCACTTTCAGAACATCATCCCCTGCATGGCCTCGTCGCATCCCCATCTGCGCTACGCCATCCTGGCCCTGTCCGCGCGCCAGATCGAGCTCAAGGAGACTACGCGGGCCACGGGGCAGAGCCTCTCGCTTTACCAGCAGGCTATCCACCTCCTCCTACCCGAGCTGCCCACGCGAAGCACCGCCGTGATCGCGTCTTGTGTCATTCTCTGCGTCTTGGAGATGGGGTCCTGCTCCCCAAAGGCGTGGCGACGCCACCTCGATGGATGCGCGAGTCTCATGCTTGCCGTGGGCATACACGGGTTCGTGGGCGGCGTCGAGCAGGCTCTCTTCTGGTGCTTTGCGCGCATGGACGTCTGCGGCGGCCTCATCTCCTCCGTCAAGACCCTCATCCCCATCACGCACTGGGTACTGCTACCAGGGGGTCCCGATCTCGAGGCCACCGTCCAGCTGTTCAAGGCCAAGCAGGAATTTGACGAGTGGGCCAACTACTCGGCCTTCCTCCTGGGCCAGGTGCTCGATCTCGTGGCGCCCACGCCGTCCGCGCCCCTCGACACACCGTCTCGCACGGATCCGTCGTTCAGAGACCGATGGCTACAGCTATGGAGCTACCTCATCGAATGGCACGCCCTCCGCCCCGCGCCGCTGTATCCCATCCTCACCATCCCCTCGGCCCATCCGTTCCCCAAGATCCTCTACTCCAACGGGGCCGCCATCTCGGGCAACCAGCTGCACCACACCGCGTCCATCCTCATGCTGCAGGCCCAACCACCCGGTCTGCGTCTCGCCCCGAAACCGCGGAGTATTCTCTGGCACGCGCGCCAGGTCTGCGCCATCAGCATGAGCAATGACCACCACGGCGCGTGGACCAACTGCGTGCAGCCGCTGTGGATCGCGGGGCGGTGCATGAGCAGCCGAGAGGAGCACCGGGCCATTGTCGAGTGTCTGGAGCGCATCGAGCGCGAGAGCGGCTGGAAGACGCAGTGGCGCGTCGATGACCTCAAGGAGTTCTGGGGGGATCTGGAGTGAGCTGTCTTGCATGAGGATCGTCAGAATAAGAGAGGCGCTACTGCTACCCCGTGGGGGGAGTGGTGCAAGCGCGCCACTGAGAAAAAGTCGGGGGGATATGTGCCTTGTCGATCATGTCGGCAGCGTTGCATCGCAGCTCGCTCACGACCCCGATTGGATGGGCTAGATCGTCGTCAGGCCTCGTTTTCGTATTAAGCATCGAATGCTTGACGCTCCAGTAGGAAGACTCGTTGACTCGAGGGGATGCTTTATGCGTAACCGGTGGAGACAATGGGCGATTAACAGTATAAAAGGGGGCCGACTCGAAGAGAACCTGAGAGGCACGACAACAGACAACCCAAACATCATGCTTCTCCCCAAGACACTGGCCCTGGCCGCCTTGGTCAGCCAAGTCCTCGCGCAGCCCGCCCCCTTCCCGCTCTCTTCTCTGAAGCTGCTCCCCTCTCGATGGATGTCCAACCAGGACCGCACGTTGAGCTACCTCCTCGACGTCGACGTTGACCGTCTGCTGTACAACTTCCGCGCCAACCACGGCCTCGACACCCAGGATGTCACTGTCAACGGTGGCTGGGACGCACCCGATTTCCCCTTCCGCACGCATGTCCAGGGCCACTTCCTGACGGCGTGGTCGCACTGTTGGGCCGTGCTCTCAAACGAAGAGTGCAAGTCGCGCGCCGAGTACTTTGTCCAGGAGTTGGCCAAGTGCCAGGCGAACAATGAGGAGGCTGGCTTCGGCACGGGCTACCTCAGCGGGTTCCCCGAGTCGGAGTTTGCCAAGGTCGAGGACAGGACGCTGGACAATGGCAACGTCCCGTACTACTCTATCCACAAGACCATGGCCGGCCTGCTCGACGTGTACCGCCAACTGCAGGATGAGACAGCCCTCGAGGTGCTCGTTCGCATGGGCGACTGGGTCGACGCACGCAGCGCCGCCCTGAGCGAGGCGCAGATGCAGGAGATGCTGCAGACCGAGTACGGCGGCATCAACGACATCTTTGCCCAGATGTACCTCGAGACGGGGACAGCCAAGTGGCTCGACGTGGCCCAGCGGTTCGACCACCACCGCATCTTCAACCCCCTCGCCGAGGGCCGCGACGAGCTCGCCGGCCTACACGCCAACACCCAAGCCCAAAAGCTCATTGGCGTCTGGCACGAGTACGAGGCGACCAACGACACGTACTACCTCGACGTCGCCCGGAACGCGTGGTCCCTCGTCGTGCACGCGCACTCGTATGCGGTCGGCGGCAACTCGCAGGCCGAGCACTTTCGCGACCCGGACGCCATCTCCACGTATCTCGACGAGGACACGTGCGAGACGTGCAACACGTACAACATGCTCAAGCTGACGCGCGCGCTGTTTACGCATGACCCGGATGGCACAACGACCTACTTTGACTTTTACGAGCGCGCCCTGCTGAACCACTTGCTGGGCGTGCAGCACCCGCAGAGCGAGCACGGGCATATTACCTACTTTACGCCCCTGAACCCAGGCGGCCGGCGCGGTGTCGGGCCTGCGTGGGGTGGCGGCACGTACAGCACCGACTATGACAGTTTCTGGTGCTGTCAGGGGACCAGCCTCGAGACCAACACCAAGTTCATGGACTCCATCTACTGGCAGGATGAAGACGTCTTGTACGTGAACCTGTTCATCTCGTCAGAGGTGCAGTGGGACAAGGTCACGGTGCGGCAGGAGACCAACTTCCCTGTCGAGGATACGACCACGCTTACAGTTGATGGCGATGGTGACTTCGAGGTGCGCCTCCGGATCCCAAGTTGGACAGCCGGTGACGCATCGCTCACGGTCAACGGCGAGGTCAGCGATGTTGTCCTTGACGCAGGGCGCTACGCCTCCGTTCAAAGGACATGGTCGTCGGGAGACAAAGTAGAACTCACGCTACCCATGGATCTGCACACGATCCCGGCCAACGACGACCCCAACGTCGCCGCGCTGGCGTACGGACCCACGGTGCTGTCGGGGAAGTACGGGGATCGATCTCTCGACGCGCTGCCGGTGCTGGATGTGAACAGCGTCGAAAAGGTGAGTGAGGGATTGGTGTTTGAGGGCAAGGCGGATGGCGAGACGGTTGAGCTGGGTGGGTTTTATGATGCGCACGATGTGAACTATAACGTGTACTGGCGGTTGAGCGAGTAAGAGATGCAGTATGTAGTGATTATGAATGGGAATTGTAGTCAATATCGTATTCCATTACTTATCTGTCTGTCCGCCCTTTTGTATGTAACCATTTGATTGCTTGGGTATAACTCATCCACCTCATAATAAATGCCTTTCACGCCATGCGCCAAATCGATTCAAAGAAGATATTCCGCCCTCTCACTCTACGCCTCGCTGCGACGGGGCGTCGCGTAGCCCGTAGCGACGTCGTAGTAGAGATTGGTGGCAGCCGTCACGGACTCGTGGTGCTCACGGGCCATCTGTGCCACCTTGCGCCAGGCGCGCTTGCTGAGGTCGCGTGTCTTGGAGTGTCCCTTTGTGGACGATGCCGATGAGCTGGAAGCGGTCGAGGTTGTGGAGAGCTTGGGTGCGTCCTGCTTGGCGCGGGTGATGGTGGATGCGGAGGAGACAGAGTCGAAGGACTGCCGGGTAGCCATTTTGGTTATTGGGTGTGCTTTGGTGGTGTTGGCGTAAGGTGGGACAGTGCAGTGAATTGATCAGATGGATGGATTGTTTGATTGCTTGCTTTGGACGTTGCTTGATTGGAAGATCTGAATGATGAATCATATATTGATCGATAAAGAGCCGTCTAGACGTCTTTATATACTCTAGCATCGATAGTGTGCCATTCCACAGTATCGACCTCGACATGCCATCGTCAATAGAGTCATCAAGCAAGGCGCACGCGACGATGTGAGTAATCGATGGATTTCGCAGCAACAGAGTATTACAATGCCGCAGGGCGCGTGGCAGCTTAGAAATGGGTCTTGTCGACCAGCGCGCCCTTCAGATGTCATTGTCCGAATGCGGGGGCTCCAATGTCAAGTGTCCAGCGTCCAGCTTGCATGTGCTGATGTGACCATGATTGCATAATCAGACAGTGGCTGGATAATTGCCTTTTGCCGATGGCTGCATAGCGCTGATTGTCATGTCATCCGCAATCAGTCATCAAACGGCTGTCGAGGCTGAAGGGCTGAAGGGTGCGTGCGCCCTTTCTGGGTCGCGTATCCATTATTGGCGCCATGTCATATCATGTCATGTCATGTCGAATAAAAAACTAAATAAAAAAAGACCCAGAGGGCGTCGAACAATTGATCTAGGCCGACGCGCTTGTCAATTGATCCCTGCGATGTCGGAGCTGGACAGGTCGCAACGTCAAGCTGCACTGCTGGGTTCAATGTTGAATCTGTGACCAGACTAGACAATCGAGTCAGAGTCTCTCTGCAGTCAATTCATACTTGCAAGTGCACATAGGAAGATATCACGAGCTCATCTACTCTTCTGAAGGCTGCCATGCCTTCATGTTGTCCCGAGTCGACCCCACGACCAGGCCCCCAGGGCCCAGGGGCTGCGACAGGCATGAAGCACTATCGAAACAAACATGTTTCACGGTTATTTTGCGTTATTTTGACGGTTGAACAGGACTATCGATCGAACCGCAACATCGATTTCAATGTCACCACTATAGGAGCAATTCTTACGTCGATTACGTCCCGATCAGACACGCATGCAACTGCATTGGAACTCCATCAATTCTCTCCTAGTCTATGACAACAATATACAGGTAATAGAAGCAGGCCGTCTTATGACCCCGAAAAATTATCTTCACGAGCCAGCACTCGGTGAACTCGGGCACATCTGCCCCGGAAGCAAAGCATCTAGGCCATCCTGGAAGCACGGCGGGCCTTGGCGGAGCGCTTGCTCTTCCTGCTGCGGCGCTTGAGCTTGCAGCCCTCCTCGGGGGCCTCAGGCGCAGGCGTCTCGGGAGCAGCAGTGGCAGTGGGCTCGGTCACGGCACTGGTGGGCACGACGACAGTCGACAGGGTGGTGATGCTGGGGGCGGGCGTGGACTCCACGGGCGCGGACGGGGTGGGCTCAGGAGCAGTCGAAGGCTCGGGCGCAGTCGTAGGCTCAGGGGCAGTCGAAGGCTCAGCAGGCGAACCGCTGCCACCCTCGGCGCTCCAGACCTCTGGGCCGGGAATGTCATAGGTGCCGTCAAAGTTGTAGAGGTTGAAGACGATGCCGGGGTCCTGGTAGGTGTAGTCGACGTTGAAGTCAAAGCCCTGGTCGGGGACGGCGTCGCCATCGCCCGAGACCTCGATCTGGACGCACGAGGGGTAGAACTGGGCGCCACGGGCCGGGTTGTCCTCAAAGGCGGTGTCGGACTCGTGGTGGGCGATGATCTCCTGGCGGAAGAGGTACTTGCCGGGGGCGAGGGCGGCGGGGATGGTAAAGTCCTGCTTGCCGTTGTTGGCCTTGATCTTGTCGACGGCCCACTGGGTGCCGTCGAAGCCGTCCTCGGCGACCTTTGTCCAGATGGGACCGGTGCCGTCGTCCTCGGTGAAGGCGGCGACCCAGGTGATGATGGGACCCTGGTGGCTGCCGTCGATAATGTCGTCGTTGCGGTTGTCGTGCTGCCACTCAAAGCTGAGGGTGTCGCCGGCGGCGGCCGAGACGAACTCGGGCGCGACCTTGGCGCCGTTGACGTTGCAGACGAGGTCGGGCGAGGCGAGGTCCTTGACGGGGCTGTTGTTGGGGGGCGTGCGGATGTAGACGTTGCGGCCGTCGCCCTGGTCCTCGCCGTTGACCCAGACGCCGTACATGGTGGCGTGGGCGGCGACGGAGCTGGCCATGGCCAGCGTGGCCAGCGCGGAGATCATGTTGGAGTGCATGTTGATTGTTGATGGAGATTCTTCTTGGTTGGGCTGCTGTAAAGGAGTGTACTTGGGCCGTCGGTGTAATGAGCGGTAGGACTGAGTAGTCAAGGACGTCGAGCCCTTTGGAAGTTGGATGAATGAACGGCGCAGCCGGTGAAGGAGAGTTACTGGTAAAGAAGGATAGCAGCAAGAAGAAGCTGAGAGACTGATGCTGGCTTCCAAGCTTGGAGGAGGAGGAGGAGGATGTATCCGCCTTTATATCCAACCTCGCCCTGTGAGAGACCTGCCAACTCATGTCCAGCGTAGGCCCCAGTTCCTCCTTGCCAACAAGTTCTTTGACTGATGTGGTTTCATGCCCCGTTATTGTCACCGTCAAGCGAAACGCCAGCATGCGCCAAGCATCGCGGCGGCGGCTGCATCATCCATGTCGCCCAGGCAGGCAACGAACCAGGATGCTGCGGTTGCTGATTAGGCTCATCGAGTCTGCGAGCCAAAGTCAAACTCAAACTCAAACTGGCGAAATGAAACCAAGAAGCTAGAACCCCCTCGGCCTGATCCGAGATGATGCTACGGTCGGCAGTGGTCGTGTGTCTGGGATTGATCGAGAGGCCCCAGTGGCGCGTTTTGGATAGACAGACAACCCTGGCCGCGCTCTGATTGTCTCAATCAATTGGAAACTCGACTGTTTCCTTTTCTTTGCTAGGGCTAACCAGACTGGGAGGCGACCATTCAGCGTCCATGTTTTGTCGATGAACAATGATGCTTATTCTATCTGTCAATTGTCATTACTGCTTGTACGTAGTCCCTTGTTTCCACCATCAGTCTAATCAATCCACTCAAGTGTACTAGTAATTAATTTCCACGCCCCCTGGCCCTCACCTACGCCGACGCGCAATGCCCCCCGTCGACGCGCAGGTCGCTCCCATGAACAAAGGCCGCGCCCTCGCTGAGGAGAAAGACAGCCGGCGCCTTGAAGTCCTCAGGTGCGCCCAGACGACCGAGCAGCGCGCCGGCCATCCACGTCCTCTCCACGTCCGGGTTCTCCTGGAGCAGCTGGTCCGTCATGGCGGTGCGGATGTACTGGCTGGTCAGCGGGGGAAGCAGTCAAGGGGGAGACAAGAACTTACACCAGGCGACAGAGTATTCACGCGGATACCGTACTGACCCCATTCCTGCGCCACCGACCGACACATCTGCTGCACGGCTGCCTTGCTACTGTTGTACGCGGAGCAGCTGAGCCCTCGGTTGGCCACGTTGCCCGACATGCTCGAGATGAGGACGATGCTGCCCGGTCGTCCCTCGCGTCGCAGCACGCGCGCCGCGTACTTGGCCGTGTTGAAGACGCCCGTCACGTTGACGCGCAGGATCCTGTCAAAGTCGGCCGCCGGATAGTCGAGCGCGGGTACCTGCTGCTGGATACCGGCGCATGCAATCGTCCCCCAAAAGGGCGCCTGGCGAGCTGTGGCATCCCTCGCTACTGTGTCCATGACGCTCTCGATGGATGTCTCGTCTGTCACTTCGCAGCGGTGGTAGGTCACGCTGCGACCTGTCTTCTTTGCTAGCGCAGACAGACTTGTCCATTCTTCTGCGGATGGTTCGCTAAGGATGTCGAGGCAAGCCACGTTACCGCCCGCCTCGACGACAGCGAGGGCGAGAGTGATGCCGAGTCCGCGACCGCCACCTGTGATGGCAATAGTCTTGCCGGTAAGTGAGAAGAGGTTGTGCGTCGTGGTCCCGGCGGCGAGCGAGTGCTGAGACTCGACCACGCCATTGCGCGGGAGCTCAATGTCGCTGACGATGGCGTTGGCGGTCATGGTCAGACTCTGTCTGTCGACTGTCGTACTGGAAGTGATATGAGGGAAGTGGCAAGGCAATGATGGTCTACAAAGCGAAAAGAATGACTGTCAGTCATAGAAATATCACAATCACATGGAGAGGGACAGTCCAGGTCCACGACATCCGGCTGCGCTTCGAGCTGCCTCCAGCTGCCTCCTCCTCCTCCTCCTCCTCCTCCTCCTCCTGCCTCCGCTTACGACTGCTCCTCTCCACGACATCTCCAACATCCCACATCGAATCCACACTCTCTAAAGCCCGCGGCGCATCTGAATTACCCCATCGGGTAACCCGGGATGGAGACGCCGGCACGGACTACCGACGCCCGGCGGCTCCCATATCCTCCTCCACAAGAGGCATGTCGAAGCGCATCTCCTATCACGATCCTATCGCGATGATCTTGTCGACTACTTCATAAAGCAGACCTTCTCACAGAGCCAGACCAACAGCGAGCAGGCAAATTCAAGCAAACACAATGGCCCCCATCGCTATCGACAGCCAGCTCTCGCAATCCCCCGTCAAGGTGACGCCCGACGTCCACCGCTTCAACAAGGAGGACGGCCAGACCATCGACCTCGTCCTCCGCCAGTTTCGCTGCGTCATCGCCGACCTCTGCCAGCAGTTCAATGGAGGCCATCCGGGCTCAGCCATGGGCATGGCCGCCATTGGCGTCGCCCTCTGGAAGTACACCATGAAGTACGCCCCCGGCAACCCGTCCTTCTTCAACCGCGATCGCTTCGTCCTCTCCAACGGCCATACGTGCCTCTTCCAATACACCTTTCTCCACCTCACCGGCTACCGCGCCATGACTATGGACCAACTCAAGTCGTATCACTCGGCGCGGTACGACTCGCTCTGTCCGGGTCACCCGGAGATTGAGCATGAGGGCATCGAAGTGACCACGGGTCCACTGGGTCAGGGTATCGCCAACGCTGTCGGTCTCGCCATGGCCACCAGACACCTGGCTGCCACATACAACAGACCCGGGTACGACCTCGTCAACAACACGACGTGGTGCATGATTGGCGACGCCTGTCTGCAGGAGGGCGTCGCGCTCGAGGCCATCCAGCTCGCGGGCCACTGGCGCCTGGGCAATCTCGTCGTCATCTACGACAACAACCAGATCACCTGCGACGGCAGCGTCGACATGTGCTGCTCAGAGGACGTCAACACCAAGATGGAGGCCTGTGGTTGGCGCGTCATCGACGTCCATGACGGCTGCCAAGATGTCGAGGGTCTCGTCAAGGCCCTACTCCAGGCCAAGGCCACCACCGACAAGCCCACCTTTGTCAACGTCCGGACCGTCATCGGCGTCGGCAGCAAGGTCGCCGGTGATGCCAAGGCCCACGGCGCCGCGTACGGTGTTGAGGACGTTCGGAGCATCAAGCAGGTCTTTGGCATGGACCCGGACGAGCACTTTGTCCTCACAGACGAGGTCTACGGCTTCTTCGCCGACTGCAAGACTAGAGGCCAGCAGCTCGAGGCGGACTGGCAGTCTCTACTCGATGGCTACGCCAAAGAGTACCCTGATCTACACGCCGAGTTCACTAAGCGTGTCAACGGTCATTTCACCCAGGACTGGCGCAGCATCATCCCGGCTAAGGAAGACCTCCCCACGACACCCACCGCTTCGAGAAAATCCGCCGGTCTCGTGTGCAACCCCCTGGCCGAGAAGCTAAACACACTCATGGTCGGCACAGCTGACCTCTCGCCGTCCGTCCACATGGCGTGGAAGGACAAGGTCGACTTCCAGCACCCTGATCTACGCACTTCGTCGGGTCCCAACGGCGACTACACCGGCCGCTACATCCACTGGGGTATCCGGGAGCACGCCATGGCGAGCATCTCCAACGGCCTGGCCGCGTTTGGGAAAGGCACCATCCTGCCCGTGACGTCCAGCTTCTTCATGTTCTACCTCTACGCCGCGCCTGGCATCCGCATGGGCGCCCTCCAGCACCTCCAGCAGATCCACATTGCGACGCACGACTCGATCGGCACAGGCGAGGACGGCCCGACCCATCAGCCCATTGAACTTGCCGCCCTCTATCGCGCCATGCCTAACCTACTCTACATCCGTCCCTGCGACTCGGAAGAGACGGCGGGTGCCTTCATCGCCGCCCTCGAGGCCACAGGCACACCCAGCATCCTCTCCCTCTCCCGGCAGGCTCTCGAGCAGTACCCGCAGCACTCGCGTCGTGACGGCGTCACAAGGGGCGCCTACGTCTTCGTCGATGAGAGCGAGCCAGACGTCACACTCCTCGGCGTCGGTGCCGAGATGTGCTTTGCCGTACAGACGCGCGACGAGCTCGCCAGACGCTTCGGTATCAGGGCCAGGATCGTCTCGTTCCCCTGCCAGCGCCTCTTCCAGCAGCAGACGCCCGCCTACCGTCGCCAGGTCCTCGGGTCCGCGCCCAGGGTGGTCATCGAAGCATACGCCGTCCAAGGCTGGGAGCGCTACGCGGACGCAGGATACGCCATGGCCTCCTTTGGCAAGTCGCTGCCGGGCAAGGACGCGTACAGCTTCTTTGGGTTCGAGGCGACGCGGATCGCGGATGGGGTGCAGACATGGCTGCAGCAGGTTTGGGGGCTGGGTGCAGAGGAGGGACTGCGAGGCGAGTTTACGGACCTCAACGACGTTCCGGAGGGTCACCGCTGAGCGAGCACGATATACTTCTTAATGATAATGACTTGTTGTTTATAATAGATATACTATAGATCATCACTGTCCGGCAGCCCTGGAATAGCGCCATTGCGGAAGAGGTCCGTAAAGATGTGGTGGTCCTTGCGCACCTGGGTGCTGTAGTCGCGTGCAAACGCAACGAGCATGCCGACAAAGCCCTGCTCGTCTGCAGCGATGGCCTCGTCAATGACCTTTTCCGGCGAGAAGGGCACCAGGTCCGAGTGGCGTGCGTCGTCGTCGCCCGCGCCGTGCATCATGGCCGTCGCGCGCCCGAGGTCGGCCACGACGCTCGCCATCTCGCCGGGTCGGTCAATGTCGGACCACTCGAGGTCGACCTCGTGCGGCGAGACCTCGGCCACCATGTGGCCCTGGCCGTCAATCTCGGTCCAGCCCAGCCACGGGTCGGCGTGCGCCTGCAGCGCGCGTTGCGACACGACCGTCCGGTGGCCCTCGTGGTGAAAGTGCGCCTGCGCGACGTTGTGCTCAATGTGCTTGGCCACGGCCGCCGGCTGCGACTGCTTGACGTACAGGACCACGTCGTTTTCGAGCGCCTCGCTTCGGCCCTCGAGGAGGATGTTGTAGTTGGGCAGACCAGCCGACCCGATGCCCATGCCGCGACGCCCGACCACGTCCTTGATCCGGGGGTTGTCGCTGCCGCGTCGCCAGGCGCCCGTCGTCGGCAGCGTCGTCAGGTACTGGTCGAACCCGGCCACGACGCTCTTCCTCGTCGCCTCTTCCAGCTCAAACGCTCCCCCCTGGCCCCGGATGAAGCGTCGGTCGTGCTCGTGAATCTCCGTCATCGAGTCCAGTAGCTCGACGCGACTCTGCAGCCGAGCGGACCGCAGCGCCTCCAGCACGGGTCCCGTCGCGTTCCGAAGCGTGAACGCCTTGACGTCCTCCTTGCCCCGTGCCAGCTCCCCGATCCTCTCGCGGTAGGCTCGAACGTAGTACGTCACCAGCTTGGTGACCTGCCTGTCGCTCAGCGCCTTGGAGTACCCGATGAGCGCGATGCTGGCCACGAAGCGCTTGAGGTCCCACGTAAAGGGGCCCACGTACGCCTCGTCAAAGTCGTTCACATTAAAGATGAGGTGCCCGTGCGCGTCCATGTACGTGCCAAAGTTCTCGGCGTGCAGGTCGCCGTGCATCCAGATGTGACTCGTCTGCTCATTCAGGAACCTGTCGCCCGCCGCAGACCCGGACGCCCTGGCCATGTCGTGGTAGAACAGGGCTGCCGTGCCGCGGTAAAAGGCAAACGCCGACGCGGCCATCTTGCGGAACTTTGTACCCATGGCATCCGGGTCGTCGCGCGTCAGCGTGCCAAAGGCGGCCTCGAAGACGGAGAGTATCTCCTTGGCGCGCTGACCATCGGACGCATCGTGGTGGTGCAGCGTGTCGAGCGCGTCGTGTGTGTGTGTCTCGTCGTCGTCGTCGCCGCCGTTCGACTTGAGTTTGTGCACAAGGTTCTTGAGTGAGGACATGATGGGTGGTATACGTGCTTGTCTCGATGTAGTTTCGTCTGTGCAGTATCGTCCATGTGCTGTTATATGCGCTGGGCGGTCTGGGATGACGTAGCGTCTGCATGGAGGCCTCCTCTTGGCCTCGAGAGACTGACTGCAAAGTCACCAACTGGAAGCTATTGGGTCTAGTTGATATCAGCAACAGGCTTCAAAGCAGAGTACGTCGGGATGTGGGAGGTACAGCCGCATCTTCCCCAGTAGCCAGAGATCTCGATGCCCCGAAACCTGCTTCTGTCTCACTTGCCTTCGCCCACCCACGAGCTAGCACAGTAGGCCAATCCACCCACAGTGATGCTTTCCAGCTCCATTCTGCAATGGCTAAACAATCATAGATATAGTGTCCAAGAAATGACCAGACTTGGCTGGTGATGGGCATAGAGAATTTTCGCACAGTTAAGAGAAGCGCGCATAGGGTAGGTTAGGTCGTGGACTCGTGGGCATAGCTGCCTAGACAACAAAGTGCGTGCCTTATCTTAGCGGCCGCAGCGGGTCCGCAGTTGAGCCCACCTTATCGATTGCTATTCCAGTGGCTCGAAGCATGTCGGCACTTGGTGAGACACGATTGGAAGGAGGGCTCTTCTTGCCTCGAAAAGAAAGAAAGATTGAGACTGAATCTGTTTCAGCATTACATTGATCTCAGTGTATTGTCCTCCCATATTCTAAACATGAGGCGCTGGTTGGGAGCCCCACCCTTGAACCCCGGGCTGCTCTCAGCCACGTGACCACCAAGCCTCACTCGACACGCCTCGACTTGCCTCCTCCATCATCCATTTATTAGCCAGGTAGACCCGACCGCATCCACCAACAAAGGCCCGCTGCCGACGCGACTCTCGTCCTCAATGTCTGCACGCAGCTCACCATGGGGAAGCGCTACCGTGCGTGCGAAGCCTGCCACACCCTAAAGATCAAATGCGAGCCCTCGCTCACCGGGCCAGGATGCTGTGAGCGCTGCGTCCGCACCACCACCGTGTGCGTGCCCGCCGCCCGACGCTGGCAGCGGGACAGGATCCAGGAGCTCGAGGCACAGGTCGCCCAGCTACAGCTCGCCCTCGACGAGACGCGCAACGCATCCGTCTCCGTGTCCGCTGGCCGGAGCACCGTCCACGAGGGACCCGTGGCCGGACGCTCTACAAGGGCCACATCTGTCGGGTCCAGTGAGCAGGAGCCCGCCAGCCCTGGAGACGACATCCTCACGTTCTTGGACGCCAACGTCGACCTCTCCACGCAGGCGCGCGCCCTCGATGTGTACAGGCAACATGTAGACTCGCTGTGGCCCATGATCTCACTCGGCGCGCACGCAGACTCCATGAGGGGCGAGTTTCCCATCACCCTCGTCGCCATCCTGGCGTTTGCCCTCCCTTGCCACGACGCACAGATCGACCCCCAAACGCAACAGGTTCTGCGCCAAAGGGTTGCCGACGTGCTGGGCGCGGCCATGGTGGGGACCCAGCAGGCGTGTTCCCACGATCTGATCCAGGCGTCCCTGGTCGCCGCCTTTTGGGTACGACCGGCCTTTGACGCCAACTGCTACCGCTTGATGGCCCTGGCCATGGACATGGGCGTCGACTTTGGCCTCGGGGGCGACTCCATGCCAAGCTCGCCGCCCACGTGGTTCGCTCGACATCGTGGCCCTCTCACGCCGGGCATGGCGCGGTCGTGGCTCGCTGCGTACGTCGGCTCTAGACTCGCCTCCATCAGCACAAGAACAGGACGCGCACTACTGGGGCCCGTCACACGACAGCGCCTTCAGTCTGCTGGAGCAGCAGCCAGAGGGAAATCACTTACTCCTCGAGATCACCCGGATCGCGCACCTGCAAGCCACGCTCGCCAACGAGCTCGCGCGCTCGGCCTTGCGCGAGCGACTGGAGGGGATAGAGAGAAACCTGCCACCATGGCTCGCGGAGGACCACCAGCTGCGCTTCCTGCGACTGCAGAGCGTCATCCTCAGCAACGAGCCGGTCCTGCACACGACAAGCAACAAGCCTTTCTTTGCCGCGCCGTACATTGCGGCCCGCATCGGCGTGCATGACTTTGCCTGTCCCGGCGAGATCACACCGGTCGTCCAGGAGGCCCTCCTCTCGCTGGTGCGGGCCTGCCATGCTGCCATTGACATTGTCACACACATGCCACCCGCGCAGCTTCTCACCCTGACGACGCTCTGCTTTGCGTCGTCCATTACTTACAATCTCGCCTTGCTTGTCAAGGTGCACATGGCCGTCTCCGCGCCGGGCAACAGCTACGGGCGGATCATGACCCGCCAGCAGCTCAACGTGCGGCAGGCCATGGACAAGCTCAAGCAGGTCAACGCAGCCCTGGTCGCGCTCGATCCGCACATGAACAACTGGAACACGAGGATCATTGGCGCAGGAGCCTGGCTGGAGACCTGGTTGGTGGACTACGACAGAATCGTCCAGCGGTTCGAGGACACCCTGCAACGGGGAGCAGCCAAGGAGGCCATGGACAGTCTAAGCCCCGATGGATTCTTCTGAATGAATCCACGACCTGCACAGCCTTTCACGCACCCGTCCAATAGGTCAATATGTCCAATTGAATAATACCTTAATGGCCCTCTGCCCCTGTATGCGGGTCGCGGTCTTCGAGTCTGGGCCCTCCCTCCGTACGGATTTCGGAAACCTCCATCTGCGCATGACGTCCACGACTCTGACTAGGGTCTGGGCGTCTCATTCTATGATTACTGATGCGAAGTGCCACCTAATAGGCTAATTCATTCGTAGCGCTACACTACCAATTAAGCATAGGCGCCGTTCCCCAGGTTGTTCTCCCGTGGAGACGGTGGCTTTTCGCCGACATTCAACAGGGGATAGATGCCAAGCAGCATGACACTTGCATCCAACGAGTCCGTACCTGCGACAATGAGTGCCTCGAGAAATTGGCACGGCAGGACGCGGCTCGTCGAATGCCTGCGGACACGGCGAGTCGATGATGCCATGACTCTGGAATTGTTCTTGGCGCCAATGTGAAGCTATCACCACTCTGAATGCCATGGTGTGTTGATGTCTAATTAGACGCGCGTGTGTCTGCCATGGACGCCAGGACCGGTATATAAGTCCATCGCAAGGCCACAGCCTTTACTGACCTCAAGCATACCCCCCCACGACACCAGCCTCGCTCATACTCAGCCTGCTCCCCGTGTCACTCACATCCATCTCACATCAAGATGCGTCTGCTCACTCTTGCCTCCTTGGTGGCTGCTGCCGCCGCGCAGTCCGACCTGGCCTCAACCCTCGCGTCCCAGGATGACCTCTCGACGCTGCTCTCGGTCCTCCAGGGCCTGCCCGACCTTGTCGATGCTCTCTCCTCCGCGACCAACATCACCATCTTCGCACCCACCAATGATGCCTTTGACTCCGTGCCCGAGGACAGCGCCATTGGCCAGGCCATTGCCAACAACGACACGACCGCCATCAGCGCGCTGCTGTCCAACCACGTCTACCAGGGTCAGTACCCAGCCGACGCTGTCATGGAGACACCCGTCTGGATCCAGTCCCTGCTCGACGATAGCTACGTGAGCGACGGCATGCCCTTCAGCAACTTCACCGGCGGCCAGTACAGCGGCGTCGTCCTGGACGGTGACAACGTTGTCGTCATCTCGGGCGATCTGACCCTCTCCACGGTGACCGAAGCGGTAAGCCACTCTCCTGATCTCATCTGGACCAAGAACAACCACCACTGACACACATCTCTCTAGGACATCATGGTCGGCGACAGCGTCATCGTCCACAAGATTGACAAGCCCATTGCCTTCTCCCCCACCCTGGTGGACTACACCCGCCGCGATGGCCTCCTCAACTTCAACGCCGCCCTGGCCACCGCCGACCTGCCCGTCAACTTTGGCGACGACAGCGACAAGATGAGCATCTCCGACTTTACCATCTTCGTCCCCAACGACGCCGCCTTTGCGGCCATTGGCTCCGTCCTCGAAGGTGCCGACCTCAAGACCCTCCAGGATGTCCTGACCTACCACCTCGTCGCCGACAATGTCGTCTTCTCCACCGCTCTCGGCAACGTCAGCCTGCCCAGCTACCAGGGCGCCGACCTAACCTTTACCGTGGCCGACGACGGCAGCGCCTGGGTCAATGACGCCAAGATCGTCTTCCCCAACGTGCTCCTGGCCAACGGTGTGGCGCACATCATCGATGGGTATGTCCTTTTTTTTTCTCCTTTCACCATTGTGCCACAACAGCTAACCCGCCGCAGTGTCCTCAACCCTGCCGATGCTCCCTTTGACAGGGCGGACATTATGCCCGAGGCGGACGCCAGCGACCGTGTCGCCTTTGAGAACGCTACCCCCGTCTCCATGCTCCCCTTCTCGACCACCACCCCCGAGATGTCCTACACCACCCCCGAGCTGCTGCAGACCTACGCCGCCGTCGCTGCCGACGGCGACATGGAGGCTACCATGACCTCCGACATGGGCGGTGACAGCACTGGCGAGCCCTCGTCCGTCCCCACGGACAGCGGCGCCGTCAAGATGATGACGGGCGGTGTCCTCGCCGGCGCCATGCTGGTCTCCATGCTGATGATCTAATCTCTCTTGGCGTCTTGCCATTGTAAGAATGTACGTCGAGGTTTTCATAATGTCTTTTCAAATATGCGGTATTCCACAGGGCCAGCTAGATACTTAATAAATGCGGGATACTCTGTTGCAAAGTCGCCCACTTTCACAACGGAATAGCCCATCTTCTCATACCACTTTTGCGTCCTCTCCTTGTACTCGTGCGTAAACTCGGTAGGCATTAGTAATTCGCATGAGCAATTCTCACATCCGCGTCGTCGACTCTCCTCTTCGACAAAGACCACCATGCGCCTACCAATCCCCGTGCTCCGGTATGCTTGGTCGAGCGCCAGCATGCCAAAGTTGGACAGGGCAGGGGAGATGAGCTTGTACACGAGACAGCCGATGGGTTGTTTGGAGCGGGCATGGTCGTATACGACGGCGAGCTGGGCCTTTTGGATGAGCGAGGCGATGTCGTCGGGGTTGGTCCGCTCGTGGCCAGGTGTCCAGATGCCGGCTTCGGCGGTGGCGTAGGACGTGTTGACGATCGAGGCGAGCGTCGTCGTGAGGGAGGTGTCTGTGGCCGACGACGCGGGCGGGAAGGATATGGAGATGTCGTCGGCGGCCATGGTGAGTGTGGTGTGTGAGGTGTGAGTGTTGATGTGAGAACACGAAGCGAGGAGTGAATTGTCGTCGCTGTGAAAATGTAGGTGGAGATCTCCCGAGTCCCGACTGCCGAGCCCCGACGTCACTTATAGATCTACAGTCTACTACGACGACTGCATAGACCACAAGTGCTTCATGCTAGAGGGCCCATTATTAGAGTTATTCAGAGAGAGACGTATTTACGACTAGGATAGCTACACGATCCCTTGTCTCATGAGACTGTGCGCGACATAGCGCATTTAGACTAACCTATGCCACATGTGCTTCGAGAGCCTTAGAATAGGCGGTCCTACAGTAGAGATACACGTCCTGCACGGCCTCGCACGCTGACAAAACTGTTGGCTGTGTCTTCTTGCCCCTCGCCAGTTGACTCTGTCACCTAATTTTGGCAATTGTCCGTCCGAACAGGGGATCCCCCCTATACCTTATGACAACAAAACAATCATTGCTACAAATAGCACGGGTGAACGCACATTGCTTCACCGGTTGAAAAAGCATCTTCTTTCCCCTTGATTGTAGTAGCACGGGGAAAAAGAATTAGCTTCATTGGCTGAAGTAGCTACTGCATACTGACTGGAACTCGAGACGTGCCCTGCTAGCGAATGAGGCGGATGAACGTAGTGACCAGATATCAACCCTCTTTGTCTTTGACTGATAGCCAGCCTTTAGAGAGCGCTGTTTGGAAGCTTGAGAGACTATACGGAAGCTATTCAAGTCCAGCAGATACGCCCTTGTTCACTCTCAGGACTGCCCCTTTTTCTCCACAAGCCAGACGTAGCTCACTTCTACTCCCGTGACTACATGTAGTTCGAGGGGCCTTCTACCTTAGCCTGCCTTCCCAGCTAGCAGCTTTTGCCCAACCCAATTTTGGTGAGGAGATCAATGACATGTGCAACCTACTCACTGAAGGGGGTCGTTCATGGGGATCCGAGGCTTCATAACTTTCTACTTGTCGGTAACAAGATCGTTGCCATTGACTTTGAGTTTTCCTACCCTGTGCATGACAACAAGGCTGATTTGTGCTCCTTACAGGGATGAGACCGCATTCCAGGCTTTCAACTTGACGGAAAGCAATCTATCCTCGTTTGGTACCGGATCAGACTTTGGTGCACTCAATCCACAGCAATCCTCCAGAGTCCATCGCCGAGAAAGTGCGCATCCTCCACCACAGGCCCCTTTCCCTTAGCCTTGACCTCCTTGGTCCCCACGGCCAGCGTACCCACGGCGCACGCCTCCGTCTTGCCCTCGGCCATGATGACCACCGGCTCACCCTGCTTCAGCTCGCGACTCCACCGCCCTTCCTCATCCACCTCCTGCTCCATCTCCTCGCCCTCGGGCAAATCCTCGGGATCCGCGTCGTCGGCGGGCAACCGACCCCCCTTGGACGTCAGGCCGGGTGCCATGAGCGTCGCGCCGCTGAGTACGAACCGGATCGCGCCGCGGTCTATGCGAATCGTCGGGAAGCACTGCGGGTATCGGTGCACGAGTCGCAAGTGCGGGATGACAGGGCCCCCGGGCCCATCTTGCTGGTAGAAGAGCGGCGTCGTACCGTCGAGGATGTACAGCGTGTTGCGGTCGGGTAGCTTCATGGACTCGAGCGAGCCCTTTTTCGGGAGCACATCGTCGATGTAAGGTGTGAGGAGCGGGTAGGTGGACAGGAGGGCGCCTCGGAGGGATCGCTGGACCGAGGACTTGAGCTTGGATTTCGTCCCGGGTTGGAGGCTACGCGTGTCAGTGTATGCAGGCCGGAAGGGTAAGCTCAGGAGGGCCTTACTCTTTCTTGAACATGATGGGCGGCTGGGGATGATGAAGACGCGTTGATGATGGTGGGGGGCGAAGAATCAGGATATGCCCCGCGATTTGGCGGGGTAGCTCGCGCCTTAACAGATTTTGGTGGATGGCACGTCATGCAATGTTAACTGTGAATGTGACAATTGATCATGAGCTTGCATTATTATCGTTTACATATCGGACAGTACAGACTTATTAACCGTGCAGAACATGGGTGACGATGCCTTCGTCGTCGAGGTGCACGTTCAGGCGGTCCTCCTTAAAGTCCTTGGTGACCATGGTGCCTGGCTTGATGACGCGGCATCCCTCTGGAAGGTCTTTCTTGCAAAATGTCTGACTGGTTAGCACGGTTGCGGACATTGTTTACTTTCAAGTCATGCTCACTGTGGCTCCCGACTCCTGGTCGTGGAGGGTCTTGCCGACAAGCTTGTTCTGCCACTCCTCGGTAGGGTTGGAGGGGTTGGTGGACTGGCCGGTGACGAGAGGCATGTTGACGGAGCTAGTAGTGTATGTGTTCTTGGTGAAGAGGTATGCAACGAGGAGGATGATAAGACAGGAAAGTAGAAGCAAGGTCGGGCTTGAGTAGGAGTTTAAGGGCATCTTCTTCGAGGTGACCATGATGACGTCGTCGCACGTGCACTTTTGGAATCTAGGGATGGGCAGGCGTTCACGCTGCACAAGACCGGAAGGCTTGTTGGTACGAGAGGGGTTTGATAGAAGATCCTCTGCATAAGTGCCATCCTAGATCGTAACTTGGTATGTACTTTCAGATCTTGGTTTGCCCACTTGCCGATCGCTCCTTGGTGGTGTTTCCAGGACAGTAGCTGAACAAGCCACAGCCCCAGCCACTTGAGCAGAAGGCACTTGCGAGCTGGTCACCTATGGCGACTGAATCTAGGATCCTACACGATACGCTGCCATTGGCAAGCATCGATTTCTAGTTGCTATTCATGTAAGTACATGGCCGGCAGCAACACAGCAGAAAGCTCCGCCACCGCTGACGGCCAGAAACGGCACGAAACAAGTTGAGCGAGCCAGCAGGAAGTGGAGCCGGCAGAAGACCAGTCTCACCTCGCCATCATTTCTCCATGCGCGTCAGCATTAAGCAGGCACCGAAAATTCGTGGATAAAGGTTCCCAGATGAAGCGTTAGAACTTGTGATCTTGAAGCATTCTTGCAAAGTACGTACAGACATTGCACAAACACTTGCATCACGTTCAAAAACCTGCAGTCGATCACTGGCGCCAAAAATAGACGGTCCGCTGTTAGCACAGCCCGCGGCCGCACAGCCATCCAGCTAACAGCACCCTACCAGCGCCCTCTGCAGCCTGCATTGCCGCGCCTCACTGAGTCGCAAGCTCAGGGGTCCACCACCTCCAAACGAAGAGCCCAAGCTGACACAGGGAAAAAAAAGGGCCCGTGCCGAAACAACCATCACCATCCATCCTCCTTTTTCTTTCAATAAACCCATCGTCGTCACTTCTGGCTCCATTCTCTCCATCACGCCCTTCCGACACCGCTCGACTCGCCGCCTTCACCATGCGCCTCCTCCCTCTCCTCTCCACCGGCGCCCTGGCCGTCTCCGTGCCCCAGCCATGCCTCTCCTCTAACGCGGCCGCGCTCGCCCAACGCGCCAACTGCCCCGACCAGGCCTACCTCACATCCTGTCTGCAGTCCCTGCCCAGGGCCGCCGAGATTGACGAGGTCTCCGACTGCCTCCTCGCCGCCGGCTGCGCAGACGCCCACCAGCAGGCCGACATTCTCGCCAAGGAGTGCGCCCTACTCTTCCCTACCAACGCCGACCTGCGCCGCAAGAGGGCTGCCGTCGACGAGCCCGCCGTCACCTTCGCACCACGCGACGCCGACGCCGCCTATCTCGCCGGCACCTCCGTCCCCACGCTCTTCCCTCGCTCCGCCATGAGCGGCGAGGATTGCTTCACTGTCAAGGACACAAAGACAAAGGAGTGCCAGACCGTGACAAACGGCGGCGTCGAGACCGAGACGGACTGCTCCACCATCACCACCACCACCTCCGTCTGCGCCGCGGACAAGACCTGCTCGCTCGACAAGTCGGGCGACACTGTGTGCATGGACCTGAAGAACTCGCTCGACGCCGCCGGCATCGTCATCGCCATTGTCTTTGGCGTCCTCGCCATCAGCGGCGTCGGCACCCTGACCTTTTTGTGCTGCAAGGACCGCAAGGAGCAGAAGCGTCTGCTCGCCAAGGCCGAGGCCACGGCCCTCGTCCGCGCCGCCACCAAGAAGAAGAAGGCCGACGAGGCCCGCGAGCAGCGTGCGCCCCTCATGGCCCAGCAGCGTGCGCGGGACGCCAGCACCGGCAGCACCGACCCCTTTGCTGACCGGAACCGTTCTTAGGTGCAGCCGCCGGGAGGAGACTTGGGGTGAGGCAGTTGGCTCACTACTACGCCGGCCATGCTGAGAGACGCCAGAAGGAAAACGGAATGGGGTGGATGGAGGAGCCGAGGACCGACCACGGGCACGGGCGTTTTTGTTTTCTTCGCCACATTCTCGTGACGAACTGTTGAATTACTACTACTACTTAGGCAGGCAGGCATGTGTACTTGTGATATTTTAGAGGGGTAGCATCAAGGAACAGGGATTTTTTGCAAAGCATAATCGAACAAAGTCTATTCGCACAGACGCTGCACGTCTGACAAGTCTCACACACCATGACCGGCCATGTCTGTCTCACCACAGCACAACACGCGTCACAGTTCTTCCCTCTCCTCCCTTACTGCCCACTGGTCCACAATGGCTGCCATGAAAACATTGGGGACGGGTTTAAGAAAATCGCCTCTTCCCGACGGCTGGCGCGAAGGAGGTCCCTACTGGCTCCGCACAGACGCACTCATCCCGCCCAACGGGTTCCCAATTTGTCCGGCGCTGCGTGGCGACCGCGCAAAGTGATCGTCCGGTACCCAGCGAACTGATTCCGTACCGCGTACTTGCTTGGTCTCAAATGAGCCACCGCCATTGCTAGCGTTGCCCTCCGTGTCAAGCAGCCCCGCCAAGTCGTACTCGGGCTTCCCGTACCGGTCCTCGATCAGCCCCAGCAAAACAGGTAGCTCGATGAAGCCCTCCGCGTCACTTTGCCCGTGGCTAACGAGCTCGCGGCACGTCTGGCACACCATGGACCTCAACGCTATTGGGCCGGACGGTGGCGGCCGTGCATGGCCAAACATGGGCGCTGGAGATCCCATGCCAAAGGCATTGGGCACGACGGGCGAGCTCCATAGACCGGCCGGGCCTCCAAAGGGATTGCTAGCGGCGCTGACTGGTGAGGGACCCCAGGGATTGTGAGCCAAGTTGAAGCCTTGGTCAGCAAAGGGGCTTTGTCCAGCAAATCCCATTGGCTGGGGGCCCGGTGGTCGCGTCCGCAAGCTGCCTTCCGGACCCGGAGTCGCGGATTCAAGGTCGTCTTCGTCCTCTAGCAGAGCGCGACTGCCCAACTGCTCCAACTCTTTCACCTGCTCCTTTGTGGATCGAGTGATACTACCAGGTCGACCAATGGGGGTAGGACGTCCAATGGGTTGCGCAGGCGTTAGGGGGACGTCGAAACTGGCGGATCCTTGACGATGGTGCGTAGGGGGCGGCGCAAATTGATCAGCCGGCCCCGGGCCGAACCCTGGCGGCGGCATGGGAACCGGGGAAAATACGCGACCAGCAGGTCCGTTGAAGCCAGGAGGAGGCATGGGAGGCCGGAACCCGGGCGGTGCCGAAGGCATCATAAACCCTGGGGGCGGCGGTCCGTGATGCGACAGCCCCGGTGGCGGTGCCATGCCTATAGGGGGCATTTGGACAGGCGTGTGCGGATACGAACCCGTCAGGCTGCCGCTCTCTTTCCGCTGCGGCGGCCCAATAGGCCTAGGGCTGGACTGAGACTCGGGATGCGGCGACGCCTCCTGGCTGGAGTGCGAGGTCGACGCACTCTGGCCGAGCGCGTCGTGTTGCTGCTGTGACAATGTCCGTGGTCGAACTGCCGCCGGAACCTTGTTCGGGATGACGGGGGTCGCCACGGGAACTTTGGGTGACGCATAGTTGGCTGGGTTCGAGCCGTGCTGAGGGAGAACGATGGACTGCTGACGTGCTTGTGCCTGCGGCTGAGCCTGGGCTTGCGATTGCGCTTGTGCCTGGGCTTGCGCTTGCGCTTTCGACGCCTGCTCTTCTTTGGCCCGCTCCTCCTTGGCCCTGCCTCGAGCCTCCTTGGCCTCCTGCGCTTCTTTCAAAGCCTTGGCGGAGCGGGCTTCCTTCTCCCGCTTGTCGCGCTCTTGCTTCTCCTTGCGCTCAATGGCCTCACGTTCCCGTTGCTCCCGTGCTTCTTTCTCCTTCAGCTTCTGCTCCTCCTTTAGCTTGCGTTCACGTTCTTTGGCCTCACGGGCTTTGCGCTCCTGCTCAGCCTGTCGTTCGCGTTGCTCGTGGAGTTTCCGCTGCCGCTCGGCCTCCTTCTTCAGCCGAGCTTCTTCCTCCGCCTTCTTCTGCGCTTCCTTCTGCTTTCGCTTCTCCTCGGCTCGTTGCCGCTGTTCGGTGATGCGTCTCTGCTCGGCCTCGAGTCGCGCAGCTTCTTCAGCAGCCTTCTCAGCCTCCTTGCGCGCCTTCTCCTCGGCAGCCTGCTTTTTCTTCTCGGCAGCCTTCTCCTTCTTCTTGGCGGCAGCCTTAGCTTTGCGTGCTTTTGCCTCGTCCTCCTTGCGGTTCTCCTCCTCGAGCTCTTCGAGCAGCTTGGCTTGCCGTTCCTTTGCGACCTTTTCCTTGTATGCGGACAGAACCCGCTGCTCAAACATACGAGCAGCAAAGATCTGAAACATGCGTCGGCCTTCCTCCATGCGTTGCTCCTCCGTCATTGGATCCTGACAGCAGCACTCAGTATGGGACTTGCCATGCGGCATCACGGACGGGTTCGAGTATACCTCTTCTTCCTCGTACTCCTCTTCATTAGAGTCCTCGTACTCCTCCTCGTCCTCTTCCTCATCGTCGTCGTACTCGTCATCGTGAGGCGGCGGCGGAGGCGGAGGCGGTGCGTGACCGTGAGGGGGAGCTGAGTAGGAAGCACCGTTGGCGGCAGGAGCTGGCGCGTGACCGCCGTATGCGCGGGAGGAGTAGTGCAGTTCAGCGTCCTCCTCCCGCTTCATACGACGCTCAGCGAGCTGCTCCATCATCTCAATGAACCGCTTGCCATCGTTCTTAAGCAGGTCATCCGCCACGGTGAGAATGCCGCCTATGTCCATGTTACCACATCTGCGGAGAAAAGTTTCAAGGAGGGCCGTACCCTTGACTTGCAGGCTGTTACCAAAGGTCAAAAAGTCTGTATTGTCGCGATGATCGTGCGGGGAGTAGTAGTGATGGTCGTGGCCGTGGTGGTGGTGGTGATGATGATGTCCGTGATGCCCATGATGCCCGTGGTGGGGATGCTGGTCGTCCTCGAAGGTTTCGTCCTCGCTATAGACGTCATCTTCCAATCCGTCCTCTTCACCGTAGGGCTCATCCTCTTCCTCGTATTCCTCCTCCAACTCGTCGTCATCGTCACCCACATGCTCGACTATGCGCCCACGCGCTGGCGGGGGCGGCCTAGGTGGAGGGAGACCGGCTCGAAAGTAGTCGCCAGGAATCGCAGACATGGACGTGCCGTCTCCGCGGTTGGCAAACTGCTCCAACTCGAGATAATACGCGTCGTACAGCCCTTCCAGCTCCTCTTCAATGGCATTGCGCTTCCGCCCGCAGGTGTGACAGTTGCACGTGTGCCGTTGCTGTTCCTTCATCTTCTTGAGCACAGCATCCTTCTCCACCTTGACGAGTGATTTACGATCCTCTTCGCCGAGTCCAAGCCAGAATTGTTTGATTCTCTCTCGCTCTTCTTGGCTGTTGGTGCTCCAGATCTTATCCCTAGAGATGCCGGACGCGCGCTCTTCCAGCGTCTGTGGCGGCGGGCTTATCGAGGGCTGCACCGAGGCGTTGCCCTTCTTTTTCTTCTTCTTGCTCTTTTTGCCACTACTAGTATGATGATTTTGGTCCCCATTCGTCAGCTCTTGCTCCAACTCGTCATCGTCATCATCATCTTCGTCGCTTGGGGCCTCGTCGTAGTAGTCGGCAGAGCCAGCCTTCATGGCTGGGGTCGCGGGCGGCGCGGGTGCTGGAGAGGCTGTCCCGTTGGACGCCTGCTCGGCTGCAGCCTTCGCGGCCATTTTCGCCCGTCGCTTTTGCTTCTTGCGGTTGACTGTCGGAGCAGCAGGTGCTGCTGCTGTCGCATTCACGTCGGGCGGTGCCCCGAGCGGCGCATCGTCGGATCTCGGTGCGGTCGGCGTGGAGGGCTGTGAAGACTCAGAGGCAGCCGTCTTAGGCACGGTGATGAACTTGGAGCCGTCCTTATTGGTATACTTTGCCGTGTTTCGAGGCGATGCCGGCGCCTGGTGTGCCGTTTTCTGGTGGTTGGCCGGCATCGTAGATCACGAAAAGCGGACAGTCGGTGGCATAGGGAGGGTTCTGCGAGCGGTCAGACACCAGAGGCAACGCAGCGAGGTACAAGGGAGGCGAGGCTGAGGGCACTCACGAATGACGCCAGTCGAGAGGAGGGAGGGGGTGGCTCCAGTCGGAGGGCTGCTGGGGACTTCGTCGCTCCGTGCTGATAATGGAATGCCTGAGCTTGATAGGTTCACTCGTGTATGATATTGCTGCCGTGTCGTCGGGGTCGGTGGTGGTAGTAACACTGGTGCAAGGGTTGTGTTGGCGATGTCGCCAGCTGGGATTGAGATTGACGGCCTGGAAGGTGATGGAAGTCACTTTGCGTGTTCCTGTGCAGTGATGGTACATCAGGCAGGCACGTCCAGTGGGGGGAGGAAGGAGTGGGGCTTTGTGCATGGGCACGTGACAAGACTAAGCAAGGACAGCAGCGGAAGGCGGGACCTATTCTGGGAGTGCGAAATCACCTACCCTAGGATGTGACTGACAATCATGTTTTGAATGCCCTCGAATAAGGTAGTCATACTCATGCCTGCATTTGTCGAGTTTGAAATATTTGAACAGTTTCATGGACCAATCCTGTCTTTAGAAAATGTGAAGTCCTGTCAATGTGCGAGCTGTGTATGTCTGTTGGTGTCGTGAAGCATCGCACCTTGATGGACGATTGAGTCGTTACCGCATTTTGCAGAGTTATGTAGGACATTGCGGTCACGCCGCCGTTGCACAACATAATTGACTAGACCAGGCGCCGGTGCTGGTCGTCATCATTATCGTCGTCAAAGGGTTATGGCTGAACAAGGCCCGCGGAATATCATTCACAAGCCGTGAATGGCCCAAGCCATTTCGAACGACGTCGAACGAAAAGAACAATATAGACTTTGAGCCATTACCGCAACTAGGAACGGCCAAGTCTGCTACCAAGAATAGAAAACCACGTCGTCAACATTTCTCGGTCCAGACTATAGATACCTAGGAGAGAGGAATCCCATACAGGTACCTACGTAGTCGCTTCCTTGTGATACGTGCAATCGGCCATCTTGGGGCATCTGGGAGGCAGCCAGGCACACCCTCACCGTCTGGTGCCCTGATTGTCGATCATCAACAATTCAGCCAACGAAACTATAATAGAGCAGATGGCCGCTAAAACCCAATGGCTGGTCAAGTTAGTATTCTCAGAGCGCCTAGGTTTACTAGCCTACAAGCAATCGTCAATCCCAGACTCTGGTCGATGCAAAGCGTGTCTGATCCGCACGCCGTGCGACTGTGACCCTTTGTTAGTGGTGCCCCCCCCCCGGTGCATCGCAGGCTCGCAGCACAGCCCCCTGCAACAACGTGCGTCCACTAACAAGTGGACGGGGGGCCGACCAAGGAGCAAAGCCCCCCAGCTTCAATCCAATCCAGTCCTCCCCGTCCATTCGACCATAAAACATTCACGAGCGTTCCGCATCTGTCGAGTCACGGCCAAACCGTAGGACGCCTTTCATCGTCACCGTTCCAAGTCCTAAGCCTTGCTCTGTCCCCTCGTATCACAGCGCGCAGTCCTGCCACCGCGGACCCCGGAAAAAAACAGCCTACGCCTCACGACTGGACGCTGGACCGAGTCTGACACTTCGTATTTCGACGGCCAACCTTGCCAGGTTTCCTCTTCCAACGACCTCCCCCCCCTGAATCGCCCATCGCTACAACGACCAGTCCCTCGAAACGCAACAGAACATCGACCGGGTCCATACGACGACGGGGCAAAGCTTGGCACAGCGACACGGTCGCTTTCGAGGTCCTCTACGCTGGGACAACCTTACCATCTTGCCTGTCGAGCCCATCGTCTTTGCTTTTGTATAGCCGCCATGTCGTCCGCAAATCCGCAGAACGTGATCCGCAGGTATGGGCGAACCGTCGCGCCACGGATGGAATGAGCTGACCCGCCTTGCACAGGAAGTTGGTCATTATCGGCGACGGAGCGTGTGGCAAGACCAGTCTCCTCAGCGTCTTCACACTTGGATATTTCCCAACAGTAGGTACTCTCCTGGACAATGGGGATTCGAAAGGCGGCTGACCTTGATAGCACTATGTGAGCACCCGAGGCTTTTCCAAATGCCAAGCCACCAACTGACACGGATCAGATCCCGACCGTATTCGAGAACTATGTGACAGACTGCCGAGTCGATGGCAAATCGGTACAGCTTGCCCTCTGGGATACCGCTGGGCAAGAGGATTACGAGCGTCTACGGCCGCTGGCCTATTCGAAAGCCCACGTCATCTTAATAGGCTTCTCAATCGAGTCACCCGATTCGCTAGATAACGTGAAACACAAGGTACGTGAGCCAATTCTGTCCAAAGATACGTGCTGACAGGAATCTAGTGGGTGGAAGAGGCCAATCGACTGTGCGCAGACGTTCCCGTCATCCTCGTGGGCTTGAAGAAAGACCTCCGCGAGGACCCAGTCATGATCGAGGAGATGCGCAAGAAGTCGATGCGCTTCGTCACACCACACGACGGCGAGGCGGCGGCCCGCGAGATCAATGCCAAACGGTATCTCGAATGCTCTAGCTTGAGCGGCGAGGGTGTGGACGACGTGTTCGAAGCAGCCACCCGCGCCGCGCTGTTGACGTTTGAAAAGGGAGAGAGCACTGGATGCTGCGTGATTCTATGAAAGGTGCTCACGGACTATATATCGCCATTTGCTACCAGCGGCCATTTACATCGCCGTCATTTCCAATTTGCTTGCAAGCGTTCTTTCATCATCGCTTCTCACCTGTCATAATTGTACTAATACGAGTGCTGGGTAGGGGGTTGGACATGGGCTGGCGCTACTCTGAATGCGGTGGGTGGCCTGGAAAAAAAGCGAGAAGGGTACTCTTGGGTAGTAATGATCAAGTCTTGTTTTAACGCCGCTTTACATGCTACTGATACAGATGTACATGATCCGCCGGGACCTAGGCCTAGGTTTGCCTCTTCCAGTCGTGATTCCAAGGCGTTGCTCCGGGGTAATCGGTCTGGTACCGCGCGTACTCGATGGGTACTGCATCTTTGCCCCAAACGCCCTTCTTCTCCATGGCGACGCGGTAGAGATAGCCCACGCCCTTGTCTTCGCCGGGTCCGCTGACCGTTCTCAACTCTTCGCAGGCATTGTACATGCCCGCCTGCATCCTCGCGCGCTCCTTCTCCATAGCTTCGCGCTGCTGGCGCCTGAAGAGGAGCCACGCACGGTGGATCGTCCAGTGACGCAGGTGTCGTAGACGGGCCATTCGTAGGGGGGCCGGTGGTGGAGGGAACATGTTCTGACGGAGGGTGCGCACTTTGATGAAATGCTCGGAGCGTTGCGGGCCGCCCTTCTTCTTGCGCTTATTGGCCTTGTCCGGGTTGGCCGATTTGAGGGCCGCCATGGGCGATGTGCTGAATAGTCGGGTAAAGCTTTCGGCTAGCGAGGTCGTCTTGGGGAGGACTGTCGCGCGGCTGGGCAGCCATCGGAAGGCGGGAGGAAAGGCCATGATCGCAGTGACGACTGTTGTTGCTCTTGAAGAGGGAGAAGGCCGCCGGCGGCTGGCAAGAGGCGGTTGTGATAATTCCACCTGCTCGAGATGGATCAGGATAAATTTGGGAGTTGCGAGCGCGTCGCAGATTTCAGATGTGGCTGGTGAGCCTACTGCGAGATACTGTGGCGCTAACTGTGGCTGGTGCAGCGATCAGCCATCAGGGGTAAGTTACCTCGAGGTACGTATCTGAAGGACAAGGTCACGTGTCTCGGTTGCACTACAACTGGCAACGCCGGTAAACACTTGGGATTTCAGCGTCAAACAATCGCATGTACTTAGCACCCACTATCAGACCCAAGACTCACGGAACAGCAAGTTTTCGAAGACAAGCTTCTGCGGCTGGTGACTGTCACCTCTTGTTTTGTGTGAGGCCATCATTGTCGTGCGTATGGCTTCGACTGCCTAGGCCCTCTAGGTTTCAAGTCCCAAAAGATGTTGCGGGTTGCCAGACCACTTTCACTTCAGGCTTTGTCTATTGTATCGATTAGAAAAGTTTATAAGCCACAATCGCGATGTTTTCAGTACGAGAGCGTCTGAATAACCCTCGGGCTCTCGAGCCTAGTACCAACCCGGCCGAACTCACCGAGAAGCCACGACAACACAAGGTACACTTAGCCACAGGATCTCACAAGTTTGATTAACCTTCCTTAGAAGCTGGAAAAAATGGGCTATTAGTATTCTCAAGGGTCCAGAAGGACGGACTTGATTTCCTTCCTCCTTCTTCATTAAACAATCCCACCATAGCATCTCCGTTGAGTAACTTACAGTGCTTTCTGCAAACCTTTGCTTCATCAAAGGCTGCCAAATCCTTTTATTTGCTTGTATTTTTACCACAAAGCGTTTGATGGGCTTTTTGCAGCCCATTATCAGGATTTAAAAAGCGTTGAACGCCATTGATTGCTGATACCAGGCTCTCCGAGCAAACTCGACCCCAGAGCTGATTCCCCCCAGTTCGAGAGCAACTTATCAATCTAGACATTCTATCATCAGATTGAGAAGAGAAAATGGCGCCAAAACCTAGTGACATTGGCCGCGATCGCCCTGGTAGCTGTACCCGCAGCGACCGCTTTGCATGGAGCGACGAAGACCGCGAGGGCTTGCAAGCACTGTTCGATGGCTCAGATATCCTCAAATTTGGTCATCACGAGTGCGAAAACAACGCTGTCGCCATGCGCAGCACCACCGACGATCATGCTGAACACGACAGAGCGCTCATGGATCCTAGTCCCGGGCCATCAAAGCGGACTCTGGGTGCCAAGAGGCTGATGCAGCCGACTGCTGATGCGGTCTTTGACAAGACAAAAGTCCAAGGGACTTCCAAACTTCCGGGTGTTCCCTCAAACCCAAAAGAGGGAAAGATGTGTTTGGTAGTAGGAGACATTGGCGGAAGCGATGCGTCGAAGGAACGACAGCAAAGACACCATCGCAACCACGCACATGGTGCTACTGGTGATTCCGTTGAATCAACGAGAATTCAACGCTGGCTGCATGAAAAAGGACAACATGCAAGCGACTACAAGCAGGCTCAGAGCTTCATTCCACAACTCAAAAGCCGCCTTTACCGCAACCCAGCTCAAGGAGGCTCACCGAGCGCAGCAGACTCCGCAGACTCACGCTCTGCATCGCCACAAAGCTCGATATCTTCGCCTTTGTGGCAGCCGTCTGTTCCCGTTGCCTGTCGCCACAATCATCGACCGTCCACCCCTTCCGATCGCCAGCACCACTCCCCCAGCACAGTCGGAAGACCTCAACTCGCGCGCCAAAGCCACCTTTTCGAGATCTCTCTCAAAGATTCAAGCTCTGCAGACAGCACTTTGAGTGATGAAGAGGATTGGGATCTGGTTGAAAACCCGATGAACGACAGTGTGCATTCAGATAAAGCTGGACCTGATCAACAGCGCAAACCGTTGACCTGCGCATCATGGCGACCATTGGGCCCACAGCCCGAGACGCCATTGGACCCCCCCTTCTATGACGCAGTTCACGTCTCTGAATCACCAGAGAGGGAATACGACGAGATGGTAGCCAGCGAAGAGACGCAGGCGATCCGTTCCGACTGGACTGTCCCGGACAGCGCTGGTCGAAGTCAGCTCCTGCAGGAGACGTACGCATTTGAGGCAAAGTATCCAAACGCAGCGCCCGTCTTGCGTGGTCTCCTAAGCCAGACGCATCTGTTCGAGACAGTGGGCTTTGTGCGCCCCACGATCAATCCTGCGTGGGATCAGTTTGCATCCGCGCTCGACAAGGCCGTACGGGCGGGCGAAGTAGCGGGCGAAGGCATGTGTATAGCTGTCGAGGGTGCCAAGATTGTCGGAAAGGTCGCCAATGATATAGTATTCACTTTGGCCCCTAATCTTTGGGACTAGGCCATTGGACAGTGGGTCGAGTAGGCGAGATGGCGCACAGTCTTTGCAATCTATAGTTTACCGATTCAAGTGTGTTGGGTCTTCCAGAATGATAGCTTCTTAAATGAGCACTTTGTATACTCCATGTCTACAATGAAAGCTGAACCAGACAACGGGAGCAAGTCTGCCAGTTGATCAGGTGCCCTCACGAGGCAGGCAAAGCCCATGATCGACAGCAAAGACCGCAGCGCTGCCTCAATCATACCCAGATGGATTGCATCAATACACCTTGTTCAACGGTCCACATGCTTGGAATGCTTTTATTACAATAAATTCGAGACGATCGCCAACTGATAAGACTACGAGCAGGGAGGAGGCCAGCTGTATTATTGAGCAAAATGGGATTCGATCAAGCCCAGACTTTTTCTGTAAGTCGTTGTCGTTTTAGTGGGTCGAATGCTGTATTGTTTTACGGGCTCGTGGTTTCAGGCCCTTCGGAAGAAGCGGAACTGTCAATCGTTAGTCAAGGTGCGTGGAAAAAGGGGCAAGTACACAAATGATTGTGTTACCTGAGAACACGGATTTGCCTTGCCTCCCTGCAGAGAACAGGAAGAACAAACCTATGATGGCTTCAAAGTCGTGTAACTTGAGAGGGCATTGAATAGTTGCTGACCGGGGTTGCCCATCGCAGACGAGCTTCTGGAGGTCACGACGCTCTTCAGGCTGACCTGGAGGTTATTGGAAACTCAGTACAGAAGTAACATGAAGCATCGTTCTAAGAGCTGAACAAGGCTCAAGACTTCGTTGTATTGAAGTTAACAGATCTCGGTTGATTGGCCTTGGAATCTTCCCGTTCTGGGCGGCTCGTGAGCTGGCTGTGGCTGCGACTTGGGAGCTGGTCGTCGTATGGAAGGCAAAGGCCCCTGAAGAGAAGAGTCTCAGCCTTGTTTGAGCAGGGACTCCAAGACAAAGGTCCAAGGAAGATGAAGGAAGTGTGATGTGGTCTGGAAAATTCCACAATCAGCGGAGAGGTTGACCCCTATCAGCAGCCAGCCTGAGTCCCTAACAAACTTGAGACCCCACCCATGGCCTACATGTACAGGCAGCTTGCCAAACATTGTGGAAAAGCTCCATAGGCGCGGTATTCCATGCCAAACACCCTTCACTCCAAAGAAACTTGTTATCCTTGGTACATGCCATCGCATGTCTATCCTTCAGTCTGCGGCCTGCCCCTGAGATCATGAGATCACTGCTTGGCCTGTACCTGACCAAGTGTCCAACTCTCCCATCAAGGCAGAACTCCCCCACCGATCGAATAATTTCGTGGCTCAGTCCACTTCCAGCGTTCCCGCCAACTTTTCACCACAAACTCTGACGCGTTGGACACCATAAGAACAAGCTGTGAGAACATCGACGATTGCATTTGCTGACCGAGTTTCCTCCAACAAGACCACACCAAAAAGCTATGTCAGCTCTGCGGTATGGAATTTATCCTCCAACGCCGACAAAACTGATTAAGGAAGAAGATCTACAGCAACTCACTGTGTCATGTAGAATGTCCATCCTTTTGCCACGGCCTTCGACGTCGAAACAACAGAGCTCGTTGCCAATATCCGATAGGCAGCTCACTTAAGGAACCGTCGTTTCCAAAGAAAGGTACGAGGATACCATGAATGCTTTTGCCAAAATGTGGAAATGTAGGGCATACACGACGCTGATCATAGCAGGGAACGCTGCCTCGACGGATGTAGCTCTTTCAACAGGACTCCAATGCTGGCAAAACCCATCAAAGACGTCTTCGCAAAGATTGCGCACTTCTGCGGCCGTTGCTGGTCCGATATGCTTTCTGTGAGTATTCCAAATGTCCCGCATGATCTCAGGAGCTAATGTTGGTGGCAGGATCTTTTCAAAAGCACGCTTTGCATTCATACTCCCTCACCCTCACGAAGTTGTCGACACTCTACCCAAGCTTCCAAGGCATGCCCGTACATCTACTTTCATAATCTCTTGTTTGCTTTGGACAAGGAATCTTTAGGCTCTTTGTGGAAATTCTGGATAATATGTTGTGAGGACTGAAAGTGATGGAGCAACGTACATCGCCTGTTTCCTAAGTGAAAGCCAACCAGGACAGGCGTCCTAGCATTACGAAACATTGCCCACGTCTTGAGGAAGACATATCTATTCCAACAGAACACGAACAGCTCGCGCGATTTTCCGAGGCATTGGGGTAGCTTCGAGACTTTCGCAACGGTTTCGCAACGGCAAAGGGGATCGCAGAGTACATGCTGCCCGATCTAAAGAATAATCCCCAGTATGAGTGTATGAGTTCAAGGCTGAAGCTCAAAACAAGCTACTGTCCGAAGCGATGAAGGACCTCGTCATCTTCTACGCTCATAAGTGGGATCCAGAGAATGTTCGCGAAGAAACATTCCAATTTGTCGTGCATTTGATATAGAAAGCCTAGATTCATCATGCTCAGCATTAACAGTACCTCGCGCAAGAACTCTTTCTTCTCGATAAAACTAATCCACACCGTCGCATTCATGGCCTCGTCCTCTTTACGTCGAAAGTTATCCATCCAAGCCGTAGCGAGAAGACCCTCCCGCTTCAGACTTGGACCCATGAGGGCGTTGTAGAGGAGGTCTGAATGGCACTTCAACAGCCTAGCCCGTCAACGAGACTCAGAAAGCCCAATGTCCTGGAGGTGAAAAAAAGGGAAAAGCTTCTCCATGTGAAATAACACAAGTCCTAAGAGCAAGCCACTGGGGGCAGGACGGACTGGTGCCTGGAAAAGCTTTTGTTGAGCTTTTCCAGCCGGAATCTTATCGAATCGCTTTGTCCAAGACGGCGAAAGATGAGTTGAACTTGAAATGAGTGTCATAAGGAGGCCTACAGCATGCCCACATTGTTTTGTCTTTCACCTTTTCTTTCTCCTACTTGTTGACGACCGCACTGCTACATATCCAAATCCCTCACCATAACCATCACCTCTTCCGTCAACCCCTTGAGCATCAGCATCAGCATCAGCATCAGCATCAGCATCAGCATCAGCATCAGCATCAGCATCAGCAACAACAACAACAACTACTACACCAGCAGCAGCAGCAACAACAACATCAACAATGTCTGCTCACGGCCCCTGCCCCATTTCTCTCCCCTCCAAGGCCGCCCCTGCCCCGGCTACCACCACTCCTCTCGTTGTCACCGTCAAGTTCGAGGTGCTGACGGTCGAGGCTCCCCGTTCGCCCGCCCCCTCCGCCGCCACGGGCTCGGACATGTAAGCCTCCTTGAACTATATATCTACTTCTGTTTCAACATAGCTAACCCAAGTAGGTCCGTCCTGCTTGAGGCGACCCCTGAGGCTCGCCAGGCTCGCCAGGCTGGCTCCGCCCCGGGCCCTCGCATCGAATACGGGGTCCATGTCGAGCGTACTCTCGGCACGAAGACCGAGACTCGCTGGGGCTGGCCCCGTGAGAACGGTCTGCCTTGCGTGGCGACGCAGGGCGTTCGCCTGGACTGGGACCACCTGTTCTCGCTGTGAATTGTCAAGACACTGCGCGGGGAAAATACTTCTTCCGCCAGTATAAATAGCTTTCCACTTGGTGAAGAATGAAAGCAGAGTCGTCACGATATGAAAACTTCTCCCATGGCTACTTCAGTGACCACTACACGTGCAATATGCCCCATCTGGCAAGAGTCAATACTCAGCCACGAGCTGAACCACGATAAACCAGGAGACGTCAAAAGTAAAGAGAACGCCGCTGTGTTTTTGGTGTCTACCATAGTTACCGAAGAGTTGCCCACGGGTATCCTTGACGGATTTTCTTGTTTAACAAGTTCTACATGCTTCCCTATCTGAAGTCCCCCATGTTCTGTTGTTGCGCGTACTGGTAGTAGTTGAGAAAGCTTGTTGAGGGTAGAACCTGTATGTCTCAAGAACAATGTGCGTGTCCACGAGAGGAAAGATAGCTGGCGGCCTCCTCCCTGGCTTATCAAGAGACGAGAGCCGGCTTCCTGACGGAACATGAGCTCTGTCCCCGAGCCAGCCATACTTACAGCCGATAGTGTCTGTAAGAGCATGCTTGATATTCTTCTCACCAGACATTTCTTGCTGGAGCTCATATAGAGATACGGCCCCTCGAATTTGATGCATGTCCAAGCCCTTACCAGGGCTAATGATATAGCCACGGCGTCGATAGATTTAGGAAACCACTCGGGAGGTACGTAAAAACGGTTTCGGGGATCCCGTAACGGAAACAGGATTATGGCAAGGCTAATAAGAGCCCAGTCTACCGTGGTGAATTCCAGCGCTGGTGGTTCGGGTGCTGTACGGCGCCGGGTACTTCAGAATCTTGAGGACAAAATCATCGTAAGACCTTGCTTCTGCAATCGACCTTTCGATAAAATCGAGCTTGTTTTCGATATCATGGTGTTCTCTGCGTGCAGGAGGTTGATTCGGTTGTCGAGACATCTCTCGCCCTTGAATCGCCGATGATGGTCTAGTACGTCTAGCCTTTCCAGCTCTTGGATGTCACAATCCCTTCCGCGCTGGGGCTGTTATAGACCGAGGCGAGCCGGAGTCAAAGCCTGTTGGGGTTTATTTTGGTTCTTGTAGCTCGCGAGCTTGGAGCCCGAGCTCCTTGTCGGAACATTGATCGTTGCTTGCTCGTCGTTTGCCAGGAATCCCTAGGTAGGTAAGTCAGCTTGCGTGTATTGAACAGACATTTGCTAGCAATGTGCCCGTAGGAAGGACTTGAAATTACCAAATGTGCTTCTCACTCAAAGATCCTGGCTGCTTCGTTCTGTTTTCCAGTGTCTTCCCCAAGAGAGACTGTGTGGGTTAATCCTCGGGCCTTTGACCAGTACCAGCAGTCTGGAGCTCTCCGCCTACCATCTGTAGTAGTACTGGCGTCAGTACACTGGCACTCGCCGACTAGAAACCTAATAGTGAATAGCAAGTCCAGTCCTTTATGCAGTCCGTTCTCTTCATTCTGGAACCGATAGAAAAGGTCGTTGGGCAGCACGGAGAAGTGCAAATAGCAAAGAGGATTGGAGCACTTTGATGTGGGCAATGAGAGGGTGAGTAAAGCCTCCCAATGATCGGGAACATATTGACTTTGGACGCGGATCACGTATTGACACAAGACGTAGGTAGGTCTTTCTTCAAACACCACGGCGTCATCCAGAAAAAAAGAATCAAGAGCAACCACGACGTGCAAAACCACGATCTCAATTAAGGTACCTTACTAGTTCCTCAGGTACCTACTCGAAAAACACCACACCTTTCCTCAAATCAAGTCCAAACCTCAGCCCCTGTTTGCGCGAGAACAAACACTCAACGCCTCCCGCACCAAACAACAAACAAAACGCCCCCTATTCCAAATCGGCCACCGCCAGTCCGAAGCTTTCGACCCAAGCGATGTAAACCAGAACACAACGCACCATCCAGTCCCGAAACCAACGACGAGCAATCGCACGCAGCGCCAACTCAACAGCCGCTGTCGCCTCGGGAACCGGCCGCGTCCAAATGACCAGAGGTCCCTCACGAGGGTACTCCGGGTTGATCGCGACATCACCCGCCAGCATGGTGCCCACGACATGATCGACCTCGCTCACGAACCAGTTCTCTGAATCCTGCAGGGCGTTCGCCGCGTGTCCATCCAGTCCGTCAGCCAGGTCCTCCGAGAAGTGGGCCGTGGTCATGGGCCAGTACTCCTGGGGGATGATGGTCCAGTACAGGTTCAAGATCTGCACGGCGTGGGCGTTGTACCGTAGTGTTGGGGGATTGGCGTGGCGGAGGAGGTATTCAAAGGCGCCGGCGAGTTCTTCGGAACGGTACATGATCCAATCCAGCGAGACAGAGGAGTGCCACGGATCGCGGGCAAAGATGCGGATGCCGATGAACCGGGAGAAGAGACGGGAGAGGTGCTCGGCGACGGGGATCATGTCGAGAAACACAGCGAGATCCGTAGCACCAATGATGAGACCGAGGGTGAGGTTGGCTTCGTAGCCAGTGACAGTCCAGGGGTGAACAGTCATTTCCAGAACAAGACCGAGGAGAATGGGATCCATGAACAGTGACATGCAGTAGTTGCACGCTCGCAGGTTCGTGAAGAAGTTCCTCCACCATGCGTAGGCACACAAGGCCTGCATGGGCAGAGTGACGAGGAAGCCGCCGCGCGCCAGGACGGGAATGTTCAAGCTATCGTATAGTGTGTCCGAGGCACCAAAGACACGGGCGGGAGATAGCGAGGGGTGGTCTTCGTAGGAGGGTACCTCGTACCATTCGATGGTGTGGCGAAAGAGAGGTCCAGTCTGCGTCTGCGCAGCACGGCGAGCTTGGGGAGGAAGTTGCGTCAAGCGGTTAGGCATCTCACCATTCTCGCCATTGTCTTGCTGTTCGTTGCACATGTTGGTTGGCTTTTGTTCGTGCTCTGCACAAGTAGAGAAGCCTGACTCGGTGGGTAGCTAGTTGATAGAGCCAATGCAGCTGTGAGAAAGATTCGGAGAAGAAGTGTGTGATCAGTCTTGAAGTCTTTGATGAAGTGCCTGGAGAGGAGAGAGAAAATAGAAACACGTTCTTTGCAGAGTATGGTTCTTCAGGAGGTTGGTGTATCTAAGAAGAGAAAGGAGAAAAAATATCTCAGCAGGCTGTCAGGAGATGATGAGTATTTGCACGGTCCATACTCTCTCGACCTATGCGAGGCGCTCCTCTATTGGACCTGGGGTTCAGACGGACAAGTAGCTGGTTGCATGGAAAAGATTTTCATAATTATTGCGTTAAGACTTTGCAAAGTTGGTGGGTATCGACTATAATTTCCAGACTCTGTATTTCATGTCCCGCAACGAGCCAACCGCGCATTTCCATAGAGACCACCATGTGCCCTTTTGAATCTTCTGTTAGAGAACCGAAACTCTGATTAGTTTGCCTTGTTTGCTGCCTGATCAGCCTTCTTCTCCTGGTACGCAGCGTACTGCTGATCGTACGCTATCTTGCCCACCGTGTCCTTGACCTCTTCGATCCACGCCTTGACTCTATCTATGTCCCAGGAGCCCTCGCTGTTCCGCATGTTCGGGGCGACTACCCCGTAGCTCTTGTCATCTTCGAGCAGGATCTTCTTCAGCGCCTTGACGAGAGCTCCACGGTACTGCTGCGCTTTGGTGTCGGTGTTGTCAGGGGGAGGAGCCGGAATCGAGCCCTTGATGAGTGTCGTCCAAATGTAGTCCGCTTCCTGCTCCTCCATGAGCTGCCTCTTCCGCGCGTTGTACTTCCTCTCCACGTTGAACCGATCAAAACATTCATACATGATCTCCTCCCGGTTCGTCCTGCGACGCACATACTTCCCCTCCCTGCGGCACTCGGGGATGTACTCCTCGATCCAGCGTCGAAAACCAGGACGCATTTTCATCCGCTTGCGGTCGTTAGCCTTGAGTTCGCGACGGTCTTGCTCTTCAGCAGGCGGTCCAGCCTCGTCGGATGCGTGCTCGAGCGGCGGGACATAGAACATGCGACAAAGCGCGACGAATTCGCAGAGCTCGTGGAAGCTTCTGAACGGACCACCGAAGAACTCATCGGAATCCAAGTTAAGAAAATCGAGAATTTCGCACGGGTCTGTCGCTAGCTGGATGCGGGCTCGCTTACGGTTGATGTGTTCGTATTCGGGGATGCGCAGCCACAGGGCCTGCTCATCGACGGTCAGGCCATAGGGGCGGATGGTCGTGCCAATCATGTTCCAGGCGTCACCGTGGGTATGCTTAAAGAGGACCCATTCGAGACGGTGGAAAGTATCGCACACGCGAAGGTCGACCTGGATGTAATCGACAGGCGGAGGAGGCGTGGCCGGACCATCGTAAATTGCAGTCTGGACGGAGCCGTCGGAGGTGGACTCGGAGTCGGAGTCAATATCCCACGGAATGGCGACGCTCAGTGAGATTTCTTCGTGGTTGACAACCTTGGATCGCACAGCAGACAGTGAGGACTCGAGAAGCTCGATGATCTCCTCCCTGGACTGATTACGATACTTGATACCATGGAGCACGATGTCAATGTCACCAAAGTCCTCCTTCTCGGGGCCCTCGATAGGCGTCTCGACTGTCTTGAAGTGATCTTGCAGGATGCTTGTGATACGTTCCTTGCGGTCGAAGTAGACGTCCTTGGGCATACGAGGAGTACGCAAAGGGTCTGGCCCGGATGAGAAGACCGAACCGCCCATGTTGTTTTTTCCCAGTGGCTGTAAGAGGTCGGGAAGGAGAGTGGCAAGCTGGAGCGTGCTGTATCTGCTGTTGATCAATAAAGACCGTGACTAGACTGAAGCGGGGTCGGCCTGTGAGTCAATCTCTAGCAAATGATGACAGCAGGCAAGTAGGCAGGAGGTTATCTTACCGGACAGTACCGCGGATAGAACCCGAGACAATATAATAAATTAGTGCCCGGTGTGGGTGAAGTAGATGGTGAAAGTGGGAAGGGTTGGGATTTGGGATTTGGGGGGGTTGACGGAGATGGAGTGTAGGGCTTTAGCCTCTAGGCGTCTGGCAAGAGCATACGGCAAGAGATTAGACGGCAGCACCGCCTCCAGTCTTTTACTGGTACTCTTCAGGCTTGCACTTAAAAAGAGACTTTGATAACGATGCGCTCTTGAAAGTGAAGATCTCGTCGCAAAAAATCCCAGGTTGATGCTTTTGATGCGTTATGCACCTTGCCGTGAACGCAACCGGGACCTACAACGCCTCATATCAGCATTCTGAATTTTCCATTGCAGACACAAGACGCGCAACTCAGGTAATACCCGAATCCAGCACTCGGAAGCTTCCGGTTGGTTCCCAGAACATTAACCTTTATATCACCCTAAGTGTGCACAGTGTCGTCGTTGCAAGACAACAACATCCAAACAAGCCACCCAACAAACACACAGCACACGATGGCTCTGTCAAAGGACAAGCAGAGAGTAAGTTGAGTCAAGCTGTTAGATTTAGCGAAGTCTGTCTGTTCTCACTTGTGGCTAGATACTCAACGACCACCCGTCCGCCCTCTGCTCGACAATCACACGTATTTCAACGTCCCACGCCGACCAACGTATTCTCTAGGTCGCAGTGTCGAAAAACGCCTTCCGCTACGACTTATCACATCGAGCAGCGGTACATTTTCATCGTCGAAAGCGACAGAGTCCTCAACAACCGACGAGAGCTCCGACTGCTGTTGTTGGAAGCCATCGCCCCGAGGCATGCGGCACATCTTTGCCGATTCCGAAGTCGAAGAATGACGCCTCAGTGTATGCTCAAAGGAGGATTTCGAACGTCTGCCCTCTACCACTGCATCTGCTTTCGCCGTCGGTCGTCGCATGAGGCTGTTACCGCGCGATGTGTCTTTGACGCTGCCGGATGCGCGGGGGTATGTTGAGGAGCTCTTGGACGACATGGACAGCCTGTGTGGCATCGCATACATTTCAGGGATTGGATTCCGGGCCATGTTGATCAGCGGCACACCAGGAGGTATCTTGACACCATGCCCGAATCCTCTGCGCCACGACGAGTAGCTTGGAGGTGACGGGGACATGTCAAGCAGAGGCTGTGTCATCTCCAATGTCTGGCGACTGGAGTTTGACGCTGTTCTTGTCGGGCGTCCGCTCCTCGTTCCTGAGTACGCAAGGCTGGCACGCTGCGAGGGAAGCCTGGTCACTGTGAAAGGGGTTTCTGGGGTTTGGTTGTCCACGCCGCACTGCTGGACTTGGGTTTGCTGCTTGGTGATCTCGTAGTGTGTTCCGAGCAAGCCGGCGGAGCTGAATGCATGGTTTTCTTCCAGAATATCGAGACTCTCTCGTGTCAGCCGTGTTGATCGGGGCGAGTACTCTTGGTCTGCTGCTGCGTGGCTCGGTGCTTCAAAGTAGTTGCAGTCCCCTCCCACAGTCCGTCCACTGAGTGATGTCCTGGAAATTGCTGCTCGGTCCTCAGACTCTTGCAGATAGGAGCGAGGTTCAAAGGCCTCGTTCGTGTTCAAGGACAGGACCGGCATTGTGTAATGTTCGATGAGCATTGGGCGTCAGAGCGTTGATATGAACTTGCTGTTGAACACCATTCCATATGTCTCTTGAAACGTAGACATGCCGTTCGATAGGCTAGTGTTATATACATACTTACTCAACACACCATGTCCACACCACCACAAAAGTCCGAGCCTTCCATGTCATGAATTTTGGTCGAGAAGCCTGCGGAAGGTAAGCTTGGCTCTGTATGCCAAGGCTGTTTCTTGCTATCCTGGGAAGAACAGCGAATCAGAGGCAGTTCAACGAGCCAGAACCAGATTCCAGATCGGCCATTTTTCACCGTCTCCACTTGCTGTCAGCTTCATCTCTCGGCCCCTGTCGAACCTGCATATGCAGCACGTTGCATCTACGAAGCGAATGGACAAAGCGAAGGGCTCATTTGAGAATGTAGCCGTCATGATTCTGTCTTTGTCGCGTCCACCAAGCACTGGAGTGCAAGGGTCACCTCCATAAGGTCCCAATCTGCTCGGAGGTATGGGGACGCAGAAGTAGGCGGGATCAGGATAGCCTAAATAATTCGTAGTTTCTGTAGAACCCTTTTCTAGTTACGAACAAGCAATGACGGACCTTCATGTTTTGAACTCTTTCTCAAGGGACTGATGTTGGCTAGCATTGATGAATATTGCGCCACGACTAGTCGGAGTAGTAGAGGTGGAGATCCCAGTCGGGAATGATTTCTCTACAGTTTGTCGGACTAGCGTCTATAGCGTTCGACAAACTCTCGTAAGAATTTATCAAAATCCCAGCCTTCGGCATGGTTGTACTCCCACATTTCGTCATCATCGAGACCCCAGGCGTTTTCATCATCGAAGTGGGCACGAGGACCAGGCCCATGCCACCTGTCCAGAGTTCTGTTCTGGTCCTCGCTCCACGGTGCTAACGTCCGATTAGGGCCATTGGGTTTATACTCAGGTTTCTGAGAAGCCAAAATGCGCTCCCTGGTCTCTTTGTTCACCAAGTCCTGCTGCATGTTGGCAGTTGCTTCAAACCTTTTCCACAGCTTGGGAAGATACTGAACATCGCCGGCGCAGTAAGAAATAATCTCACTAGGAATTGGTCGTTGTTCAAAAACTGTAAAGGAGCCGCCATTCTTCGGATTGAACAGTTTTGCCCCTTTCTCCTTCGCCAGCCTCCAGCTGGCGAGACCTCTCCTGTCTGGCGCATATTGCTCAACACACTTGGCTAGGCTGTTCAGATGCTTTCTAGAACGCGCAGTCTTCCTCGCAGCGCTCTCCATAAGCTGGACATCCTGTACTCCTTCCAGTGCCACGCCAAAATGTGCATACAAGACGTCTGAGTCGTTGCGGACGTCAAAGAAGACTTTTGGGATGTTCTCGTCTTGAAGAATATCTTTCAGCGTCTGGCCCTTGGCACCGGTGGTTTCGAATGTTTCCACGCCGAGGGAAAATACATCGATCAAGTAGACGCTTGACGTCGGGGTGCCCGTATCGATAAGAAGTGTAAAGATGGACAATGTGCCTTCACGGCAGAGGTTCACACCTTCGAGATCGATATACATTGTTGACTCGTGCGGTTTCGGTGGCACATGGAGGAGGATGAGCAAGTCGACTAGATCGCCGATTTGTTTCGTAGTGTTGATGATCTCTGTCTTGAACTCTCCCATGGTGTGCAGGGTTTCATTCAGTCGTATGCTCACCGGCAAGGAGTTGAGGATGAGGAACTGGGTTTCAACATTGATATTGAGCGGGGTGTCATGCGGGCTTTAAGAACATTCATTGAAGGCCATGGAAACAGGTCACGTACCTATGATTGGCCGTTGGTTGGCGCCCGTGTAACTGTGACTGTGAGTTGTCCTACCCAACGCACGGCTCGTGCTATGTACTGGGCATTTTACGTGTCTCGGAGCAAACGGAACAAACATTCGATGCTGAAAACTTGAATGCCCCTCGTGACCTCGTCTCGTCACGCACTTCATACCTACTCAATCTCTCTTTAACGGCGATCATTGACTCTATAGTGGCGGTCACGCATCTTTACGCCTCGGCCTCCCACTCTCGCCACGAGTCCACGACTGCAACAACACCAAGAAGGGACTGTTTTGAAGATGCCCATATACACCGGCTTGTAGTCTAATAGCGACTCCCACCCACCCCACTCGTCGTCTGGGATACCCATTGCGGCTGAATTGGTCGCGATGATGCTGCTCGTGGTTGATGAAATGATCAAACCAACTGACCAACATGTTTGACCACAACACATCCAACCGCTTCTCGGTTTCGACCTGGTTCCAATGCTCAACATCCGTGTCGAAAGTGCCTCTCGCTTGACCATCAATGCTCTCAGCGCTGCCGTTGCTGCCCTCGTCGCCGCTACCGGTCTCACTGGCTGATAGATTTCGCACCCGGTGAAAATGGCCGCTGATGATGATCCTCCTTGTTTGCCTCCTTAACCTCGCTTCGATGAACCGATCGATCGCGTCATTCTGTCTGCCATGTGTTGCGTTTAGCTCTTGTTGGTTCGATGAGGTGGTCGCTTGTCTTCTGCCACGTCTCTACGTAACTCAGTAGAATCATGAACTGATAGAACATGCCCAAAATACTCAATTCCAGCCGCTAACATTATTTTTACAATCCTGACGACGGGTTGCAACTTGGACCTCATATCATACATGTACAGCGATGTATGATGTGGTCCAGCTGATATCGAGCTTGTTACTCCCATCGCTCAACTGCATGTCGAAAGGACTATACTTGGGGGCCTGCCTATGTCGAAACCTCTTCACTGCGCCATGAGCTCTCGTATTCGGCTTTCTTGGGCTTCTGCCTAGGGAGCTCCCAGAGTTCCCTCTCGCTCTCCGTCGAAGGTAGCCGCTCCCTGGGCCCCACGTGGACGGCGGCGCCGGTCTTGGACCGTGGCGCGTTGCTGGAGAGCTCCAGCCCGGCACTCCGGGAGCCGGCCGAGGCTTGACCGGCGCTGCTGTTCTCCAGATACTTGCCCTGGCCGGCCCCGAGCTTGCCTTGGCGCCAGCACTTGTAAAAGGCCTTGATGGCCGGCATGTTGGCGGCGATGATGCCCATGTCGATCTCGACGGCCGAGATGATGACCATCTTGCCCAGCGCCCAGGTGAAGTCGGGGGACTCGGAGAATTCGAAGAGGATGATGGCCCGCAGGCCGCCGCACAGCACGGCCGAGCCACCGGCGGTGACGACGGCAATGACGGCCAGCTTTCTCTTGCTCGACATTTGCAGTGTGATGATGGTCGGGAGGGGAAGGACGAAGATGCAGACGTCCACAAAAAGGTTCTGCAAGGCACCATTCGTGTCAGTAACCCAGGCTAACCGGTACGTGAGAGAGGGTAGGATAACCAAGACTCACCAGCGAGTAGGGGATAAAGTATGCGCTGCGGGAACGGCAGTGTTAGCAAAAGATCACCAACTCCCGTGGTTGTTAGCTTTGTCAAAGGAGCTTACATATCGTTACTGATGCACTGGACGTCCGGGTAGCGCTCTTTATAGTAGAAGGCCTCCAGCGGCTGGCATTGCAAGGCATAGAGCAGCCATATCGCAATGGTGGACCCGACATGGAAGACAATGACGGACCACAGTGCAATGCGGAATGGCCGCTGGCTGGAGAGACGGAAGAAGAAGAGCAAAAAGCACAGCTTGACGCTGAACTGCATCCAGACATAGTAGAACTCCTCGGCTAGGAGACCCTGGCCACCGTCTCGTGTTAGTTGTGTTTCGTTCGCAAAACCCCTTTCGGGATGCCCGCCTGTGCCTACCTTGAGGAGGTCTGTCATGACCTCGGGTCGTGTCGCCAGGACTACTTCAAGGTGCCTGATGCAATTCCCGGTTAGGTTTTCTGTTTTGCAAGTTGCCCTTCCATACCGGCGGAGAGGACTGCACGCAACACGATTCACTTACTCGCCGGCGCCCTTGTCGAGGAAAAAGTACAGAATGGCTTGCTGCGTGGGGAAGAAGATCTGTATGTCGTAGAGTGTCGTTAGCCTCCATACGTGGTGCACGTCGTTCGCTGACTGGATCAGAGCCGTACCAGCATGCTTGCCATCATCCAGTCGTCCCAGCTGAGGGCCTGCAGGGCAACTCCTCGGACCCAAATGCGCATCGGGATTGTGATCATGGCGATGGGAAAAAGCGCAGTAATGACCCCGTAGGCGAGGGGCCGCATGTCGTCCATCTTGTTCTGGTGATGGCAGCTACGGCTGCTGTTGTCGTCGTGTAGTCGTCCTGGTCGTGTGCGTGTGGTTGAAGGGTGGAGGTTTTGCAACCCCGTGTGTACGGTATGGAGCTAAGAGCCTAATAAGAGGAGCCGAATAACATTTATTATTTATCAGACTGCCGAGAGGCGAGCGGCCTAGCGGCAGGCTTCCCTTCTGGGATCTGGGATCTGGAATCTCTCGCCTCGCGCGAGTCGCAAGGATGGAGTTCCTTTCCCTTGGCAGAAACCCCACGACGGCAGCAGGGGCCAGGCCTCCCCGAGACTCGAGGAAGACCGTTAATTCTCCTGGAGCATTTGTCATGGTGATCTGTCGGACTATACTCCGTACATGGGGATGGGGAAATTTGGTCACTAGGTGACGAAAGCCCTTTTGGATATGGAGCGGAGGACCCTAGTATCTCATCTTTTTGACATTGTCAGTGTTCTTATGCACTTACAAGAGGCTTCCGAAGAGAGGAGAAGCCATATGCTTGAGGGGAAGAAGCAACAGGCCTCTTGAACTGCTGGACCGAGGACTGTGGTCTTCGGAGAGGAAGACAGGGGCACATATCCGTCTTCGGGGAAAGAAAAAGAAAGAAAACCCCTCGTTTCCCAGAGCTGTCCACAGTATTGCAGGGCATGGAACTGTATGAAAACAGGGGTTCTGAGGATGCAAACGGTGGATGCAGTCACGCAGTGTACAGTGCATGTATTGCCCCCAAGGCCGGAAAGGCAGGGCCTCAGCCCGAGCGAGCTACGATTGGTGCCCTGAGGCTCCGAGTCCTTGCGCGTCTCCATTGCCGCGTTTTATCATTTGGCAGCACCTGTCAGGGCTGTGAGTTTGTGACCTGTCAGGCTGTCTATCTCCAGCGGGAATAGGATCACCGCCGACGCCAATATGCGGCATCTCCATAAATAACCGTTGCGACGCAACAAGCGCCTGGTGCCTCATCGGCACTCGCACAGCGCACGCGCACAGACAATCTCGGTTGTGGTGTACCGTGTGAGGCATCTCGGTATATCGAATGCAGGGTGCATTGGGGGGATCCTGGCCGGCGAGCAGCGGTTGAACAATTTGAATCGAGGGAGTAATTAAGGGATCCCCAACTGTCTGTGTATCACGCCATGATTTATTCGATATCCGTACGTCTAATCAACCTTTTCCCCAATCTCCAGTCCTCGGCCCCATTTGCCCGTTCGTACAGCGTCCACAAGTGACACGTCTGTTTGGTACATGGGGGGTTATTGGTCTTCAATGGAGACCATGGTTCCCCTGCTCCAATCATTTCGAGGCCATTTTAGACCGCATCCTTCAGCAAGTAGATTTGTGGTCGTCTCTGGCAAAGGGTCACTTGGCAGTGTTGGCACCCAGCGGGCATTTGCATTGCTTGCGTCTGTGTGCGTGCTTGCTCGCATTTGCCCTCTTCCAGGACATTCTGTCTTCCTCACACACCTCAGTGCTGCTTCCGCGTCACAAGCCTAGGCAGGGAGGCAATTATCCAGTCGCTGCGTGTGTTTCGCCTTCGAATTCCTGACCCAGGAGCCCTGAACAACGGCATGAGCGCAGCACTAGAGCCGATCCTGCGATCGTCGTGGCAGGCGACCGCAGGCGTGTCATCTCTCGCCGGTGTCCTCTCCCACCACACCGTCTTCCGGCCCTATGAGATCGATGGCGCAGGCTGGGACCTCGTGTTCACCTACATCGGCCTCTTTGTAGCCCTCTGCATCGCCTATGCACAAATTGCTGGTTTCGGGTTCGTGGCGAGCCTCGGTCGGACCTTGCTCGTCGCCACCACCTACAACGTGAGCCTCACGGCCAGCATTCTCGTTTACAGGGCCTTTTTCCACAGACTGGGACGCTTTCCCGGCCCCTTTAATGCGAGACTCTCGCGCTTCTACGCATTCTACAAGGCGACCAAGACTGTCAGAGGCTGCGAGGATATCCAGAAACTTCATGAGCAATATGGCGACTTTGTTCGTGTCGGTATGAAAGCAACTTGAACCCCCTGGAGCTCTGGCAAAGAAGCTAACATGGACAACAGGACCACGTGAAATCTCCATCAACCGCCCTTCTGCTATCCGACCAATCTATGAGCCGCCTACCAAGACCACACGATCGCCGTGGTACGCTCAGGTCTCCAACGATGTGACCAAGATCTCCCTGAATTCGACCCGCGTCCTGTCGGTGCATAAGCAGCGCAAGAAGGGCTGGGAGCGCGGCCTCGGCTCTCGAGGTGAGACGTGCCCGCCAAGCTGGCTCCGGGAAACCTAAATATGAACGCGCACTGACACTCTGTCCCAAGCCATGGCCATCTACGAACCTCGTGTGACAGAAAAGGCCAACTCGTTGCTGTCCAGAATCGCAGCAAAGGCGGGCACGCCGATGAACATGACCGACTACATCATGTTCTTCGGCTTTGATGTGATGGGAGACGTCGGCAAGTCCTCCCATGCATGTTTCTGGGGCGCAGAGGCTCCTTTGGCTAATACGACAGAACAGGCCTGTCCAAGGATTTCCACATGGTTGAGAACGAAACCGAGCACCCCGCCATCAAGGGCATCCACGAGAGTATGATGGCGATCGGCATTATCGGGACAGTCCCGTGGCTACTCTCCATGCTTGGCAAGATCCCCGGCGCGGCTGGCGGGTACGCACGGTTCACGGGGTGGTGTCATGACCAGCTCCAGGAGAAGCGCAAGGTGAAAGACATACTCGTATCTGTTTGAATTAGTGACTAACGGCGAGCTAGATCATGGCCAACGAAAAAGCGAGTCTCAAGGACCAGGAGCCGCGGGATGTCATGTCGTGGCTTCTCAAGGCCAAGGAAGATGGTGATCCGTGTGCGCCTCCGGGTGATCAAGCTGTGGAGGAGGACGCTCGTCTTCTCATCATCGCTGGAAGGTACGTCGCTTTCTTGTTCTTGGCTAGCGACCATGTATGCTGATTAATCTCCAGTGATACCGTCGCTTCCGCCATCACCAACGCGTAAGTGCCGCCCAGGCTAGGCCGGATGATACACTGCTACCAAAGATACACATACCAAAGGCTGCATGCTAACATGGGCACAGGCTCTACTATCTCGCAAAGAACCCGGACCGCTACCGGGCTCTGCAGGATGCCCTCTGGCAGTATTTCCCCCACGGCGACAGCGACTGGACGTACGAAAAGGCCCGCACCGTGCCGTACCTCGACTGGGTCATCCACGAGACCCTCCGCCTCCGACCCTCGGTCCCCGGCGGTCTCGCCCGTGTCACACCGCCCGAGGGCCTCATGGTCGACGACGTCTTCATACCAGGGGACACTGTGACCTCCGTCCCAACCTACACCATGCAACGCGACGAGCGCTACTGGCCCGAGGCGCTCTCGTTCAAGCCCGAGCGCTGGGAAGGTCTGAACACCGAGAAGGCCCCCTGGATTCCCTTTACCAGGGGCCAGTGGGCCTGCTCGGGCAAGGCGCTCGCCATGATGGAGATGCGGATGGTGCTGGGACGGATCGCGCTGCAGTATGATATTGCCTTTCCGGAAGGTGTGACGGCGGAGAATGTCGACTTTCGGTTCAAGGACACGTTTACGCAGACGCTGCCACCGCTGCCTCTTGTGTTTACGCCTACATCGCGATAATGGCGTTTGTCAAGGTGGGCAGTGGCACTCGCTAGGTGTAGACCTCGTAGTTCATGGTGGCAAGGGTACCAAGTTGTACGCAAGTCATCTTCGGATATATATTGAGCTGCCTATTCTAGACCTTTTGCATTGGTCCTTCGGGATCCGTCGCCTGCAAATCACTTTGAGCATTTCTCTCCCCTCCGTCCATGTCGTGATCCCACTGTTGTCCATCCGCCGCCTTCGGCATCGGGCCGGGGCATGTGGCCGGCCACAATCACCTTGCAGGGCCGTTTTGTTCTCCCGCGCCGTTCGCTAGTCATGACACGTTGTGGCAGATGTCTGTTTCGGGCCACGAGGTGTGATCTAAGTGGCCACGTAGTCACGTCCGCCCGGACCACCTTGAAGACCGAGCACACCAAGACACCCGATCCTGCGTGGGTGCGGGCATTTTGATAGTAGTAGTATTAGTAGGCATTAGCCCGTGACTTGTCATTGGCATTCATTCCGCCCCAGCCGTTGTGGTGCGCAGGTTCTCTCCTTGCAATGTGCATCGACGATTACCCTACGTCGATTCCCCCAATGGCACAACGAGAGCTGGTCCTCATCAATCTGCGCTCAGATCAATTGAATATTGTCGTTATTGGATTGTACAGACCTCCCGCTGTCAACTTGATCTGTCCAAGTTATATCAATTATTACCAAGCGCAGACAACGATTTCGGTGCGAAATTGCAAAATACCTATTATCGTGAAAAAAGTAAATGCCAGCACAACATTTGAGTACATCCAATCGCCAGCCGAACGACACGTATAATTACTAGGAACTCTGTATCCGTATTTCGTCATCATTCAACAGAAAACCAGGCTCAATCGGCAAGCACATGCCCATCCTCGGTCCTCAATAATGCAGTGGGTGGACTTTTGCATGGCGTGGGCGGCCCATGCCGGGTAGGTGTCCCCAATGCAGCACTTGGTCCGACTGGATCCTGGGGTAATTAGCGTAGTTCATGCTGGGGTCAATTCATTTCATCGGAATCAGGATGATAGGATCATAGGACATCTCGCGAGACGGTGGAAAGCTGGTCGCTCAAACCTGGGAATATTCCGCCTATCAGTTACTCTCACAGAACGGCTGGTTTGTTGAGCAGCGCGACAAGTAGCGGTGTCCATCGCCCATGAATCCGTGTCGTTGTCTGATGTGCCCCGGAATTTGGACATTATGCATATGCATGTTTAGATGGCGCGCTCTGACGCGTCTATGCATACTTCACCACGTTATACGTCGTGCACACACATAGTGCGTGATACTACTCTGTACGTACCCGAGCAACCATAACCAGTCTGTGTAGACAGCTGTCTCGATAGTTCACAGGAGATCATTGATTCAACAGCCCAGAAACCGCGTACTCTTCAAGCATAAGCTAAAGCATCCCCCCAAGCTTATTGAGGCAGGCTAGCTAGACTAGTCAATTAGTCCCCGGAGCTCCGCATGGCGCCGCTTTATGCCGCCACTCCGTCCCCAAGTTCCTGGGCCTAATTTATAGTGGCTCAGCCCGAAAGCAGCCCACCATATAATCTGCCCCAGGCCCCCAGCCGCCCTCCCAACTGTCGACTTGCTCTCGTCACCTCTGCCTCCGCCTCTCCCCCCAGACAACAGACATGCGCTCCTCCGTCGTCACCGCCGTGGCCCTCGCGGGCGCCGCGACCGCCAGCGTCGAGTGCGCGCGCGGCCTGCACATCATCGTCGCCCGCGGGTCCAACGAGGCCGCCGGCACAGGCATCACGGGCTCCCTCGCGGACCGCATCGCCAAGCGCATCCCCGGCACCACCATCGCCGCCCTCGACTACCCGGCCACCATCACCGACCCGACCTACTTTGAGTCGGTCGCCGACGGCGGCGACGAGATGCGCGACGTCGTCCAGGAGTACGTCGACGCGTGCCCCGGCGCCAAGGTCGCCGTCATGGGCTACTCGCAGGGCGCACAGGTCACCGCCGACGCCTTCTGCGGCGACGTCACCACCTCTGGCTTTGGCGACGAGGACGGCCTGCCGTACAAGCTCGTCGACGACCCCGTCGTCGCCATTGTCCTCTTTGGCGACCCCTCGCACGTCGCCAACGCCACCTACAACCGCGGCACCGCCAACTCGGACGGGGTACGTCTTTTGTTCTCCCTCTTGTAGAAACCTATGCTGACCAGTAAAGCTCTTCCCCCGCCGCGACCAGGACGAGTGCGAGAAGCTCGGCGCCCGCCTCGTCTCGTACTGCGACGAGGGCGACGAGTACTGCGACCTCAGCGGCCCGCGCGACTACGACGTGCATGGCGAGTACGTCGACAAGTACGGCGACGAGATTGTCGACTTTGTCGTCGACCGCTTCCAGAGCGTCGCCAAGGGCATGGACGCCTCGACAACTGTCGCCACGCCCACGCCCACACCCACGCCCACCTCTGGCGGTGGCAGTGGCAATGGAGACGAAGCGACTGGCACGGGCGAGAGTGGTACCAAGGAGACAGGCGACGGCGGGGACAGTGCAGCTGCCGCTGTGCTGCCCAGCTTGGGCTTCGTCGCGCTGCTGGGCATGGCAATGCTCTAGTGGAGTAGCCATGCGATGAACCGCGCTACGGCTGTACATTGTAGTTTAGATAGGCATCGTCCTCCAGAGCGCGAAATAGAATTAGATTCATGTCACAGCCCTCTGCAATCCATTGTACTTCCCAGTCCAAACTGCTGAAGGCGTGGCAAAACGGTTGCCATCCAATGCCGCTCTTCTCACTTGGTACAAGCTAGTATCATCTCATGTCGCGCTCACCTCGCGCTCACAAGCATGTGGGTTTAGAAAACAAACAGGAAGAGAAAGATCCCGACGCTGACTATTTAGTTCCATCTCTCTCCGCTGCCTTGCTTGTTCCTCATCCCCAACATCACTCGAGCTCTTCCTTTCTTGGCCCACTCTGTCCACATTGGAACCCAAGATCACATTGCCCACACAAACCACATACCAACACCAACACCACCTCCGCTATAATGGAACCCATGGACGCCGAAGAAGGCCGTGCGCTCATCCACATTCTGTTGGACGTATTGCAAACGACCCTGCCCTACTACGACTCCCAACGCAACCCGAACTCTGCATTGGACAAGAAGCTCAAGAACTTGGACGAGGCGCTGGCGTATCTCGTCAGTCGCCCCAAGGGCACGCAGGGATGGAGGGCCCGTGAGATCCTCCCGACGTCGAAATACCTCCAACCCGCTACGGACCAGTTCACTGTCCTGAGCGCCAAGATTGATCGCTTGAAGGAAACAATTGCCCAGACGCAGCAGGAACCGTCGCTGAAGACGGTCAACGAAGGAACTCGAGGGCTTCGGGACGACCTGGCGCTAGCCCTCCCTGAAATTCTGGCCGCGTCGCGGGAGCGGCGGGAGCGAATAACGGAACCCATAAGTTCACGTCCGATCGCTGACTGGCGCTTTCTGGTACCCATGAGTTGGCGTGTGGTGGCTCTCTCTGGCAATCAAGGGTGACAGAGCACTCCAAGGGGGAATGAATGCACAGTGGAAGAAGATGAAGAAGCAATGAGAGGCGGAGACAGTATGGAGAGCAGACGTGGCTAGATGAGCTGTGCACATAGGAATCAACAAAAATACACGTCAACTGTCAATCACAAATCTGTCTCGCGCACGTCTTCTGATACTAGTCGTACTGGTAAACAAAACGGTAAAAAGGCGACGCAGGATCCCCCGCGGCCAAAAGAATTTGCCCCCACACCGACTTGAACGATGGGCCTTTGCATTACAAGTGCAACGCTCTACCACTGAGCTATAGGGGCTTTGGAAGTGAGCCAAACTTTGAATGTTATATACTACAACCCAAACTCATGTAACTTTTTGCATGCTCTCCTCAATTGGGACAATTTCTGTCATCCACTCGACCTGTTCAAGCTGCAGCAGACATGGAGCTGACATCGATCTTCCAGTCAGTCCTGGTTCAATTCTAAAATGTCTTTTCCATTCAAGTTTAACACCTGTAATCAATTAGTATTCGCCTTCTGCTCAAATTCAACGGAGCATCTCTCAAATTTCTGCTAACCTGTCAAGCTTTCAGCAGCCACCGCTAGTCCCGAACGGGCAGCCAAGACGCATTCCCGCCTCTCGAAAATGGACATCTCGCCTCCAGACAAGTCGTCACGATCGGAGAATTACACATCAAGGTCTTCTCCCTGCTTAATTCTCTTCACGTCCGGGGCCATGTCGTCGGTAGCCATATTTCTTCGTTCCCTTCACCTTCATTTTAACTACCCACGATGGACGCCTTGACCAACACCTAGACCCACCATACCCTTCGCTGGCAGCGTCAAAAATCACGACACTCACAAACGGTCTGTCTGGACTCTGACCCCATCACCACATCATGACCATGGCCTCACAAGAGGCTGGCATCCTCAGTCCGGGGTCGTCCACGCCCCTCTCCACCTCCCCGGACAACGACAAGTCCCCCGACCTCGAGCGTCTAGGCCGCCAACGACCCGCCCTCCTCCCAACCTGGCTCACCGAGGCCGCCTTTGTCTTCACCATTGTCGCCTCCATGATGATGAGCGAGTACTTCATCTCCGGCTTCAACATCATCCTCCCCGCCGTCGCGACGGCCCTCGATATTCCAGACTCGGCCCGCACCTGGCCCGCTGCCGTCATCAACCTCACCACCGCCTGCCTCCTCCTCCCCTTTGCGCGGCTGGCCGATCGTCACGGTGGGCGCATTGTCTTTCTCGCCGGCCATCTGTGGCTCGTTATCTGGTCTCTTGTCAGCGGCTTCGCTCAGAATCCCGTCATGCTCATCGTCTGTCGTGCCATGCAGGGTCTCGGACCGAGCGCCTTTATGCCTGCGGGCCTGGCCCTCCTCGCGCGCACCTACCGCCCTGGACCGCGTAAGAATATTGTCTTTAGTCTCTACGGCGCGTTCGCCTGCATCGGCTTCTACGTCGGCATCCTGCTTGGGGCTGTCAGCGTCGAGTTCCTCACGTGGCGGTGGTATTTTTGGATCGGCACCATCATGTCCTTTGTCGTCCTCGTGAGCGGCTACTTTTCCATCCCCAAGGATCTGGGCGACGACGACGAGACGGTCACCATGGACTGGCTGGGTCTGGCGACGATTGTACCGGGCCTGGTGCTTGTCGTGTTTGCGTTTGCGGACGGCGGCCACGCGCCGCAAGGGTGGAAGACGCCCTACGTGTACGTCACGCTCATCCTGGGCGTGCTGTTCCTCGCGGCGGCCGTCTACGTGCAGGGCTGGGTGTCCAAGAACCCGCTGCTGCCGGCGGAGCTGTTCAGACCAAAGTACATGAAGAGGCTGTCGCTCGCGCTGTTCTGTGCCTACGGCGTCTTTGGCCTGTTCTTGTTTTATGCGAGTTTCTACATCGAGACGGCTCTCCGCGTGGGGCCTCTGTTGGCGGCAGCGTGGTTCACGCCGTTGGCGGTGGGTGGCATGGTGCTCGCCATCACGGGCGGGTTTATCATGCACATCCTCCCCAATCGTGTGCTGATGCTCATCTCGATGACAGGCTTCTTGCTTTCTGTGCTGCTCTTCGCCGTCATCCCGTCGCGCGAAGACGCCCCGGGGGGTCTCACGTTCCTGTACTGGGCGTACATCTTCCCCGCCATGCTGTGCGGCACGATTGGCGTCGATATCACCTTCAACATCACCAACGTCTTCATCACGACGGCCATGCCCGCCAAGCTGCAGAGCACGGCCGGCGGCATGATCAACTCGCTGCTCTACCTGGGCATGGCCTTTTGGCTTGGCGTCGGCGAGCTGGCCGTGTCGTCGACGGTCATGACACAGGGCGAGGCCAATGTCGGGCTCGACAAGCAGTACAGGATCGGCTTCTACACGGCCACGGGGCTCGCTGGCGTCGCGCTGCTGCTGGTGGCTACCATCAAGATGGGCAAGGCCGAGGCGGGCATGACGGCGGACGAAAAGGCCGACATGGAGAGGGAGCTGGAGGCTGTGAGGGCGCGCGAGGGGGGAGACGAGCGTGTCTGAAGGGGTCATTCATATACACATGCATACATAACAAGTACAGCGAGCGATTTGATTAGACCATCTTATTCCATCATTGACTCATTATATGTGCAGTCTATATCCAAAGCAACACATCTTCCTCGGGCGCTCGGCTCCTCTGGGGCCCGCCCCCCGTCTTATCGTGAACATCCCCCTGGTATCTTGCTGTCAAAATGCACGCGCATGCTCGAACTAGCCCATTGTCTCCGACATCGCAGCCGCCTACCTCAGCGCTCCATGCGTCGCCCTGGCCTCCCAATCCGGCTTGTAGTCGCTGTCGGGGGTCTTGGATGATGGTGAGGATGGTTTGAATTTGCTCAGGAAGCTTTTTGTCTTGGACGTGGCGCTTTTCTTGTCTGTGGACCGTGTTAGATCGTGTAGCAGTGCTATAGACGGATACGGCGTTACCTGTCTTGGAGTAGACGGACGAGACGTCCTTGTCAAAGACTGTGTACTCGGAAGCGTCGTCGGCAGCTGGGGCCGTGTTCTTGGCAGGCGAAGTTGAATGCGACATGTTGATGGGTGTGATTGTGGGTGAACTGGTGTTCTCGGCAGGGTGGTGTAAGTGAAGCTCTAGATAGTCGGCTTGGCTTGGGTTGTCCTTGAGTAGCTGTTGATCCCACAATCAATTGACTGAATATGAATGTGAATGTGTCTGGTAATTTCCATCTCTCGACGGGAACGCAGGACCCTTTATATCTCCCATTCTTGCTTTGAAATTCAGTGTATTTGTGATGCGAGACAATTCACGGTGGGGAGGTCTGGCACCGAGACCGAGCACCGAGCTCGCGCTCCTGTTCCGCTGCGGCTGGATCCCCATTGTAGCGCCCGTTCTTCTTGTCTCCGCGTGCCATGTGTATACTAGTCTAGTCGGAGATTTCTGCGTCTGTATTCGGCATGGCTGACACGCTGTCAGGGTCTGCGTGGCTTGTCGCTGAGTCAATCGGCAACGGCAACTGGATCCGTCCCTTGGCTGGGTTTGTAATCTGCACGCGTAGTCTTGTAACGCATCAACGCAAGGGCGTGCGCCAGTGTGGAGATTGCGGTTGTGATATTAATGTTCGATGGCGTCGGGATTCAATGGCGAGGTCGGAGCATACATTTATTAGACACGTAGGTGATGTTTATCAAGCTCGTATGTAGCAAGCGGATTGTAAGTGAGTCGGGGACTCGGGGCAAGACGGCACAGGACTGGTCAATGGTGTGACTCGCAATCATCTCTGGCTTCAAGAAGGCCTTGGAATCTATGAAAATGTCTGGCGCAGGAATATATCGGCGCTTCCGTCTTGGACATGACCAGCTCGACTTGCAACCACACTAACCAAGCTACAGTCATAGGTGGCACACAAAGGGAATACACATGTCCGAATCATTTGCTGTGAGAGAGACGAATCGTATTGACACGACAAGATCCCTCATTTGGTGTGTTTGCAAGCAAAGGAGTCCCCTCTGAGAGTGTCGAGATGCGTAATCGTCCATCGGTTCCGCCATGCCCGGCCTCTTTCGATGCGATACATGTGCCCAGCCTAGCCTACTACACAGCATGCGTCTCCAAGAGATATTTGATGACTCCTTCGGCGTTCCATATACATATACAGCAACGTTCGTCCCGCTTTTGTGGTTACTGTCTCTGCGTGTAGCCCAACTCCCATAATCTCGAGGTCCCTGCCCTGCTAGAGTACAGACTCAGCGTTGTCTTCACGGGCTGGCACTCGCAAAAGACAATTGACAGACATGTATCGTCGTTAATGAGAGACCGTGCCGAAGAAGCGAGCAGATTCCAATTGCGCGCGATGCAATGACTGGCATCCGACTTCGGCCAGACGACGATACGAGTGTCCAGGAACATTAAGAATTCCCCAGACGGTACAGTTTAGCAGACGGAATTCATCCGCCTCTCTCCCTTGAGTCACGACAAGACGTTGACCAATTGACCATAGTGCAGCGCTAAATTAAGTCCCTGTATGGACCGCTCGACCTCGCCCAAGAAAGATGACTCCATCGCCAACAAATGTCGGCGCTCGGTCACGGTGACTCGGCTGCTGCATAAGCAGCTTCAGCCCTGTGGGGAATCTGGATGGAGACGTTGGAGAAACGGCTGTCAAGATTTGCTCCGAGTGACTCGTCGGCAAGTCTCAAGCCGAGCGAGACAGGGCCCAGCGCGAAGCCGAGACCGAGACTACGACCGCGACCGCAGCCGATACTCTTCGGCTTCACTCTGCCGCGTCGGCTTCAATTATCTCATCAGCACGTCCGTCCTCCTACTCCTCGCCCACGCAGAAGAGAAAATGCCATGACACCCTCCCCCTTACGCCGCCGCAATGGACGCCCCCAAGCCTGCGACCCTTGTCGCGCGCGCAAGGTGGCATGCGACCACGGCCAGCCAACGTGCAACCGCTGCCAGCGTCGCGGGCAGACATGCGTGTACACCCTGAGCGCGCACTCGGCCATGCCCGCGCGCCGCTCAGCATCGACAGCCTCGTCCTCCACCGGCGATGTGCGCATGCGCGATCACGACAGAGACCCGAGCGCACCGGGCAAGTCGCGTCCAGCAGGGTACCTAGGCCTCACGAGCTACTCGGCCGTGCTCGAGGAGACGAGCAACTCGCTGTCCTATCTCCAGGGCACGCCGAGCTTCTCGGTTCTGCCGCCCAGGGATGATGAGTTGAGGGCTGTGCCGGGGGAGCTCTCCTCGCTCACGAGGGAGATGTGCCTCGTCGTGCTGCGCTATCTGCGCGACCTGATCGACAGGGACGTGCTGCCCCGGCTCCACCCGGGACCACACGACATCTGGCCGCGCATCGTCGGTGTCAGGGTCCTCGAGAGCCTGAAGCAGACGATGGGACGGCATCCTTCCGAGGAGAAGCTCTACGACCTGGCGAGGCGGCTGTGCGCCAACACGGCGAAACCCATGGTCGAGGAGGCCAACACGACAAGCGACGAGTGGATGGCGCAGTTGACGGGCGAGAAACTGCGATGGGAGAGCATCGGACTCCTCTTCACTTTTTCCGAGCTGTTCGGGGACACGGCGGACCAGCCACCGAGTTATCACAGTCCATACGGCGGTGTCAATGTCAAGTGTGTCGGCGTCTGCATCGAGCTGGTGCGTATGTTTGCGGACGCAAACGTGCTGCTGCTCTATCTTTGCTTCCGGCGCAACATTATGGAGTCGATGACGGTGGGCGACGCAGGTACGTGCAATCAAGGATGCTTTGATTTCCTTCTGACACTCCGTCCAGGCTTCGCTTGCTGGCGCGCGCACGCAGAGTCCATCTCGCTACTCACATTCATGGGCATCCACGCTGACCAGCCCACGAGCACGCCAACCTTTATGGCCGAAATGCGCGCCCGCTTGTTTGCTCGCATCTTCACCATCGACAAGGTGTCCGTCTCGTTCCAGGGACGCCCATGCTTGATCAGCGGCCGCTACGTCACGACGCCGCTGCCTCGCGACATCCCAGACGGCGCGTTCATGGGGGGTCCAGAGGCTCTTCGCCTGGCTGCGAGCCAGATTGGCGATGACGGCTGGTTCAGAGGCGAGGAGATACCCTCCGTCACTCTTGGGCGCGCGCGATTGATGATCGCCTACGTCAAGGACGAGTTGATGGAGGTGGCCCTCTCGCAGCGGGAAAAGCCCCACATCGAGGTCCTGCTCGACCTCAAGCGACGCGCGCAGGCCACAAGTGACTCGTTCCCTCCTTCACTGGCCTACTCGCCGCACGACATTGAAGACGCGTCCGTCGACACGACAACCGTCTTTGGCTCCTCGCTCGCGCGCATCGAGCATCTGCAGAACCTCTTCCTAGCCGAGCGACTCCTCCTCAAGAGACCAGACTACCCCCAAGACAGGGGCGAGCTGCTCGAGATCTCCTACAACATGGTTCTCCTGACGGTCAAGTTCTGGGTCCACAAGGACCGCTTCGCCGAAATGAGCGGCGACTACGGGTGGCTCGTCATGAACTACGCAGCGCCTGGCGGTGGCATCCTCTGCATGGAGCTGCTCAAGGGCTCCGTCGCCTCGTCGACGGTCAGCCGCTCGGCCATGATCCAGCAGCTGAGCCTCCTCGTCGGCTTCCTGGGCTGGGTCAGCTCGGACGCGCCCAACGCGGAGCTGTGCGCGAGCTGCCGGACCATCATCCAGCGGGTGCTGGACCATGCTCTGAACCACCCGGGCGCCCCCCTCACGCACGACGACGGGATCGGCGACGGGCGGTTGGCGGATGACGGCATCTTCTTCCACTTTGACCTGCTCGACACGTACGAGTGGCTGAGGCCGGACGAGATGGCTGCGCTGGACGATGTCAGGGTGTGAGCTAAAATGCTTGTCCCGACGGTTGGGCAGGGACAGCTCTTCGGCAGGGTCAGAGGACTGCTGCTGACTATCATCCTTCTCTAGCGACGTTCGACATGGCCAAGCATCGAATCCTCCCTCTCCCGTCCTCACCAGAGGAGCCAGAAAGGACCAACTGCTCAGCCCACCTTTCACTAACCCTCGCGGGATCTACTGCGCCTCTGATGTAAACCTAGAATCACAAAGCTTCTACATGCACTTTCTGCGACATTTTCATCAGGCCCCCTTGCAGAGGCAGAACAGAAGCTATGCACGACTCGTGTCCGGCCAGGTCCGGAAGTCTTCGGACGGCATGGGATTCTGAAGCATTGTCGTGAAATGATCGCACGATCCAAGAATCCGAGTCAACATGTTTGGCAAGGGCTATTCCCGACTATTTGCGCATGACACAGCAACGCAGCGCGAATGGTGGATGGGCCTAGACGGTGGAGATGGGCCAAAGCTTACCGTCCAACCTCGTGAGCATTCGCGTCCGTGACAAATACCCTCATCTCCAACTCATCGAATCGAGGCCCAGGACTCTTGATATGGGGAATTGCCATTTAGGGACAGTAACGACTCATCTCCGCGGCGCCCAGTCTCCCATCCTGACCAGCTCCCGCTGTTGCAACGCGCAGCATCTCTCTGATACACAGACGAGCGAGCTCATCACCCGCGAGTGCCCTTGGTAGCTAGTCTAGCTACCAGACGGCTGTGCCTTGATACCAGCAAGACCCTCCAGCCAGGCCTTGCTGCTCTTGACTGCACCATACGATGAAGCGAAAGCGTGCAGACCTCCTGGTCTCGTGGAATATGCCGCATTTCGATCCCGACGCGTAACAACGTGAAGCTATTTGATAACACCAGTGGAGGTCAGGCTAAAGGCTGCCTGTCACCACGAAGCGTGCCAAATCTAAACTCGAGAGCCTTTACAAGCTCTCTCAGGTCAGACATTCCCGTATATTCCCGTTCTCGCCATCCCATGGCCATCCCTCCGGAGTGTTCCTCCAAAGTCAGAATTGTGGGGAGCTTTCCATCCGAGTCTCATGCTCCTGCATGCAGTCGTTGCGGACCGTGGCTGGAAGGCTTCCTAAAAAATGTACTATTGATCACGTTCATATCCAGAGCCAGCGACGCTGTGCCCAAGCTCAACAGACAAGGTTCACGGTGGAGACCCCCACCATCGCTATAAGCAGCCTGGTGCGTGTACGCGCGCAGCCCCAGGCCCGATTGGGCCGGACGGTCTGCCTAGTACTTACGTACCTACGTGCACGCATGACGACTGGACGCAAGCTGGGGAGGGGACGGCTGTCGCTGGCCTGGCTGCGTAGCGGGTTGTTGCGAGCGGACTAGCCACATCACGGATGGGGTGTCCCTGGTGCCATGAGGATCGAGATGTCTTCTCCCCGTTCCGCTGCAGCCCTGCGGGAAATGGGTGTGCGTCGCGGTCTGGCCACGGTCCATTGCCCAGCCATTTGTCCGCGCTGGAATTTTGTGTCCCAGGAGATGTGCTACCCGTACACCTGCGGTTTCGGCCTTGGCGGCGCCATAATCTGGACCCTGAAAGCTAACCCCATGCCTCTCCGGTCCCCTTTCCATCTCTGGGGCCTCGAGGGCAGAGAGAGGAGCAAGTAAAGAGCGCAATTCAGCATCGACAGATAACACAAAAGTGCCTCTTGTTCCCATTGGGGAATGATTGAAGCCACTGGGAGACGCTCCGGCATAGCTGCCTCAGACATGTCTTCTTCTTCCTCGCCTATTCGTGATTGCTATCTAGAAGGCGTGCAAACAAGGCACCCAGAGTCTAATCTGACGGGTGGCACACCTCGCGGGTGTCAATCCGAAGTCTAAAGTCTACACGCAGCGTGCTTTGCCGGCCAACCTGATATAAGAGGCTCACACAACCCTCATCAGACCGTCAACCAGAAAGAGGACCCATGGCTGTCTAGCTTCAGTGGAGGCGGTAGTACTCATCAGTCTCTCATATGTAAGAGCTGTACTCATTTCACTCCTTGCACAATCGCCATTACCGCAAATCTTTGGGCTTCATCGGTGTCAAAACAGCCAGCCACGCAAGAGAGCCAAAGAATTGAACACATCTCGCCATTGAGGATCCGCAGCCATGTCGACACTCGCCCAACCGTGGCTCCCGCAGCCATACCAGCAGCTCAGCTTCACACCTGCGCCGATGTGGGATCTCCCCTTTCCTTTGGCGACGGACAACGCCCAGTACCCTACTTGTCTCCAGACCCCGGCGATTGAATCTCCCATGGTCGGAAATCAGCCAAGCAGGTGTCCCTCAACCTTCTTGCCGACGGATTCCCCGTCATTCAGCCAAGACCCTGCAGGCGCGGCGTTCCCTGCTGTCCTTGCACCCGTTCTGTCAGACCAGCGCATTTCTCAGAGTTCCTCTCAGCAGACTCAGGCTCAACACACTGCAGAGACAGTGTCTCCGTCCGCGCCAGCTGGGGAACCAACCAGCGGGTACTTTGACGATGCAGCGCCACCCCCCGCCAAACGACGTCGAGGTCGCCCCAGGAAGCCAATCTCGTTCAGCAGCGATGCCGGTTCTCTGTGTTCCGACGCACTCCCCGCCGACAGGCACGAGCGCAGGCGTGTGCTGGAGCGCAACCGGCTCGCGGCCACCAAGTGCCGGAACCGCAAGAGAGACGAGGCCAAGGATCTCGAGGCGCAGGAGCAGGAAGCAGGGGAGCGACACCGCCATCTCACGGCCACGGTCGCCCAGCTGCGTACCGATCACGTGGATCTCAAGACGCAGCTCCTACGCCACACCGACTGCCAGTGCGTCGTGATTCAAAAGTACATTGCGCACCACGCGGAGAAGGCCGTGGGCGAGCTTACTACCGAGTCACCCTCGCAGAGCATGCCTCGTCGTGCGTCGACCAAATCGGATGAGGCGGGCGACGTGCACGCGCTCTGGTTCGAGAGTCTACCGTCCCCGATGTCCCAGCACAACCCGATGCAGGCGGGCACTGGCTTCGTTGACCCGTATACGACGCTGCCATCGCAGCCGCACATGGTGGACACGCCACCGCTGGCTTGGCCACCTGAAGAACAGCAGCATCACATGCACGCCATGATGGGCGTGGTGCCCATGCAGCAACAAGGATATTGGGCGAATTGGGCACAATAGATCTTGGACGTTAGGCAACATGAAGTGTGTGCAACGTCACTGGTCAGTTCGAGACGTTCAAGCGAGTGGTTAGAGCAAAAAAAAAAAACAATCAAAGATAATTCAGCCTGCGTCTTGGCTCACGTTGTGTGTGGTGCTAGGCTACCTTCGCTGTTAATTCGGTTCGACCAAAATCGTATTGCAAGTAGGCGGCGGCGTCAGTGTATAGCCACCCCACCGTCCACGTCTGCACGGTTGACTGTGAATTCGTCAAACATGACCATGTCGTCGAACTTTTGTGCGACGCGGTCGATCCGTGCGTTAGCCTGGTCCGTCAAGGCCAAGTCGAGGTCGACGATGAAGCAGGTCGTCGAAGGGTCTGGCGGAGGGGGTGGGGAGGTGGCTCCCGACTGCCTGTTCTGGATTATCTCCATGGTTGCTAGAGCTTCCTGCTGAGTAACAAGTCGTCTTGCCACGGCTATGGCTAAAAGGCCTTTGTATATTGTCAGGGCCACCGGGTACTGCGGGTAGAGAGACCGATAGCCGGCTAGCGCGAGGTATAGATCAGACACTTGCGCCGGCTGTCCCGTCAAGGAGGGCATGGCTGCGTTGGCTAGATATAGGCAGCCAGTATGCCACAGAATAGAGAGTGTGTTTCGGAAAAATTGTGACTGGTAGATGGTGACAAGCCGTCGCAGCTGGTTGGCCGATGCCCTGCTGATTTCCTGCGCAGTACACAATGTCTCGCTATCGGGCATTAAAGAGGCATGGTTGGCTTCCGATACCAGGGGCCGAAGACCAAAGAGCACAGCCGAGTGGAACATGATGTGGAGGGTGATCCCTTGATGCGTAATCCGGTTGCCACGGACAAGCGACAGCGGCAGTTGCGCGCCCCAGTGAAGGAGACGTTGCATCGTGGACCTGACAAAGTGGTGGTTGGGCTCCAATGGCTCAGCCAGCTGGTCCACCGAGCAGTACCGCGAGACGATTCCTTGGACGATAGCCCAGAGCTGTGCAAAATACGGGAAGATGGCACTCTGGTGTCGAGCTTCGTGGACTAGCAGCGAGGCTGGGCTATGTGGAATCGGCAGTGCTGGCGGGGGGAGTGTCCCCAGTTCGTTTCGCTGGTAATGGAAGCCATGCAGGCTAGCTTCACGTTAGTCAAGACGTCAGACGATGCTTATTTTTGGGTTCTCACTTGGCGTACGAGAAAAGACCCCAGGCGCATTGACACGCTGCCTTGAAGTCCGACGGATCCGTAATAGCGGGAGCTACGACGTCAAAAAGTCCCAGTCTCTGACCCATCTGAACTGCATGACGCAGATATTCGAGAGCTTGGTGCCCCTTGCCAAGAATATCGGCAGTGAGGCTGACGAATTGCAATGCTGCCACCGTGGGTAGACTGTCGACCTCCTCGCCGCGCTCCCACATGCCAGTAGCTTCCAACAAGAAGGACTCGCCGAGTTCAACTGCATGTGCAAGACTTGACATGAACGCCCAGCTTGAGAGAGCATTGACCATGAATTCCGTGCAGAAGCGCGTGTTGTAGAGGCTTAGATCCTCTAGAAACAAATCCGCATCGAACAAGCCCAGCACGGGATGGTCGGTCTCAAAGTACCACGCCAAGGCCTGGGCGGCATCTTCGTTGCTCACGAGTACCTTTGTCCACACGGCCATGTCAACGGCGCTCAGTCGAGGGTCGATCGAGGATGTACTTTCGTTTGGCGGTACTGCAACACTATCCTCGTCACTTGGGGCCCAGGTCAGCTTCTTAGAGCTCCCAATGGTCGGGTCGAGAGTGAGATCGAGAGCAACCAGTGGTGGATACATGATCGGTTGGCGACACATGAGCTCAAATTCGACAGCCCCCTGGTCTGGTGGTACCAGCGGCTGCGATACCTCCACTATACCGGGGGCATCGCGCCTCTGTTTTATCTGGGCCAACGCGGAGGAGATGTCGCCCTGGTCTTTGATATCCTCCAAAAAGCCGGCAGCAATAGCTGGAGGGACTGAGGTCAGCAGGCCAAGCAGCTCACTGGCATCCGTGTTTCGATCCGCCCCTGGCGCAGACGGAGAGGAATCCGAAGAATCAATGCCGCGTCTGACAAAGGTGCATACGGATCCTCGACGCTCGCAGGCGGCGCATGTAGGGCGCTTGCCATCGCAGGCTGACTTCTTGGCGCGGCAGGCATCACATGCGACCTTGACCTGGATCCGTTTCCTTGGTAAGAGTGTGTTGGTCTGGCTGGAGTCGTTACTGGAGCTCTTGGTTCCGGAATCGGCATCGCTGGCAGCAGTCGGGCTGGGGAATGCTGGTCGAATTGGTTTGTATTTTCGGTCCATGGACGTCGATTCGGGCATATGCACACCAGCCCAATACTACGAAATGCCATTCTGCCAGGCGACAAAGGCCTTATGCCATAAATATGGTGGCTTGTTCCTGAGCAGGAGGCAACTCGGGGCCTCCCGTATGAGGCTCCCGTGGTCTAGAATCATCGTGGCGAGCCTCGCTGAAGAAAATCCCAAGCACAGCGCGGCAGTGTGTCGAAAATTTGCATTCCCGCTCTTCACTGTTCGGCATCGCCTTTTCCAATATGTGGCACATCTCCAGTCATCGGCCAAGCGTGGTACGTGTAAACACCCCCAATCTCAGGGTAACAACGTGGGCATTGGCCAACAAGCGCGAGCGCTGGAGTTCCCACCGAGAAGATAGGCGGGCCTAGACTCTCGGGACCAAGAGAAGAAATGTCATGTAGTCGGGATATATTCTCCGGTATTGTGAGGGCTGGTTGGTGTCATCGACGATATGGCGACCGACTCAGCCATTGGGTCAAGTGTGGCTTGTAAGTCATGGTGGCGAGAGACGCCAGACGCGCCTGGCGTCAATATTACGTAGACTCGTGAATGATGTTCGCGAGCGCTGATCGATCTTCATTACCACACTTTAGTCCGCTAGTAAGCGATAATAGACTGCTCGCGTGTATCTCCGTCCATCAGCGATTTGTTCGTCTCGATACTGGGCCATGTCCCCTTTCTCGGGGTGACATGCTTCAAGTATGACGTTGTTTGATTGGCGGATCGGCAACGTGGCAAGCGTCACTCTGGGGACATCAGCTTTCGATTTGCGATATCTGCAATGCCGATGCGCTCCTGAAATTCGATATATGAAAAACCGACGTCCAGCAATGGTGGGAAGGTGTCAAGATCCTTGTCCATGGGCCAAGACTCTTGGAAGCCCGGTCTAGACGGGGGTGGGGCCGGAGAAGAAACACCTCGGAAGGCGAGGATGTCGGGGTGGAGTCACAGGAGCGAGGCCCACCCGGAGGTTGGGTCCGGCCAAGAAACGGACTTGCCCGAGTTGTTTGTGAGATTGCCATTTTGAGACGTGATCTTGACGTTGGTTTGAAGCAATTTATTGTCGGTCCCCTTCCTGCCGCCATGTTTATTAGCAATCCGTCGGCAAGCTGGAATTTCATGTCGGAACCGAGGCTATCGCGGAAAGCTGAGTCCGGCCAGTACGTACCAACAAGCGCACACAGTGAACGAAATCACTACCGTGCAGTTGTCGACGGCAACAGTTGTTTCAACCTTCGAGACATGTGAGCTTGATGCCGATGCGGTGAGCCTACAGAAAGCGGTGTGGTGAATCACAAAGACAGTCTCACGCTGCACGGCACCATGCAGCCCGCGCACCGTCGTACAATGCAGTCCGCCTTGATCAAGACCAACCAACGAAGCGCTGTGATTCAACACGGTACATTTGTTGTTTCGCACATGTGCTTGCTCGGACGCATTGTCACCAAACGCCTAATGACTCTACGAGAACCCCTCACTTCGCGAGAGAACGGCCTCAGGCAGCCATCCCAATGCACAAAGAAAGTGCTCTCTGGACGTTTCTTTGCAAGTGTTGGGAGTGCTCCAGCTGTGATCCAAATCTGAGGAAAGAGTCAACGGCCAGCCGAACCTGGCAACCAATGGCCAAGATCCGCACCCCACAAAATCCCTCATTAGGAAACACGGTCTGCCAACAAGGTGCATGAGGACCCTGAAAGTCACACCTGCTGCCTACCAAGTCAATCACGTTCACAGCCTGACGCTCTTGCTTTTTTGTGCACTTTCGAAAATCAGGGGAAAGTGCACCCGCAGTCCTCGAACAACAAATTGGGGTCGTTGCTTAGGTCGTTGCGCTCCTCCTCCTCTTCTCACCTTCACCTCCAAGATCCATGGCCAAGATCGCACTCATGGCACGCTCTCTCGACACCGTCCTCGCGGGCCTGCACTACGCTTACCCGGCGGCCATCCTCCTCTACTTCACCGTGGCCACTTGTGCTGCTGTGTGCACCCTCGAGACGAATCGGGCCAAGAAACGACCAGCAATCCGTCGGTCAACACGCCTGGCTGTCCTTGGGCTCCTTGCTGCTTTTGTCCTGGCCCACGCCGCCGTCGCCGCTCTCATCGTGACGGATTCCGCCGCCCATCCGCAGGACTATGTCGTCGTCGGCCATCTCTCATGTGTTCTGGTGTTCTCGGTGCTGTTCATGAAACTTGCCGACAATTTGCATCCAGTCTGGTATCCTCACTGTGGTAGTTGGCTGCTTGGTCTTGCATTTGAGGCCACCATTCACAGCCTGCAGTTCAACATCCTTGACGTGCGCCAGCTTGCTTTGGCTGGGGCTCGATGTGCCATCCTGATTCTCTTGCTTGGCTTCGCTCTGACAACAGTCAAAAAGAAACACGCTGCTTCCGACGAGGAACGCCAGAGTCTGCTGAGCAAGCCCAATGGTGCTGCCGCAGGAACTTCTACTCCCAATGGAGACAATGCCCGATACGGTTCCGCGGCTCAAAGCCATGACGAGGACAATGAAGAAGACGGAGAGGACGACGTGGATGTGAGCAATTGGGAGCGTTCCCAGGCCAAGGCGCGTAAGGACATGAAGAAACGACTCGAAGGGGATGGCAGTTGGTTCGAGTTCGCCAAAGAATTCGCCCTATTTGTCCCATACATATGGCCATTCAGCCTACCCAAGCTCCAATTGAGAGCCGCGCTCGTGTTGGCGTGTCTCCTGACGTCCAACCTCTTCAACCTTCTGTTGCCACGACAAGTTGCCGTGATCGTCGACTCCCTCAATGGAACAACTCATGCAAACCCTTGGGTCGCTGTCGCCGCCTACATTTCATTACGCTTCGCTTCCTCAGAATGTGGCATCGATCTGCTGAGCCAGTGGCTGTGGGTGCCTGTCAAGTACTACGCCAACGAGTCCCTGAAAAGGGCGGCATTTTCGCATATGATGTACCTTTCTGCTGACTTTCACGATTCCAAAAGTACACCAGACCTGAGTCTGGCGATCAATGGCGGAAGTGCCGTGTCGTCGGTCATCGAGAGCGTCTTGATGCATGCGCTGCCGATGTTGGTCGACCTGGGAGTGGCCGTGGTGTACTTGTCCTACACCTTTGGTTCATACGAAGGGCTGGCCACAGTTGCTACGAGTATTGCCTTTCTCATGCTCGCAGGAGATCTTCTGGCTCGCACCCAACAGGCCAGCCGTACCCGCCTCCGTGCAGTCTTCAAAGAGTCATCCATCCGGTGGCGCGGCTTCGAATCATGGACAACTGCGAGCACCTTCAACCAAATAGGGTACGAGGATAACCGACATGCCAATGCGGTCACCAACAGATTTGTGGAGGAGAAGAAGTACATCATGCGCTGGAATTGTTTCATTGCCCTCCAAAGTGTGGTTCTCCTGCTTGGCCTGGCTGTGAGTGCTTATCTTGCTGTAGCCCGAATCCTCGCGGGAAAGGCTACGCCCGGTCAGTTCGCCATGCTTCTCAGCTACTGGTCTCAGCTCAGTGGCCCCCTCAAGTTCTTCTCGCGCTTAGGCAAGGATATCAGCGACGATTTGGTGGAAGCCGAAATGCTGTTGCGTGTCATGCAGACCGAACCGACAGTCCAGAGCAAGAAGTCAGCACGCCCACTGCGGTTCGAGGCGGGCGAGGTCGAATTCGATCACATCTCGTTCAGCTACGACCGGCAAAAGAGCGTCATCAACGATATTAGCCTCAAGGTCGAAAGAGGGATCACAGTCGCTTTGGTGGGATCAACTGGTGCCGGCAAGTCTACGCTGCTCAAGCTCTTGGACCGCTTCTACGATGTCAGAGAGGGCAGCATCAGGATCGACGGGCAGGACATCCGCGACGTTGAGCTACATAGCTTACGGGAGCGCATTGGTGTTGTCCCCCAGAGCCCGATTCTGTTTGATGATACCATCATGAACAATGTTCGATATGGCAGAATCACAGCCACGGATGAAGAAGTTCACGACGCGTGCCGTGCGGCCTGCATTCACGATAAGATTCTGGAGTTCAGTGATGGGTACGAAGCAAAGGTTGGGGAGAAGGGCGTGTGAGTACACTTTGCCTCGTCGTATGCAGTCGCTAACATGGCCCAGGAAGCTCTCTGGCGGTGAACTACAACGTCTGGCCATTGCTCGTGTCATTTTGAAGCGGCCCGACATTGTGCTGCTCGACGAGGCTACCAGTGCTGTAGACACCGACACCGAGCAACAGATTCAGGCATCGTTCCAGACCCTATGCCGAAACCGAACCACATTTGTCGTTGCGTGAGTGGCCCGAGCTTGCCGGTGAGCACAACTTAGCTGACCATGGCAGGCATCGCTTGTCCACAATCATGAATGCGGATCTCATCGTTGTTGTTGAGAAGGGTAAGATCATAGAGAAAGGCGATCACGAGTCTCTGATTGCAGTTGGTGGACGATACGCCGATCTGTGGTCGAAGCAAGCCTTCCTCAAGCCTCACAAATACGTCGAAGAGAGCGATGCGCAGCAGACGGGCCCAGACGCCGAAACTACTACCCACCCCACTCAGGAGGTAAGGGTCGTAGCGGACGCTGAATGAGGTCGTAGTCTTACAGAATGATGCTAGGCACGCCCTATGAAGCCCCTGAACCCGGTCGCGCCTACGTTTACGCCAAAGTCAGTGTCGAAGATGCCACGGAACGGGGAGACGTCCGAAGACTCCATGGTAGTGAACGAGAACGGCCGTTGGTCAGACGAGGTTGCGGAGGAGGAGAAGCGTCAAGCAGCAGCGGTCTCGAATGCGAATAAAGGATCAGTCAAGAGCAAGGAGGACGGGGCCACCACTGGGCTATCTCTGACAGAGCGGCCCAACGGGGAGGGCAATGCGAGCGCTGACGCCTCGAAGTTTCCAGCCGAGGCAGAGACAACCAATCTTCGCAAGCCACGCTATTCTCGCCGCGTACAGTCACGTAGCGAGCCATCTGCTTCGCATGAGTCCGAGGCAACGGAGGAGGACGAGGGTGTGCTTAGTACTGTGGCGGAAAGGGACGAGGCTGGTGATTCGGTAAGGAGATGAAGGACTTGGAGTCATTGCTGAACGACGCTTACTCTTGACAGACCAGCCAAGGCCCGACACCCAAGAGAGCAGTGTCAGCCAGATCCCAGTTTCCCGGACGCCCTTCCACCGACAATTCCGTACAGCCATCATCCAGTTCCTCGGACCGTGGTTCGCGCGGCCGTCGCAGTAGGGGCATACGGGCCCGTCGCGGCCGTGGCATTGTTCGCTCTGCTTGAAAGGTTATGAGTTATGATGGAGCATGGAATACGGCATGTTAAGGCATTTTGGACGCGATGAACACGCAGTGTATAATAGAGCTATACTAGATGATATCGCCAGTGCAAACGAGAAACAAAGGATTTCTATTTTATTATACCAAGGCTACCAATGGTGTTGACTCTTGCGTAGGTGAAGTAATTATATTGCTGCCCTCACTGTCCAGAGCCGGGAGGGTTGTTGCCGCGACCACCTTGTCCGCCAGCACCACCGCCGCCCATCATGTTACGGGCCCTACAGCAATGTTAGTTGGGGTGTAGAAAGCAGAGCAAGGCAGTCACTTACATGTCGGCAATGTTGGGGTCGTTCATGAGGGCGCTCATGTCAGGCATGCCGCCGCCACCACCACCGCCGCCGCCACCGAACTGCTCAGCCATCTGCCTCAGCTGCGGGTTGCTCATGAGGTTGTTCATCATGTCCGGGTTCGACATGAGGTTCTGGGCCATGCTGGCAAACATGGGGTTGGACATGATGGAGCTCAGATCGGGCATGCCACCGCCGCCGGCGCCGCCACCACCAAGCATGGAGGCGAGGGAGCCGAGGTCAGGCATGCCGCCGGCACCAGCACCGCCCATGGGAGGAGGCGAGCCGGGGCTCGAGCGTGGCAGGTCGGCCTCTTCGGTCTCCATCTCCTCCACGCGGCGTTTGGCGGTCTCGAAACCCTTCTTCATGGCGTCGCTGCCGCCGTTGCCCTCAAACTCGATGCCCTTGCCGTAGGCCTCCATGGCGCCCTTAGCGTCGCCCAAGGCGAAGCGGGCGAGACCGAGGCGGGACCAGGCCTTCGTATAGGTCGGGTCGATGGCGACGGCGGACTCGGCATCGGTGCGGGCGGAGGCGTGGTCCTTGGCGGCCGAGTGGGCGGCGGCGCGGTTGCTCAGGAAGATGGCGTTCCGGGGGTGGACGTTCAAAGCCTGGGTGTACAGGTCGACGGCGGACTTGTAGTCCTTTTGGGCCATGGCGGCGTTGCCCTTGCTCTTGAGGGCCTCGGCCTCCTTCTTCTTTTCCTCGGTCAGCTCCGCGTCGGCGGGCGGCGGCTGCTGGCCTGCGCCGGGGGCATTCTGCTTGAGCTTCTCGTAGACGGAGTAGATCTGGAGGAGGTTCTGGTTGCCGACGGCGGCGGCGGTCTGTGCGGGGTCGGACGGGTCAATGTTGAAGGATTCCTTGATGGATTCGACGGCGACCTCGATGGAGGCGTCGTTGTCGGAGGACAGGGTGCCGTCGGTGAGGGAGGTGGTGAGGAAGTCGCAGATGGCGAGCGCGAGGCGCTGCTGGGATGTTTGTGCAGGCTGTGGCGGCGTGTCAGTGTGTGTGCTCTGGGCTGTCCGTGGTGCAACTGTGCTTACCATGTTGGCGGGTTGGGGGGTTAGGGATGGGGATGAGGATGGAGAGAGTGAAGCTGGTGATGCCCCGCGATGGAGAACAAAGTGGCGGTTGTGTAGAATATTCTGGGCGCAATTGTGGGGGAGCTCACTAACAGGGTTGCACCGGACTAGAGGCATGTCGTGTTAGTGTCAGCTGGCGTACGAGGCCTCGGCAGCCTGAATATACATCTGCAATCACGCTACGGAGGTGAATTTTGTCTGAATGATAATGAAGCCCATGAATTGATTAACGCTATTAGGAGGGGTGATTGTTCGTGTTTCATCATGAGAATATCGGCCATGGCCCTTACAAATGAACCCCCTCGCAAGCATGTGAGTGCATCAAGACGCCCCCCTTCTTGATCTGTCCACGTTCTTGACCCTCCGTTGGTTCATGGCCGCCACCTTGCGCGACTTGGCGTACACTCTCACGGCGTCCTTGACCACTACGTATATGCACCCTCCCACCAAGCTCCGGCCCCATTGTTGCTGGAGCGTGCCTGTCCTCTTGACCGCGAAGCCCCTCCACGAGCGCTCCATAAAGCTCGTCGTCCATGACCGGGGCAGAATGGCGCGCAATGCCTCCCCCATGACGAAGCAGACGCCCGGGAGGAGCAGAGCACTGACCACTGCGTTCGAGGCCAGGGACAGTAGCTGGCCGATTCCACCACGCGCAGGAGGCGCAGGCGGCGCCTCGTGATTTCCAGGACGCTCTTGTTGCGCCTCATCGACGGGCTCGTTGTGCTGTTGCTCGCCCCCTTGCTCTTCACCCAGCTCCTCGACGTCTGCCCGCTCCTCGCGCATTCGCACCATTGGCTCGTTGCCTTCCTCGCCCCCAAAGCCAATGTCCAGCTCTACCACGTATTCAGCCACCTCCACGTCCCCTCCATCCTGCTCGCCCTCGACTTCCGCACCTTCACGTCCGGCTTGGACGTCAGCGTCATTCCCGTTGCCCTCTTCCTCTGGGTCCAATGCGTCAATCAGCTGCTGGAGGAAGCCCAGCACACCGCCGCCCTCGGCCTGCCGTCTCTCCCGTTGTCTGTTGTTCCCATTCCTTTCGCCGCGCTCCTCCAGTGGGGGCAGACCTTGAATCTGCCTATGGAGCTTAAGCTCGTAGGGAAAGACGAACTCGCGCCATAGCGAGTAGTAGATGCCCCGGATCTGGGGAAACATGGCGATAGCCAGCTGCGGCGAGGGAGGCCAGCTGAAAAAGTGCTTGGTGTGCGCCGCGTGCCACGTACCGTACAGGGAGGCCAGCGGGAAGAACAGCTTGTTGGCCAGGGACGGTAGCAGTTGGCTGACCAGTAGCACGGGCGCAATGTTCATGAGCACGACGGCGTTACCGACCCTCCTCAGATAGTGCCCCTGCGGCCTCCTCCCATCCAGAATCATATTCGGCCCGAGCAGGAACTTTGTGAGTTCTTCGCGGCCCGCAAACGCCCAGAAGGCCATGGCACCGTACACCTGCGCGCCGACCTGCACCCCCAAGCTCAGTCCGGTGAACAGCATCACCGGGCTCGCTCTTGTGAATGCCCGTTCCAGTTTGTCCGAGATGCTGACGATGGGATCCCACGGGCCCTCGAGTTCGATGCGCGCCTGGCATATCGGGCAGCGAAGCGGCTTGTGATTGCGTTCGCAGTCGAGCACCCACGAGTAGATGCAGTCTTGGTGGGCTTCGAGGGTGCAGGGGCAGGGCGATACCCAGTCGTTGGGGTCGTCGGTGGGTTCTTGGTCCATCTGGCAGACAAAGCAACGGGGAGGCGTCTCGGTAGGCATGCTGGGCGCGCTGCTGGATTCGTTGTCGGGAAGGGACTGGAGCGAGGCAGGCGAGGAGGCCATGATGACGGTGTGAAGGCCAGCGGGCCTATCGCATGGTACGTGTGCGTGAGTGGGAAGCGCGATCGAGAAGCAGCTCTGGAGAAATGTCTCGTACGTAGTGAGGTGATGCAGATGTTGATGTCAGGCGAGCAATCCATCTGGGTGAGACGCAGATCGGCACATGTCATGTCATGGAGTCACGACTGTTTGGGGCTAGCCTCATTCGGAAGCGCGACCTCGGCGCTCAATATCATCGAGTCGAGTCGCGACTCACTCGACACTTCTCTCTTGGGCACTCTTTACCATCCGTACAGCACTGAACATTCAATGACAGTATCTTGACAAAATCGCACATTCTAAACTTCTCACGTCCTGGAAAGAAACAGGCAAAGCGATGTATTCAGCCGCCACACTAACCCCTATCTAGAACACGACACCCTTTGTCTGCATGGTATCCTTCGAGAACTTGATGTTCTTAATCATAAAGATGCACGCGACCATCAGCACAGACACGCCCAGTCCAGCCGCGAGCATCCTGGCCTGTGCATACCCATACGCCTCCTGGATCGCCACGCGCTCCGGGGTCCCGACCGCGTAGGACAGCTGCGCCCCCAGATTGGTGTAAATCTCCACGACGTTAGGCAGCGCGGACTCGGGCACTTTGCGCAGCAAGGCCTTGTAGAACGTGTTCGTCCAGATCGTGCCCGACACCGTGCGGCCGATGGCCCCGCCCATCGACCCGGACACGTACAGCATGGCGAGCACGGCGGCAATGTGCTGGTGGTCCACCGAGGCGAGCACCGCGAGCTGCACGAGCAGGATGAAGACACTCCCGCCCATGGAGATGAAGATCTCACACATGACAATATAGCCAATGTGCTGGTTCGGACGACGAAAGTAGATCATGAGGCCCAGCCCGAGCATGTACAGCGGCGTCGTCACGTAAAACAGCCACTTGAAGCGGCCTGTCCGGCGGACGCCGTAGCCCACGATGAAGAGCAGCACACCTGAGACCACCTGGAACGTGCTGTTCACGTACCCAGCCTCCGCCACGCTGAGGTTGCTCACGACCTGCAGGAAGGACGTGAAGTAGCTGTTCCAGCAGTAGTACGAAACCTGGTAGATGGCGTCAAAGAGACAGGCGCCAATGACCGTTCGATCGAGCAGGAATTTGCCTCTCATAAAGGGCGCGGGAGCGAGGTACACCTCGTACAGCCCGAAGGACACGAGAAGGACAAAGCCAACGACAATCATGGCGATGATGTAGTCCTGCTCCCACCCCTTGGGTGCTGAGGTCGCCAGCGTGAACGGGAGGAGGAAGATGGTGAGACCCGCGCCAAAGAGAATGACGCCAGGCACGTCAAAGTCCTTGAGGCCCTGCCAGAAACGTTGCAGCAGGGGAATGGTTGACTTCTCTCGCACAAACCGGCCCTGTCGCTCTGCTTTCCGAAGGTTGAGAACGAGCATCACAAACAGCGGCATGCAGACAAAAGGCACGATGATGGCAAACGACCCAAAGCCCCATTGCCAGCTCACATCCTGCAGATACCCCTCGGCCGCCTTGGACCCGGCAAAGGCCGTGATCATGTAGGGAGACGACGTGAAGGCAAAGGCGATGCCTCGGTTCCTTAGGGTGGTCAGGTCCGCCGCCATGACGGCCACGACGTAAATGATACCCGAGAAGCCGATGGAATAGAAGACCTGGGCGGCGCAAAAGGTCGCCAGGTTGTCGGACGCGGCCATGAGGACGACGCCCAGGGTGGCGGACACGACCATGAGGAGGAAGCCCTCGGCGCGGCCCCACACGTCGAGCAGCTTGGCCATGGGGATGTAGACGGCGGCCGAGATGGCGCTCGACACGATGCCGATCACGGTGAGCAGGGAGTGCGCCTGGAAGTCGGACGTGACGTAGGGCGTGAGGCTGATGAGGACGGCGCCGCGAAAGCCGTTGACGAGGAAGATGAGCCAGATGCTGGTCGTGTTAATTGGGCGGCAGAGATGGCATGAGGGGACGTACTTGATGAGCAGGGCGATCAGCCATCCTTTGGACCAAGACAGAGTGACGGCCTCGATCTTCTGGACACCGAGCTGGGCGTCCTTGCTGGGGACCGCATCATTGTGCGTCTTTTCGAGATCATCCACAACCACAGCGTTCTTCTCGGTGTTTGTCGCAGGCGCCACCGCAGCGGGTGTCGCCTCAATGTCAGAGTCGCCCGACATGATGGTCTTTGGGGGGGAAGGAGGTGCAGAAGCAGTTCATGAGTGCAGACGCGGGACCATCAGCCTCTTAAGCAGAGTTTCGAGGGGTGACCCATAGCGGACATGGGCCCATATTCATGCAACCTTGAATAAAACTCTGTTCGCTTCGCCCAGGATCTCGCGATACCGGAGGCGGGCATACACGGGATCTAATCTTATCAGATGGGGATTGCGCCGGGGCTGGGGAGCGGGCTATATGCTTGGCAGTGGGTCGGACAACGGAGCGACAGGATGTTGATCCTGTACGTATGGTCGAGGTGGAGAGAATATGGCGTGTCCAGCACCAGAAGACGATGGGGTTGGCGCTTGGCGAGCTCCTGGACTGGTCGAGCGGACGTCCGACTTTGTCCGGCCCTTGACTGATTGATTAGATCGTGAGGTCAGGGGAGGGTAAACTCTGACCCTGGTCGAGGCAGACTTTTCCACTCTGTCAAGGGCATAACCAAAGGTATCTAGTATTTTAAAGTAGTGTCTACGTTGGCCTTTATTTAACCAACAAAGATAGTTTGAGGATCTCGCTAAAGAGGCTCGTTCTCTAGTTAATGTTTAAACGACCGATAACAATATAAACTAATCTCGCGGAGGATCATGAATCATTTGCTAACTAGATGAACAAGTCTGGAATTAGAGAGAATTGCGAGGCTACAGATCTAGAAGGCAAAACCATCTGGCGTCATTGACGCTTGTTAGCTCCAGTGCTCAGGGGATCACCATACGCGTACCCAGCGCCATGAGCCTGCAAAGTCGTAGGCAACACTCCTGGCTGTGCTTGAATCTCTCTCAGAAGTCGATTTTCATGTCTAGCATACGTATCTGCTGCGAAAGTGTTTGTCGAAATCGAAGGCTGAGTCTGGCTCTGCTCTGACCGGCACAAGCTAGGATCGCTAACAAATCGGTCATAGGCCTAGGCGTGATGCACTTCCAATTTCACCATGCAACCACAGAGAATACATCTTGGCGTAACTCAGGACTTTGTAGGTGTGAGCGCCCATACCTGTTCGTACCAATCACTGCCTCCATGACAGGCCCAGACTCATTTCTTCCGCTTTGCAGTGACCATCTACGCAAGCGAACACCGCACAAGTAGACGCGTGCCTGTGGTTACACAACATCCTGTCGTCTTCCAACTTGTCATCGCGGACACGCCACCCCACGTCACCTACATGCGATCCAATGTAGGTGTAATGTCAAGATGTTGGTGCGCCAATATGAGCAAGTTCTCCATCCATGCCCCTCGTTGACATGCATATCGACTTGGCAAGACTCCTGTGCCCTCAGCAGAGCGTACAGGTAGAAAGCGATCCCCAGTTACGAACAGACAACCGAGCAGCGCGCATCCTCTGTTAGGTACGATAGCTTCACGCAAAGATCAACTCGCCCCATTATCATTCTTGTTTATCATTCTCAATCTCAGTCTGTATCGCGTGTAGACCCCTTTCCAACCAAACACGTTTAGACCCCTTCCCAATCAAACACCACCCACTATGCCAATCGTCAATCGTCGTCTCTTCGTCTCATTGCGCGCGCCGGGCAAGCGTGTAGCTTATTTCTTCTGGGAGTCAATGTAAGCAAAGTTGCCGCCAGGAGGGGTAATTCGAGTCAAGCCTTACAGGGCAGTTGGCGCAAGTGCAGCTGGAGCCGCAGTTGCAGGAGCCAGAGGAGGAGCAGCCGCAGTCACCCATAGTGTCGGTTTGTAAAATCTGGTGGAAAGGTGGTGTTTGTGTGTGTAATGTTGTGTTGCTTGAGGGAGGCGAGTTGTTGATGACAGAAGCAGACCCTGAAGTAGCCGCATGGACATCTGTCTTTATACCCTTTCGCTGCGACCCCCCCCTCCCCTCCATCTCAGCCAGGGACAGCACGCGGGGCATCGGGTGATATGGCGATGACGATGCCCCATACGGAGGACGAGTTCAAAAGTTATGCGTTGCCAAGAAACTAGCCATAGTTGGCGTCTAGCCCGAAGTAGCCCCCCGGGAAGTTTATCACCAAATTTGGTGTAAAAATTCCCCTCTCATAACCCCTCTTTGACTGATGAATCGACATATACTTTGGAATATCAAACTTTTTGACGAAGCCGACCGCGATCATGCCGCACACTAATATTGCAACGAGGGGGATGGTTATAGGTATAAAGGCTAGCGGTATGACCACTAAAGAGGTTGCCTCTATCACAGGCCTGACTCCAAGCACGATCAACCGTATCTACGGCAGAGCGTGCGAGGCTGGATTCGACCCAGCCGAACGCCCTTTGAAGCTTCAAGATACCGATGTTAGCGACCAACCTCGATCTGGCCGGCCGTCGAAACAATCCTCGAATAAAGAGCCAATCTTGAATATTATACGCCGCGATCGATACGGAAGAGAGAAGAGTTCTGCTGATATCGCCGGCGACCTTAGCCTCTTAGGCATCGAGATCTCAGCGACCACGGTTTAGCGTGTGCTCCACGCCGCTAGCTTCTACAAGACGAAGCCGACGAGGAAGCCTAGTCTAACTACTCGGATAAAGAAAGAACGCCTTAATTAGTGCCTAGCACGGCAAGATTAGACCCTCGAGGACTAGAAGTCTATGATATAGTCTAACGAGACCTCTATAGTGTTATTACATCGCCGTGGTGCCTATAGGCTCTAGCGAACGCCTAAAGAGAAGGTGAATAAGAGCTATATCCGTAAGCGCTAGAAGGGCTCTTTAGAGTTTATATTCTAGGGTAGCTTTTTATACGATAAGAAAGGCCCCTGCTATTATTAGTGCCCGGAGACTACTACTAAGAAACGCCTTGCTAAGGAAGAACTTAAGGCTATGAATAAGGCCCTTGAGCCTGCCGCGAAGGAAGCCTGGGAGCTCTCGATAAAGATAAGCCGCCTCAATCTACGGCAGAAGACACCTAGTAAGAAGCCTACCTAGCGGTTCACGAAGGCGACCGGGAAGCTTACGAGAGGCGGGAAAGGTAGTATTGATTAGTATCGCTATCGTAAGCATATTCTTAGGCCAAGGCTATTACCGTTCGCGAAGGAATATGCCCTCGAGAGGCCGGATATAGTAGTTCAAGAAGATAAGGCTCCGGCGCACGCCCACCACATACAACAACAATTATACGATCTCGAAGGTATGCGCCGCCTCGAGTAGTATGGTAACTCGCCGGACCTTAATATAATCGAACCGGCCTAGCCATAGATCAAGAGATATACTACTAAGAAAGGGGCCCCTAAAACACGGTCTAATGCTATCGCGAGATAGCAGAAGGCATAGAACGACCTGCCTTAGGCCGAGATTTAACGCTAGATTGAGCGTGTTCCAAGACACGTCAGGAAGATCATTGAATTAGAGGGTAGAAATAAGTATGTCGAGGGGCGCCAGGATAAGCCGTAGGATTTACACCAAAGCTAGCTAGATTTAAACGACATACAGACTTAGCGCCTTTAGCGTCAACGCATAACTTTTGAACTCGTCCTCCGTAAATCTTATCGCTATCTGGCCAACGGCAAAAGGCCCCGCGACAATAGGCGAATGTTGCGCAGCTGCAAGTGGTTTAGCGTCCTCGAACTTTGATTGCGGGAGCGAATCAGCTGCGTGCGCTTTTTGTGCGTAGAAGAGCGGCGGGCCAATCTGTCGCATGTAAATTATTCTTGGGCGATTCTCGCGCAGCCTGGACCGTCATGCGCTGTTTGTGCCGTGGCGAAGTTATCACGCTTTGGCGTGATGATGAACAAATCATCTTCTACTAGTAGGTACGTATTCATGGAATTGACTGGAAAAGTATGTCCGCCGGCGATTTTCCCTCACTGGTTCCTCACTGGTCCCTTCACTACATCTTGTCCTTTCGGTGCGAGTCCTCCAGCGACGGCCATGCGTCCATGGGCAACATGAGTGGCGTCTTGAGCGGTCCTTGTGGCCCCTGCGTCTCCTCCTCCACATGGCCATCATCCTCTTCACGTCCCTCCTCGACAATGGTGACCGCGAACCGCGACACAATGACCGGTCGTGGCACCTGTCCGCCAATGGCATAGCCCAGCTCGCTGTGCCCCAGGCCCAACGCCTCCCGCAGGAAGCCGTTGACGACAAACGTGTTGCCCGAGTCGTCTCCGTCGGTGCATACCCCCGCCGCGTGCTCACGACTTCGCACGTAGCCCGTGGCGGCCCAGATAAAGGTGCGCGACGCGGTGCGCGCCGTGTGCCGCAGAAGCCAGACGAGGTAGTTGGTGACCACGTCACAGAGCTGGCGCGGGACGCCAAAGACGTTCAGGATGATGACGACGGAGCGCTTCATCCGCAGCTCGACGGGCGACATGGTCTCAGTGGTGAGCAGGTACAGGCTCTGCTTCGGGTCGACCTTGCATTGGTAGAGGTAGGCCGTATTCCTCCGCATGGTGTAGTGCGTGCCCGCGCCCTTGTCGTCGAGCCAGTACAGGCCCTAGCTGAACTGCTCGTGGTCGAAGAAGGGGTTGCACGTCGTTTCGTAGGACGAGGGCTCAAAGGCGGCGGGTGGGCGCGTAGGGCAGAGGAGAGGCCCGGCGATGTATCGGGGGTCGTCGTGCAGGGACATTGTGATGTACAGGTTGCCGGGCATCATCTCGCGGACGTAGTACGCCATTTGGGCAGTTGAGCGTCAGGTGTGAGAAAGGGGAGGTTTGCTTCTGTGAGGCTAAAGTCCATCGCTCATATACCTCACGCTCACAGCACAGTGAATCGTAGCTGAGGCAAGGCTGGCATCCTTCTCAGCCGCCCAGCTCCAGCTCCAGCTCCAGTCATTCTCGCACCTGAGTGGATCGCCTGTAGCACCTGGGCCCTGGCTAGTATCCCGCCGCTACACTTCACGACATGCCGAATTGTCCGTTCTTCAGGCGGAAAACTCGGTGGCGAGTACCCCGGATTGACAGGAGAGAAAAAGCGTCCCCGCCGCAAGCCTGGAAGCTCGCCATGCGGAGAAGCGCGAGAGGTATTTTACGTGCGCAGCTAAAAGTCGTGGTCAAGTCGCGTCTTGACTCTTGTTTTCTTGCTCCTCCTCCTCCTCCTCCTCCGTCTCCCTCTCGAAGTCCCTTTCTTGCGCGCGCATTTTGTCGTGATAGCTTCACGAATCTACGTCATCAGACCCTGGACAGAGACTGAACCCACCACTGCGGGGTACTGAACTACTGCTACTGCGAGTCTGCGACAGCTTCGCGACCCGAGTCTGCCTTCATCACCATCACGAGCGTCGTCACATACTAGCATTTCGTTCAGCACAGCACCGCCAACATGGCCGTCCCAACTGCCAATGCCCTCGCCGACATGTACCCCGAGGCCGCCCTCGCGGAGCAGGCGCCTCGGTGGAACACGCTCCTCGAGTCGTTCTCGTCGGCCTTTGGCCACAAGCCATCTTTTGTCGCGCGCTCGCCCGGCCGAGTGAACATTATCGGCGAGCACATTGACTACTCGCTCTACTCGGTGCTGCCCATGGCCATCGAGGCGGACGCACTGCTCGCGGCCTCGTCGTCACCCGCGCAGAAGGACGGCGTCTTCCAGATCAAGATCCGCAACGTCCAGGATGCCAAGTTCCCCGGGCAGACGTTCGAGGTCGACGCCAAGGGGGACGTGCCGATTGACTCGACCAAGTTTGAGTGGACCAACTACTTCAAGAGCGGCCTGCGGGGCGCGCTGGAGCTGCTGCGGAAGAAGAAGGGCGCCGACTTTGCGCCCGTGGACATGGAGATTGTCATGGACGGCTCGGTGCCGGTGGGTGGTGGCCTGAGCTCGAGCGCGGCGTTTGTGAGCGCGAGTGCGCTGGCGGTCATGGTTGCCAACGGCGAGACGGCCGTGGACAAGACGGAGCTGACCGAGGTGGCTATTGTCAGCGAGCGCGCGGTGGGCGTCAACTCGGGCGGGTGAGTTCTTTGCCTTGGGTGCTTGTATGCCCTGAGAGATGTCAGCTAACACCCCCCCCCCCCCCCCCAGCATGGACCAGTCCGCCTCGGTCCTCTCCGAGCAGGGCGCCGCCCTCTTTGTCGAGTTCAGCCCCAAGCTCAAGGCGCGGCCGATCCATTTCCCCCCAACGCACCCAGAGCTCTGCTTTGTCATTGCGCAGTCGTTTGTCACGTCCAACAAGCACGTCACGGGGCCCATCCACTACAACCTGCGCGTCGTCGAGTGCAGCATGGCCGCGGCGTACCTCCACGCGGTCCTCAACCCGCCGGGCACGTCGCTGCCCACCGACGCGGGGCCTTTGGGCGTCAGCCTGCAGGGGTTCCACGAGACCTACTTCTACCACCAGGGCGGCGACGCGAGCGCGCCCCGGAGCGTCACCAAGGAGGAGGAGCTGACGAGGTTGATCCAGTTGGTCAAGGACACGTTCACTCAGGAGGACGGCTACACGCGCGAGGAGATTGCGTCGACGCTGGGCGTCACGGCGGCCGAGCTCGAGGCGCGCTTCACGTCCACGTTCCCCGTCCGCGCGGACCGGTTCAAGCTCCGGCAGCGGGCGCTGCACGTCTTCTCCGAGGCGTTGCGGGTGCTGCAGTTCCTGACGCTGCTGGAGCGGCCGGTGCACACGGGGGCGACGGACACGACGGCTTTCAACGCGCAGCTGGGCGACCTGATGAACGCCACGCAGGACTCGTGCCGGGAGCTGTACGAGTGCAGCTGCCCCGAGATTGACACCATCTGCCGCGTCGCCCGGGCGGCGGGCGCGTACGGCTCGCGCCTGACGGGGGCGGGCTGGGGGGGATGCAGCGTGCACCTGGTGCCGGCGGACAAGGTCGGGGCGGTGCAGGCGGCGCTGGAGCGCGAGTACTACGGGCAGATGGATCTCACCGAGGAGCAGAAGACGCAGGCGGTGGTTGTGAGTCGGCCCGGGCATGGAAGTGCCATCTACAAGGCTGAGGGCGTGGTATAGGCTGTACGTACCTGATCATGAATGAGTAACACGGGCCTGTCATGGAATTGGGCGGCGTGCTGTGATTGAGTTGGCGCTATTGTTGTGTAAGCGTTTGTGTCAGCGGAATGCAAGATGGGCCACTGTGCCGTGCCGGATAGTAGTACTAATTAATAAAAGTACTAATCAAGTAATGACAGGCCGGCCCCCACGTCTAATTTGGTGAAGTCGCAGTCGGTCAAGGACTCGGGTCATACTTGTATAAGAGGTGCAAACGCAATCTGTGGTGAGAGCTGGCGGACCGAGTCCTCATGAGCCAGACTACTCGCACTTTAGACCAGAGAGCCTCATCATTGATCACCGTCGCAGCCGACAATTAATAAGTTGCCTAGACTCGTAGACTCGTAGCCAATTGCTCGACTCCATCTCCAGGAATATGCTGACAGGTGCCACTGACAAAATGCAAAGCCACTAATGCTGCGTGGCGCGATCCAGCCTGCAGATCGTCCCCGGGCAGGCAGGCGGGCAGAGATAAGGCGGCGAGACCCTCACATGAGGACGGACGTAGGTTTGAGGTAGTGAGGTTTGTGATTAATGTCCATGCCTGGGGTTTGCGATGGGCTTTAATGATTTGTAGCTCCATGCCTCGAGTATGCCTCCTTGTTCACGTCGCAGCATTGAAGCGGGCAGTCTGGCATCCCCTGGGGCGTCCACAGCCTTAAGTACCTACTGCCTGTAGTCACTATTACTACGAACCCTGACCACTATCATCTCGCCTTTATCATAATAATTAATACGTACGTACAGCCTACAGCACGACTGCATACGACGACTGGACCCCTGCAGCCCAATCGCCCCGGATCGCCCCGCTGCCTGGCCTTCATTTCTCGCAGTCGCAGTATCTCTTCTTCCTCTCAATCTTTCTTCTTCCTCGCCGTCAATTAGCGAGGCATCGCAGCCAAAGCGCGGTCGCCGTCGACTCACCTTCCCTCCCCTCCTCCACCTCCTCCGCTGCCAACACCCCAAGTCGGATCAATTGAGAGGTCCAGCGACAGCGACGACGACGGCATCCACCGCGATTCCATTTCACCCAAAAGGGTCATGCAACGACCCCCCGACATGCCCGCCCCCGATTCGTGGGACGCGAGCGCCGGCAGTGGCCCGTCCATGTCCCCAGGCGCCTCCTCCTCCTCGCTGCAGCAGCAGCAGCAGCAGAACCACCACCAGCACAACCAACGCCCGCAGAGCAGCACCAGCGGCAGCATCCACAGCAATGGCGCCCCCTCGCACGAGGACCAGCTCGACCGCCAGATGCTGCGGCATCTCATGCGGAAATATGGCGGCGCCGAGGGTCTGTCGCGATTGATGCTCGAGGAGAATGGTCCCCCCCTCGACAGCGCGTCCGAGATCACGACGAGCACCTTCTCCAGCGTCGAATCGGCGCCCACCTCCCTCTTTGACAGCGGCTCCAGCATCCGGTCGGAGGAAACGGGCTCGGGACGCGGGAGCATCATTTCCAACGTATCCGCCCGCACGGCCAAGTTCCTGAGTCGCTCGAGCGAGGACGTGCACGCGTCCGCATCCCCATCCGCCGCCGCCAAGCAGCGAGGGACATTTACCTGCGGCTTCTGCTCCGAAGAGGGCGTCGTCAAGACGTGCACGCGCAAGAACGACCTCAAGCGCCACATTGAGGATTTCCACTACACAAACGCCCAGTGGCAGTGCCGGCAGCGGTCCTGCGGCCAAATGTTCGACTGGGCCACCGTCTACAAGACGCACATCAAGGTCGTCCACGGCGGCTCGCGGAGCACCAACCTCGACGACGCCCGCATCGAGCTCTGCCCCCAGCAGGTCTTTGCCTGCGGCTTCGAGAACTGCATACAAGTCTACGAGACGACCCGCGACGGCGAGGAGGCCCTCGCCTTTAAGAACTACGTCGCCCACGTCATCAAGCACCTCGACGAGGGCTCCAACTCGGGCGACTGGTCCTACTCCACACGGATACGCAACCTCATGCGCCAGAGCGGCACCCTACGCGCCTGGACAGAGAGCGACTGGCCCGAGAGCGAGCGCAACAAGCTCGTCTGGACGCCCCAGACCAGCGTCGTCCTACGGAAGCAGCTCGAGACCAAGCACCTGGGCGATCTGCGCATGCTCGTGCAGTACGCCATCGCCCTCGGCTCTGATCCGGAGAGCGTGCCTGCCATTAGCAACGGCCTGCCCATCAGGGAAGAGTGTCGTCTACACGGTGGTGAGAGGATCCGCATACAGGGTGCGCAGAGGGCCCCGTCACAGCCCTATCCCCAACAGCAGCAGTTGATGAGGCAGGGTTCCGCCACGGGCGATGATCCCTTTCAGTTCAGGATATCGCGGGGCGGCACCACAAACAACCCCCAGCTCGCCGAGTACTACGCCACGCAGCGACGCATGCAGCAGTTCACCACGAGGCCACCTGTGCGCTCGGGTCGGTCGGCGCGGCCCCCCGTCCGGACGATCCCCGCCCAGCAACAGCAGCAACAGCAACAGCAACAGCAGGCTCTACAACAGGACATGTTCGATCCGACTGGGTACTACCACGGACAGCCGTCGTTCGCGGCGGCCAGCGGCGAGGGGGGCATCGTGGCCGACGATATTCGGAGTCTGCGCAGCCTTGCGAGCAGTCACTCGGGCGGCGACGTGGACATGGGCGACGGGCCGTCCATGGAGGGCGGGTATGGTCTCCCGGACCAGAGGGCGTTTTACGGCCTCCAGGCTGGGCCTGGCGAGGTCAAGATGGAGCCGCCGTTTGCGTACCAGCAGGGGTATCAGTGAGGCTTCACTTTGGGAGAGGATGGATTCTTGTACAGGATGGATGGATGGTCTCTAGGCGGGCGTTATTTGCATTTTGGGTATACCCTAGGATAGAAGTGTCGGGCGGTTTTTGTGTTGGAATGGTATGGACCTCGGATACTACTATATGGTCACAACTACTTACTTACTTTACCTTGGTGCCTGTTTGCGTGTTATACCTACCCATTTACACGTATTTTCGATGACGCGCATGTTCACTCCGCGCTAGCGCTTGCTATAACCTCAACTAGACAGCTTCAAGTCGCTACAGAGGGACAAATCATTCATTCACTCGCTTCGACCCTCTCCATGGACGCCGACTGGCAGGCCGAGCACTTTTCAGCGCGCCGCATTGGTCACGGCAAAAAGGCCAAGGGCACTGCCAACACCCGCGCCTTTGATCCTCGGCGCAGCTTTGGGGTATATCAATTACAATGCCCAGCCCTCGCCAAGGTAGCGCAGGGTTCGACCGCCGATGTGTCGAGGGCGCGAGATACTCTGGAGATTCACGGGTTAGTCGACGGTCGCGACGACGCGCTCATGTGTACGCTGAGCGTGGCGGGCCTGGTGCAGGGCGTTGCTGTCCTGGCGGGCAGTAGGAAGGTCCTGGGGTATGTGGTCCGAGAGCTCGAGGAGGAGGAACAAGAAGACGAAGCAGAGAGCTCCGCTGGCGAGGACGTGGACGAGGACATGAGCAGCATCGAGAGGGCGGATGAACGTGAACGGCGCCGATACCAGGCCTTTGAGAAGAACTCGTTCCGCAGCCCCAAGTTTTGGATGCGCTGGCGTGCCGTGATCCATACAGTGGCCTCTGACAAGGGCACCAGCGAAGCAGGAGGCGAACGACAGACTGTTGAGGTGGATGGCGGGTACGTCGTCTTCAGTGGGAGTGATTGTTCTGGATTCCAGGGCACGATCAGCTGTGCGTGCTTGGGGCTGGAGAATGTCAAGATCACGGGGGCCAAGGTTGTCTCCAAGGCTACAGAGTGTCGGTTGGGATGGATGGATGTGGCACTCTTGAGAACTGAGTCGTCGACAGAGGGTGGACGCTTGGAAAGAGCCATGTAGAATCAATATGAAGCAGTGCAAAGACAAAATAAAGTCATGGGCGGATTTCCAGGTGATCAAGACTTACTCTGACTTGAGACAAGACGCTCATGGAGGGCCCATGCCCAGGCAGCTAGTTGAGATCAACCCATGACTTGTTAGATGTCAAAAACGGATAATTGCCTTGTTTACTGATGTATCAAATATTACCTAGACTAGCTGTTTCATTCCAAGGGGTGTGAGTGATCCTAGTGCCTGTGATCGGGAGACTGGCGGACCCCGTGTCACAAGACTACCCTGCAGCACAGCCGCACTCACGGCTCGCGGCTCGTATGATGAGAATTTGCTATTGAATAAGCAAAATGGCATCTCAGAGGATATGAAAATAGACAGCGTAACTTTCATAATAGGCTTTACTGCCCAGCGTCAAGTTTGACAACCAGTTGATGCAACTTGACGTGTAATCTTTGGCCTCATGGTCACACACTCAAAGACAACAACCTCTCACAACAAGTCACAATTGCGTGAGCGAAAGAAGACCGTCGCACCATCTGGTCCTAGCCCTGTCCTCATTCGAAAGAAATGCAGCATATGATTCAATCTCGATCATGCTACGGAGCATGCATCAATGATCAATGCATCCTGCTATTGATTTCCAATGCCTGCGATGATACCCTCGCTCGCCATTGACACGACTGACCCACAACTACCTTCACTGAAAGTCTGAAACACCATGTTTCAATCTGCAGATCACGTTTCCCAGTACCGGCAACGCCTAGCCTGCACAAAGATATATTTGAATTGTGCCTGTCATTCACCTCTCTATCCGTAAAGAATGAGGGAATCGCGAGAAGAATCACTAGCCAGTCTCTACGTCAAGCCGGATCAGCTGTGCCCAGCCAGCCAGCCACGCCATCCCAATCCTGGCCAGCTCGCTTATTTAATTAGAGCACACGTCTTCCGTCACCGCCGCTCCCCACATCGACATCCGTCACCGTTGCGGCCGAGATCTTTAAAACAGTTCAAGAGGCCAAGACATGGCGGGCAGTCGTACGTACTGTACGTAGCCAGCTCCAGTCCCCACAGCAAAACTTCCGACCGGCCGGTCAATGCCTCTGTGGCGCGGCTAGGCTCTCATGGCGGCGCCTTGTCTGACACACTCATGTTTGGACGAAGAGTTGACTGACTCGCTAGTCTTTCAGTCTTCTTCCCTTCTTTCCCGCCGCCGATCGCATCAATCGCCCGGGCATTAATTGAGTCGTGTGTGTGCGATCTCCATTCTGAAACAGGACGAGCTTAATTGCTCATGCATCATTGATGCATGCAGTCGCGCAGTCGCAGCAGTCCATTGCTGCTTGGTGAACTAGTTATGTACGGATGGATACGTCCTCACACACTGACACCAGTGGTTATCGCCGACTGGACGGCTAGGCCCGGAGCTGCACAGGGGCCTTGCCGCACGCGCGCCAGCAGCAAATGGTCGTGTTTCAGGTTTTTGCCAAGGTGTTTATTTTTGGAGGCAGAGTCAAGATTGTGCGCTTCTCGGGCTCTTGGCGCCGGGCCTCGTGGCATTGGCCTGATGGGGCCTCGTCTCGCGAGTGCAAGACAGTCAATGACCTCAGCAGCAATGCTTGCGAGCAGCTGTAGGGCAGAGAGAGACGAGTTTAAAAAAAAAAAAAAAAAAACATCACCGTGATGAATGTCACTGCAATCAACGACAGACAACCCGTCGTGTCGGGGCTGGGCCGACTTGGAGAGAACGAATCAGTCACCCACACTATTGCACGATAATACGACGATGGCTTCGTCTGGATGGAGGCATCAACAAGGTCTCTGCTGTGCCTGTCCTGATGCGAGGAGTCTGGACCACCACGTGGCTTTCTTTGGCTTATGTAGACTCAAAGACGAGAGTGACCATGGTCAGTCGAGGCTGTCCAGCTGGGCCCAGCGCTGGCGTGCAGCAAAGAGAAGCTGGTGTCGTCGTGAGGTTGTGAAACGGACAGGCGGTGCGAGGGAGGGTGGTCAGCGGGACGGCTGTCTGCATTTGAACCGTGCTTGCGAAGGTGCACTGTTGCTTTGTTTGATTATTGCTTTTCACGCACGCACGCATGCACGTACGTGTATGCACGCTCACATTAATACATGTCGACCCCAGGACGGTAATCTCCATGTCGATGATGATGATGATCACCTGCTAAGCAACATCCATGTCCCTGCCTCCCACATGGCAGCAGCCCTTTCCTGATTGATTAATTAAATCAATCAACCAACCAGCCAGCCGTTCGACCAACAAACGGACACTGATGCCAGCACGGCCGCCAACAGATACGACGCGTGCTGTCCTGCAGCCAAATGTCTGGGCAGGTCTGGGCAATCTGGGCACGAGGAGCGCGTGATCCGTATTATTCTTGCTTGAGTCTGTCCTCCTCGTGGAATGACATCAACCATCATCTCGCGTGCAGCAGCAATGACAACAATTGATGAAAGCGTGCGTAATTACGCACATATTTTACGGGTACAGGCCAGGAAAATCCCCATCCCGCATGGCCGACAGGTGCCCACTGTCAATTTCCCGTGAAACATGGGTACAACCGATGTGACACTGACTTTAGTTCGTTAAGCTGTTCTGGGCCGCTGTCACTCGACCGACCGGTCTGCAATCCATTGTCGACGAAGAATGTGGCTGGCAAAAAAAGAACCTTCTCTTTTTCGATCAGTCTGTTTCTGCCGCCCGTTGGCTTCTAAAACGTGGGATCCCACATACATGTCTGTGCATGGCAGATGGCAGCCAACATGGCTGCAGCTGTGGCTGCCGTGTCACGCGGTGCTGAAACAGGGCCGTGCCTGTCGATATTGTCGTATGTGCGTATCATCTTGCCAATGGATCAAAATGCAGAGCAGACCAGAGTCACCAGAGCAGAGCAGTGCTTGGCCTGGCCTGGCCCATCGGCGTTTATGATGACCGTAGCCTTCTGTAGGGCCCAGAGGCGCCGCCATTGGTTCCTGGATGGGATCCACGCGTGCCTGACAGGCCTGCGCGGTCACTGCACTAGTCTAGCTGGGACGCTACCCTCCAGGGCTAATGGGGATCTGGCAATGTGCTCGTCTAGGGACCGCACTGGCGCCTGGGCACTAATTCCAGGGTGTCCATGTCGTCAACCTAATCAAGATTCAACGTGTAGGGTCGGCGCTAGGCGCGGACGAGGAGTGAATTGACACTTTTCCACAATGGCCCGGCTCGCCATCTTCTTTCGTCTCGTGGTGCTGGCGCCTGAAACGGCGGTATGCAGCCCATTGCGATCAGGGGTAATGTGTAGAGCAAGAGGTGCGCATGCAGCGGGCTAGCCTCGCTAGCAGCCGTGCTCTAACTCGGAACGAGTGCAGGCCGGGCTGGGCGTGGTCACCTCCTGGTGGGAGGGCCGCGGAATGGGACCTGGGCGAGTAATTAACGGACACGCCGTTCGATAGACTGTGGATGAGCGAATGAATGATGATGCTGCTGGCCTGCTGCTGGTGAGGGTGCGGATGAAGCCCCTGCAAGGCCTCCTCCCCTGCAGCTCCACCACCATCTTTTCTTGGCTCGCTCACCTTCAGGCTTCTGGAAGATTTCCATTCACGACCTGAAGGCTGACCCTGGTCGCGTCCGTCTCGGGCTCCATAGCAGGAGAGCAGGGAAGACCCTCACTCACTCGCAAACTCATGATATTTCCTCCTTCTCATCCCCTGCTCACTTCTGCTCCGCCCTCCCTCCTCTCCTCCTACTCTCCATATACCTACTCACAACATCCGTACGCCGATCCGGCACTTTCACTCATTCGTGCCCGACGGACGGACGCTCCTTTTATGCCTTGACGACCAGTATCCTTACTATTATACCATACCATCTCTCACCTATACCCCAGACTCCTGTCCACTCTGACTACGCCTTTCCTTACATACCTCACCACCACATATATCAACACGCACACGGGCCGGCTCCGTCGTAACGATAGACTTAATACCCAACTCAGGAACGACGAAGCAAGAAGATACCCAGGACAGGACAGGAAAGGATAGGACAGACCAGGAACGGAAAAGAGAAGAACACGACTCTGAGAGATATATATCACGACCATCTACGACCATACTAGCCACCCAACCAACTACTTGTAATACCGGCAACCGCAGTCCTCCGCCTAGGACATCTCTATATCAACCTCCGCCCTACCTGATCTGGAACGCCCCGAATCGTCAGGAATGTTCCCCACAGGCCCATTGGTCGACGACTCGGTCCGACCCCTCGGCGACGACGACCAACGTGTGCTGTTGGGGTTGGTGCACAAGTATGGCCTCAACAGCCTCATGTGTGCCCTCACCGGGCTGGGCGAGTCCTGTAGGTTTTTTTTTACGCTCCTGTGATGATCGCGCTGACCCCATGTAGCCCGCCTCTCGTCCGTGTCGGCGTCCAACACCCTATTTAGCAGCAATGGCGCTCCCTCGCTTGTCTGGACCGCCTCGGATGGCGCCTCCATCCGCACACAGTCCACGACAGGACAGCACGGACACGACCTCGACGTCCCGGCCATTCACGACGCCGAGATGGGCAAACCCCAGGACCACACCTGGCTCGAGTCGCCCTGCGCGGTCCCCTCTGCCGACCTGCCGACCGGATCGCCCAAGCTGTCCATGGCCACCCTCAAGCGATACCAGTGCCCCATGTGCTTCATGGACCGCAACCTGGTCGAGTTTGGCCGCAAGAGCGACTTTAAGAAGCACCTGAACAACTTCCACGGCACCGACGTCACCTGGATCTGCCGCACCAAGAACTGCCACCTCTCGTTCGCGACGGAGCGCTCGTACAGCACCCACGCCAAGGAGGCGCACAAGATGGAGGCGCTCCCCTCGAGCGCGGCGCGCACCGAGCTCTGCCCCCAGGTCGTGTTTGCGTGCGGCTTCGGCGCCTGCAAGGATCGCCTCTTTGAGGCCGCGAACAAGGACGACGCCCCCAACGCGCGCGACAAGTACTTTGAGCACATTGCCAAGCACTTTGAGGACGAGTGGAACGTGAACGACTGGGAGTACAAGGTGCACATCCAGAATCTCATGCGCCAGCAGCGCGTCAAGCCCATCTGGAAGACGTGCATCTGGCCCAAGGAGAGGAGGACGCAGCTGAACTGGAAGCCCAGGTCGTCGGGCGACCTGAGGCGGATGCTCGAGGCCAGGCACCTGGGCGAGGACATTTCGCAGCTCGTCCGTCTGGCCTACGTCCTTGGGCAGGCCCCCTTTACCCACAGCAAGGTGCCGCCGCCGTCCGAGGTCGACAACCACTTCCAGCTCCCATTCCGCAGCCAGTGCCTCCTCGAGACGGACAGCCCCGAGCGTGGCTCGGACGACTCGACGCCCACCATCAGCGTCTCCAAGTCGCGGCCCCAGAGCCTGTTCCGGCTCCCCAGCCGCAAGAGCAAGCCCACGCGGCCGTCGACGCCTGCGAGCATCAACACGAGCGCCGCGCCAGACACGCCCATGACCGGCGCGGGCGAGATGCACCCTGGCACGCCAATCCCCATCCCCCGGGGCGCGCCCATGCCCTCTGACGCGCCCCAGTTCGTGCCCGACAACGCGCCGATGCCGAAGCAGATGCAGACACCCGTCGGGACGCCCATGTCCACGCCCGTCAACGAGTCCCCTCTGTACGCCATCCCCATGGACGAGCAAGGCTACGCCATGTACCACCACCAGCCTCAACACACTCATCACCACCATCACCAGCCCCCAACGTCGATGCCGGACGGCATGGTCGTCTCGCCCTACGAGCCGGCCATGGGCGTTCACGACATCCCCCACGACAACTACGGCGAGATAATGTACGGCTGCGCGCCGCCGTCACTGCACAGGCCCGCCACGCCAGTCCCCCACCACAAGCGTCCTGGCTCCTGGTCGCGCGTGACTTCAATGGAGGACATGCGACCCAAGAAGCGGACGTCGACACCGCACGGCAGCCCGTACGACACGCCCATGGAGATGAGCATGCCGCTGGACCAGATTCCCAATGCGTACGGCGAGATGATCCCGCCGCAGCCGCAGCATCACCACTATGCGCCGCCCACCAGCGTGCCAGGGCCAGAGTGGGCGCTGCCCATGCGCGAGTCATCGTATCACTACGAGCCGCAGCAGCCGCCGCAGCACGACCACGACCACCACCACCACCATCAGCAACAACACATGGGGGAGCCCATGACGACGTTTTTCTTTGACGAGCAGTGATCTGTTATTACTGCACGACTTCTCTCTTTTGAAACACTGAAAGCGGCGTGCTCTTTGCACTATACTACGTTTTATTTAATGAGCCTTGCTTACCCGGGTAATGCACTTCCTTCACATACCTTAGATACACGCAAAAACGGGGGGTACTAGCCTTTGAGGGACTTTCTCTCTCTGTTTTACTTGGATTGGCCTTTGGCCTCGGATGATTCCCCACAACGGTTCTTTTTTGATACCATTTCCTACTATTGTTACATACCACTTATTAGTACTCGGCCTGGTCGTGTCATCTTTCTGTCGGGCGGGGGGCGGGGAACTCTGAAACCCTGAATTGAGCATTTTGCATAGTACTCCGTACAACCGATCCGCAATGATGCCTGCGAAATGATCCAAGTAGCGAACCCTATAGCCACAGCCCGACATGCATAGTAGCTCATGTCCCTCTTCCCTCTCCCGTATGCCCCGGTCGTGGATGGACGGTTGCTGCCGGATAGACCGGCCACGCGCCTCCCCAGGCCAAGAACGCTCTAATTACCTGTCGTGGGAGTCCGAGAGATGCAGATTCTCGGAACTTGAACGTGAAGTGAGACTGGCACAGACAAATATTGCAGGCGACGTACATGAACGAGCTGCACAGTGGAGGGAACGACGTCATGAGCCAGGCCGCGCGATAAGATGAAGCAAGTACCTCTTTGCGGGCAGTGCAGGCTAACAGGTACTTCCTAGTTAACCTTCCCTACGGTTAAGCCAAGACTAGCCCCGCGGGGGAAGGAGGGAGGGACCAGCCACAGTTTAAGCTCTTGCATGCGTGCATGCACGCTGACCGCCAATACCATCCGCAATCTCCAAGTCCCTCCCAGTCGCTCCAGTCCCTCTGCTGACAACGCGCGACATATGCACAATGAGCTAGTTCCCCGTCAAGTGACACCGTCACATGCTTTTGCCAGCGCCTGGGCGTGGCTGATCATCACGAAATCATCTGCTCTGTTCTACCTATCGACGTGCATTGGCTGGTGGGCGCTTGCATCAATGCTCCTCTCCAGGCTCTGCTGATCTCAAGGTTCCCTCCCCCCCCGCCTCAAGCCAGCATCCAGGCAAGCCTTGGCATAATTATTCGCCGGGCTCATTCAAAAAGAACAAAGGCATGCGCAGCCCGGCACAGGCAATCTTCCTCCCTCACTTCACTTCCACTCCCACAACATCGCTCCCAGCACTTCCGAGAGCTGGGCCTCCGCGTCCGCGTCCGCCGCCGCCGCCATGAACCGCCTCTTTCGCGGCCGCCCAGCGGGCCAAGATGCACAGGCCGACGCTTCGGACAATAAACGTGCTGGCCCTTCGAAATGGAGCATGGGCGTCCTCAACGACCCTACCACCATTGAAGTCCCTGGTCAGTTTGGTCGGACAATTTTTGCTCAGCATCGGTACATTTTGGCTGACTCGCGTGCGATTCTACAGGGTCCGTGCTGCTCCTCGCGGCCCACGTCAACCAGCCGCTTGGTCTTCGCAACGTCCACGCGAGGAACTCCCACTCATCCATCCCGACCGGGTTTGCCGTCGACCCTACACCATCCCCTGGGGGTACGCACCATCCACGCCCTGCTGCTGCTGAACCAACCGCCGACCGTGAGGCGGAAGAGCAGGAGGAGGACGATGAAGGCGAAAAGAAGAAGACGGACGATGGCACCATCATCCTGGAGCCCCAACCCGACGAGTCCGCCAACGATCCACTCAACTGGCCGAGTTGGCGGCGCGACGTGGCTCTTCTGTCGCTCGGCCTGTACTGCATGATCGGGGGCGGTATCACGCCCCTGATCGCCGCGGGCTTCACAGATGTGGCCGCGGACTTTGGCATCCACACGGAGAAGGTGGCCTTGACCACGGGCCTGTACATGATGGGTCTGGGGGTCGGCTCTGTTTTCATGTCCCCCACGGCCATCTTGTACGGCAAGCGTCCCGTCTATCTTGGCAGCTCCATCCTCTTCATCGCCACGTCGTTGTGGGCGGCCGGGTCCCCCAGCTTCGCGTCACTGCTTGCGGCGCGCGTCTTTCAGGGTATCGCCGTGAGCCCTGTGGAGTGTCTGCCGTCAGCGACGATTGCCGAGATTTTCTTCCTCCACGAGCGAGCTTTCCGTATCGGCATCTATACTCTGCTCCTGCTTGGTGGCAAGAATCTCGTGCCTTTGGTGAGCGCCGCCATCATTGGGCGTTGGGGATGGCGATGGACCTTTTGGTACGTATCAATCTTTAGGGATGAATGAAGTTCAACTTGCTAACGATTGTGGCTAGGATCACGGCCATGGTTGTGGCCGTCAGTGCCGTTTCTCTCTTCTTCTTCGTGCCCGAGACCTTTTGGGACAGAACGCCGACGCGCAAGCCCAAGAAACGGCCCAGCTTTATGCGTCGCTTGTCGTCTCGCTACGACAGACACACACATCCTCACACGCCACGGACGCCCATGTCTCCCCCGCCAGCTGTCCTTCACCCTCATGAAGAGGACCCAACGATTGCTGCAGGCCACCCGCACAGTCGCCACAGGGGCCTGCACGTCGGATTCGCATCTGACACAGATACCAGGAACGAGAAGACGGAGACAGAGCCAGAGTCTGGCCCCAGCTCCATGCCCGCGGGACGTCCACGACCTGAAGCTACAGGTGCTCTCAACGACCCTGCGCCCAACCCCACGACAAGCACACCGAACGATGATGGGAATGTGCGGCGGGATTCTGGCCTCGGGACATCCGCAAGCTATTTCCCGCCCGCGGCCGACGTAAGCAGCGTTGCCAACGTGGACGTCCACGCGCAAGACCCGGGCTTGGATGTAGAGAAGATCCCAGCCTCCCGACTGCGCGGGCCGCCCAAGGTGCAGGCGTATACACACAATCTGCGTCAGCAACCGCCCCGGTCGTTTGTGCAGCAGCTCAAGCCCTACCACGGCCGTCTCAACGGCGACAGCTGGTTCAAGGTCATGCTACGGCCCTTTGTCCTGTTTGCGTACCCGGCTGTCTTGTGGTCCGCCATTGTCTACGCGTGTTCGGTCGGCTGGCTGATTGTCATCTCGGAAACCATGGCCATTATCTACCGCGACCCGACGCTGTACAACTTTGACGCCCTGCAGACCGGACTCGTGTACATTTCCCCGTTTGTGGGCGGCATCCTCGGCACGGCCGTGGCGGGCAAGATCAGCGACATAATCGTCAAGGCCATGGCCGCCCGGAACGGTGGCCTCTACGAGCCCGAGTTCCGCCTCGTCATGGGCATTCCCATCCTGATCACGACGTGCATCGGCCTCATGGGCTTTGGGTGGTCGGCGCAGGAGGGCAACCACTGGATTGTGCCCACCGTGTTCTTTGGCGTCATGTCGTTTGGCTGCTCCCTGGGGTCCACGACGTCCATCACCTTTTGCGTGGACAGCTACCGGCAGTATGCTGGCGAGGCGCTGGTGACGCTGAATTTCGCCAAGAACATCCTGCACGGCCTCGTGTTCAGCCTGTTTGTCACGCACTGGCTGGCGGACGATGGTGCCAAGACGGTGTTTATCTGGATTGGGGTGATCCAGCTCATCCTCATGCTGTTCACGATTCCCATGTTTATCTATGGAAAGCGCGCGCGCATGTGGACAACGAGGACGAACCTGATGGAGCGGTTTTGATTTTGAGTCCGTGCATGAGGTTCTTGCATTTCATTAGACGCATGTTGATGGAGTTCTTTCTGTTGGGTAGCACATGTAGTACAACCTGTACGGGCATTACGCATTCATGCAAGGAGTTTTTTTGGATACGTTATTTCGATCAGAATGCAAAGCGATCTTCAATCCCTGGCCCAGCAATTGAATGCCGTGATGTGCAGCGGTTACATTAGTGGCCGGCAGTTTTCCATGTGACAGATCTGGCCTGCCTCTTCCGGACGGATGAAGCTCGAGATCTCCGTGCAGTGCAGCCGGCTAAAAACTGGGGCCACGGGAGGGAGAGTCTGGACTCTGGCTCTGGACTCAAGGGAGGCGAATCGCCAGCCTTGAGTTTGCAAGCAACTTGAAGTCTCCGGTATCAATTGATTTGACACGGGGCCAGGGGATGGGTCTTAGTAGGCAGTATGTGCAAGCAATCTCAGATTGCTGAGTTCCAGTCTTCTCTATACTTAAGTACGGCGAGCAAGATGACGCGATCCTTCCCCAATGGGAAGCACAGTCAGCCAGAACGCGCCTGCCGCAAGCTCACGGAGGATGTGCACCGAAAAGACTGCGGGCGACATGCAACATGAATGCAACGACACCGACGATAGGAGGCCACTTGTTCATAGATAGCAATTCATTAATTAGCGGCTCGTGGGCAGTCTCGGCTCTACTTGTAGACGCCTTGGACTGAAAATAATATTGGCGAAGCCGGCGCGGGCTGAGTGTGGCCTGCTAGGGGCTGTTAGTACTCACCGCCAAACTATACACGTCCACTAACAGCCGCTGCGACACCGGCGCAAGAGTCAGATGCGGGCGGCGTGGTCCGTGCGCCGAGCGAGAACGGCGACCGACAGCCAATTCTTCAGGATCCGTCCCCCACACAAACGTGAACCTACATAGCCGGACGGACACGACTTTCCTGCGTGCCGTGCAGTTCTCGATCCTGAGCAAAGCAGAGCCAGAGCAGAGCAGAACGCCTCCCTCAATTGCCTCTCCCCTTCCCCTCCTCCTGTTGCATCTTTGCCTCGCTCACTCGATTGCTGCATCCACGAGGCATCTCCCATCATCTACGAAAAGGCCACCCGGCCGTCCTGTTCCTCCCTCTCTCGACAGAAGCACACCGCTACCATCATGCTCCGAAGTCGCCCGGCCTCGAAAGCCCTGAGGGCTCTGCAGTCGAGGCAGTTCACCACCAAGACGACGGCCGCTGCGGCCATTCAGCCCACCAAGAAGACGCCTGCGTCGACGAGGCAACAGACCACGACAGCTGCTCCGTATGTGTCACCCTCGCACACGTCTTTTTTTTTTTGTTCCTGACTAACAACCCCATGCAGCCAGGTCCGCGACATCCCCTCGTCGGGGTTCAACACGGCCGACAAGGACCGCAGCCATGTCCAGCCTCTCGTCAACCCTCGCCAGCCCGAGATGGACGAGTCGTTCATCGGCAAGACGGGCGGTGAGATCTTCCACGAGATGATGATGCGGCACAATGTTCGCCACATCTTTGGCTACCCCGGCGGCGCCATCCTCCCCGTCTTCGACGCCATCTACAACTCGAAACACTTTGACTTCATCCTGCCCCGTCACGAGCAGGGTGCCGGCCACATGGCCGAGGGCTACGCGCGTGCCTGTGGCAAGCCCGGCGTCGTCCTGGTCACCTCGGGCCCCGGCGCCACCAACGTCGTGACGGCCATGCAGGACGCCTACTCGGACGGCACCCCCATGGTCGTCTTCACCGGCCAGGTCGTCACCACCGCCATTGGCAGCGACGCCTTCCAGGAGGCCGACGTTGTCGGCATCTCGCGCGCCTGCACCAAGTGGAACGTCATGTGCAAGTCGGTGGCCGAGATGCCCCGTCGCATCAACGAGGCCTTTGAGATTGCCACCTCTGGCCGACCCGGCCCCGTCCTCGTCGACCTGCCCAAGGACGTCACCGCCGGTGTCCTGCGTCGTGCCATCCCGACCGAGACCTCGCTGCCCAACCTCCCCAGCGCGGCGGCCCGCGCCGCCGCCGAGGTGCGCAGACAGGAGATGCGCAACTCGCTGAAGCGCGTGGCCAAGCTGCTCAAGGTCGCCAAGCAGCCCGTCATCTACGCCGGCCAGGGCATCATCCTCTCCGAGGGCGGACCCGAGGCCCTCCGGGAGCTGGCCGAGACGGCCTCCATCCCCGTGACCACCACCCTGCAGGGTCTGGGCTCCTTTGACGAGCTGGACGAAAAGTCCCTGCACATGCTGGGCATGCACGGCTCGGCGTACGCCAACATGGCCATGCAGCAGGCCGACCTGATCATCGCCCTCGGCGCCCGCTTCGACGACCGCGTGACGCTCAACGTAGCCAAGTTCGCGCCCGGCGCCAAGGCGGCCGCGGCCGAGGGACGTGGTGGCATTGTGCACTTTGAGATTATGCCTAAGAACATCAACAAGGTCGTGCAGGCCACTGAGGCCGTCGAGGGCGACGTCGCCAGCAACGTGCGCGACCTGCTGCCCCTGGTCGAGCCCCGCTCGATGGAGAGCCGCAAGGAGTGGTTCGGCAAGATCAACGAGTGGAAGGCCAAGTGGCCGCTGTCGCACTACGAGCGCGCCGAGCGCGGCGAGCTCATCAAGCCACAGACCCTCATCGAGGAGCTCAGCAACCTCACCGCGGACCGCAAGGACACGACGTACATCACCACAGGTGTCGGCCAGCACCAGATGTGGACGGCGCAGCATTTCCGCTGGCGCCATCCCCGCACCATGATCACCTCGGGCGGTCTGGGCACCATGGGCTTTGGTCTGCCGGCCGCCATTGGCGCCAAGGTGGCCCAGCCCGATGCCCTGGTGATCGACATTGACGGCGACGCGTCGTTCGGCATGACCCTGACGGAGCTCTCGACGGCGGCCCAGTTCAACATTGGCGTCAAGGTCATTGTGCTGAACAATGAGGAGCAGGGCATGGTGACGCAGTGGCAGAACCTCTTCTACGAGGACCGCTACGCGCACACGCACCAGGCCAACCCCAACTTTGTCAAGCTCGCCGAGGCCATGCACGTGCAGGCCCGGCAGGTGTCCAAGCCCGAGGACGTCAAGGAGGCGCTGAAGTGGCTGATCAACACGGACGGCCCGGCTCTGCTGGAGGTCGTGACGGACAAGAAGGTGCCCGTCCTGCCCATGGTGCCGACGGGTGCTGGCCTGCACGAGTTTTTGGTGTGGGATGGCGAGAAGGACAAGAAGCGCCGAGAGCTCATGAGGCAAAGAACGAATAACCTGCACGGTTAAGGGGAGAGGAGGCTGCACAGACGGAGGGGGGATGTTTCTTGTGATATACCATTTTTTGATTGTTTGTACGTCGTGTGGCGTGTTTTGAAGCGCGAAAAGTCATCTAGGCGTTTTAAGAGATTGATGGGCTCAGTTCCGGTTGAATTGGTCCAAGTGTTGAGTTATCCTTGCAAGTGACATGAGTGTCTTCCCCAGTAGATCAGTCGCCATGCTTTCATTCTGCTCACTGCTCTGTAGAGTGGTGAACTGTCCATATTCTATTCTAATCCAAGAGCCAAGATGGCCTTGATCTCAACCTGGACGCATCTACCCGCTTCGACTGCATGAAAAAGCTAGACAAAAGACCTCGAAACCGCCAAGCACGGTCGATTAATGACATGCAGCGGCACTGCGGTGTCACTTCGTATCCGGCGATGCGCTGCGTTGGAGAAAAGTGTTGCGCGTCATGGCCAACAAATGCTGGTGGCTGGGAAGATGCGATGCGATACGATGCGGTCCCAACCACGCGAATAATTGTCCTAATTACTCCGTACTGCTCCGCGTATCCTCACAAACTCAATTGAGACGCTCTTTTCACATTCCAGTCCTCTTCATATCTCATAGCCTTTTTTTTTTCCCTTCCCAGACTTCAATCAAGATGGACCGCACCCGCGCGGCCCGAGCCTCTGGCAGCAGCCGCAACAGCCACCCCAGCCCAGAGCGCTACACGCTCGAGGACGGCGAGGATCCGACCTACATCTCGCCCGACTCGGATCTGGACGACGACGACAGCGTCCCCCCCACAAAGGCCGCCATCCAGCAGCAGCAGCAGCACCTGCAACGGGAGGCTCTGCCTGCGGTGCCCGACAGTCCGTCGCGACGAAGTCCACCGCGCGCCAGCAAGCAGCAGCAGCAACTGATGAACGGCGGCGGAGGCGCGAGCAGCAGCAACAGGGACTCGTGGGGGGCTCCGCGGCCAGGGAGTTACGCGGAGCGCACGAATGGCGCTCGCTATCGACGAGAGGGCGCCTCGTCGACATCATCGCATGCGCGGTCTGGTTCTACCACTACCGCGTCGCACCAGCAACCTCCTCCCTCAAGCGCGTGGCCTGCCAAGCCAGCTGTAACGACGAGGCCGCAGCAGGCGGGTGCGTCATCGTCGTCCGCGAACCGTCGTGCGCATGGCGAGCCAACAGCAGCAGCGGCGCCACGCCACAAGGCCGCCTCGCCGGCCAAGGAGCACCCCATCAACCGCCTCGAGTCGCCGTCCATTGCGAAATCCGTCCTGCAGCCGCTGGAGCTCAAGATGAACGAGTACCAGCGGATCATGAACGACATGCAGGGGCAGGTCGCGCAGCTGGACGAGGAGATTCGCCAGCTGCAGGAGAAGCGACGGCAGACGGCGGAGCGGTTCGAGGACGCCAAAGCCAAGCACGACGACTATGAACGTCAGCACATGGACGTGGAGAGGGCGCTGCGTGGGGAGTCTCCCGCGGTGCAGCACGCTTCGTCCTCACAGCAGCAGCAGCCTACGCTACCGGCATATATGCCCGTGCATGCGCCGGCCAACAGCTCGCAACATGTCCCGATGCACCGGCCCGGCACGATGGAGAGCGAGTTCCAGGACGAGGGTAGAAGGCCGACGAGTGTGCCTGTGGGGGCGGGTGCCCATAATAGTCCTCGGTCGAGGAAGATGGGGACGAGGGATCGGATCAAGATGAGCTTGTTTGGGAGTGGGTAGGGATGGCTGGATGTAGGATTTTGGGTAATGATTTATGACTGGGCGTGTTAGAAAGTTCTTGGTTAAATGTTGATTTATTGGGTACATGTCAGAGGATGTGACTACGTAGTACACTGTTCCCTACGGTTGTCGACGTGGTATCGCGCCATATATATCTACGCACTCCCGAATTCCACGCTCAAAACCATATGAATGTAAAATGGGTTCTGTCTCTAGAACAGCTCTACGTACCAGGAACTTTGCACTTTTGCCTCTTGTGATCTTGGACACCCTTTCTCGTTTCGTCCAAGAGGCTGCGTTTCCAGCCCCACTCGTCCGGGAGCATGGTGATGTACGTTTACGTAGTGCTATTCTAAACCTCTAATGTTACGTGTACAACAACATGCTCATTTTGGCAGCCCTTTGCCCATGATTCTGTTCAATAAAACGAGAATTGGACAAAAACTCAGAACCTAGAGATAAATTCTTGGTACCAAACTACACCTGGCCTTTTCATGGGGCTGACTCATAACCAGAATCAACTGCATGAGTAAGCAGCTCTAGGCAGACTCCAGGCAGCCAAGCGTGTCTGCCTGGCTGGCTGCCTGGTGTGCGACCACTATAAAGAGGAGGCAGCCCCCCCCAAAACCTGCTGGCCCAAATCAACCCATTTCCCCCCCAAAACCCAAACCCAACCTGAGTCTAGCAATTGACAAGCCTTGCCCTCGTCTCCTCCGTGATTCGAACACCGGTTCTTCTCAACCAGCCCATTGCGTCTTGTGCATCCTGTGATTCGTGTCGCTTCCCGCAGGTGACCCTCATTGCACGTAGTACCTGAACGTACTGTCCGCGCCTGTCCAGAGCACTGCTGTGCCACTTGACCCCTTTAGGCAACAGCCACAGCGGACAGCCAGCGTACACTACCACATCATTGGCCACCTTGACTTACACGACGATCACAAAGACAAGTATCATCTTCGTTCCTGACGCGTGTGCACAGCAGAAAATCGAGAGAAAAGAACATAAAAGAGGCATCCCCCATCACCTACTTCTTCCTTCTTCCTTGGTTCTCTACTCCTTCATCTACCCGCATTGCTCCAAGTTGAGCAAGCCCTTGCCCCCCTACAGCCACCGCCACCATGGACACCATGAGCTCCGTCGAGTACAACCTGCGCACCCTGCCCACCACTTCCATCACCCTCTTCCCAGCCCGTGCCCAGATCTCGCGCGAGGTCGGAGACGTCCCGCTGCAGCCTGGCACCAACGAGGTCACCATCATCGGCCTCTCGCCCACCACGGACGAGCACTCCATCAAGGTCGAAGGCAGCGGGGAGGCGACCATTTCCAACATCACCGTCGAGAGGCTGGCCAACAAAGAGCAGTTTGACGACGTCTACCCCGACGAGGATGAAGATGTCTTGTCAGACCAGGATGACCTCGACACGGACGACGACGATGACGGCGAGGATCTCAAGGAGGACGAAGAGCTGCGCGCTGCCAAGGCAGAGAGGCAGCAGATTATGGACAGCAAGGAGCTCACCTCTCATCGCATCTCCTGCTTGCAGCACAACAACGGCGCACTGGACGGCTACATAAACAATGTCCGTGCCGAGCACAACACAGACGTCGGAGAGGCATCTGAGGCGTACCAGCGTCTCCGCCAGAACAACTACCGGGACCTCCTTGCCGCGCAAGCCGACCAGCGCCACCAAGATGAGCTCCTGAAAGAGGTGGACGCCAAGATACGCTGCCTGACCAAGCGTCACCGCAAGCAGACAGCCCAGGCACGCCGCCAGAAGCGCCTCGCCAAGCTCCACAAGGCCAAGGAGCAGCTCAAGGCTTCGCGTGCCGAGGAGCAGCGGATGGAGGAGAAGCGACGCATCCGCGTGGAGCGCAGCAAGTTCTGGCCCAAGTACGTCTACGCGGTGCGCATCCAGCTCGAGGTCAGCGCCGCTCTGCCGTCACACGGGCAAACCTGCAGCCTGCTGCTCTCCTACGTCACGTCCGACGCCTACTGGGCGCCCAGCTACGACTTGCAGCTCAGCACGCAGTCCGCGACGGGCACGCTCTGCTTCGACGCGCTCCTCACCAACGCCACGAGCGAGACCTGGGACAAGTGCAAGATCACCTTGTCCACCTCGCAGGCCACGTCTTCCAGTCTCGCCGACAAGGCACCCGAGCTCCGGGAGTGGGCCATCAAGCGAGGCAGCAATGGGGCGCCGCTCTTGTACTCGCGTGACGAGCACCAGAAGAGAATCAAGGGACCCCCCATGGCGAAGCAGGCCAGAGCAAACAGGGACACCATGTTTGGCTTCGCGCCCAACGATCCGCGAGTCCCCCAAGACTATCAGATGCAGCTCATGCTCCTGGAGCAGCAGAACAAGAAGAGAATGGAGATGGCGAGGCAGGAGCAGAACCCTGTGACCCAAGTGCCCTTCCAGGCGCCGCAGCAGATGCCGCAACGGAGTCTCTTTGGGGGCATGCAACAACAGTCTGCGCCTGCGCCCGCGGGCTCCGGCTTGTTTGGCGCCGCCAGACGCTCAGCGCCAGTTCAAGCGCAGATCCAAGCGCAGGCCCAAGCGATGGCCCAAGCGCAGCAGGCTCAGCCTCAGGCTCAGGACATGACCCAGCAAACATTTGGCTCCGATCAGTATGACAGGACTATGCGGGCTCGTCGAGCTCCGCGGTCTCACCAGAGAGCGTTCCTCAACGTCGAGGCTGAGGTGGATGAGGAGGAGGAGAGCTTTTCCGCATCTGGTGGGGACGAGACGCCGCGGGAGGATCCCAACCTCGCCTTCCAGAACTCGCTCATTGAGCAGACGGGCTTTGCGACGGTGTACGAGCTGCAGGGCCCCAAGACGCTGGCGCCCAGCTCGACGAGCGCCAAGCAGCGCATCAGCACCATTGCCCTGTCGGCCATCAAGTTCACGCACACGGTCGTGCCCAAGCTCAAGGCGGCGGCGTACCTGACGGCGACGATTGCCAACACGAGCCGCAACATCCTGCTGCAGGGTCCCGTGGGCGTCACGCTGGACGGCGGGTTCATGGGCCGGACGACGCTGCCCCGGTGTCCCGGCGACGGCGCAGAGCTCCGGCTGGGTCTGGGCGTCGACCACGCGGTGCGCGTCGTGTATGCCACGCCCGAGGTGCGCCGGAGCGGCGGCGTGTCGTACAATGAGGAGAGGAAGATCTACACGCGCAGCGTGTACGTGGAGAACACGCACTCGGCGGACTCGATCCGCCTCATCGTCAAGGACCAGGTACCCGTGTCCAAGGACGAGCGCGTCCGCGTCGAGGTGCTGCACCCGGACAAGCTGCGGGCCGAACACCACGATGACGACGGACAGCAGAAGCAACAGCAAGAGGTCGCCGAGGTGGGCGAGGCGGGCCGGAAGGCGGACGAGGGTCAGTGGGGACGCGCCGAGGTCAAGATGCTCAAAACGGGCGCGGTGGACTGGCTCGTGACGCTGAGGAAGGGGAGGAGCGTCAGGCTGGCGCTCTCGTGGCTTGTCGCGACGCCCCTGGGGGAGGAGGCCATGCAGGTGGATCACTAACTTATAATACGTTAGCCATGGCATATCGGTGATTGCTTGTGGCATGTGATGCTTGGGATTATATCAGATTAGTATGGCTCTTCCGGGTAGGATATTGGCAAGTAGATTGTAATAGTAGGGATAATACAGGCCAGAAACAAATGGTATATCGCTTTCATGAAACATGCTTCATCATCGTGACAGACAGACACTTCTCCTCCTACATCAACGCCGCGAACCCAATGGCCGCCAGGGCAACGCCCACGCCGGCGCGCTTGACCTTGGCCCCCGCATTGTCCTTGTCCTTCTTCTTCTTGCACTCCTCGTAATCACTGTCACCACTGTTGCAGTCCTCGTCGTCGCCTCCGGAGCCGCCCTTCTTCCCGGTGCTGCTCGAGCCCTTCTTACTGCTGCTCGAGCTCTTCCCGCTGCTGCCTGAGCTCTTCCCGCCGCCGCTGCTGCCCCCCCTGCCGCCGCCGCCCTTGGGCGCGCGCATCTCGAGGTAGGGAATCTCTGTAGGCTCTGCCACGGCGATGGCGACGTGGGCCCACTGGTCTCTGGCGATAGTCTTTGTCTCGACGCTGTCCTCGTCGTCTTGCTGGCTGATCTCGCAGAAGGCGTCCTGCTCACGAATATCACAGGCATACGTCCTGCCACCCATGCTGAGGCCCATCGTCTGGGGTCCTTGCGTGAGTGTGACGCCCGTGTATGGCCCGTCGCAGGCATCAGGGTGGGCAGAGGCTGTTTGGCAGGCGACGAGGTACTCTGTCGACGAGGCGTCGGCGGTGATGACGCTGGCCCAGAGGGCTTGGTCCTCGGGGGCCTCGATGGGGAGGAGGAGGGCTTGTGTTGTCTGTGCGCGGCGCTGGTTGGGCACGGCGGCGGAGGAGAGGGCCGAGAGGGCCAGGAGGCCGGTCAGAGTCTTGTTGGGGGCCATTCTTGTGAGAGTCTCGGTCTGTGTTTGAGTGGTACCGTGGTTGCTCGTCCAAGATGGCCAAGACGGAGGTCGCCATTCCTTTATATCCTGACTCTGGCTGTTCAGCCTTGCGGACTGTCATCATGATGCATGTCTGTCTGTCCGTCCTTTGGACCCCAATGCCATGGCGTCACTTGTACCCTCGCGAACGCAGGCAGGGATGAGGGCCAAGGCTGGATGCCGATCCCCGTCCTGTGCATCCTGCACGTCCGTGCCGCACGCTTCACAAGTTCACATTGGCCGGCAGCGTGCGCTCCACACGTCACCTTGCGCATTTTTCCCAGCTTCGACGGAGGCTTTGCGGCTCGTGGGGCGTCGGCAAGCGGGCGTCATCGGCTGTGCCTTATTTTCTCTTAGTACATACGGAGTAGAGCTCAATCAATCGGCCGATACGTGTTAGTGATCACGGCCCCTTTGGGAGGGAGGTCCACGTAGCTTATTCTTATTTGTTGGATCCGGTGCTGCTGCGTCTGCCTTGCCGGTTTCTGGTCCCGCGATGCGCAGCGCCATCTCTCGATCCGCCCACTTGTTGCGGGAAGTGGGAGGATCATTACGCCTTGGGCTTTTTCTGTGTTCGTGCATGGTTGGTTGTAAAGCTTGTGCTGGGCGGGACAACTGCTCCAAAGGTGGGAAGAATGGTGAATGTGCCGGATTGGCCGCATTGAGTGACCCTTTTCTCCCCATTAGTAAGTTTAACTTTATGAATATGCCTTTTTATTCTCCATGTGTTCGATTCAAGGTTCCTGTCTGGCTGTGTTGGTCCTGTCCTTGCGTCGTGTGCTTTGCCTGCCCTGAACCTTACGCTCCACTGCCCACACCGGCAGGCGGTGCACTATCTCGAGGCTGCGAATCATCGCGTAATTATGAGACTCTACTAGCATTCGAGATGAATTTATGATGCGTAATAAAACGCGAAGCCTTTGGATACGCTGACATACCAGCCGAGACATGAACATTTCTTCCCAATGCAGCAATTCCGGGGTTCTCGAATCCACGTCCTCACTAGCGACCCCGTCCCGGTTGGCAGCACTGCCCATTTGGGACAAATGGATCCCGGCTGTCGTCGATGAATGCCGTGGGCACTCAGGTGGGTATTATTATCAACAGGAGTGCTCGTTTCTACCCCTTGTAGAAGTTCCGCCCCCAGACGACGAGGGAGACGACGAGAAGGAGAGATGGGGTGTCTTGGCCAGATGACGACAGCACAAGAAGGGTGAATGATTCACCCCAAGACATGAAATGAGGAGAGGGGGACCAAGACCACCAGTACAAAACCAAGCCTCCCCCCCAGCGCCAGCATCGTTGACGCGCGCAATTGACTCGACACGCATCAATCAATCACCAAGACGAACAACATGGCCATCCCGCTCGGTATCACAGCCTTCTGCACGATCCACCCCTATGCCCTCGAGCACCCCGTGGACATCAAGGCCATCGATGCGTGTATCGGACGTCGCGCGCCCTCGGCTCTCGCCCACCTGACGAGGGCCGTCTACGTACCGTGGCACCGTGACACGACGACCCATCTGCCGCTCTACAACATCAGCAGCGAGTACCACAGAACCATCCGCGATGCGCAGGTCGGTGGATCCGAGTTCAAGACTAGGCTCTGTCTGATGCGGAAACCAACGGGGCGACCTGGTCAGGGTGACGTCGGCTTCCTCGTGGATATGGATACGCAGGGCAGCTGGGTCGCCGTGAGTGAGAGGAAGCTAGGCATGGGCGAGGAGGCGGTGCTGTATGTATTTCTCCTTTTTTCCCCCAGAACACCAGACAAGAGCAGAGAGCTAATGTAGAGCAGGTCAATGCCTACTACTGTGGAAGACGACGCCGCCATCCAGCATGACACGCTCACATACTCCATGCCACCACCCACCTTCCCCCTCCCCAGCAAGAGGACAGCGTCCGGCCTCTGCACACACCCTCACTTTACGCTCACCGGGGCACCACGCCCCCTCGAGTGGCAGATCCACCCCGTCGAGCTGGGCGGCCTGTGCTACGTCCTCGTCGACACGTCCGTGCCGGGCGGCATGTTTGCGGGCGACGACACCATTGTCGCCGTGTACCACCACGCCCACTTTGAGGCGGCGCTGCCCAAGCGCTACAGCGAGGGTGTGCTCCTGCTGCATGGGCAGCCGGATGTCGAGGACACGGTGGTCGTGGCCAGCTTGATGCGCGTGCTGCGGTATGTGAGGCGTGACGAGAAGAAGGAGAAGAAGAAGGAGTCGTGTGTGGGTAGGCTCAGGAGGGCGTGGCGCAGGCTGCGTTGATTCTGGTCTTTTCAAGAGGTGGGCGCGTTTTCTTTCTTTCTTTCTCTTCCTATACCCTTTTTTGCGATAGGCGTTGGTAGTTGCTGGAGTTTGAAGTGCTTTGGTCTTTGCAGCTGCCTGCCTGTGTCGCCATGTCATGTGAGCAAGACGGTTGATATTGAAAGCCGAGTGTTTGGCGGCGACATCAGTGTTTGTCCTCGAGGATGGTGTACTGCGTTCACCCGGTCAGCTGGACTCCCTTCCAGATATGCGCTCGGCGCTACTGACCACGACCAACAAGAGATATATCTTGACCTTGTCCAGACCGTCGTCTATCAACTTGGACATGGACGCGGCGTCGAGGGAGGTTTGCGTGATGGTGTCCAAAGCAGAGGACCAGAAGATGGGCTGCACGCGCGAGGAGGCCTGCCACGTCGACGGCATCTGCAGGCTTGATGTGATGTAGTGCGGCGCCTGCCAGAGCATGTCAAGCAAGGACAGCGATCCGGCGTCGGTGAATTGTGTCTGGGTGAACTCATCGCAGCCGGTGGTCGTCACTGGCCGGGCGACGGCGAACATGGCCAGCGAGAGCATGCAAATTATCACCAAGATCCGTCGCGCCATGTTGTTTCTGGGGTCTGGCCGCTCTGGCGGGAGAGGTCAGCCTTGCGAGGGACATGAGGGAGCCACCCCTTTTACATATGCTTCGCCTTGCAGTGCTGAGGCCTCTCCGGATCTCGGCCGCCCGCGGTCACCCGCCTGCTGCCGTACCCGTGGGCGGCATTCCTATGCACGCGCGGCATCTCCCATCCGGGTCACGCACCTGTCTCTCCTCTCTGGGAGCAGTAGTAGTACTTCTGAATGATCAGCAGTTTGAAACATGCCAATTGTAAGTGGCCGACAAGAAGAACTAAATGCAACGAGCCAGCCAATGGTTATTGCCTGGCCATTCCCGCCAAGGCGGCCTCCAGTCGCTGCCGGGCTAGCCAGGGCCTAGACTGGCTTCCGGGCACGGGGGCTGGAGCAGACATGTCAGTGGGCGTCGGGGTCGGGCGAGGACATGAGTACGCAGTCGTGGCACGCTGTGCTGCGTGAGGATGGGCGGCGTGTCCATTGATGCAGACGTCCACGCATGAGAAGCTGGCCGGTGTACGGTGTAGCGAGGTCTGTACCTTTGTGAGATCACTTGAAGAGAATGGCGATGGTCCTAGAGTCTAGACTAGGGTCGCACTTGGTGGATCACGGCGGGATGCTGTCACTACTTTTAGCCTTGTCAAAAGATCCCTCCAGGGGTAGGGCTGGACTGGGTACTGGGTCTGGTCCCTGCGTTTCACGCGCGACTCTTCGGGCACGAGCTTGGCGAACACGTCAGCTCTAGACCGAGCAATACGGCATTTCGCTGCCGCCGACTACTTGTGCTTTGCACTCTCGCGGGGCCGAACAGGCCGGATACGAGAGGGAGATCTGCGTCGAGAGATGGCGTTTGGAAGCACCAAGATCAGAGCGGAGGCTTTGCGCGTAAATGGCTTAGCGCAAAGTCAAGTCGACAAGTCCAGGATGACTCAGTATCACGTGTTAGCACGACAGGTCCACTCACGTGACCTTGGATATCCACTCTCTTTTTGCTATCGATAATGCAGAGTGATGCAGCGATGCTGCCCTCGCCTGTGAACAGAGAAGAATCGATCATCGATGTGCGTCGAAGCAGTGGGCCCTGCAACCGAAGCAGTTGTCGTCGCCGACTGCATGTGGACTTGCTGTGGAATGACTTCATGTCTGGGTGAGAAGTCCATGGGAACCGACGCGGCAAGGAGGTCTGGGAGCGTTCATGTTCCTTGTTGCACATGAGAAATAGACAGGTTGCAGCCGTACCGCTCTATTATTATATATCTGTCTCTATTTGACCCGTCAGCCAGCCCACGATCGGAATATTAATAAACAACGTGAGCCATCCCCGGGTTCATAGTGGCCGTCAGGGCCCCTGTGGATCATTCCAGGAAAGGCAGTTCTGCCCCCAGCGCCTCGTTTCCATTGGCGCGCTAGAACGACTCAAATTCCCTTCATGGCGACCACCGGCGACGAATTCCCCTTTCAGACACGACACAATCCTCCGTCGACGACGGCCCACGATCCGTGGCGTGGAGTGACGTCCACTGGCGCCGGCGACGCATACCTCATGGACTTGAAGATGCCTCAAACTGCGGAGAATTTGATAAAGAACCATGAACGACAGACGAGAGGGGTGGGGGCATGATGGGTTAAAAGAAGAGTCAGTCTTGGAATATCAGACTCAAGTTCATTACTCTCATCGCTGCGAATACTTGATAGAAGCTCTTATAGACGGCGTCGATACCTTTCTTCATCATCCGCCTAGAAGACCTTGCCCTTCACCTCTAGAAGCCAGAAGACCTTGAAGCATACACATATACAATACACCCAGACCATGGCACCCACTGCCCTCGCCGACGTGGCCGACGACCACACGCTCGGCCAGCACCTCGAGTCCATCTCGGACGCCATTGACGACGTCAACTCGATCAAGTACGACACAAAGTCCAAGTTTGACGCGGCCAAGGACAAGGCCACGTTCCGGCAGTACGAGGACGCCTGCGACCGGGTGCGCAACTTCTACCGGGAGCAGCACGCCAAGCAGACGGTGGCATACAACCTGGCGGCGCGGGCGCGCTTCTACTCGGCGAGCCGGACGCGGCCGCGTATGACCATCTGGCAGGCCATGGAGAAGCTCGACACGCTCGTCGACGAGAGCGACCCGGACACGAGCCTCAGCCAGATCGAGCACCTCCTCCAGAGCGCCGAGGCCATCCGGCGCGACGGCAAGCCGCGCTGGATGCAGGTCACCGGCCTCATCCACGACCTCGGCAAGCTCATGCTCTTTGACCCCGCGCTCGGCACCCAGGGCCAGTGGGACGTGGTCGGCGACACCTTCCCCGTCGGCCTCGCCTTTGACCGCCGCATCATCTACCCGGACACCTTTGCCGCCAACCCGGACACCCGGGACCCCGTCTACGCCTCCCCGCTCGGCATCTACCACGCCGGCTGCGGCCTCGACAACGTCATGCTCAGCTGGGGCCACGACGAGTACCTCTACCACGTCGTCAAGGACCAGAGCACCCTCCCGGACGAGGCCCTCGCCATGATCCGCTACCACTCCTTCTACCCCTGGCACCGCGAGGGCGCCTATCGCGAACTCATGGCCGACAAGGACCACGCCATGCTCCAGGCCGTCCAGGCCTTCAACCCCTACGACCTGTACAGCAAGAGCGACGACGTGCCCCGCGTCGAGGACCTCAAGCCCTACTACATGGGCCTCATTGACAAGTTCTTTCCGCAGGGCGAGCTGGCGTGGTAGGACAAGTTGTCTTGGGCTTGGGTAGTTGCATTTTCCGGCGTTTTAGACGGCATTAGCGATTAATTGACGCACAGACGTGCCAGTGATACCAGTCTTGTTCTTGATATCGGTGTGGTCGTTCTGTAGCGAATTAGTGCTTGCGTCCGCAAAGCCGTAATCTGGTTTCCTAGAACGAGTGAAGGCGAAAAGTCGTAGTATCAGTCCCTGTGCACGTCAAGCCAGGCCACAAGTGTCGAAACGTAGAATTCAATGCTCCGAAAGGGTCGTCGACCCCTCAACGCCAGACGCCAGCCAGCCCTCCCTACTAATCATCGAGACCACCCCATTCATCATCCTCGTCCTCGTCCACCTCCTTCTCCACGCCCCACGGCAGCCGCGGGTCGTCGTGCGACTCCCTCGCCCGCTCGCGGACCTGCTTGATAGGGCAGTGCTTGAGACCCTCTACCATACCACCGACCCGTCCCAGAAACTCCCCGTGTTCCGGCGCCAGCAACTCAGCCTTCTCGAGCTCGTCGACCCAAATGTCCATAATGTGCAGCCTCAGGCCCAGGGGCACCTTGCGCAGATCCCCGCTCGCCTCAAACGGCCAGTCCTGCAGCGTGCGCTCGACCTCGTCCCCGTGTTTCCGCGCACAGCGCAGCTGCACGGCAAACACTCGCCTTACGAGAAGCAGAAACTTGTCGAGGCGTAGTTTATCGATCATGGGCCACTCCTGGCCCAGCACCGTCCAGAACCCGTCGAACCAGGGCGCGAGGCACGCCGCGTTGGGGAGCGCGTCCGCGAGGGCTGCGAGTTCGTTGGCGAGACGCTGCTGTGGGAGCGGTCGGTCGGACATCCAGTGGGCGTAGTAGAGGCCCTTCCATAGTTTGCTTGCGTCGGTAACAGTGAGGGCGGAGCGGGTCGAGAGGAAGAGCTGGAGAGATTCGAGGGAGGCTGTTCGTAGTTTGCGGTCTGGCAGAAAGGGTCAGCGAGCGATTCATTCGAGCCAGATTGGAGGGAAACTCACCTGAGGAAGCCAAGTTCTTGATGAACGACATCTGCGCTTCGGGGGGCGCCATGGCTGGTTGAATTGGTAGACAAATTGACTACCGCTGATGAGAACGGGGAACTTTTTCTCGCTGTCCTGGGCCGTGGAAATTCTGCCCCGCGATAAAGCGAAAAAAATTAAGGTGAGCAGTCGCTGGCTCGGTGAAGATCATAGTGCCTGGGCGGTGGGGCTGACCGCTGACTGCTCACCGAGACGAGAGGCGCCTCCGTGAACGGAGCTGTGCAGTGCTGTCCAGGACTGGAGCAATTTAATTATTATGAATATACCGCTGTTTCAGAATGACAGACAAAACAGGTGTTCATGAACCCCATTTATCAAGCAATCAGTGCCTTTCATGATTGCTCGCAGTTCATTGACCAAGGCAGACTGGACTGCTCATCAAGTGCCACGCCCGATCCGACCCCACCATCGTCATAGTGAGATCTACCTGTCTGACCTGACCTGAACTGACCGACCTTCATACCCACTGCACGCGTGCCACACATCACCGTCGACTTCACACCAGCATCCAACACTCAATCCTTCGCTTCCGGCCAGCCAGACAGCCCATCATGTCGACAAAACGCCTCGCAAAGGTTCGCACCCACCTCTGCCTTGCTGCCCATCTTCCCCCTTCATAGCTCTCACTCCCTCTCTCCCTCACCCACCACTCACTCACCACCCCCAGGAACACGCCGAGCTCGACGCCAACCCCCCCGAGGGCTTCACCATCCGCCTGCCCCCCTCGCAGTCCCTGCACACCTGGCACATTATCCACCGGCCCCCGCCCGAGTCCGCCCTGCACCCGGGCCAGTTCGGCCTCGTCCTCTCCCTGCCCCCCGACTACCCCTTCAAGCCCCCGACGCTCAAGTTCGTCACGCGCGTCTACCACCCCAACGTCACCGACGACTCCCTCGGCAACGTCTGCCTGGGCATCCTCAAGAGCGAGAACTGGAAGCCCAGCACCAAGATCAGCGCCGTCCTCGACGCCGTACGCAACCTCATGATCGAGCCACAGCCCGACGACCCCCTCGAGGAGCGCATCGCCGAGGAGTATAGAAGGGACAGGCCCGCCTGGGAGGAGAAGGCTAAGGCATATGTCGCCAAGTACGCCATGGACGAGCCCGAGTTTCCCGCTTCGGCATCGTGATGTAGGAAATGGGCCATCATGTAAAGACTACCATACAAACAAGCAAGTACAGAGACAGACAGACACATTAGCGGCGATGCATGAATATAACCGTATGAGGAATGAACCCCTTTCTTCTATTCTTCTTCACCACATCAAGGTATCCGTCCTTGTTACATGAGCCATGATTTTATCCCCCCCTTCTTCTCGTCTACCCAAGGTATAAAGCGCAAACAAAAGATGTACATTTTCCCCCGTGCTCGACTCCAGAGCCACTGGTACTGTGGCCATGCATCCGTGATTCGTGAATAAAGCCTCCTGTCGAAGAGAGGCCAGTGCCCTGTGGGCTGCCAAAACAAAAAAATGAAACAAAGAGAATGAAAAGTCCTCGTATCCGGAACGCCTAGCAAAAACATCCTCCTCCCGCCTGCTGTCGCGTCGCGCCCTACGCCTCGCCGCCCCGCGGCCTCGATGCGTCCCTCTTCTTCCGCCGGAACAGCGTGCCCACGCGCCGCACGCCATCCTCATTGTCCGTCGTCGTCCCGCTGACCGTGCGCGACCCGCCTCCCTTCTTGTCCGACGCCGTCTTGTCGCGCCGTTCCTGGCGTCGCTCCTCAATGGCGCCCTGGCTCAGGTGGTTGAACCCGTTACGCCGCTTGAAGCAGGCGTCCATCAGCGCGTTAGCGTCCAGCATCTTCCGCGGCATCGCCTGCACCACGCCAAACATCTCCATCGGATCCGTCACCCCGAGCACCTCTGACTCGCCCGTCTTGAAGATGGCCAGCGCCGTCCGGAACAGCGTCTTGGACCCCTCCAGGAAAAACACGTCCCACACCCGCAGCGTCGTCTCGATCGGTAGCGTCCCGATGAAGCAGCTCATGAACCACGCCGTCATACACATTGTGATGGGCGGTAGTCGCTCCGTCGAGAGACTCGCATGGTCGCGCCGGCGAAAGTTGGGGCGTCGCATCGAGCGGCCCGTCGACGGCCGCGACTTGGTGCTCGGCTGCGCCTCGAGCTCACCGCTGATCTTGTCCCACACGGCGGGCATCGTGTCCCGAATTTCCGTCATCAGGACGCCCAGGTCCACCTTGGATCCCTCCAGGCTCATCTCGTGCGTTCCCGGCAGGTAGATGTTGGTGATCACGTTGAGCAGCCAGAAGCACTGCTCCTCCGTGTCCACAAACAGCAGCAGGAGCCCCGCGATGAAGTTGAGGCTCTGGCAGTAGCCAATGTTCGGGTTGTAGATGGAAAAGGCAAAGAGCACGCGGCGCAGCGACGAGATGATGGGCGGCTCGTCCAACTGCGCCTGCACAGTATCGTCCTCGGCAATCTTGCCGTTGCCCGCGTTCGTCGTCGACGTGCCCGGCGGCTTGAAGTTGATATTGTCCGGAAACGTCCGGTGCAGGTCCCGCTCAATGGCCTCCACGTCCACCCGCTTCGCCTTGAGCTGGAGCATCTTGTCGTATAGTCCAGAGTACTTGGCCAGGATGGCGGGCCCGCCGGCGTAGTAGAACCAGGCCGCGCCCCGCCACTCGGGCGGGATGCCCTTGCGGACAAACTTCTTCGTCTTGGGCGACATGCCAGGGAACCGATTCGGCTCGTCCGTCATCAGCGAGCTCTCCTTCAGGTACGCCACCCACTTCTTCTTCCGCCTCGCCAGGTACTCGGAGTAGCTGCGGTCCCATCGGTCGTACTGTTTGCGGCTGACGTGCTGCGTCTCCTTCTTGAAGCCGTAGCGGTCGCGCGAGCCCGGGGCCTCGGGCTCCACGGACTCTTCCACCGCGGTCGGCGCCGGGCTGAGAGGCGTGATGGGGCTGCTGGGTGACACAGGCGAGGAGCTGACGCCCCGCATGGGGGCCAGTATCGAGGAGTGCGGCGACGTGGTCGCGGAGGCGTGCGCATCGCGCCGGAGCATAGGCTGCGGGCCCTCGGACGGGTCGGACTCGAGCGACTTGCCGGAATCACGCTTCTCCTCCTCGTGCACGTCCACGTTGGCCAGGTGTGATACGGAAGCCATAAAGGCCGGTGAGCTGAAGAACATGCGTGACTGTCGAATCTCCGCGTCCAGTTTCGACGCTTGCATCTGGGCCGGGGTGGGCGGCGCTAGGTCTTCCTCGATAATCACGGGCTGGATTGGGGGGGCCGATGCTGAAGTCGGAGGCTGATACGGCTCACCGTGATCAGACGTCGAGTGTCTCGAAAAATACAGCTCGTCCACATCAGTGGCGGCCCGGTCCGAGCTCACGTCGCGGCTCCGAGCCTGCCGCAGCTGGGGCTGGACGTCATCATCGAGATTCCCCTGCACGGGGTCCGCCGATGCATTGTTGAACTCATCACCGTCGGCAAGATTCCCCTCCTCGTGGTCGCCGTCGTCGTCATCAAAGCCCTGTTCATACATGCCCATAACATCTTCAATGCTGGGCTCGTCCGCGTCCGGCACGTGGTCCTCCTCATGATCATGGTTCGCGTCAAAGGATGTGGCCGAGCTATCCTTGGTCATGATACTGCTTCTCTCCGTGTTGGCGGTGCCAGGGGCGGATGAGGCAGTGAGCTGGGATCTGAAACTCGACCGGATCTCATCCCCGCTGACCCATGGCGCCGCCCCACCCATGGGAGGCGCGGACCCCGTGCTGTCAATACGGTTGCTGTAGCTGAAATGTTGACGTGTGGCAGAAACCGGGGGTGGCCCGGCATATCTCATACGCGATCGACCGTCAGAGAACTCGCCGCTCGTGGGAGACATGCCCGGCGCCCACGTGGACGCGGAGACGTTGGACGAGACGGACGGACGCCGCGGACGCCATGGATTCGGTAGGGGGTTGTGGAACATCTCAGGGCCATCTTCTGAAGGTGTTGGCAATAGAGGCTGCCGCACACTCTGTTTTCGTGGTCGGGAAAAGTTCAAATCAGGTGCTGCTGCCGGTTCCGCACTCCGCATGTCCGGGAAAGAGGTCTTGGCCGTCAGAGGCCGCGAGGGCGGCCCGCTGTAGGAGTCGTGTGCGTCGGGGAAGGCTGTGACCGGTGTGGTCGGCCGGGAACGCAGAGAGGGTTGGAATCGAGGTGAGGTCGGGCTCGTGAGCATGTGTGCGCCCTGTCCGCCACCGAGTGAGTCCCATCGCGGCGAGGTTAGCGCTGGCGGTGGTCGGCGAGCCGAGCGCGGTGACGAGGGGACGGAGCGAGGCGCGCTGGCGTGGAACGGAGGAGGGAGGACGTCGGGGGTGGTCATGGCAGCCACGGCTGGCGGCATGCCACGGGGAGACGGATGTATTTGATCGTAGTATAGGTTGTGATCGGGTTGGTAGTGGAGGTGCTGGTGCTGATGCTGATACGACGGCTGGGCGGTCGCGGTCATGGCTCGATGACGCCCATCGTCCGGATGCCAGTGGTTGTTCATGTTGAGGTTGGATACGGCCATGGGCATCATGGTGGCGCTCCTCGAGCCCAGCCTGTCTGTGGGTGGCGGCGTTCAAACGAGTGTGTACCCGGGATTCGAGCGAGCGATGGGTTTCAATGTCTGGCTGCGTGTCGTCGTCGATTGTGTCAGGAGCATGGCATCGCTAAGGAGACATGGCGGTTTGGACGGTCGAAGCTCGCGTATGCGGTGTGACTGGTCGTCGAAGTGGCTGTCGATTGGTGGCGCTGGATTGCCCCGTGGGCCAGTCGTGTCGTGCGACCGGGACCGACAGACAATGGTGAGGTATTGGATGAGCGATGGTGTGGTGTGCTTGGTGCACGTTTTCTTGGTGGCCGGTCTCGGTTCACGGGATGTCGTCGTGATAGATGGAGGATGGGAAGAAAAGGAGCGTCGTGACAATAGTCAGGTCCAGGTGAGGTGGTGACGACGTTTTGGTCGGAAGATGGTGGAGGAGTGTGTCGTAGATTCAACGCGAGACGCACGAACGCATAGGGCCGAGGAGAGTTGAATGAATGAATGATGCATGAACAAACGAGTCGCTTGAGGCTCAGCCGTCAGTCAGTTCTCCATCACAAGCTTCCCTTGCGATGGGCGGAGAGGACATGGACTGGAGCAGCGCCGTCTGCGTTAGCCAGCGTTAGCAAGCTTTAGCCGGTGGGCTCCCACGCAATTTCCGCGGGACGGTAGGGCCCAGTCAGCCCAGCTCGGCCAGCACTGCAGCACACAGGCAAACAGCACTGCAGCAGGTCCACCCATCCAGTTTGTCACTCCGTCTATGCAGTGCATGCACCGGAACGCATCCGTCTTCTCGAAGCAGGAAAAGCTGGAAAAATTTGACAATCCTTGCATGGCGGGCTGTCTCCCCAGACGTCCTGATGTCGCTGACAGCAGCTGCAGTCGCGGTTGCAACAACTGGAGTCCACAACCAGAGTCAACGACCGATCGATTCCCCTGGATTTCGAGAGCTCCTGTCCTGTCCTGCCCAATGCCGTCGACGATGTTCAGCGATCCCCATTGCGAGTCTCACTGGCAGTCGCACCCTGCATTAATTGTGCTGCATATCCTGCAGCTTGCTGCACTACTGCTGCATAATGTCCGCACATGCTGTGACAGGAACGCCTCATCATTAATCCAGCAGGTGCGTTGGGGGCTGCCTGCGCGCTTTGGTGCCTGACGCTAGACCCGCCCTGCAGCGCCGGCGGCTTTACCTTGTCGTTGGGATGGAAGGTACAACCAGGGGCTGTTAGCGCTTCCCGGATTCTTCTACCACCGTTTACTTTATCTGGTGTCCCAAAATCCAACTTTCCAGCCTGGTCTGCCAATATTCTGTTGCTATGACCTCGTACAGCGCTATATTCCCCGTTGTATGGACACAGACGGGCGGACGTGCTGCTGCTTGGAGAATGTCCTCCATACACCATATGAATTAGTCCTTCCCCTCGCGCAGCCAAGCAAGGACATGCCCTGATCACGTCAACAAACTCGCCGTTGATCGGTCGATTGCTGGAGCACGGTAATTGTCAGCAGCCCCAGGTAATGTGCTCGCAACGTCATCAGGACCATGCGCGAACCCGCCCGCGGTCCTCGAGTCAACGCACGTCGCAAGCAAACGCTCATCAAACCCAAACAAGCAGCCTCACGGGAGGCCAGCCGGAGGATGCGGGCCCCGGACACTCGTCGCATGGCAATGATGGGAGGCTCAGGAATGATGGCAGGCAGGCTCAGGCGTGGGTTGTGCTAACAACTAATAGTAATTAGGCGCATTGTCCCCTGGCGCCGCTCATTTCCGTCCATTGTCAAAGACTCAAAATCTCAAATGACAAAACCTGACAGCATTCCGTCCGAAAGACCAGGCATTGCTGTCTGTTCCCCACGTCTGTCATCGGGTCCCAGCAACGTGGGAACGATGATCCCCCTAGTAATTCCCTAAAAACCACCAGTGCCCTCGTCAATCTCCGATGGCATGCCCGATTCCATGATCTCAGCATGCTTCGAGATGCATTCTCTGCGCTCGCACTGCCTGGTACGTACGTAGGTATTCGAGTAGCGTCGGTCCTACATCGCGTCCATTGTCTCGCAATATGCATTCGCGTACACGACTCCAACTTCTATTAGTTGTTGATTGCGTACTCCTGTGCGCGCCCGTGTCTTGTTGGTAGTAAATAATCACGCCGCGTACAATCGCGTCGCGTGCCTGCGTCCGCAGCGCAAACTTTATTCAGCAATCTCCATCCACCGTTCCAATCGCTTCTGCCAAGCGGCGGCTAGACGAGCGGCAGACCCGTCCGTCCCGGCCTGTTTCCCCTCGCGCGGCCATCTCATCTCGTCCGTTTTTCACTGCGTACGTATTTCACCGTTTCACGTAGACCTGCCTGCAGGGCAGCCAGGACGAGATGAATCTGTGCCGAAATGTCTCGCCTCCAAACCTGAAGAAGAAACGAGAGCACCTGGGGAATGCGCTTTGCCGCTCATTGGGCGCGCGGAGCGTCCGCCTGAGACCTCTCCTGATTGACCTCAGCTGCCATGTCTAGACGACGGAGCGTGCCGTCTGTGGCGAGCCTAGCTTGACTCGGTGGGTGGTGTGGCTTGTGGCTCAGGGTAGGCAGTATCAGCAGGGCGACTCGGAGACCGGAGGGGCCAAGGACTACCTACGGCTACCCTAGAAGTAGCCATAACCCTCTATCTTTGCTGTCGGAAGCCTATTAGTTTAGACTTGTACATGGAGAATGAAGTACTTATATTGATTCTTTGTATAAAGGGAACTGCTCATAACTTCAAGGTTCATGTTTGGTCATCTTGCATGGGTTGTGCCGTGCGTTGGGCGAGCACGGTGTGCACCCTAAGCAACGAATACTGACATGATCTCCTGAATCATCTAAAAGCAATTCCTTCAGACGCCAAGCCAGTCATATTACTTATTGGTTATTCTCATTTACGCCTCTTCTACATAATATCGCACCTTACCCTCAAACAGCCTCCTCGCCGTCCTCGACACCGCGCAGCCCCTGACACCACCAGCCTCATCCAGCTGGACACCCACTTGAATGGTGCCCTTGCTGTGCGCAATGGTGACGCTACGCTCATGGGCACCCGGGACAGGTGGCGACGGCGTCCTCTCGGGACTGGGCAGGGCATCACAATCACCATCACTAAGAACCGCCTGGCCCGCGAGGTCCGCGACAATTGTGCCCGGCGAGCACAGTGCTGACGCCAGACACACGGCACCCGTCAGCTGCAGGCTTGGATGCGGCAGACCCATCGAGTAGGCCTGCACGCGGATATCTGAAGTCTTTTTGGCCGACGAGTCGGAGGAGAAGACAGGTGGGTAGACGAGCGCGACCTTGGGGGTGCCCCGTGTCTTCGAGGCGACCTCAACGCTAGACGCCAGACCCATCGCCACCGCGCCCTCTCTCCGGATCGCCTCAACAAGGACATGCTGTGCCTCGAGCGAGGGCAGCTGACGCAGGGTCGTGCCGATATAGGGTGCGTCAATGAGGACAAAGGGGTTGGCCGCGTCGACGAGCGAGACGCGCACGTCGAGAGCCTCCTCCACGTCTGGCGACTGCACGCGCAGAATCTGTCGACGCTCACCCGAGGGGAAGAGATGGCCCGTCATGCTGCCGGCCGGGTCGACAAAGTTGCACCGCACCTCGCTGCCGGAGGTGCTGACCCCGGGGATGGTATAGGTGCCGTCCTCCTGGTACTCGCCGTGCTCGTCGAGGGCGACCGTCTCGACGACGATGCGGTCGGTGTTGGTGCTGTAGACTCGGACGTCCATCTGCGTAGTCTTGCGTCAATTTTAATTTCTCAAAGAGTCAGACACAGGTAGACAGGCTTACACTCGTCTGCCCCGGCTCTGGACGCACGAGGCCCTCCTGCACTGCAAAGGGGGCTACCCCTGAGACAATGTTTCCACACGTCCCCGTCACGTCAATCGCCTCCTTTCCCACGGCCACCTGGACAAAGGTAAAGTCCACGTCGGCGTCTGGCCTTGTGGACTTGGCCACGACGGCCACCTTCGACGTTGTAGATGTGCCGCCGCCCACGCCATCTAGTTGCTTCGGGTCGTTACATCTTGACCCCATGGCGGAGATGAGGTGCGGTGCCCAGGCGGCCGGGTCTTCTGGGAGATCTTTGCGGTGGATGAACATGCCCTTGGACGTCCCCGCGCGCATGAGGGCGCAGGGCAAGGCGCAACGACGGCGAGGTGTGGTCTTGACAGCCATTGCGTTGTGTGTGACGGGCCAGTAAATCTTTGGCACGGGATGCTGCTGCTGCTGCTGCTGCTGCTGGAGGGCATGAAGCGGCTCTGTAGGGATATGCGTTATAGTTGAAAAGGCTAGTCTCGGCTGTGATGATACGCGGTGGTGGTGAAGACGTTGTGGGAACACACGCGACACCAGACGTCCCGACATGATATGGGTATGAGCATCCTCGGCTCTGCTGGCGTGGCCCCGGCCAAGCCCATGTCATTTATAAGCTGAAGCGTGCGAATTGGGAGGAGATGGGAAGCCATCTTCATCTCGCATCGCTGGAGATGGGCCGCGGGAAGGGTGTTAGTGGGAGTGTGATGTGTCCGCGGGAACGGATGTGGAGACGGACGGGAGCGCCACCACAATGCACCCATTGAACAGAGCACCACCTGACAGATTTTCAGGAGATCTCAATCGGATTCCGAGATCTTTTGAGTCAAATCGGTTCTGCGCACGCGGCATTTCACTTGTTTTGCTGTGCTCCCCCGGGCTTCACCACGGTGCATAGTGATACGAGTCTGTCGCCGACCCATTGAAGCCAAACAAGGGGTCCTGCACAAACCCATTGCTGCCACCGCTGTCATCCGGGGGATGGAAGTAGCCGCTGCCCTCGGTCGGCGTGGGATACATACCCACCGCCGTCGCCGGTGCACCAGCCATGTTGTGCACAGACGGAGCCGGCAGCCACGCCGTGTCTGGCTCGAACCCAGCGGGCGCATGGGCCCCCTCACGTCCGTGAAGGAAGCTCTGGATGATGTTGTCAATGTCAAGCCAGTCAGGGTCGTTGGGTGAGTAATCCCCCAGAGCTGTGGCCGGGGGTAGCGCGTCCACAGTGCTGCTGGCGTTGGTGTGCAAGTTGCTCGCTGGCACGTCCAGCACAGGCTCAGCCTGCTGCTCTGCTGCTGTGGCCGTGGCCGCCGCAGAATCCATGACCACATTGCGCAGCGCATCACCCGAGGGGGTCAGCGTGACGCCTAGCTTCTTCATGAGATTCTGTATGATCAGCGACGCCTTGTTGACCGCAGAGTTGGTCGCCTGGTTCTGCTCAAAGACGGCGAGGCACGTCGCCAGGTTGGCATGCGCCGACGAGTCGCTTCCTCTGCGGGCGGCAATGCGGGAGTGGATTGTCGCGGCGACATAGGTAGCGTAGGAGATGAGGTAGGGCGCCCTCCGTGTTGAGAAGGCCTGGTGGTAGGCCCGGACAAGGCTGCAGATGGTCGAGGCGGCGGACGCGCATTTCATAAAGGAGTCGACGGAGATGGAGCGGGACGTGCTGTACAGGTGGCCGTCGGCTACAAAGGGTCGATGGAGCAGGATGATGAGCACGTTGTACATGGCACTTGATGAATGTTAGTCCTATGCGTAGAAGATAAACGATAAAGGCAACTCACTTGAGACTAAAGACGTGGGGAGGGGGATACTCCATCTCTCGCGACTGTCGTCCCGGATCGAGCTGTAAGTGCGGTGGCAAGTCTCGCCTCCAGTTGTCGAGCCGGAGCTGTAGCTTCTCGAGCATGGTTGACAGTTCCCTGGGCGTCTGGTCCGAGCTCCGCTCCGTGTAGATGCTGTTGAGGATTTCGCTCATGGTCAAGGAGAGCCTGCACAGACTGGCAAACGTCGAGTTGCTGTAGGCCGGAGAGCCGGGGTAGTGCGTCGTGGACGACGAGTAGGCGAATGGCTGCCAGTGCTCGAGCTCCTCGTACGAGTCAAGGAACTTGATGGGCACCAGCGCGTCGCTCTCCTTGAGCGTCGACGGCCGCCCCTGGTAGAGCGACTGGATCTTGTCAACGACAAAGGCGGCCCAGAAGACGCGCCTTCGTACCTCGAGATCCTCGTCGGAGAAGCGTCGCGTACCGGTGAGGTCGACGTGCAGACCAAGGTCGATGAGCATGCGAAACGCCAGGCCCGCATACAGCCAAGCCGCGCTCCTCTCGTCGCCGAGCGCGAAAAGCGAATTCGTCATGAGCAGGAGAGCCTGAATCGTGGTGACATCGCTGCGGTCCAACGCGCCGCCCAGAAGCTCCCGGACGCGTCCTCTGTACCGCCACCCAGCCGTACGCACATCCCCAGGGTCTTTGCGGACCTCGAGCCGGGGACTGAACTTGGAGGCGGCAAAGTAGATGGCGTTGAGGAGCAGCTTGGAGAAATAGGGGCCCCCGCAGGCCATGTCGCGCATAAAGGCAGGCCGGTACGTGATGAGGCACGAGTGGTGCTGCCTGTTCCAGTGGATGGACAGCAGATGCATGCCCAGGTCCGGCTCGACGCCGTCAAAGTCCAGCTTTCCGTGGCGGTAGTTGAGCTCCTCTAGCTGTCGTTGGCGGGCGGCCTCTGCGACGAGGCCTCGCTCAACCCATTCGTCTGGCATCCGAGGGTGTTGCGCCGTAGAGCGCTCCTGGGGATGATCCTCGTAGAGGGTGCTCGTGCGGCCATGGTAGCTGGACACGCCACTGTCCGAGACGAGGATGCGCGCCACGCCCTCGCGCGGGCCATTCTGCTCCTCGAGAGGGTTGGTGTTTTCGTGGGCGCTGATGCTGCTGCTATTGTCATGGACACTCGCCGCCCCATGTCCCGAGGGTGAACGCTGCTGCTGCAGCTCATCATTGTCACCGCCATGACTGGACTCGGGAGCCTGGCTGCTGGCGCTCTGCTGCTGTGATTTCCGCAACTTCTTGCGCTCGTGACGCAGGCGCCCTGCCTCCTTGGCCGACTCGCTGATCGGCTCATAGACACATTCGTGACCGTAGGCTTTGCAGTTGACGCAGGCGGGCCGCTCATTGTTGCACTTGATCTTGCGGACCCGGCAGCGGGAACAGGCGGCCGGGGCACGTCGGGCGCGCGAGGGAGGCATTGCGTCGCATGGCACGGGACGTGGTGCAGGTGTGTGGATGGAGGAGTCTTTGGGAGATGCCGCGGGAATCTGGCCTGCTATGAGAGCCTGGATGATGTGGGCCGCGTCTGTGGGGAAGAGAGCCAAGAGTGAAGAGACCACATTGTGCGAGGGTCAGCAAAGCCACGGGAAGCACTGGTCATGGAGAAGCGTGAGGGGACGAGTCGGCAACCGACTCGATTTACCATGGCGACGAATCATCGTCAATGATATGCTTATTAGGCCAGTTTCTTCATGTTCTTCATGATCACTGCCTACATGTACCAAGAGGAAGACGATGATACTAAGCGGGCGTCGATGAGAGAATATCGCAATAACAGAGCGATGCACCTAAAGGGCCCCGCGTGCCGTGTCCGAGAGCCCCACTTTATTTCCCGCAGCGCCGAGCGTTCCTGATGAATGAACCTGTTGGTTCCCGCCAGGCAAAGCAGAGTCCGAGTGGTGATCGCGCGGCGCTGCTCGAATCTACAGAGCAGAGTTCTCGTAAATACGGCGCAAAGCTACTCCCGTGCGCTATTATATTCGTCGCGCCCCCAGACCCGAATCGTGCCAAGGTCCTGGCTCGGCCAACGTCCGACTTCCAAACTGAGCCACCCTCAACTCTCACCTCTCAAGCTCGGTCGACGTCCGCGTTTTGCGTCTTGACTTGGATTAGAGGATCATTTCTCGAGACTCTCTCCTTCCTTCCCTCGAATTATCGCCATCACCACCAGCTTCATCCACCACACATCATGGCTGCTGTCGTAAACGCTCAACCACCTGTCGCTGCCCAGGCGCAGGCGCCAGTCAAGGCCAAGAAAGCCCAGGTTGTTACGCCTGGCATCTCACTCATCGCCGGTGCTGCGGGCGGCATGTGCGAGGCGACTGCCACTGTACGTTTCCCATCGCACAATTTCACGTCCTCAAGATCCAATCTGACTCGGGAAATCCATAGTATCCCTTTGAATTCGCCAAGACGAGAGCCCAGCTCAGCAGATCAGCCCAAGGGGCTGCCGCCGTTGCCGGATCGAGGAATCCTCTGGCCGTCATTGCGCAGACGGCTCGCACAGATGGCATTGGCGCAATCTACACGGGCTGCTCGACGCTGATTGTCGGCACTGCCTTCAAGGCCGGTGTGCGTTTCCTGTCCTTTGACGCCATCAAGGGCATCCTGGCCGACTCCGAGGGGCGCCTCTCTCCCGCGCGGGGCATCCTTGCTGGCATGGTCGCCGGCGCCGTCGAGAGCGTCGTGGCTCTTACACCCACAGAGCGCATCAAGACAGCATTGTGAGTTGGGCACCTCGTTGATGTCTGATGTTGCAACGAGCTGACCAAGACCTTTCCAGAATCGACGATGCTAGGTCAAGTACACGCCGGTACAATGGCGGTATTCACGCGATGCGGTCCATCATCGCGGAGCGAGGCATCCGTGAAATCTACCGTGGTCTCCTCTCCACAACCTTGAAGCAGTCTGCCACCTCGGCAACCCGCATGGGCTCCTACAACATCATCAAGGAAGCGGTCGCCGCGCGAACAGACGTCAAGAACATGAAGAACCCAGCCCTCACATTCGGCATGGGCGCTGCGGCAGGCGTCATCACCGTCTATGTCTCGCAGCCGTTCGACACCATCAAGACGAGGACGCAGGGTGCTAAGGGTGCCACCACAATGGAGGCGATCCGCGACGTCCTTAGGGAGGGCGGCGTGCGGACTTTCTGGAGCGGGAGCTCCATGAGGCTGGGCAGGCTGATCCTCAGTGGAGGTATCGTCTTCACTGTGTATGAGAATGTATCGGGGTTCCTGATGGGATTCAAGCGGTGATCAGGAGATGGGCAACAGAAGGAGAGAAGTGCTTCATGATTACATATAGACTATGATAGATATGCATATGATACCGAGAATAATCTAGCTGGGCCTAGTCTACATCCATTCAGAATTAGAAGAAGAGCGAAATTAGGAAGCAATAAGGATGAATGTCTAACGGTCAATCTTGTGGGCGTCCATACTCGGTACATTCTCCCAGTCGTCGAATGCTCAACGCGACTCACTGTAGATCCCCCCTCGCCTCCATGTTGTTACTGTGCCCACTGCCCATGTGCATACATGTAAGCTTAAACTCTATCCCCTCCCCGTGGAGGAAATGGACCCACTGAAACCATAACTCAGCTCGAAAATTCGCAGAGGTGCCCCGTTTCCCTCCAAACCTCCTTGGAGAGATTCAGCTTTACGCCAAGTGAAAGGCGGAGGTTCTCTGCTCCCGCGGGAATCGAACAAAACGCGGGGATCTGATTCTGGGGCCCCACGACCCGTGTGTGCGAGACGTCCACAATGCCTCCAAGACTTCATAGGCCTCCAAGCAGACTCGACGCATAAAAGCGCAGCGGTGCCTCGCCATTGTGTGGGAGAAGATCATCATCCAGCCACGCAAGCATCCGCACACACCATGCCTGCCCCCAACGATACTCCCGCGCACCACGAGAGGAGCGAGATTGAGATGGAGAAGCACGAGCTCGAGGAGCAGGTCGAGGAGCGACAGCCCGTCGAGGGCGCCTACATTGCCCCCGAGGAGATCCAGGCTCGCTTCCCGTTGCTGCGCGACCTGAGCAAGGAGCAGATGGACGCTCTGAACAAAAAGGTCGTGAGCAAGATTGACTGGCGCATGATGCCTTGCGTGACGCTCATGTTCCTCATGAAGTGAGTCTTGGAGAAGGATGATTTGTGACAACTCGACTAACAAAGCTAGCTACCTCGACCGCATCAATGTCTCCAACGCCCGTCTTGCCGGCCTGCAGGAAGACCTGGGCATGAGCGACACCGTCTGGAACACGGGCATCTCGACCTTTTACGTCGGCTACCTCATCGGCCAGCTCCCCGGTAACCTCATCCTCGCCAAGACCAGCCCTCGCTTCTTCCTGCCCACCATCATGGTCCTATGGAGCATCGGCACCATCTGCATGCCCGCCATGACCAACGGCGTCGGCTTCTGCATGATCCGCTTCTACATTGGCCTGACCGAGGCGCCCTTCTTCCCCGGCCTGACGCTCATGACCTCGTCTTGGTACACCAAGGAGGAGTCCCCAATCCGCATGGCGATCTGGCACGCCGGCAACACCATCTCCAACATCATCTCTGGCTTCCTCGCCGCCGGCATCCTCGAGAACATGGACGGCATCGCAGGTCTACACGCCTGGCAGTGGTTCTTCCTCATCGAGGGCATCGCCTCCCTCGCTGTCGCCGGCGCCTCCTTCATCTTCCTGCCCTCGTGGCCGCACGATTCGACCGCCTTTAGTGAGCAGGAGCGCGAGATGGCTCAGTACCGTATTTTGGTCAGCAACGGCGGCGTCGACGAGAAGCTGGGCGGCACGTGGGACGGCGTCAAGGAGGCCGTGCGCGATCCGTTCACGTGGTACTTTTGCCTCATGCACTTTTCCCTCGTCACGGCCCAGAGCTTCAAGGACTTCCTCCCCTCCATCATGAACACCTTTGGCTTCGACAAGTTGACCACCTACCTCGTCCAGGCGCCCCCCTACGCCATCGCCTACATCTCCGCCTGCCTGCTCGCCTGGTCCTGCGGTCGGATGCAGGAGACGACGTGGCACATAATCATCCCCATCATCGTCTCGGCCGGCGGCTGCGGTATCCTCATTGGCACGCTCAACGTGGCCGCGCGCTACATTGGCATCATCCTGCTCGTCAGCGGCACCTACTCGGGTCTCAACTTGCAGCTGTCCTGGGAGACGACGGTCGTGCCCCGGCCGCGCGCCAAAAAGGCGGCCCTCATTGCCATCGCCAACTGCATCAGCCAGGTCAGCCACTGGTTCAGCCCGTACTTTTACCCGCGCAGCCAGGAGCCGTACTACCGCATGGGGGGCGGCCTGCTCATTCTCGGCTGTGCCCTCACCGTGCTGTCTGCCGTGCTGGTCAATCTACGCGCCAAGAAGCTCAACAAGAAGCTGGACGAGCAGGAGGGCTGGACGGAGCACTCCGGTGTGGAACGGGGCTGGCGTTACAAGCGGTAAAGAGGGGGAGATACAAGGTGTCGGGGTTGGTGAAGAAGAGAAAAGTCTGGATCGAGTGAACAAGCAGAAGATGCCTACGTTAGTCTCAATGCAAGCGTCAATGGAAGAGCAGAGTGATCTCCGGTCCCTCCCTGTCCCCTGAGTCCTGGCGGCGAATCGCGGGCTGCTCTGGTGCCCAAAGAGGAAATGCCAGATGCACGCCAGCGAAATGACCCGCACGTGATGGGACTTGAGCATCGGCCATTCGAGGCCAGGCTACCGGTGACGACTAGTGACTTTGCGTGCGCATTTTCTTTGCAGTGTCTTTCTTTTCGTAGAGAATATTGATCAATCACAGTTGGGGCGTCTCCTCAGCCGGACCGTGGCGGCCCGCTATTAGCCTGGGTGCTTGAGGCAGATCACGTGCTTTGGGCAACGTAGTCATGACGTCACAGGAGCACCGTGTGCAGCTTGCCTCAGCTGTTAGAGCAGCGCCAAGGGGTGAGTGCGCCAGCTCTGGATGCGGCGATGCATTGCGCGATTGGGCGACGTGGGAACCTGCGCCTTGCGACACACACCCCTTTCGCGCGCCCCTCGTCAAGGGGCTCGAGCTTGGGGACACTCTGCTGACGGGCGGGAAAAGCACAGTGTTACTTCGAGCGCACACAGTCCTAGCTCCCAGCCTGCTCCCCTCACGCAAGCTCTGCTTCCGTCCTGTCTCTCACTCCCTCGGTCGCGCCAGCAGCAGTAACGGTACATGGCACGCCAGCCATGATCGCATACATTGTGAGGTACCTCCCCTTGGCCCGCCAGGTCCGCGCAGCCTGGTAGCCCAGTCAGCGCCCCCAGCTTCTCTCACTTCTTCCCCTTCTTCCTCTCCCCTTCTCACGCCCATTGAACTTTGCATCACCCCATTGCGCCCGTTTCGCCTGTACACAACTTCGCGGAGAGCTGCGAAATATCCTCACGACACCCCAATTGCCTTTCACCTCCTACCACATACGTCATCATGTCGAAGCGCGGCCGCCCCGAGGAAGAGGAGGAGCTTGTCTCCCTGCCTGAAGACGACGATGGCGAGGAGGAGGAGGAGTAAGTGGAATCTCCACCCAATTGGGCGCATTGGCTCGCGCCGCGACTCGCTGCAGCTTGTCATTTGTCGCATTGGGATTTTCGAGACCGTGCTGACCCGTCTCCAGGTATATTTCCAGTGGCGACGAGGAAGACATCTCCGAAGAAGACGGCGATGAAGAGGACGAGCTCGAGGAGGGCGACGAGGAAGCCGAGGGCGAAGAGGATGAAGCCAATGGCGAGCAGGGTAAGCAGGCGCCCGACCTGTCCGCATCGACTCGTACTGACCCCATCGCAGCTGAGCCCCCGGCCAAGAAGCGCAAAACCACCGAGGAGACCAAAAAGGGCGACGCTGAGGCCGAAGGCGACGAGGAGGAGGAAGAGGATGCTGAAGCCGAGGCTGACGACAAGGCCGCCGACAAGGGCGACGAGGCTGGCAAGGACACCAAGGCCGAGGCGGCCAAGGAGACTGCCGACAAGCCTGCGCCCGCCGAGACAAAGTCTGAGGAGAAGGCAGCGGCTGGTGACGCCGAGTGATCTGTAAAAAGATAGATAGCGAGCTACGTCTTTTTTCATCTAGCACTGCCGAATAAACGCCACGGAATCTCAGCCATCTGAGTAGGCCTCGCTGAACGCAGCAATCTTTCCCCGAGGAGGAGGATCGCCCCACGATGTGAGCTAGTGCTGCTGCCGACCAAGCTAGGAGCTCGCTGGAGCAGTTACTTCAGCCTATATGGCTTTTGTCGTCACTTGCGCGCGAGATCATCCACCGCGCCACCACAGGCGCTCGTCGGGCCGCCAGACAAAAGTGCTGGGTGAACCAGTTTGACTGCCGCTCAGCCGGGCGAGTATTTGCCTTCTGCTATATCTATAGGGACCCAGCGAGATACCGGAGCGTTGCCCCCGGTCTTTTCGATCATCGAACCATGTCTTGGCATCCCGCGGCAGCGTCATGAGGGGGAGGGGCTCTCCAGCGCTAACGCTCCAGGAATCCGCAACAGTACGTAGTATAAGTATTCCGCGAGCTCCAGACTCTATGCTTGTCTATCCAAAACCAATTACGATACTAGCACAGCATCATGGCCGAAACTAAGCAGACAACGTGAGCACCCCCTCTGCTACCTATGCAGCAACATGGGCTAACAACAACGCAGGCGCACCTTCACGCTCAACACTGGCGACAAGATCCCCGCTGTTGGCCTGGGGACCTGGAGGGCCAAGCCCAACGAGGTGGCGACGGCTGTCGAGGCTGCCCTCCGCGCGGGCTACCGCCACATCGACACCGCCCATGCCTACGGCAACGAGCGCGAGGTCGGCGACGGCATCAAGGCCTCGGGCGTCCCGCGCTCGGAGATCTGGCTGACGACCAAGCTCGACAACCCATGGCACAAGCACGTCGTCGAGGGCCTCAACGCCAGCCTGGAAGCGCTCCAGACGGACTACCTCGACCTCTTCCTCATGCACTGGCCCTGCTCGACGGACCCCGACGACAAGTCCAAGCACTACGCGGACTGGGACTTTCGCGATACGTGGCGCGAGATGCAGAAGCTCGTGGGCACCGGCAAGGTGCGCAACATTGGCGTCTCCAACTTTGCCATCACCAACATGGAGAAGCTGCTCGCCAGCCCGGACACCAAGATCGTGCCCGCGGTCAACCAGATTGAGCTGCACCCCTCGCGCCCGTCGCCCAAGCTGGTCGCCTACAACACGTCCAAGGGCATCCACTCGACGGGCTACTCGTGCCTCGGGTCGCTCGACTCGCCCCTGTACACAAACGACAAGATCCTGGGCATCGCCGAGGCCAAGGGCAAGACGCCGCAGCAGGTCCTCCTCATGTGGGGCCTCACCAAGGGCTGGAGCGTGATCCCCAAGAGCGTCACGCCCAAGCGCGTCGAGGCCAACTGGCAGCTCGACGGCTGGGGTCTGACGGACGAGGAGGTCAAGGCCATTGACTCGATTCCCGACCGCTTCAAGGTCTGCGACGACAAGTGGCTGCCTGTGCAGGTCTTCTTCGGAGATGATGAGTAAGGAGGTGCAATGTCGCTGGCTCTATAGAGAAATAGAATAGAGAATAGAAAGAAAAACAAAGTGACAAAACAAAGTGACAAAACAAAGTGACAAAACAAAGTGACAAAAGATTCCCGCCCCTTTATCCTGCTGTCCTCATAGCTTGGACTTGATCTCAAAGTCGTCTAAAAGGTCTTTCCCTTCCTCCTGTATAATTTCGGCCACCCTCTGGCGAATGTCGGCCGCGAGAACGACCGCCTCGTCATCGTCCAGCTCTTCCCTCGTGCCACGGCCAAACATGGTGAAGCTCTCCCTCAACTTGCCCTGCGCACGGAGCTCGGGTCGCGGGATGATGTGGTAGTGTACGTGGGGGACGACCTGGGCGGCTGCCGCGCCATTGTTCTGCACGACGTTCCAGTCGTCTACACCTGTGGCGCGACACACGGCTTTCGAGAGGACGCGCACGGCGGCGCCGAGACGGCGCGCCTCGAGTGGTGATGTGTCGCTTAGCTTGGGGCGGTGCTCGCGCGGTGAGACGAGGAGATGACCGCGTGACAGCGGCAGGATGTCGAGGAAGGCGATCAGCGTCGGTGTCGAGAGCAGGAGGAACGAGGACGGGCTGGTCTTTTCGGGGTCGATTGAGGCGGGAGGATGCGCTGGGTCGTAGGGTTTGTGCGTGTCTGCAATGTTGCAGAAGGGACAGGGGAGGTCGGTGGTCATGGTTAGGGATGCGGTGCGAGGAAGTCGTAGGTTCGACGTGCTGGCGCGAAGGTGATGGAAATGGTGGTAGATGAGCCGAGGTTGGCGGGTCATCGTGGGCGTTAGGGGGGACTTTGGAGCCAGAGCGAGGACGGCGGTTAGTCGGATCTTGGAAGAGAATCCTTACGGGAAAATAACAGACATCAAATTGAATATTCTCTTTTACTGCAAATGTGTTCTTTTCTAAAGTTTGTGATTCTTTATGCCGACATTGTGAGCGAGTGCCATCCGTGTCCAATGTACCTCCCATCGTCTGTCGATTATCATGAGATGCAAGTCACCATTCTCGAGAGTTGAGACACTGACACTATCCGTCATCAATAGTTGCCGATGAAATCGCCGCTCTAGAAAGCTTTATTTGAATCATTATTCCCTGTTGCTTTCTACAAGATTTGTTGTACATGTCAGCCTTTGCCTCAGAGGCTTCGATTGCAACACGTTTTCAAACGAGCAACTACGATTGCCTGTGTACTATCGAGTAGAGTTGGCGAGCCTGAGACCCAAGTTATGGCAGTGCGTGATGTAATGCTGTGTGAATGACAAACATATGTCGATGCATCAGGCAAACATGTCGTTCGCTTCCTCGCAGTGAAATGACCACATAGCAGCGCATGGCATGACAGCACACAACCGGAGCAAACAAGACGCGCAGCATCATAGAGCGAGACATGGGCTTTGTCCTCGCAAGTATTAGAATAGATATACGATGTGAGTAACCTAATCAGTTTGGTTGCTCAAACCAAGCTAGACAACCTATTCTGTATAACGTAGTCACACAATGATTCATTCTTCAGATACTTGGACGGCGCAGTATAGATCACACCCATATATATATACACGAGTGATTGTTCCTTAGTTTGTTTGAGCGCTTGGTCCTATTTGCAAGACTAATGGGTACATGCATGATGCGGACGACATTCACCACCAGGGAGCACGAGCACCAACAACCTGACACCTGCAGGCTGACATGGACTGAAAGAAACAATAGGATTTGAGGCCCAGGAACAAGTCCCATATCAACTGCCCGCCTCCGTAACTTGTGGTGGGGCAGCAGCCAGCACAGACATCAGATGTGTTGGCTGCACTGACCTTCACTTCAGATTGCTTTGTCCCTCCATTCCCCTCAGTCGTCTCGCGTTTTGGTCGACTGCGGCCTGTACCTCGTTGCTTTGCACTGCTGCTGCATGCCCCGTACAAATATGGCAACCATGAGCCGCCTGGATAGACTGCTCGAGACGGTGCGCCTACAAGAGAGAAAAGATCGCGCGGAAAGAGATCGACTTAAGAGTGAGATTGTGCGCCTAGACCAAGAGCTTGCCAGACTCAAGAAGGAGCGCGTCAGCATCAACGCGCGTCTCGAAAGGCACGACGCGATCAAGCCCAAGCTCGAAAGCCATGTCGCGACCAAATCGCAGCTCGAGGCTGACATTGCCCAGCTGGACGTGGATATGAAGAAGCAGCTTGAGCCGTGCAACGTCTCCAGCGGCTCGTCGTTCAAAAGGTTCTTCCAGCAAGCGCAGCCTATCATTGAGGCGTTGCTGCTGCAGCAGGAGGAGAAACTCAAGTGCGTGGGCGAGCTGGAAAGGAAAGAGCCGGCCCTGTTTGATGAAATTGATGCAGAGGACATCTACCTTCCGGAGTCAACGCCATTCGATGCTGGAGTTGGCGATGAATCTGGCCCTGTAGATCCTGGCGAGGACAGAGCTGTCCCGGACTCTGTGTCCAGGCAACCGGCAGATGTCTCTTCCCTCTCGCTTTCATCTTCTTCAGGGCGGCAAAAGGTAACGAGAGCGCCAACAATCATCGACCCAGACTAATGTGTACCCTAGAAACGTCGCCTGTCTCGAACAAAGGACATCCCTCGAAAGGCCCCCAGGCTCGGAGAACGTTCGATCGACATTCACACATTCTTCCAGAACGGCAAGAGCAGACACAGAATCTTCCGGGCAAATGGCGACGAGGAGAACTGGTGGATCGTGTGGTGCAAGACACACAAGTTGAGCTTTACCACAAAGAACCCACTAGCCGGCGCGGGCAAGTATTTACACTCCGACCGTCATGGAGGCATGGACAAGTCGAATGAAACGGCCGTCGTGCACTTGGGGTACAAGGTGCTCAACTGCACGCCCGAGCTGGTAGAAGCGAATAACCGCGCCGTCGATGCTGGCCAAGACGGCCGAGAGCCTCACCTTCCACACAAAAGCAGACGCCGCGCTACGCTGTCGGACGAGGATGATGATGAGGCCGAATTTGTTCCCAAAGCGTACGCGAAGAAGCCTATGCGGCGGAGAGCTGATACCGCCTCGCAAGCCGTGCTCGACCCTAAACCTGGTGAAGTCTATCTTGCCTGGATAGGACAGAACTTCAGGGCGGCAATCTGCTTGCCACTCCCGCCTAGTGTCGACGGCACTGGCATTTCGGAGCTGCAGGTGCAGAGAGAAGATCTGGCGAAGGAAATGGAAAGCGAGCCCCCTATTTGCTACAGGAAGAAGACAGATGGCGGATTCGCCTGGGCCACGGACTACGAGGACCATGGGCCCAAGGTCCAAGGGCGGCAACATCCTGTGGTCGTCATCAACAATAGCAATATGAAGAAATGGACGCGAGCCTGGATTCCAGCAAATAGTCTCTTAGAACTCGACAAGACCGATCCATCGTTGCAATCCGTCGCGAACCGCAGCGTTGTCCTCACAGAGTTGCGCCGAAGAAAGGACCTTGAGTGGGATGAGAGTGGGAGAATACACAAAATCGCTAGTTCCGGTTCTGTTACAGACGCGCCATCTTCTCACGGTTCACCGAGGAATCAAGCAGATGTTCTCGGGCAGGATGAGAGTGGGAGGATGCACACAGTCGCTAGTGTCGTTCCTGTCACCAACGCGCCACCTCCTCACGCTCCAGCGAGGAATCAAGAGGATATAGATGATGATTTCGTTGACGAGCATGCAAGAGGAGAGATGAATGCTGTGGAAGAAGCCCAAGGCCAGGATCGAGGCAGCCCGGACGCTGTGCATGGCGAGGAGCAGACTACAGATGCAAACGTCAACGACCAGACAATCAAAACCAACGTATCGGAAAGTGAAGGGAACATCCAACCAGCCGAGGAGGCAGACACAGCGGGCAAATCACCGACACCAGACCGCTCCAGGAGCAGCAGTCCCGTCTTCGGGTCAATGGAGGCAAAGGTTGAACCACCTGATAGCTCCGACGAGAGCCAAGTCGCGGCCACGCACAGCCTATTCGGGTTGTACCCAAGGATGCGTAGTCCTACCACCTCTGAGGCCATGGACACTAACGATTCCATGGGTGGTGAGGATGGGCAGCTCACGCTCACAGGCAAGGCGCCCCTGGCTTCGATGGAGACTAGAGGGCTTCTCGACGGCCAGTCCGTCCTGTTTTCACACTCGGACGTAGCTCGTGACTTTCTTAGGGGGGTAGCTCGAGACGCTCTGAACTCTGCTGAGAGAGACCTGGAGTACCCAGCGCCTAGACACGAGGCGGCCATGAGCGATAGTAGTGACGCACGAGCAAGGGCCAGCTACTATACTGGGCATCATGCGGCAAGTTGGCCAACGCACACGGAGATGGGAAGTGCGAGCCACCACCACCACCACCAGACGGAAGATCCAGCCGTAACCGCAAGTCGTCGTTCAATGTCCGGTTTTGGGCATGTGAATGGAAGTCAGGGCGAGCCAAGCAGGTACTGAGGGGTCGAAATTCGTACGGTTGGCTTGGACCACATGCTGTTGGCAGGGGACATTGTGATTGTTTGTTTTAGCCTTGGCGTTGCGGCGACGTTGTGGAACAGATTTGGTCGGCGAAATCTGTAGGGACACAGAGACAAGTGTCTGGACGATTGTGGTAAAACGATAGTGTCAATGAGCACTCACCGTCGATCGATGATCGGGTACTAACAATAAGTGCCATCACTGGATATGTCTCGGGCCATCCGAAGAGGAGAACTGGTTGCTGAGAGCATGTTGACACATTGTTTCCACTGCCCCCTGAGCAGCTACCCCTTCATCGAATCGACCCGCCTCCTTCAGTCTCAGCCCGAGATGTAAGGCGCGCAGTGCGTATCACATGCCGTGCTGACACTACCGCGTTGTAGTCGGCGACCGCCGTATGCAAGTACGCCCGTGGTACGACTGCCGTCGCATAGACTTGATAGTCGGACGATCTACAGGAATATGTGTTAACAGAAGCATCAATTCGAGGGCCGAAAAGTTGCGGTGGGGGAGAGGAGAGCCACTCTAAGACCAACGAACAAAGGCCGCCCGTAACGCCGACATGCAGGTTTGAGACGAGCGACACGTCGGTGGGCGCCAGCGAGCGGTCTTTGCAACGCTGCTGACGATGGCGACGGTTGGTTCGCAACACTTGTTCAATGCTGTATGAGTGATTACTGCGCTTGGCGGTGGGTTGTTCATGTTGGCTCCAGCGTGTCTTGTGGTGTGTTCACATTCAGCTCCTGTGGCGGCGGGGACCACTGGTTCTCAACGGAAATTATGCAAGACGCAGATGAGAACGAATCGGAGTGTATGGTTTAGCGGGTTGGTACATGTAAACGGCACTCATGTGCCTCCCAAGTTCAAAGCCAACGTCAAGCTTGGCTTCCACAACTGTTGGTTATAGACATTGGCCCAGCCACCCCGACAAAGCCATCAATAGCTCATACAGTCATCAAGCGGGGAATATTTTGGAATATTATTGGATCTGGTCGAGCACAGCAAGACATGTTCCAAAAATTCCAATGGTAACGGCGCCTAGAGTTGCGCAATAGGCATGCCAAGACGATATGAACAACTCAAATCTTAGACACCAAGCTTCCAGAAGACCAATAGTTACCGCAAGCGGCTACCTATCAAATAGGTCATCAAATACCTCGTCTCTACTGTGCCGCTGGCTTCTAGAACCAACAGTCGTCACGGATCCAAGTATATGTACGCAACACGCATCAATAGCGGCATCACGATGCAAAGCACCAACAAGGACCCCTTCTGGCAATCAGCTCCGTTGCGGTCCACGCGTCACCGACCGGCACACATACGCAGTCAGCCGCAGGGCGTCTAGACCTGGTGAACCGTACGGCACGTACGTACGTGTATGCACGCGATACACTCTGTATGTATGTATGCGCACGACCGACCTGCAGCTGCGACAGCGCAGCGCAGCTCAGCTCGTCTTGCAGACTTGCATACAATGTGCCAACAGTAAGTAGAGCAGCCTCATGCACGATTGAAAATGGTAGGGTCCCGGCTGGGTGGGCACGCGTCGGGGTGTCCCGCTTTACGGCCGATCCGCCGCTCCTTCGGCCCCCAATGCTGGGCGTCTAAGCCGTGATGGTTGACAAGATTAAATGCACGTAGCATCAACAGTACGTACGCGCGCGTGTGTAAAGGCATGATTAGTTCATGTTGATATTGACAGCTCGACTGCTCTGCCTTGTGCCAATGGAATGATTGTGCGATTCCGTACCCCCAACGCCGGTTGGTTTCCCTCAGATGATTCGAGTAAAAGAAGAAAAGACAAAAAAAAAGTATTCGTTACATCATGGCTCACTGCCTGCGTCCAGCCAGTCTATCTTTGCGAAGACTGGCCATTCTGCCGCCGCGCTCCGTTCTGCGTGAGCATGGCGAGCAGGCTGTCCACCATCTGTAGCTCAGGGGAGGCGGCGAAGTGGCAGTTGTCGTGTGATCGCCCGGCGCTGGAGACTGTGGACCCGGTGGACTCGCGGGACGACGAGCTGGTCGTGTGGACGCTGTCGCTGGAGCTGGACTCGTAGCGAGGGACGGTTCCGTTGTTGCTCGACATGGTGCTGTCGTGGTCGCGTGTGTCTGGTGTGGAAAGTGGTGGTGAGAGAACCCGTGGGTCGATCCGTTTCTTGGAAGAGGTGTTGCGCCGGAGGGCTGGCCGTGACGTCTTGCTGAGCCGTTTTGCGGATCTGGGCTTCTTCTGTGATGCTGTCGCCAATGGTCAGACTCTGTATAGGGATGGCACCGGAGGTAGCAGACTCACACTTATTGGACTTTGTCGACTTTGTTGACCTGGGAGGATGCTCGGCCGCCTCAGACTCCAGGGGATGCCCCATGGTATTTAAACACGGGCACGGCACGACGGCGCGGCTGGAGGCAGCTAAGGCCCAAGGGGACTTGGTGTATGGGAGGCGCGCCTCCACCTGTGGAGGAGGGCGGCGGGCGGATTGAAGGGCGCCGAGATCAGACCCCGGCCTGACCAGATCGAGTAGCTTGCGTCCGGGACAGGGTACAAAGTGCCTGTAGATCGCCTGTACATGAAGCAAGTCCGGTACGTACGTACGTGAGGAGGGTGTCACTTTGTGTCCTCAGTCCTGGCAGAGGGCACGCTGACTACTTATCCTGCGGACAGTGCCTGTCTTCACCTTATGGACTGCATAAGGGAACTCAGGGCAGAGCCGGACCCAAATGACGATCTCCAGGGCGCCCGGACGGCGGACCCGTTAGGACCGAAGTTTGCGTCCGCGGTGCGAGGCTACATGGCAATGCAATGCTGTTACCGACATTTGGGAGACGGACGAACTGTTTTCGTCGTCCTCAATCTCGGTGCCCGAAACCATGGGCAAGGACAATCAGTGTAGGCCGCCGGTGTCGTGTGCACCGAGTGTCACATCACCCACGCCACAGGCCCGTCGCTGTCGGTGATAGTGCATGGGGTAGTCGGTGTTTGAGCCGTCGGTCGCCGCCAGGCACAACCTTATGCCCGCGCGGCCGACGTCGCCGTTAGTAGCGACCAACAGCCAGCAGGACGCGCGAGCCAACAGTGGCAGCAGAAATCGACGTGGACGCGACTGGACAAGACGAGGGTGGGCGATCGACCCGACAGTTTGGTGATCATGCATTGCTGACGCAGGGAGAGGACGCAGCGTGGTGTACGTCTGTCCTTGGTGAAGACGCCTGTTTGTCTGCGATAGGACACCGTCGGGACATGCGATGCCCGGCAATTGCCCTGCTGGCCGCTGCTACGACGCTACGTAGGCGATTAATTAGCTACTGTACATCGCTGCCCCGCTTGCGCTGCAAATGCCATCGGATGCGGTGCCGAGATTTGCTGGGCGGCGGCGTCTTGCTGATCCGGGGATTGGATTCGTTCTTTGCCAGTTTGGCTGCTGCTCTGGCATGTATTAATAGCCGCCAGCCTGCCAAGCCAACAACAGCAACAACAATTGTCGACGTCGTCGAGACGCCCGAGGTCTCTGCAGCCTGCATGCACATCGTACCGAGCACCCAAGGGCCAAGGGTGCCTCGTGGTGCCTCGTCCAGGACTGGTCTGCAGAGCGACAGACTCAGAGTCAGAGGAAGTGCAGAGCATGACTGACATCCAGTCTTCGGCCGACAGAGCGCCGGGTCGAACTGCAAGCGAAATGAAGCCCAGCGTGTCAGCGTCAGTCGGAAGAAGGGCCTGGGCCCCGATTAATTCCTTGTCACTCATTTAGGTGATGACGGCGCCCGGCAGTTTGCGGCAAAGGGGTGCCCCGGAAAGCTTCTTTTCATAGAAATCACTGCGTCCGACGTCGTAAGCTTGGACCAGCGTGGAGGCTCCTTCGTGTTCGTGATGGCAATCTCTGCTCGCTTTCTCTGTCGATATACGTAGTCAGCATCGGACCTCATGAAGCGCGCTACACGCCCAGAGTCCGGGTCTGAAGCAATATTGAATAGAATCCGCGCAGGGTGCATTTCAATAGTCGCACGATTGATGCAAAGTCTCAATGGGAGGCTTGTTTTATGTTCCTCGACGCCGGTGAGCTGTCTCAACCTCAGCTCCCGGGTACATAGGAGGACTGCCATGCCCACCGCCTTCCCGCTACAGATTTCTGCCGCATCTTCACCAGCCCCACTTTGACCGCCCTCATTTTTTGTCGGCCAACCTTCGCGGTGATCAAGACGATCCATATCCATCACCCCAACGCCTCGAAACACAGTCACCATGGTTCGCGAAGGATACCAGCCCCCCACCGCCGGCGCCGGCCCCCGCGGCTCGACACACACAGGCCACGAGGTCCGCACCCAGATGACCTACATCTGCGGCGACTGCGGCAGTCGCGTCTCGCTGGCCAAGGATGCCGCCGTCGCTTGCAACCAGTGCATGGGCCGTGTCCTCTACAAGGAGCGCACGAAGCGGTATGTTGGGTGCTGGCCCTCTAGGTAGAATGTAGATGACTGACGAGGAACAGCATGGTCCAGTTCGAGGCGCGGTAGACGGGACAAAGACACAGAGACAGCATGATACGGAGTCTGGGAGTTTGGTTGGACGGAAATGCGAATTACGCCTGTGCGGCTGTCCTACATGAATTGATATATACCCATTTACGCCCCAAACGCCTTTTTTTTTCTCTCTCCTCTCCATCAAGATCGCGGCGTGTGCAGGTACTTTGCGAAACTCGCATCCGCCATGACCGAGTCGTCATTGTCCCCCACCGCCGTCTGGTATCGTGCCTGTAGACTCTCCCGCTCGGCAATGGCATCGTCTTCCGAGTCGTAGTCCTCGCCGTCGTCGTCGCTCGCCACCTCCACGTCGTCATCCGCTTTTGCGTTGGTGATCGATGGGCCGCCCAGGCCGGACATGCCCTGCATCATCTTGTCCAGCTCTTTTTCACGTGTCTCCTTCTTCAGCTTCTCGCGCTCGTCTCTTCGTCGCTGCAGCTCGGGCAGGTAGTCGTCGATAAACTCCTGCTTCTTCTCCGCCACAGCCTCGAAGAACTCGTCCATGCCTGTCCCCACCTTGGAGCTCACGCCCACCACGCTCAGATGCGCGTAGAACTCCTCCAGCATGAGACTCATCGAATTGAGCAGACTGCCCATGTAGCCACCGCCGCCGCCACTGCTGCCCCCCTCGCCGTCCATGTCGTCGCCCTCTTGATCACGCTGCAGCGCATCCTGGAAGGCCTCAAAGTCGGTCATCCACTCCTTCGCAAAGGCCGCATCCTTGACATCCGTCTTGTTGAAGACGAGAACCATGGGCAATTTTGTCTTGTAGAGAATGGAGCAGGCGTACAGCATGTTGGACATGAACGTGCTTGTCGAGGTCGTGCGTGGCGTGTCGATAATGTAGGCAATCACGGTCGGGAAGCTCGAAGCGAGGGACTCGAGCAGAATAGTCCCCGACGCTGACCACACAAAGACCTCAATCTGGCCGGGGGTGTCGACCAGAATATTCTCAATCGGCGCCTTGTCCTCCTGCGGCTTGGCTCGCTTCTCCAGCAGATTGACAATCTGATCGACCTTTGTCGCAAACAGGTTAAGCGACGTCAGGATCCCCCCGTTCGGCCCCAGATTGTACTGCTTCATGACCTCCTCGTAGTTGACAGAGTCGCGGATATCAATGTTCGAGTCAAACGGGACGTTGAGCACGGCCGGGTCCAGGTTGATCACGTAGGGCGGCTTCTGCTTCGAGTGGAGGTACGAGTTGACGCGGCGCATGAATGTTGTCTTGCCCGAGCCCGCCATGCCCACGCATACAATCACCGGCGGCGCGGCGGCGGGATCGAGCGGCGCTTCTTCGCTGGATGTGGCCATGGTCTGTGGTTGAGGGTGATGGTGATGGATGGGAGATGTCAAAAATTTGGGCGTGTTGGAGCTGTGATGCAACTGAAGTGCCCCGCGCGGGGCCGAGAGATCCCTGCACCAGAACCACAATTCACTTTGACGTCTCTATCTCATGATTCTGATAAAAGCTACGCTTACAACTTTACGACCACCTCAACACCCCTAACCGTCTGTTCCGCTGCTTCGAAACGTCGCACAGAGCGCCGCATAGTGATGCGTGAGATCCAGCACACTCTGCGGCAGACTGGTCGCCTGCACAATGCTCCTGACCTTGACAGCTCCCTCATCCTCGATCAGTGTCCGCACCGTGTGCAATAGCTCCGGGCTGAACTCGCTGTACCACCGATACTGCCAGGCCACCAGACGGATCACGGCCTGGATCGTGTCGCGCGTCACCTTTTGCTTCCGATAACTCCTAAGGATCCCGGCCAGGGCGCGCGGGCTGAAGCGCAGAGACAGGCATGCTCGGTACGCCTCGACAGCCTCATCGTGGTGCTGCAACCGCTCGGCGAGAGATCCCAGAATCTCCCACTCTTCCGCAGACTTTTTATACTGCATTTGTTGGGCCCGGTACTGCGCCATCTGCGTGCGCCAAATGGTGTAGACGCGCAAGTCTTCGTAGAGCACCATGAACAGGCTGTCCAGCCAGCGCTCACAGAGGCGCTTGGTGTTGAGTTTCGACAGGTGCTCGTCGTTGGCGGCCTGTCACGTCAGCAGATGCACATCATTGTGAGAGGAGAGGCTTACATTATCAGTGTCCGCCTTGACCTCTCCTGGGTCGATTGTGCTGAGCGGCTTCTCCACGTCTTCGCTGGGCGCCAGCGTGCGCCCAGCCGATTCACCGTCCTCCTCCTTCTCCTCCTCTGACTCTTCGTCACCATTAGTGGTTGCGTCAGAGGGCTCACGGATGCCGTCTACACTAGAGTTGCGCTTGTTGGCCGACGCCGTGGCCTCCTGCTTCTCCGTCCTGTACTCGTCCTCCATGACAAACACATTGCTCCTGATCTTGAGAAGCTGGTCCCAGCCGATCTTGGCCGTCATCTCCGTCAGAATGCTGTACGCCTGCTTAAACGTCCCCTTATACGACGCTGCGCGCAGGCCAAGCAGACTCGGATCGACCTGCTCAGAGTATCTCGATTCGGGCTCGCTGTCAATCTCATCGAGGCGTGTCTCCGGGAGCGTGGGCAGATGCACCTCCTTCGGTTCGGGCATCATGGGTGTATCCTTATCCTGGTAGGTGAACATGGGGCATGAGTTGAGAATCGTCAACGCGTTCTCCCAGTCCTCCATCGCCACGTAGACCTGCGCCAGACGAGCCCACGTGCCGAATTCGCTGGGCGCCGCAATCGTGCTACGGTCGGCACAACGGAGGGCCATCTGCAGCCGCTCGTCCTTCAGCTCGGGTGTCGCCGCTGTCTGGGCCTTGTTCAGCAAGAACTCGGCCTGCGTGTCGAGCATGACGTAGTCCATGGGGGTGTCCTGCAGCGACTGGTAGAGGGTCCGGACGCCCGTGACCTCCTCGTTGCCCATGAAGAGCACTTTCGACAGGAGCGAGGACACCTCGACGCTCTGCGAGCGCAGCTTTTCAAACAGATTGATGCCCGAGGTATACCGACCCGTCGTCTGCAGATACTTCAGGAGCCCCGCCGTCAAGTGATTCGAGACATTGGTCGGCACCTGAACGACCGAGTCTGATCCCAACTGCCACCCCCGGAAGAACAGCTGCTCAGCTGCATGTAAGAACCTGTGCTCCGTCTCCGTGTTCGTGACAGGGTTGAATCGGCGCACACCCATAATCTTGCGGATCGTGTCGCCACTGCCATCGTCGGCGTAGGAGTACGCCCTCAGCACACTACAGAGGTACGTCTCGAGCCACAGATCGTCCGTTGCCTTCCTCTTTTCGCCTCGCTCGTCTACGCAAAAACTCTCGACCGTGCCGGGGATGGTGACGTGTATCCGCATGTCCAACCGGGAGAAGGCGTTGTAGCAGCAGTACACGCCCTCCACGATCTTGGCCGTCGCATTCGGCGCATGTTCCTTGTAGGTCAATGTGTTGATGTAGGCCGCGAGACTGGCCGAGGACGAGGCATCGACACCCGTCACATGGTGGTAAATGCCCGTTTGTCGCCCCTGATTCCGCGTGGCCTGCTTGACGAGGTGCACCAGGTCGGGGGGACCAAGCTCCCGCAGAGCGGCTAGCGACTCGGTTCGCGCATCGAGCGATTCGTGCAGAATCTCTTCTGTGAGTCTTGATTCATTAGCAATGGACGGTGCTGGGGCGCAAGTGGTCTCACTCTGGCACGGCTGGCGCAACCATGGCGAGGGAGCTCTCAAAGCTAGCTGCTCGCGATGGCGGCTAGCTTTTCGGAGGAGAGAGGTTGACGTGAAGAGAGGCAATGGGCCAGAGATTGTAGAGCTCCGCACGCTTGTCCGCTGCTGATGCTGAAGCTGATGTGTTGGAGCTATTGTGTATGTTGATTGTGTCCCTGATTGAGGACGGGGGAGCCTGGCCGGACAAAGTAAAGTGGGTCACCCGGTTGGTGGCTGAATTCCAGGTTGCGCCACAGACATGGAGGTCCATGCGCCAGGAGTGGCTAAAGCTGGTCGCGACAGGGCCGCTAAAGAGGTTGCGTTGGGGCAGTCGCGTCTTCAGTCGTCGCGCCCATTATCGGGTCGGATTTCGTAGAATCAATGACTGAATCGGCACATTTCCCAATGCGTTGATCCGACAACGTGAGAATGGTTTGTAGGCCTTTGTATCGAGCCAACTTCAACTAACTGCTGCAGCCCGGCTTCCAGGCAATCAACCTCGAGCCTGAGGAAAATGTCGACGAGCAGATCGACAGCACCAAGGAGCTCCATGTCGACGAGGCTCTCAAGACGTTCCAAAAGGCATTAAGACTACATGCGCAAGGCGCTCGCTCCAGAGAGGCGGCTGGCACAGCGTACGATGAACTCTTTCAATCCGAAATCTTTCAATACCGCGAAGCGCGAACCGAGTACGAGCGAGCCGAGCGACATGCCAACGGAGAAGATGATGTCCTGGCCCTCGCAGCCTTCTCCGAGGGTCTCGACATTGATGCTGGCGGCGCAGATGGCATCGCAGCGACGCTAGCTTTGACGCTGTACCTGGGCTACAAGAATTACGGCGACTTTTTCCTCGACAAGCTTAAGGACTTGAGGACCTCGGACCCGGAATGGCAGAAGAAGCCTAAGCTTTCGTACCATGCGGATGGCGGCGACAAGGTGTTGGAGAACTGGGCCAAAGCCCTGGATCAGGATCCATCGGATCCAGAGCTATGGAGGCGCGCATCTCGATTTGCAGCTGCCATCAACAGTGGCCGCCTGAAGAGATTCTGCCTGGAGGCGGCGATTGAGATGGACGACGACCCTGCGGTCACAGAGGTTGAGCCGCCATCGATTGCGGAAGCCTTGACAGGCGAGCAATTGAAGCAGCAACTGAGGTTGCTAGGGGACCACATGGCCCTCACACACCCCGTCATGGCGCCGTGGATAGGGAATCAGCTGCCAGTACTCATGAAGAAACTATTGGATCCGATACCGTTTCTGCCGGATCCGACCCAGACACTTACGCCACCTGCGAGCCCAGTGAGAGAAGTCCAGGACGCGGTGGAGGAAATCAGAGTGTCGAC